GAGGCACCTTGGGGTGCCACCAACCTACTCATGGCGTGCATGCACTCAATGCCACTGGTTTTGGCCCATAAAGCCTTCGCCCCCTAGAACACCATCTTCAAGGGTACGAATAAAGTCTCGGTTTCTTGTGCCGCCTGTACGGCTTCCTCGTCGCCTTTGGCCAGCAGAATTGGGGTCGACGTACCCATCCGGAGGAGGGGGGTAATATGCCGGGCTAGGCTGTAACCGAATAGGTGCATTCGGGTCGAGATGGCTGGCCACACGTTGGATTGTCGGTGGGATACCTCCCCCTTGAGGGTCCATGGTGGACGCACGCTGCCGCCCAGCTCGGGTCGTCGCCTGCGCGTAGAGGCTTTGGGATGGCGCGTATTGCGCTTGGGGCACCTGCCCCGGTATAAGGTTCATCTGGTGGCCGTAGGCTGGTGGCTGGGTAGGGTATGGCGGAGGAGCACCTTGTTGGTGACCAGTAAACATCCCATTGTACATAGGCGGCGGCGGCTGAGCATGGGTCGGCGTATGAAACTGGTTCAACTGCATAGCATAGGCATTTTGGGCAGCCGATTGAGCATGAGCTGCTTGTGCTGCCCTCTGTTTACTGGCAGCTTCTGCTTGCTGCTGTTGCTGGATACCAGGAGCAACAGTCTTGTTAAGCGACGAATACTTCAAGTTCATCGGGGGAACAAAAGGCCCCGTGAATTTCTGTTGCGTGATGAAAGGATGTAATTTGGCCTGTTGGGGTGACCAACGCTCGAGGGGATTGATCGTCAATAAACCACGAACAAAGTCAATGAAGGCAATTCGGTTATTCAATTCTAATGAAAATCAATTAGCAGGTTTATGCGTAATAATTTGGGCATGACCAACCTCGTTCAATTTCGGCCTGCTTCATATTTTTCCTCGGCATTGGATAGCTGCGGATGATTTCTTCCAACGTCGATGCTTGGAAGTACTTCTTGCTCGGTTGCTCTTTTGTGTTATGCTCTCGAGAATATTGCTCTAGGCTCTTTAGGCGGTATGTTTTCCGACCAAACTCGTCCTGAGTCTTTTCGAAAAATTCACCTGACTGCTTGCCCATCTCCAGCATCCAGGTTGGAGGCAGGCCAAGCATTTCCACAATGCGGCAGACTTGGTTATATTCCGAGGATCCGGGGAACAAAGGCAAGCCAAGGAAAAGTTCAACGACGATGCACCCAAGCGACCACATGTCAATCGCAGATGAGTAGCTAGAAGAGTGTCAGTCTAGGCCTGCATAGGCGGACAGATATAGCAGGGGCAGCCCCGGGAGATGTGCGTACGGCAAGCCAAGAAGAACCTCTGGTGAGCGGTAAAACCTGGACTGAATATATGTGTATACTGTCTGTCGTTCGTCACACGCTGACCCGAAATCAATGACCTTGATAATAGGGCTCTCAAGACTGGATAGAGCACGAAATCAGTATTCAGGATCTGTTCCAGTTCCGCTATATCACTCACTTCTTCAACAAGATATTCTCCGGCTTCAGATCACAGTGGATCAAGTGCGCCTTATTCAAAAGGCTCAGTGCATTCAAAAGTTGCTGAGCAAACACGCGTACTAAGGTCGTACTCAAACCCCGGAATTGGTTCTGTTTGATCAACTCGTATAGATTGACACTCAGCAATTCAAACACCAAGCACAGATGCTGCCGGTGAATAAATGTATCTTTCAATCGGAGCAGATGGTGATCGTCGTTTTTATCGTATCTGCTATTGAGCTGCGGCAGATGTTAGCAGCGGCCATATAACGATTGACCATGGAGGACTTACCAGATCTAAGACTGATACCTCCATCATACTCTGATTGAAGTAGGCAGTCTTGTTCTTGATGACTTTGACAGCTACAACTTCCCCTGTTTTCAGGTTCTGACATTTCACAACCTGTCCGAAGGTTCCTTGACCCAACACATCCAGGATAAGGTAGCGGTTCCTATAAAATATGAGTATATAAGCTGAAGATGATGGAAAGAAGATATCCCCTCAACTTTGTGGAATATGCTTGGGGGGTTGACGTACTTGTGGCCTGCTTCTTCACTGCCCAATATGTCGTTGACATACAGGATGTAGTCACTATCCTCATTATCATAGCCGTCGTTCTTCACGCCTTTGCTGGGCTTGGTGAGGACTCGTCTGGGATTTCTTGAGGATTCGTAATTGAAGCCCGGGTTGCATATTCGGTAGGTCGCTGGAAGATGTGTCGTCAACGCTTGCAGCGGCTGCGGGTCTGTTAATGGATGCCAGTTGTATAGCCGGTAATTCCAGTATGCTTACGCTAATAAAGCCCCCCTCCGGATTCGCACGTCTGTAAGCCGGCTGCGCATTCATCCGTGGTTGGAGTTCGTTGATAGACTTGATTTTTTGGAACTTTGGTATAGGGCCTCGACCTGGCTGATGGCTTCCACCGGAAATAGATGCAGAGCGAGGCGATCTACCATCTTGCGCAAATGCGGCATTGAGTTGGGAGCCAGCAGAGGGCGGATAGTATTGGTCGGAGCTCATGTCGGCGGGCTGCAGAGGAGGGAGTCTAGGAGGCCGCGATGCAGCTGCCACGGAAAACGTTAGTCGCTGTACCTCTTAACTGTCTGCACAGATGAACACTCACAAGGCGGTGATTGAAACGCCTGGGGGGGTGAGGCGTAGGTTGAACCCCTTGTCGGCGACCGTCGTGGTTGATTCGGACCGGGCGGGAAAGCATACGAGTTATGCGATTTCCCAGGACTCGCATTAAAGGACAGGGAAGGTGACAAGACGTTCATAGGAGAATACCTGCGAGCGGCCGACGATTCTTCATTTGGGAAGTATTGTGATGAAGGTCGGCTGTGCTGGGTCGGTCTCGTAGAGTATTTGGCCCGGTTGTACGGATCCGCATCTTCCATCGTGGTGTCCGCATCGGTGACATAATCCCGACTACGTGGCGTCGCAGCTGGAGACGACGCCATGGAGACGGTTCTGGAATTTGGAGCGATCGAAGGGGGCTTGACTGTAGTGCCGGGGGCCTGGAAGGGCTCGTAGGAGTATCCAACCGGCGGCTGCGAGTGTTGTGGCTGGGCGCCGTATTTTGAGGCTAGTTGTTGTGGATTAGACGTCAACCCGTTGTTGAACTGCGCGGGATGTCCCATTAAGGGATCCTGGTAGGGCTGCCACTGCGAATCCATTTCTCCCCTCCCTTAAAACGGCGTCTCTTGAGTATGTGATGAGAGATCAGATCAGATCGGACATATGATGATCATTTATCACTGTCGACAGCGCACATGCACCACGATCGGGGGTTAGATAGTAGCGGGGACGGCAAGACGCACGTAGCGCAATCAGGCGGAGACGACGCGGGACACCAGCAAGCGATGGTGCAATTCGAAGACCGGGGGGAGACGAAACGGAGGAATTGATGCTAGATCCGGGTTGCGTCGAACCTCATTATTCGAGCAGAAGACTGTTCTGGTGATGAGGGCTCAAGGGGCGAGGGGGAGGCGGCCAGTGGATGGACGGGGCGGGCGGTCGCAATCCACAATGACGGGTGCGACGCAGCAGCCAATGTCGATGCGGCAGCTGACACGCGAAGGAGGTTGGTTGGAAGGATGATGGCGACCGATCCAACTAACTGTTGGAACCCTGGGGGGAAGGATGGGTATCCAGACAGCCAGGTGCAGTCGAGGAGAAAGACCGGAAGGGGGGAAGTCTGGAAGCAAGTCCAGATAGGTAGGTGGTGGGCACTGAGAGAGAGACCGACTAGTGCGGAGGGGAAGAGAGAAAGAGAGGGAAGGGCAGCAGTAGTAGTAGTGATTTCAGTTCGTGGAGGTGGAGATGGGCCTCAGGCTGCCGTTGGGTTGGGGGCTTTGGGAATGGTGCCGGGAAAGGGCCACCCACGGACCAACCTGCAAATAATGATACTGATCTCACGACTTGGTGCCCCTCTCGGGGACAGCTGAGGAGGGATCTTGTCGAATTTTTGGATCGGCCGCCAGCAAATCGACACCGTCCCAGTTCGATTCGCAAAAGGAAGATAGATGAACAAGAAGATGGATTAATTACTATTAGTTACGATCAATGGAGAGACCAGTGCACCATCACCTTCATGAACTCCTCCGGGTTGAAATCATACTTCATATCCCATCCCATGTAACGGGGGAATCGAAAAATGTCAACTAGTCATCGCATGTCTGTCTCAGTCTGTTGCCTGCCTCTCGACCAGCCTCTTGACGGCGATCGGCCTTCATTGGGAAAGTCTACCTATCTCCGCGCCCCTTGGGCATTCAACCCGACAGTTTCAGTAGACCTGAGCTGGGTCCCCGTGCCTCCTGGAGTATAATGAAGAAAGCATTGTTCATGCCACACTGATGTTATGGCTGGCGATTGTCATGTCTCGAGTTCTGTACGACGTCTCCTCCAATCTACGAATGCACATCATCATGGCCGTTTGCAGCGTGTGCCAACCCCCATACCGTCTTTACGAGTAAAGATCGCAATCATTCCAAGCCGGATACACAGTAGCCAGACGAGCCCGGACCCAATAGCATATTCCGGAACTCAACAATGAAGGATTCGTCGCGGAAGTAACACCCGAAACGGGTGAGAATCGATCAATTGCTGTGATGATTACCTCGTTGATTTCATCGATCCATCATCTGGCTTTCCTCCTGGAGGTCAACTGAGGCAAACACACGGGCCCCAAGCCTACCCGGTGACGTGGGAGGCTACGTGGAGTATGACTAACAGCCGGAAGGCTAGGCACCAAAGGCGGTGTGTGCCAGGCTGCAGTCGGTGAAATCTTTCTGCCGGGCTTATGGCTGTCGCTCGTCACAGTCCTTCTTTTAGATGTCATTCGCGGTTCCTTGTCAATCCGGCACAATCTGGGATTCTTCTCACTTTCACGGTCGCAGCCAGGTGTGAAGTATCTTGAGAGTGGTTACCGTATACACACAAGCCTAGTGCCATGGGCCAACGCCGTTGAGGACTAGAATTGTCTAGATCTCGGTCAGATCTACTTTCAACTACACATCAGTGACGCCACTTTCGCACTCTCTAACATTTCACCTGATAATCCCCCCTCATCCGTGTGATAGCGTCTTAATTCTATGTTTATCTAAGAGCCATATCGAAAGGAATTAAAAAACTGGTGGTAGTATACGGATTGCCACTGTAACTTGATCTTTGATGAATTCAAACATGATCGACAAGGCAAACATGGACAATGGAGATATCACTCCAACCAGGAATAGTCCTGTTGAAGGCATACAAGAGGAACAACCGCCGGCTGTACCTGCATCAGCTCCACCCGAAGCTGCATCAACTCCAAACCAGGAGCTTTTGGCAGTCACGGACGAGGCAAGCCGGTTACGAGAATTGCAGGCCGATGTTCGTGACCTGGATGATCTTGAAAGAGACATCTCTCGTCAGGTATTTTTGATCGATTAATCTAGCACGTCAAAGATCCGAGTAATGCTGACAAGCATGCTAGGCCGACAAGTTGCTCATGGAACAGGCTGATGAACGTGATAGTAAGAGATTGGAAAGGACTACTTTAGAGAAACAGTATGGCCACGATGAAGAGCAGATTTCCGTTTGTGAAACTCACCATATGATCCAGAAAGCTTGAAGCCCAAATCTTGAAATTGCATCAGCGTTTGTCACAGCCGGTTGGCACATCTGCGAGAGTTCGTACCAGGAATGAAATTGAGAAACTCGAAGCCCGCAATGCTGCATTGGCAAATGACCTCACTGAGATACAGCAACGGTTTGATGAGAGGCATCAAGGACAGGAGGCCATTTCCGAGACCACTGGCACTGGCCGCATGCCGAACGAGTCGCGCCGAGATTATCTCATCCGGACCGGAAAAATCACGCCCTTTTCCAATATGAGCGCTGGGCCAAATCATGGCCCCCTTGCCAGCCTTCAGGATGCCCTGATTGATGCGGAAGATGAACGCGATGAAATAGAAGCATTAGAGCAGATGAAAAATCGATCGGCGGTCTCACACCGTAACCTTGTGCGGCCAGGGTTCGGCTTCGACGAAACACCTGACTCTGGCGTACCGGAAAAGCTTCCTGTTCCTCGAGCGAGTAAACGCCGAAAGATAGACAATGGCTCCCACACAAGCAAGACCTATCTGGAACAAGGAGGCTTGAATCAAGGTGCAGAGGTTCCCGAGGAGATTCAGTCGGAGGACCAAGACGAGTCTGTGAGCTATGTTGAATCTGAAGAGCAACCATCTTCATCAGAAAATGAAGAAGAGTTCTTGCCTGAAGAGAGGCCAAAACGAATGGCGATGCGAGCAAAAGCTCCAAAGCCTTCGGACGAGGTCGAAGATTTCAGTGGGATGGACGACGGAAACGAAAAGCTTTACCAATCCAGACTCCAATATTGGGTTGACCGAAGGGCAGCGGCTAGGAAGCGAGCCTTTGAAGCAGGACACCAACCCGAAGTGGATGGACTCGATCAGGGCGAACAGGAAGAATGGTTTATGCCTCATCCCACAGTTGCGGACATGCAGTATGACAACGGATATCGGATACCCGGAGACATACATCCACTTTTGTTCGATTATCAGAAGACAGGAGTGCAGTGGCTCTGGGAATTGCAACAGCAACAAGTAGGTGGTATCATCGGGGACGAGATGGGTCTTGGTAAGACTATCCAAGTTATCGCGTTCCTTGCGGGTCTCCATTACAGCAAAAAATTGACTAGGCCCGTCATTGTCGTATGCCCCGCCACTGTCATGAAGCAGTGGGTTAACGAGTTCCACCGGTGGTGGCCACCTTTTCGTGTATCCATTCTGCATACATCCGGTAGCGGAATGGTCAACATCCGGAATGAGAGCAGCAGAGAAGATGCTCTCCTCTCCCAAGAGTGGAGTGCCTCCGGGCCTCGTGGCATTCCAACTGGCTCCAAGGCAGCGAGGAGAGTTGTTAAACGTGTGGTAGAGGAAGGGCATGTGCTAGTAACAACTTACTCGGGACTGCAGACTTATGCTTCTCTCCTAATTCCGACTGAGTGGGGTTGCGCTGTTCTGGATGAAGGCCACAAAATTCGGAATCCGAATACCTCGATTACTATCCATTGCAAAGAACTTCGCACACCTCACCGCATCATTCTATCCGGAACCCCAATGCAGAACAACCTCACAGAGCTCTGGTCCTTGTTCGATTTTGTCTTTCCAATGCGCCTAGGGACTCTGGTGAACTTTCGGAACCAATTCGAATTCCCCATTCGCCAGGGAGGATACGCGAACGCCTCTAATCTGCAGGTGCAGACGGCTGCTAAATGCGCCGAAACTCTCAAGGATGCCATCAGCCCGTATCTTTTGCAGCGGTTCAAGATTGACGTTGCCGCCGATCTGCCGAAAAAGAGTGAACAAGTCCTGTTTTGTAAGTTGACAAAGACACAGCGGCAGGCATACGAGACATTTCTTGGTTCCGAGGAGATGAAATCGATACTTGGGGGGCGTCGACAGGTTTTATACGGTGTCGATATCTTAAGGAAAATTTGCAACCATCCCGATTTGCAAAACCACAAGCTGCTTTCCACAGCCACAGGTTACGGCAGCGGGTCCAAGTCCGGTAAAATGCAAGTCGTCAAGTCGCTGTTAGAGCTATGGAAGGAAACGGGACATAAGACTCTACTGTTCACGCAGCACCGGATTATGCTGGATATCCTCGAGAAGTTTGTGAACTCGATCTCTGGATTTAACTACCGTCGAATGGATGGTACTACACCCATTCAGCACCGGCAGACCATGGTCGACGAGTTCAACAATGACCCAACGCTGCACGTGTTTTTACTAACCACCAAGGTTGGCGGGCTGGGGGTCAACCTAACGGGGGCCGATCGGGTTATCATATATGATCCCGATTGGAATCCCTCTACCGATATGCAGGCGCGGGAGCGCGCATGGAGGCTTGGACAAAAGCGCGACGTCACCGTCTACCGGCTTATGACCGCCGGAACCATCGAGGAGAAGATCTATCATCGCCAAATCTTCAAGCAGTTCCTCACGAACAAAATTCTGAAAGATCCCAAACAACGCCAGACGTTCCAGCTGAGCGACCTCCATGATCTCTTCTCCTTGGGAGAAGAAAACCAAGGTCCTACGGAGACGAGCAAAATCTTCAAAGATGCCGAAGTCACGTATGAAGACAGAGATAGCACATCTCAACCGCCTGGCACAACAGCTCAATTAGGGGAAGTGTCATATGATCTGCAGGAGGAGAAGAAGGACATCAGCAGGGTGGTTGGTGTAGCAGCCGTCGAAAAGTTCCAAGGCGATGAAGAGCAACGGGGCGAACAAGAGAAGGGAACTCCTAGTGCCAATTCGGAGTCTCGCATCATGGAAGGCATTTTTGCTCGATCCGGGGTCCATTCAGCACTGGAGCATGACCAGATCGTGACTGGTAAACGCGTCGTGCGAGCAGACCCCAAGATAATCGAGGCCGAAGCGAAGAGGGTTGCTGCCGAAGCTGCCGAGGAGCTGCGGCGCGCGGGAGAGGCAGCGCGGTCCGTGCCTATCGGGACTCCAACCTGGACAGGCCAATTCGGCCTGGCCGGGAGACCCGAAGAGGCACCAAGCCGGCCTACGTTTGGTGGAAGCAGCAGCATAGCTAGACGAGCGGTAGCCGGACCGTCATCAGCCAGCATCTTGGCCAACCTCTCCGCGCGCACACCCTCTTCACGAAGTAGCAGCAACAGTCCCGCCCCATCGCGTACCCCCAGCGGGGTTGATTTCATAACCATGATCCGAGATTTCATTACGGCCCATGGTGGGGCAGTATTTACTCAAATGTTGATCGATCATTTCAACCGCTACTGCACTACTCCGCAGCGATCGGCTGAGTTCAAGGAGATGCTGAAGACGATTGCAGTACTGAACAAGGGCGGACGAAATGGGCGCGGCAAATGGTCCTTGAAGCCTGAGTACGCCAATAAAAGATGAGAAGAATCTGCCAGTCGTCCTTTTACTATTGGGAACATGATCTCGTGCCCAGATGTTGACAGACCAGCCTTGATTGGGCCGGTTGCATATGAGACAAGCGGCTTCTGGCGTCCTCGCACCCGGATGGTTAGATCAATCGGCTTTGAAGGGAGAGGGTGTATAACAAGGGATACCCCTGTTTTGGGCGAGCGGGCAGATGGACCGAAACTGCCGATCCCATTTTCCCTGCCATACGGCACGTGTACAATACAGCGGTCATCGAGATCATCGACGTAGTCTACCAGTACATGACGTGCACTGAGCCCGGATCTGATCATTGAGACAGCCGAGCGACATAGGCAAGTCCCCCAGATGCCCCGGTTCCCCGGCGGAAGGGAGTTCGATTCCGTGGAAAGGGCTCGTAATCATGGATGAAAATCCATTGTGTGATGTCACGGGGGTGAACCAAAGATGCGGCCCGAATGGTACGGGCAATCATGATGTCAGCTCTGCGGCCTCCCATAGTGTGCGGAGTACACAGCCATCACACGATAATTGGGGAGAAAAAGGCTCTAATGGGTTAGAAAGCCCTGGAGCCATGACAAGAGCACACTGTAAACTGCCGTGCAAGAAATGTTGTGAGTGGTTGACCAGGCCAAATGGACGGAGCCATGCTGTCTACCCACCTTGGGTGCAGAGTGAGATTCAAAACAGGGCCACTCTCACTTCTATAATTATCATGATCAACTAAGACGGGCTGTCCCCTGAACATCAGTCACCATTCGGCTCCAATGGGAAGACACGGTTCATATGACGATAACTCAATTGCCAGGAGGTTAATCCCTTAGTGATGACGATGCTGCAGTTCCGTCCGGATGCAGGGCTCCAGGCATTCCTGTGACAAGCCACCAGTCAGGCATCGAGTGATCAGCCGATAGATTAAGATCAGCTGCTTCAAGTTTGGGGGATCGTTGGGGGGGACAAAAATAGCAGAAGAACATGTCAGCAATCTGATCCGATCTTGACCGTGCCGGGTAAAGAGAGACGGCAAGACCGTGCATGTGACGATGTGCTGTTGATGTATCGAATGTACTCCGTATGTCCAAAATGCTCCATAGTATCGACATGAAAAGTGTCTCAGCCATGACAGCCCCGCCATCCTCGTTCATTTCGATCCCCCGCCTCTCTTCCCCGGCGATCCAATCACCCGTTTCTATTGAATTCGCCGCCCAACGCTGATTGGTCCGGCCGAGTCCATTGGCCGGAGAGGCCAAGCCTCACCAACCAATCGGGCCGGGAGAGCGGCCACTCCGAGCACCCCAGTGGGCGGCGCGGTGGAGATGGCCTCCAGTTGTTCCTGCCTCTCTGGGTCGTGGCTGCCAAGTGCGCCTCTCGGCCACTCGTTGTGCCAACACCCAACTTCAGCTCTGCAGCAACCCACAACCACCCACCACCCACCACCAACCACCAGCCGCCCTCCACAATCCACTTGCCTTTCCCTTCCCCGGCATTGCGGGTTTCTATTCTCAGGGTGTTCAAACTTTCCTCTGCTCAGTGCTCTCTTATTCTCTGGCGCTCCTCTGATCGCCGTCTATGGTTCCAGCTTAGGCATTTCGGCGCCGATTTACCGTCCCACCGCTGTGGGTGGATCGTGGTGGCTGTTCGATATAAAGACGCAGGGCGTCCCGTCGACTTCAGCCATCATTCATCACGCACCTCCTCTGTTTCTCCTACAACCAGAATTATCTTGTTTCAGGATTTGTCCACGAGCCTATTGCCTCCTTTCTTCTCTTGACCATCTTCCCACCTCCGAAATTCAGCATGAAGTTCCTCGCCTCCCTCGCCTTGTTGGCGTCCACCGTGGCCGCCGGTCCCATTGCTTACCCTCGCGCGGACAGCAACTCCACCTCAACCTTCCACCTCAAGACGTCCGGTGCTTCCAATAAGGATCACAACAATCTCTACGTCTACGCCTACCACACGGGTGCTGGATTCAACGATGCTGTGCTCACGTCAGATGTTGGAACGGCCAGCCCGGCGTTCTTGAACGGCACGCACACGCAGTTTGACCTTGGCACCCCCTTCCCCTGGGGATTCAAGATGGGAGTCCAGAACAACTATGCAGGTTAGACTTTTTGTCCCTTCCCCTGGTCCATGTTTTGCTGCCACATGGAAGACCGGTGATATTAACTTTGCTTGCAGCCTGGGAGTCAGTCCAGATCAACACAGGATACGGCGACCAAGATTTCTCCATCAGTGGCACCGACTTCGAGTGGTCGGAAGCGAATGGCTTTGGAGGCTGGCTGGGTGAGTAAAGTCAAAAATCTCAGGATAACCTTGGGGACCTGGCCACTGACTCAGGCTTCTATCTAGTGTGTGATTGGTACCACAACGCACCCCAGCTGTTCTACATCTCCAGCTACTACCAGCCCGACATCCCTTCTTCTTGCAGCAAGGTCGACCTGACGGCCGAATACATTTCTTGAGAACGATGCTCAACCTTCGCCACTGGCCCTGAGAAGGGCTCTATGACGCGCGTGGCGTGAATGATGATTCATATGACCTGAGGGACCTGGGAGGATACGCGCCTCTCCCAGTCCGACCGAGATTGGACCCTGTATCAATACGCCTGTGAAATGACCGACTCTAATAATACTACTAATACTAATCATGATTTGTGAGAGTTTGATGACGGCAAGATTGTGTTGTACATGAAGCATACCATGTTGAATAATCAGGAACATCTTTCATTGTCGTTTTAGATAAGCTTTAGTATCAATATCTATTTCAGCTAGAGAGCTAGAATGCAAAGTTGTTATCTACTAGTTATCTCGGCACTACTATGTAAGCATCTGCTCGCTTCCAATCAGTGGATTGTCTGGAGTATCTGGTTGATGTTCGTGGCCAATAATTGGCAATAGTGGCTGCCGGGACCCGGTTAGTGTCGCAGTTTTGCGGGGGCAGCGGTACACAGTGTCACAGACTGGCAGTCGGGATGCTCCCTCCGGGACAGATACTGGGGGTTCATTCTCGCCGGGACTTTCCCTGGGAAGAGGGTGTTGTCTTCTATGTGAAACCAGTCGGGGGATGGACGGCAGAAGAATGAGCCCCTCGGTCGGGGATGCCTGGGCGACACCTGAGAGGTGCCTCAGGCGTGCCACGCCAAATAAAAATAGCGCGGATGTCTCACTCACTGGCCCGATCGGGCAAGGTGCGGCCACCCGCCTCGAGTCGCCCTTTCTTTTGCCTTCGTCTCTTTCTTGCCAACGCTGGACCGACGCTGCTTCGGTCGGTCTTCGTTGAAATCCTCCCTCCCTTCGCTGTCGGTCGGTCGTTCGCATCACCTTCTTCATCTTCCTGTTCATCACCCGAATCGCTGGGATAGACCTGTCCCTGTCGCTCGCTTTGTTTACCTCGCGACTCTCGCTGGACCCTGCCGAGAACCCATCAGACGATCTGCATGTTTCAGTCCCGCTGGCCTGAAAAACATCGTCTTCTGCAGCTCACATCGCCTCTCTTCTGGGCTTAATCCGCCATCACGCTCTACCGGGTCATCCTCACGATCTTCGGGACTTTGGCTTTCATCGTTTATCCTCCCCGGTCACTGGCACCCCCGGTGCTTTCTTTCAGTCGTTCCTCCGGGAAAGGGTCCACGTCGATCGGACCCTGAATTTTGCCAAGGGAGTCAAGCGACCCCTCTGCTGTCCTGTCAACGCACCCGCAGAACAGTCCAATCGCTTTATCCAAAATGCGTTCCATGTCTCGTATCTTTATTCTGTGCCTCTTCCTGCTGCTGGGCACGCTCACTACAGCGTGGCCATGGCGGCCCCACGGCGAATTGTTGCGACGGGCCGGTTTGTATCCCCATCTCCGACACTCCGATATTCGACCTTTCGCTCGTCCTCTGACTAATTTGTGAACTGTCAAGATACCACCGCAGCTGAGAGCGCAACCACCGGAGCCGCCGCTACTACCGAGAGTGCGTCCAAGACTGACTCAGTGACCAAAGCCGCGTCCGCAACAGGCACCGACACCACTGCCACCGGCACTGGCACACAAGCTACTACAGGGACGGGCACTGCCACGGGAAAGACAAGCAAGGCTACCAGCTACACGAATACGTCAACCATCTCGATCAACCCTGCTGCCGGTGCTGGTGGTATCTCCATGCTTACTCCCACCGAGGGAGCCACATCCTACTATAGAATCGGCGACTATGTGACGTTGGCATGGAACTACACATCGCTGACCATCAGCCCAACGGCTGTCAATGTCGTCGCGTCGTGCAGTTTGAACAGTGCCACCTACACCATTTCGACCAACATGACCATGGGGCCCACCGGAAAGGTGATCTGGGACACCCGCAAGTACCAGGCCAATGCGACGGTCCCGCTGTTGACTGCTTCGTATACCTTGATCGTTTGGGATGCGAGCAAGGCTCTCACCGAAACGGCGAGTGCAGGCTATCTCAGCGCAGCAAGCGGCTACACGTTCGGAATGTATAGCTCGCAGCCGTATACCCCTCTCAACGGTATGTTGTCAAGGTTGTTGAATTCGTTCAGTTTGCTAACGTCCAATAGGCTTTGTCTGCGCCACATGCAGCAGCGCTTTCTCTGAACTAGAACGTCTAGGGCTGAAATTCACCATGGGCATGGCTACTATCACTATCCTGTCCTTCACCTGGTTCGCCGGCGGTGCCGGTGTCTTCTCCACATAGGTGCACACTCTGGGTGACGATGAAGAAACCTTTTATGCATTAGAATGTTGCATTGAGCTGAGCGAACTCGTTTGAATTATGATGACCGCAATCTATCAGCAAGGGCTTGGCTTGGCGTTTGTGCGTTTTTGATTTTGACATGTATTGCAGTATAATGGCTGGGGCTGTCTCCTTTCTCTCATTCCTTCGATGTTCTATATGGATTGCAGCAAATAGCGGGATATCAGTGTAATAGTGCATGCGCGATTATGACAGGTGGATTGTCTCTGGTCTCTCCACTTGACTTGTTTATAATGAGCCGCTTTCTGACTTGTGATTTCGAGTGATGCATAGTTACTAGACCTCATCTATACTTTACATATCTTATGCGTCATGTACTTCCCATCATCCATCCCCTAAATCCACGAAAGGCCATCAATCACATTGCGTCCCATCAAGCTAACTAACAGTCCGTAGCAAAACTATCATCACTTCACAGTCCTACACATTGCATACATACTCCATCGATTGATATTTTGTTTTCTCTTTATATGTAGGTCACTAGGTAAGAAGAACCTGGTTTTCATAAGTAAGGATACAGATTCATCCTACTTTCGAATGGAGGCTGGATCTTATTTGATAATCTAGGAGGATCTGTGCAGATGTGTAGATGTATGAAGGCAGTGTGTATGGTAATGGGGTGATTAGTACGATCGGATCGTTGATTGATTGATGGATGGATGGGTAGGGAGGGATGGTCGGGTTGAAGGGGTTAAGAGAATGATAAGGTTGGTGGTGGTGGTGGTGGTGGTGGTTGGTGGGGGGGAAGGGGAAGGGGGTAATTTCTTCGTTTTTCTCGTCTGGGTTTACTAATCTTCTATGAGATTGGATGTAGGAAGTGTGGGTTTGTTTTGTGTACGTGGTGTTCACATTGTGTATATTGAGCAAAATTATTTACTTGGTTGGAAATTTGAAGGTTCAAGAGAAGTGAGAACCAAGATCAAGATGGGGTGCTTTCTTGGGACAAGATGAAGATGTGTGGGATGATCCAACGCTGTTTGGAATAAAGGTTTTGAGGACATGGTGGTATGCTTCTTGGCATCGCTCGGAATTCGTTGTGGACGGTGATAGATATGCTTCTGTTGCAGAGGGAAGATGTATGATGATCCCGAGGCCACTGGGGCAAGATTGTCTGTTAGATGGGTAGTGTGTGGGATCAGGTTAAGAAGGATGAGTTGCGGACGAGGCAAAGTTGTATCCCTGTTTGGTCAAAAGGTGGAATCACAATTGGCCTAAAGTGAAAGCTCTGTGTGATGAGAACAAGGAGTTGCAAGGGCAACAAACATAATCCCAGATGAAGTGAGGGACATGCAGTGGTATCCAGATAATCGGGGAGGCGAGTTTGTGCAAGCACGAGTGTCGAACTGCACGAGAACGGACCTTACTACCGCTCTTTATCATGCGATGCAAGCTTGATGATAGGGTTCCCAAGTTGGAGTGGCCTGCTGAGGAACTGAAGATGGTTTGCGAATTGTGGGAAGGGTGGCCGTGTTGTCGGTCATTCTGTTGCATTTCAAACAGGGTGCTTGCTTGATATTCGAGTAGGATGATATCATGTCCTATTGGGATGGTCAGAATGCGTCCAGTTCTTAGTAGTTGTACTCAATGAGCATAGGCCGCTTACCAGTAGATAATGCAGATCCCATTGTCGCGGACGAGCATTCAAGCATTGCACCACCGCGATCTCCAGCTTCGACGGTGTCTGTCCCTGCTGCGTCTTCGTTGAGACCCGCCAGTCAGGAACGCCGTTCCCATCCTGTCCTGCGATGGCATCAACCTTGAGCGCCATACCAGCTTTCACAAGCACAACCGTGACGGCCGCTTCGTTCTGGCTAGGCAGAACCCGCACCCCGGGCACGTTCTTCTGGGCAAAACCCTCGACAATCGCTCTCCACCCACCCTCGGTGGCCTGAATCTTCGAGCGCTCCAGCTCCTCGTTGGCTCTTTGCTGCTGATCACTCTGGATTTGCTCTTCTTTGCGGAGCTCCGCTAGAATCGTATCATAATCTTGCTCCCAGGTGCCCGTTGGCTGCAGCATGCGGCCGCCGTTTTCTTTGATCTGAGCATCAATCCGATCCCAGACGGCTTTCATCTCAGGACTGCGCCACATCGACTGAAACTCTTGCACTTCAGAGACGCCAGCCCGCGATGCTTGAGCGAGCTGTTCGTACAGCATCTGCGGCGACTTAGGGGCCGGTCTTCCCGCCGCAGCTTTGGGGTTGACAATTGGTGCCAGAGGCTCCAGAAGACGCTCGGGGAGCAGAGTCCGAAGTTGGTGGATCTGTCACAACGTGTTATGACATGCTTGAGCAAGTGATGAGTTCAAGAAAGAGAATGATACGCACCATCGCTTCCATTTTCTGGAGCTTCGCGAGAGAGGAGACGAGTTGCATTTCGGTATCCCATACGTCAGGGGTCGTTTCGTTTGTACTGTCATTGGCATTCTCGTTCATGTTGCTAGCTCCCCCCGCAGTGAGCTTCAGGTCATTCGATGGGGCGGTCATATTAGGCACCACGACTGGCATTCTAGGAAGGGTTTGGCCTTGTTTTGGTGCAGACGCCATTTTATGTGCAATAAAGGTAGTGAATGACAGGAAGAGTGTCGCAGAGTGATTGTGAAGTCGAGATCAAGTTGAGATGAAGACCCAACGTGCCCTTCCTCTATTCAGTCAATCTTCAGATGGTAGCGCAGCACGTGTTTTGAATCCACGGTGTTTGATTAGCCGCTGTGAAGATAGACCTTGTGTACGACCAGGTGTGCAATGAAACGACCAGTCGGCAATACACCTCTGGATATATCATAAAGCGGTCCTAGTCATCCAGGGCCCTGTCGGCGGGTGGCATCCACTTGAAACTGATGTCAACGTCAACAATCGCGATAGATCGGAAATTGTGCCAGCGGCGTGGGCTGACTCAGCCAAGCATATGGTCAGCCACACATCGCACCGCCACGTGATTATGTGGCTTATACAGCATGGGGGGAGAGCTTTCCAGAGGGAACCTCTCCGTTAGAGTACACACAAATTTGATTATATTGTAAAGAGAGATGAGAGATCTATATCTACTGTGAGAACCTTCTTGTGTACTGCTATGTAGAATGAACTTCTTGGCACAATGGTATATTTAGGGCGGCCCTGTATGTGGCTACAATCCTTGGGATATAACTGTCATTAGAATTAAATTTCCGGTTAAACCATACCAGGTAGTAAAAAAGGTCACGAGAAACGCAATACGAGCTATCTGTCAATAATTCACCACGTCAATATCCTCGCTTACCGACCATGTAGCGCCTGATGATAGAAAAGAATAAAATGTCCCATAATTCGTAAGGCTTCGTAGTGACGGACGTCGCGGCTGTAGCAGACCAGTGAAAAAGATTATGCCATCACCGACGAATACAAGCGGATATTTACACCGCGATCGTGTGACAATGTGAGACTAGATTGGATGACAGGCTCCACCAAGTCGGGATCAGCGTTTTCAATTCTGTCGAACCGTTGCAGCAGCTTGACCAGCGTATAGCTGGCTTCAGTAAGCGCATATTGCTCTGAAATCTCGTTAGTCTGGAGACTATCCCAAAGTTTTGATGTAAGAGGCAACTTACGGCCGAGGCAAATGCGTGGTCCGCCGTTAAAAGGCAAGTAATCCCAGCCTCGCTTGCTGTTCTCTTCCCAACGTTCTGGCCGGAAACTGTGGGCATCCGGCCCGTACAGGTTAGTCTGGCGATGCATTGCGTACACGCTGTATGCGACAAGCTCTCCCTTGCGCACGTAGACTGGAGACTTTTGGTCTGGTCCACCTCCCAATGGCAGTGAAGTATCCTTGACAGCGACGCGGAAGTTGAGAGGCACCGGAGGCAAGAGACGAAGGACTAGTCTTGTTAGAGGCCCGATCTCTGGGCTTTGGGGAGATATGACTCACCTTCGTTCAAGAAGTACCGCAAGTATGGGATATCCTTCAGCCTTGCATGTGTGATCTGTCCTTGAGGGTGTTGAGCATCTCCAAATTCTTGGACAATCGTCCGACGAAGCCGGGTCCAGACATTCGGGTGGCGTGCTAGATAGAAAAAGGCTGAACTAAGCAGACCGGCAGTAGTGTCGCGGCCAGCCAGGAGGATGTTGAGCATGTTATCTCGGAGCACTCTCGGATCGTCGTTGTCCGCCGCCAACGCTTCTGCGAAGATATATCTGCCCGGTTCCTTCTTCTCGGGGTGACGCTTGGACTCCAGGGCAAGCTGCACATAGTGGTCCACAACCTCGTGCACTAGCCGGTTAGCTTCCCGAAACTCCTTGGGATTGATCATCCAATAGAATTTCATGGCTCTGGATCTTGAGACCAGATATTCTTGGGCCAGAGTGAATGCCTCTGCAAACCCCTGCGCGTTTCCCACGGCGGACTTCTCCAAGAAGTTGGATTCGGAGGAGGTGCGCATCGAGCCAACGGATTCGCCAAAGAGAAAATGCGTAGCGGAGTCCATGGTCAAGAGAAAGAAGAGCCGCTGGATATCGAAGTTGGAGCCATCCTTCGGTATCAGGTCCATCATGTTGGAGATATGGCCGTCCATGAGGTCTAGATCAGCAACCTGGTAGTCCGATCACTGTCAGTAATTGCTTGGTGAGATGATACTGTGTTGCAACCGACCTGATCACGAGTAAATTGCGGTCTCAGCAATGCCCGTGCATGAGACCAGCCAGCTCCGTCCAGCGTGAAAATCCCATTCCCAAGTAAGGGATAGAACTCTCGATGCCGAGTCCCTAGGCTGAAATCCTGGAACTGGGTGGCTAGCACCGCCTTTATATTCTCGGGCTCGACTGTGTTGTGGACGATGAGCCCACCCAAGGCTTTCTGACGAAAGGTAGCCCCGTGCATCTGGTAGTGTTCGGCAACGTATTCAACCCATCGTTTCTCTCTGGCGGCCTTTACAAGGCGAATAAAGCCGGCAATTCCGAGGAAACCTGTGTCGACCACGGCAGAGGGCTGACAGCCTAGGGCCTTGGCCTTTTTGCGATCGTTGTATGCTTGTTGAAGGGAGTGCAGGATCTTGAAGGTCAGGAAGACCGCACCTAGCAGGAAGATGGCGGGGCCTAGCATGATGCGGATGGGTGGTGGTGCGGGGGTTCTAAGAGTCAAAGGAGGGATGTCTGGCCTAGAGGTGAATCACAAGAAACCGGGGTTTGCTGAAAGGGAAATACGAGCTGATGGTAGTTTCAAGTAGTCTGAAGAGGATGGAGAGAATCGACAGAGAAGCTGAGCATGGTTCAAAACTTATGGACAATATATACCCCCCTCCGAGTGTGGCTTGAACATCATCCTCCTCGGTCGACCAGTTTCATGTGAGAGGGAGATACTAGACCTCCTGCCCCCTAGTCACTGTGAATGCGAGGAGGCACGGGAAGGAGCGACAGAACTCCATCTGGAGTACCGTGAAATGGGGGTCACAGTGATTGGAAAGCCAGTGGCGGAGGCGGCGTGAATGATCAATGAACGCTCGGGATGCGGGTAGATCGCAAGCATCTCCGGAAAGGGTAAGGCGGGCGGCCCCCAGGATTCTACGGATTCAACGCTAAACAACGGCGATCCAAAACTTCCGAGACTGCAGGCTCCACCCTCGCAACTCGCAACGTTGGTCCGATCAAAAGGCTGACGATTATGCTTCCAGGCTCCAGGCTCCAGCTCCAGCTCACTCACTGTCCAAAACACGGCAGCCATTGCAGCATGGCTGACGTAAAGATGCCTCGTGACAGCTTGCCAGGCGTCGGCGCCGACTGGAAATCAAAGCAGTGTTCCGAGTTTTCCATGATGTACCCAAAGACCGTGTTCTCATTTGTCTCCACCCCGCAGCCGGGAATGGTGCTCGTAAACTGCACCCCCTGAGGTGCAATGTCCTCCGTCGAGAGAATGGACAGCGTCCTCCAAGGGTCGAATTCTCCCCCGCTAAAGTATACATTGGAGGGCCGGATCGTCCAACCTCCGAACTCTTGGTTGACATCATCCGCCAGCGGCTGAGGCGGCAAGAGTCCCTTGACGACCGCGCTCGGGAATTGCCGGTTACACAATTCCTGCTGGTATTCCAGAGTCTGATATCGCGAGAGCAGCGCGTGCGGCCCGTCGTTGTTGGCCTGGTAAAACCCCCATTCGCTGCAGTATTGCCAGGTCCAGCTGATGGCCGAGGGATCGCCGTATGGCTTCGAAAAGTCACAGTCCAGTGGTGCGGAGGCGTTGAGCGACCGGCAGTTGGTGGCCATGTTCTCATTGACCAGCTCGGTGAAAACCGGCCATTGTGCCCAGCGTTCAGCAACATACTGGGCGCCATAGGTGGCAGCAAGCCCGTCCGGCCCTGTGGTTCCGTTCGTCTCGGGGTCGACTTCGAGCCACGTGCAGAACGAGCCGAGACCCCCAGAGCCTCCCGACATACCGTAGCTTTGGAAGAAGCCATAGATGCCCGTTAGAGCAGCCGTGAAATCACCATTTGAGTTGATTTCGGCGCCCGATCCGAAGAACAATTGCTTGATCGAGGAGGCCGTCTTTTCATCCGACAGTTGATCGTCAATATAGTCCAAAGCAGCGCGGATATCCTGGGTGCAGTTGGTCCATCCATTGGCCACCATTCCACGGTAGACTTGGTCATAGTACATGGTCATGTTGATCCGGGCTTCCAGTGGAGCCGATGAGGAAAAGGCAGCGAATATGGTTTCCGGATATTCATTGCGAGTCAAGGCAGCGCGGATTCCAGCATATGAGCCGCCCACCATGATCCACGGTGTGCCCTGCGGTGTCAAGTCGATGTCGGGATAATTCTCGCGGCTGAAATTGCTTGCAAAGTATGGAAGATCTGCAAGGGCCTGCCTAGTGTTGAGGTATTGAAAAGTCTCCGGTGGTGACTCGTAGGAGATGGGGGCCGGGGTCGACTCTCCATAGTATCTGATTCCTTGTTAGTGACGCCCCCGGATGACTATGTGACGAACGAACCTGTGCTCCCACGCAATTCCCATGGCGTCGAGCTCTTCCAACAACCCCCTGAAGAAGGAAAGCGAGGACGTCAGGTAAGCCTCAGCTACTGCTCCTCCATCCGTCTCCCCTGCGTCGTATACCATGATCGGTTTCCCGGGCTTGTAGAACTGATCATTGACCCAGAACCGATTCTCATAAGTGCCAGCAGATGAGTTGTCATGGTCTAGAGGGATCTGGGTGCGCACAATCAGCACCAGTGCATGGAACGAGGCATTGGTATTTACATACGGTGACATATTCAGTCTCTACTGTGGTGGCCATTGCTGAGTGTGAAACGAGAGAAGAGATGCTCTGCTGATGATTGATCACAGGGTCGGGGCTCAGACCAAAGTGAGAAAGCGACTGAACTCCCCAACCGAAAGGTGATTTCCCCTGCCCCGAAGCCACAGCGGGCTGCGAAAGCAGGGAAACGCCGATGGCTGCTATCGATGCCGCGTATGAAGGCATACTGGTATTTTAAGAGACACTGTATGAGATAGAAGAAGAGTCAAAGAGAAGGAGAATAACAGATTCCATGAATGCTGAGGTAGCCCCCTTTCCACCAAGGCATTCCTTCGTTTGTTTATATACGGAGCATATCTACGGTACTGAATAGCGGGTGGGACGGTTTCGGTCACGAATGTCGGACAGGATGAGGAGCTTCGATTGATGCCTACGGACGATGAACAAACCCACGTCAGCTCAGCCGAGTCATGGTGGCATCGTGTGCGGCCAAAGATGTCCGCTGGGTCGGACAGCATCCAACTGACGCATTGGGTTGGTGCCTCCGGGTTGTGGCTTCGGGGCGGACGGGAAACCACCGCTACGGACTCTTCAATGGCTATCCAGCATGGCGATAGCCGCTTGGCTTGCGGGGTTCCGCTTGCCGAAGATGCCCTGTCGATCACCATCTGCACAGAATGCAAGGAATGCGCCGCAGGGGCGGGCCCAGCCCCCGGACGGCATTGCTGCAAACGCCATCTTCCGCCCCATAGCCGTCATGAAAGCTGGCCTGAGTCATTGGAAGGAAGTTGATCAATGATCGACGGCCCGGATGTTGAAAGCGCTGGACTTGTGTTCCCCTTGAGTGTTCCTTTTGCCATGATCTAGGGTGGGGCAGTGCGAAATCCGCCGAAATGAGGTGCAATGTCGTGTGAGACAAAATCCAGGGGTGGCGTGCATGGTGCACATGGTTCCTTCATGAGAGGCTCAATGTTCCACGCCCCAGACCATCTCGACTTCCCCGGTTCATATAAGTGAGTGTTGTGTAGCATGAGCAGGGGTTCTGGTCGTAGACCGGGGGTAACCTCAGGGCGCAAAGAGACTCTGAGAAGCAACTTCTGGTCATGGGTCATTCTCCGAAGCCATCGGCTAGGCTCCCGCAATTTGGTTGCAAAGCGAATGGCATGCTTGCTGTGAAACTTGTTGTTTGTCCTGTGATCTGCGGCTTTGAGCACATCAGCACTATTGAACCATAGTTATCCCACACATCGAACTCTTAAGCTGCCAAGGAATCAAGAACGCACTGACCGGGCAATGGGCGCAGAAATTGCCTGGAGGCGCAAAGGGAAGCTTCCGCGGCGAGGATGGAAGATAGAATGCAAAGGCATGGCTGGAATGGCGCTTTGGCTTCGGGCGGGAATTTGGCCTCAGGCCAGTGTTTGCATGGCATTGCATTCCTCCCCTGCGCCCGGCCAGCCTCGTTCCGTCCGCATCGTGCATCGCCATCGGCCGACCCATGTTCCTGCGTCAGCTTTGACAGGTGGGGCAAGGTTTCCGTCCATCTCAAGAGTCAGCCAGCGGAGGATTCAAGTTTCGAGGTTCGGGACGGCGGCCTCAAGGAGCCTCGGGGGTCGTTGTGTAACCCCCCAGCCCCCTGGCATGTCACACAGTACATCCTTACCCATGCCATCTGGAAGTGCAACAGCTCACAACAACAGCTGATATTGCAATGTCGCCTAGTGCAACCATTAAGTCTATGTTTGCACCAATAACCTAGCACAAACAAAGCTCACGGTTGCTTCAAAAGTCATGAAAAGATACATCGCTTGCACAGATAATGCCATACTATTTTAGCTGTACCAGAGTTTGAGCAATTTATCGATCACACAGCGGATTGAAGTCCTGCACAGCCATGGAAGTCGGGGGAGATGTCACGGATGATGGCCAATCCGCTAACTAGTCATTTGAAACGGTCGCTGCAGGAAGATCAGCGCTTCTCGGGACGAGGTACGGTCCACCCTCACTTTCCAGGCACAGAAGCACGCCTCAAAGCAACTTGGACTCTTGCCTTCTCAGCTGAACAAGTATGCAACCAAACGATCAAGCTTATTCTATTCGTACATACAAGCCACCCAATGTGTCGATGTCAATATACCAATAGCCAGATAGGTAAGGCTTGGCAGCAGGTCCTCTGCAAATGTAGGCTTTCATGCGCATCGCACTTGTTCTGACTCGTGGACCTGCATTTAGGCTGAACCTAGCTGAACATTCACATCCGGTGTATCTGCGCGGAGCAAACTCCGTCCGCCAGCCAAGAAACAAGTCCGTCCACCACTGATGACTCTGGCCAAGCCGTGGATGGAGTTTGTCTTCAGCGGAGCCCTCGTCAGTGTTCTTCTAGGAAAGGATCGACAAGAGAGCTTGGACCCTCGCTGCAGCGATTCCCGAAACCTGTCGAGATGCTCATGGTATTGAGAAGGCAAATTGCATTTTGTTCTATGCCAAAGCCAATTTGGCTGGAGGAGCATATTGCCAGATACTCTGATATGATCCATGCCCCTGTTCAGATATAACTTGTCACGGCAGCTCTGGATAGTGTCAGATTGCAGGAGGACTGAGCCAAGATTCTCTTGGCTACGGCTATGTGTCTCCAATCCACAAGATTCATAACACCGGCAGCTTCGCATGTCGCGATGACAGTGATTATCCACCTTCCTATAACTGAATTCGCAATAGCGTCGGCACTTGGAGGAGCATGAAGCGATGACATACGTGCTAGATTGACCCCCTCATTTATCCCATCCTTAGATTGGTGGACGGCGTTACTGTCCAAGGCTTGGCCAGGGACCATGCACGAGGGACACTAGCTGGACGGGTTTGGCTCCATCAGTCTTCAGGATTTCGGCAAGCGCGTCGGCTAAAGCATTATTTAAGAGATGGAGGTATCTACAAACTGCACGGGTGACTTACATTGCAACCGTCTTAGTGCAACATGTTGTCCAGACCTTTGTTCCTATCGTCCCTCCTAGTCTCAGCCAAGGTTGCGAGTGCAGCCTTTGGTATTACGACCAGTGATGATTCCTATGTCATAAATGCCAATTCTCCGAACCCGCTGCAGTTTACTGTGGACCGCGGAAGCTGCGATATTACTTCTATCGTATATTATGGCTCGGAACTGCAGTATCAAAGCACGGGCAGCCATATCGGCTCTGGTCTAGGAACTGCGACAGTTTCTGCCACTCAGGATGGTGCGTGTGGTTACTCAGCTCGAAACAGAGCCGACGAGCTTACTATGAGTAGGGGACTATATCAAGGTGACCTGTGAAACGGACACCTTGACGCAGTATATGGTGGTCCACAACGGGGACCCTATCATACACATGGCAACCTACATCACAGCGGGTGAGTGCGGATCTAAGATACCAGTAGCAACATCTAAACATCGCATTAGAACCATCCATCGGCGAACTGAGGTTCATTGCTCGGCTCAACTCAGACTTGCTGCCCAACGAGGAGCCATTCGGGGATGTCTCGAACACTTCTGGTGGCGAGGCGATTGAGGGCTCTGACGTGGTAAGACTGATCGAATTGTTCGAAGACCCTGCTAATCGAGCAAGTTCCTGGTGGATGGGGAGACTCGTAGCAAGTTCTACTCCAGCCAGCGCTTCATCGACGATCAACGGCACTGTAAGAGCTTCTGATTACCCGTGAGATGACTGCTGACGTAGTAAGGCGTTGCGGGCGATGCGCACCGCGTCTGCATGATTTTGAATCAGTATGAAAGCTCTTCTGGTGGCCCGTTCCACAGGTTCGTCCACTCTCTGCATTTAGGGGGAGATACTGATCGTTGCAGGGACATCAACTCCAACAACGGGGGCAGCTACAACGCCCTCTACTGGTACATGGTATGTGACTTCCCTCAAGTATGATTGCAATCAATAACAAAATAGAACTCGGGCCATGTTCAAACCGAGTCTTACCGCATGGGTCTTCACGGACCCTATTCGATGTACTTCAGCCGCAGCGGTACCCCCAGCACCGACATTGACACCTCGTTCTTCGCGGATCTCGACATCCAGGGCTACGTGGCCGAGTCAGGCAGGGGGACTGTTTCCGGGACAGCATCTGGTGCGGATTCGAGCTTTGACTGGGTTGTCCATTGGTACGTTCCCGATCCAACCGCCGACTCCGGCTAACCGACGCAGGTACAATGATGATGCCCAGTACTGGACATACACCTCTTCCGACGGCAGCTTCACATCTCCCGCCATGAAACCCGGAACCTACACCATGGTCTACTACCAAGGCGAATACGTTGTCGCTACCAGCTCCGTCACCGTCACCGCAGGCTCAAGCACCACCAAGAACATTTCCGGATCAGTCAAAACAGGAACCACCATTTTCAAAATCGGCGACTGGGACGGACAGTACGTTTCCACCACCACCACAGCATCAGCCCAAACTAACAGATAACGCAGACCCACCGGCTTCCGCAACGCCGCCAACCAGCTCCGAATGCACCCCTCCGACTCCCGAATGTCATCCTGGGGCCCCCTCACCTACACCGTGGGCAGTTCCTCCTTGACCGACTTCCCCATGGCGATCTTCAAGGACGACAATAACCCAGTCACGATCAAATTCACCGCAACGTCATCCCAAACTGGCGCCGCCACACTCCGTATCGGAACCACTCTATCCTTCGCGGGAGGTCGCCCTCAGGCTACGGTATGGATTACCTAGTAGTTAGTTACTTTTCTTCCCCAGACTAACTAAATCCCACCAGATCAACTCCTACCAAGGATCCGCTCCATCCGCACCCACGAACCTGAACTCTCGTGGCGTTACTCGCGGCGCATACCGAGGCTACGGGGAGGTCTATGACGTGTCTATCCCTTCCGGAACGATCGTGGAGGGCACGAACACGGTATGCCACTTCACTTAAATCCAGTCACAGGGCATGCTAACATATGATAGATCACGATCGACGTCATCTCCGGTAGTTCAGGGGATGAGTTCCTGAGCCCGAATTTCGTAAGTACATCGCTGATATGATATGAGACAGGGGATGTTGCTGACGAGTAGGTCTAGATCTTTGATTGCGTGGAGCTCTTCCAGTGAGAATCGTAGTATCAGAGTTTGAAGTAGTTGTCTAGGGGGTTGTTGGTTCTATAGCATCTTCTAAGTAATATTACCGGCAACGCCTTGAGTAACTATCCTATCTAATCACTGTGACCTAGTCCGTATAATGAAGAATCTAATCTATCCCATGAAGTAACCGGTATCACTCCTATAAACCCAACCCAATCCTAAGTCTACCCTAATTCCTCCCTCTCACCCGCCGTCCAACCACCCAAACAACAACCCCCACCCCGACCACCCCCCACACCCAGCTCTTCCACCCCTTCCCCTTCTTTCCGACCTCCCCCGCCGGCACAACCTCATGCACCAACCGACCATTCACCCACACCATTCTCACATTCCGATCATCCCCATTCCACACCCACTTATGGACCTTCTCCGTCCAACTCTCCTCCCCAAAGACATCGACCGTCGATTCCACCCCGCCACGCGCCCCCCACCGTCCCGCCGGAGCGAACTTCCCCAGTTTAATCAGCTGCGCGTCCCAGGACATATTCAGATCGAAGCCTCCGATCTGATCACCCATGTCGACGACGTCGGCCCCGCCGCGCGTCGCGAGGTAGAGGGCTTCTTCGACGGAGAGGATTTCGCGGGGGATGGGATCGGTGCGGGTGGATTGGCTTTCGCTCTGGGTGGGGCTGGATGCGGGGGGATTGAATTGGGGTAAGAGGCGCGAGACGAGACATGCTTGTCGCACGGTCTCGAGAACACTCGGACTGTAGCCACCGCTGACGTCGGTTCCGAGACCGACGGTGATTCCGGCGTCGAGGGCCTTTCGGACTTGGCAGATTCCGGAGCCGAGGGCGGAGTTGGAGGCCGGGCAGTGGGAGAGTTTGGCGTTGCGGGACGCGATGAGGTGTCGTTCCGAGTCGGAGAGATGGATGCCGTGGGCGAGGATGGTGCGGGGGGTGAGGAGACCGAAGTGGTCGTAGACGGAGGTGTAGTCTTTGGCGGTGGGGAAGAGGGAGTGGACGAGGGCGCATTCGTCGAGGTTTTCGGAGAGGTGGGTTTGGATGTGCAGCGGGGGAGAGGTGGAGGCGGCGAGGTGGGCGAGGTGGGTGAGGGCTGGGGGAGTGCAGGAGGGGGCGAAGCGCGGGGTGATGATGGGGTGGAGGAGGGCAGCGGAGGGATCGAGGGAGCGGATGTGGGCGATGGTGGCTTCGGTGGCGGCGAGGGCGTCGGAGGGGGAGGCATCACGGTAGTCCGCGGGGCAGTGGTCTGGGTTGTCCATGCAGACACGGCCGATGAGGGCGCGTTGGCCGCGGGCGTGACAAAGGGTGGCGAGCAGGTTGGTGGCGGGAACGTGGATGGTCGCGAAGTAGGAGGCGCAGGTGGTGCCGTTGGCGAGGGTGCGGGCGATGACTTGGTTGTAGACGCGGTAGGCTTGCGGGGGGGGGATGGAGGGCAGTTTGGTGCTGCCGAAGGACTTTTCGATGGGGAAGGTGTAGGTTTGCAGCCAGGAGAGGAGACCAGAGGAGCCGAAGAGTCCGCTGTTGGGATATTGGGGGGCATGAATGTGGGTGTCTGAGGGGTAGCTTGTTAGATAGGCTATGGAGGCATAGAGGAAGCAGGGATGGTACCGATGAAGCCCGGGAAGAAGAACTCGTTCTGGTCTTCGCGGGCGACGACGAGCGTCACTTTCACGCCCGGTTTGCTTTTGGTGCTGGAGTCATCGACGACGGTCCAGCCTTTGGCCTGGAGGAGGTTCTTGAGGTCCTTGTCGTTGGCGATGGACCAGTCGAAACCTTTGATCTGGCCGTCGGTGGTGGAAACCCAGAGGGCACCGCGGGTGATGGCCAGCTGGTGCTCCGCGCCGGTCTTGGTGCGGGGGAGCTGGATGAAGGTCCCCACAAAGAGAGTGTAATCGGGAGACATGGTGAACCAGTGCTCAGAACCGCAGCTGAGGATCGATGCAGAAGAGTAGAGATCGTTCTGTGACTGCCAGGTAGGGACAGTATGCAATCTGTGTGTATGGTCAGGGTCTGATGTGCGGTAGGCGAGGTGGATGCTGCACTTACCTGATATCAATGCAGGCTTTGTATACAAGGTAATCCAACTATGCGACCGCACAAGGGTCGTCACAATCTACTACTGGCGAGGAAAGAGCGCGATGCGATGGAGCGCAGTGAGGTCTTATACGGCGAGCGGCGCGCGGCCAATGACGCCGTCCCGTTCGGTTCCGAGGCTGGGCCCGGCCGGCTCCGATCCTGAATCCGGTCTAGCGCGGCGATAAGATATGGATTGCCTATCTGGGAAGCCAGAGTTTGACCGGTTTGTTTCCAGCCATGTTAGGCGGAACCAATGTTCAGTTGACCAGATGTTCTTGCTTCATGATGTATAGTAACTAGTAGTACAATATGCAGCCGAGTGGTGCTGCATCTAGCCTCAATCTAGAGCCTAGTGACAGCCGACGGATAATATTTTCATTGGATATTACCAGTAACCGTCCTGCCGGAGGTATGTATATTTTCATGCTAGATCCTGCAACTAAGATCTCTGACACTATAAATAGACAATCTCATAGCTCCGGCTAGATAGTATACCGAAAATCCGGGGACCCTTCCAGCACGCGCTCCCCACGATCAGCCTGTCTGTTGGCATATCGGAACCACACGCTCAGCACAGCTACCGTGAGCAACGTGAAGAGATTGCAACTTATCTACATTAGTAAATGATATATACAACGAGGATCAGAACTCACGCAATCGTCGTCCAGATGCCCGGTCGGTAGTCGGGTGCATCCTTGGACTGAAACACCAAACTACTCACAATGCCACCAATGGCTCCAATCCCAATTAGCGTGGCGCTGCAGAAGGCACGGGTCCATTGGCCGCGGATGTTGTTGGCTTGATACGCCATCACCGCGGGGATGTTCCCATTGGCGCCTGCGACCACCAAAAAGACACCCACGTATCGTGCAGCGTTGCCCTTGGCAAACCCCATCAGGGGTAGCCCAGCGATGCAGACCAAGGAGTTGAAGGCCACGATCGGTCCCCGGATCCGATATCGATCACTCACCCAGGCTGTCGCGTACATCAAGATGCCGGCAAAGCCATAAGGGGGCGCAACCAGACATTGGGCAGCCCCGGTGCTGAAGCCCATGCCATCCTGGAGGATAATGGGGAGGAAATACGCAATGGCATACGCGATGGTCGTGGTGCATCTGCTCGAGTTAACTTTATGTGTGTATAGAAGCATCAAGGAACTGACAAGCAAATCAAGGCATAAGCCCAGATCTTCAGGTCAAGGGCTGGGGTCAGAAAACGCTTCAAATTGAAGGGCTCCTCATTGCCATCGGCCCGATCTCGGTTGATGCGTCGAACGATAAACGCACTCTCCCTCTCGTTCAGGAACTTCCAGGACTTGTGTGCTTTCTCTGGGAAGTCAACCATGAAGATATAGGTTAGAACTCCGATGACCCCGGTAATCTGGAGACATCAATATCATGCCACATTTCAGAGCGGGAAACATACCACACCCTCCATGATAAAGATCCATCGCCAGCCTGAAATGCCTTGAATGCCGCCCATCTGCATCAGTCCAAACGCGAGTACCCCCGCCAGTGCCGACGCTACACAGCCGATGAGGTAGAAGACCGAGTATCGCTTCTGGATGTCATCTGATGTCGTTAGTCAGGCCAACACCAACCCAGGCTTGCGAAACTTACACCGGGCATACCAACTCGACAGGAGATACACACAGCCAGGAAAATACCCTAAAGAGTCAATTGGGGCAGCCTAAATATGTTCATCTCAGACCAGACTCACCTGCTTCCAGGGTGCCAAGGAGAACGCGGATCGCAACCATTTGTTTCCAATTCTTGACGAACCCCATTCCCTTAAAGTGCCTGTCAGAATTCGGCTTCTGCTATAGATAGAATCGAACCAGCTTACGACGAGTATCGCTCCCCATGATATGACCAGGGTGCCCAGAAACAACGTGGGGCCCACCTTTCGGATGATGACCGTCATTGGGGGCTGGAAGATCACGTAGGGTATGAAGAAAACAAGAATCACGACGGACTAATCCTATCAGCATATGCACGCCTCAGAAGGTATAGATCATACATAGCGGGTTCCGACGCCAAGCTCCAGGTCTTTGGTCATACTGCTCAAGTCAATGGCCATTCAGCAGCCAGGAATCACTCACTGTCTTACCCTGCAACTGCAGCCATGCTGAGATTCGTCCTGTCCATGAGAGATATGCAGTAGGCCAGACCCGCCATGGTTACCAAGCGGCGGTCGACCCGGTGGATGATCTTGCGCTGCTCGGCCGGCGAGAACTCCTCGTCATAATCCACATCATTAGTCGCAGGCTTGCCGATGTCCTCAATTCGCTCAACGCTGAGGGGCTTTTCGAGGTCTGCAGTCGACATGATGAACGTCACGAAGGATACCCAGCGAGTAACCATGTGGAGGGATTAGAAAGTCAGCATCTGGGCTGGCGACCACAGATCATTATATACTGCACAGCACACAATTGCGATACTTATCGATGGATGAGCACAGAGGCTTCCCCGCGGTGTGTGGCGGACACATTATCGTTCTCGAACTCAGGTGATCGATTATTCGGCAGTTGTGGGATTACCGCGCACCAGGGATACGGGCTCATGGCGACCAACCATCTTCTCGGAGTAAAAAGAGACTAGAACGATGATGGAAAACAATCTGGGTTCTCCACAGTTTCCCCAGGTTCAGGGATGACAAGGCAGATGGATGCGGGGCGCGCGACGATCGGATTGCGGGGGGAGCAAACAAGCAGCCACCGGGGCTCCCCACTCAGTCGGATGACTTCAGCCCGAACCTCTCCAAGACGTCTGGGCGCCACCTGGCCAGATCAACCAGAGACATCTCTTCACTCACACGTTCAACCGGATGACGTTTCTCATCGGCTGGTTGAGGAAGAATTAACCCCTCGTATCTCGGCGCATGGAGGAACAGACTTCATTTCGCCAGGCAACTTGGCAAGCTCGGTGCGAGCATCTCTGCGACCGGCGAGTCCATCCTGCTCGATCAATGAACATCGTCGGGTATAAGCCGAAGGAGGGCCGCGGCAGTCGAATGGTCTGGCCGGATTGGCGACAACACGGAAGCTTGTTTCGACTCGTGAAGCGGAGATTGGGGGCGCGGATAACGAGGTCATCGCCTGGATACGAGCTAAAACCACACACCTTCCAGGGAGCTTGACTGGTCAGCCCAACGCAATCCTGGCCCAGTCAGGAACTGGCGCCTTGTCGGGTCGGGAATTCCCCCAACGCATAGGCGACAACCTAGGCATATCCCCGCCATCCCGTCAAGTTTCTTTGTTCTCCCGCTCCCTAAATCTCCCGGAACTTCCAGTGCTCAGTGTGCGTTATTTTACTGTTCCTCGGGTGGCTGGAGTCTAGATAGCTCATTCGCTAGTCGGTTAGTTCAGCTGTTGCCTACGGGTCCAGTGGGTGTCTCATCCGGTCTCAGCGCCCGTATATTTTGCGAGCATCTGGTACTTTTGATATCCGTTCCCAGGTATGCTTCTTCGATTGGACCAGCGCATGGCGCGAGAAACGCGAAAACGTCGCCTGCCTGGGATTGTCGGTGTAGGTGTCCCGGCATTGATGGACCCAAGTGCGATTGGTTGAGGAGAATGCACTATCCCAGGTGATTGGGGTGATTGGTGGGTGCAGGGAATCGGATGGCTCTCAATCGTGGAATAATGCGGTCCATGCGGGGTGCCTAAGCTTTGTGAAAGGCATAGTGACAAGCACGAATCTGTCCAGACAGTTGGGCCCCTGCTTCAGTCGAGGCATGTCGCCCCCTGTATAGCTTGCGTCTTCCTGCAAGATATCATCATCCTCTGTCCGACACCTGACGTGCTACCTAGAAGATCTACAACGTCCCTTTATGCCTGGCCAGGTTAGGATCCCTTATTGGAATCTTTAAACCTGATTCTCTTGATGAAGTCACCCTTTTTAACGATGTCCCCTTTTCCCTAGACATCGCTGCGTCCCATGGGTATTCTCACAGCAGTGTTTCCCGAAGGAAAAGGCATGATCATTCTCAAGAAGGTCCAAACTTCTGCCAAGTGTGATAGACTCTAACAAGTAGTATGCTGCCTGGATGATCTACGGCGCCTTTCCGCGCCTTGGCAGGGTTTAGATCCCCATGCAAGCCCAGGCAAATTGCAAAGTTGGTGCTGAAATATATCAATAGTCCATCGGATGCGGCCTCATTGCCCTGTATTCCCTTGGCCGAATCTCCTGGTCGAGTCTAGCGGTATAGGCCTGTTTCCTAAACCGTACTGCCAAATTATTTGGAAAGGTCCCTCCAACTTCGGTAGTACGGCAGACTGCGACCCAGGGACAGAGGCCTACTTTTCCACCAAGCCAGCCCGGTCGGCAATGCAAATGCCAGTAACACGGTGAAAACGGTCAGGCAGCTGATCGACACCCAGTAGGTCCACCATGCTACATCACTCGAAACCTGGTTCATACCATAGCAGCCCTGTTCTCAATTAGTGCTGCAGAGTCACCTAGCTAGCGCAACTGACCGTGATAAGTGTCACTGGGAGGTAAATCTGGACTGGTCAGTACCGATAACGGATTCTCCTAGACCACCATGAGTCCATTACTTACGATCGTAATGTATGTCAGTATTTCAATATTATTTCCCTGCCGTGTCGCTGTGATGCTCTCTGAGAGTGCCGACGCATTTACCAGCTGATATGGTCAGCTTGGACATCGCATCTGAAAACAACAAACGTACTGCATCGGACAGTTTCTCGAGGGACTCGATCCGCTGCTCCAAGGTCATATGCAGCGCCCGCAGCTCCGCCATCTTCCCTCGCATGAGTGAAAATTTCTCCCGGAATTTATCTGCCAGGGCGCCTGGTGTATCCAGGTCAAAGCATGAGCTTTGTTCCGTATCAAAAGCATGCCATGCTGCAATCAACTTGGCAAGGGAATTGCGTAGACGGCGTAGGATGCTCAAAGTCCATGTACGTTGCTTGGTTCGCTCAAGCCCGGGGTCTTTCTCTATAAATGTGGGCAAGGAAACCCCATCAATTTCTCCCTAAATGTCAGATTAATTGGCTTGTTATCTTGCATTTGTATGACGGTAGACTCACATATGGGTCCAAGTCCTTCTCTAACACTTGTGCCAGAACTGTCCATTCCATTGTCACTTGACCCAGGCGGACAGAAAATACTGTTAGAAAGTAGTACCGTGGTTCCCAAATGGGAGCTTCCTGCGCCACAGAGCCACCTGATGGTGCATCCCGCTTGTCCTGTAGGTAACGCTCAATCGATTCCTGATCGCTGCCATAGGTATCCACGAAGCAATAAGCTTCCCAAAAGAACTCATCACTACCAAACACTCCAAAGGAAATTTGGGCTTCGATGATACATGCTTGAGGTATATGTCTTAAATTCGGAGGTCGCATATAACGGCATTTCCGCAGCCCTCTGGAGTCATCTCTAGCTACCTGATTCGTACGCAGTATGAAATGGGGAAGGTGAAATTCAAGTACAAAACCATGGGACTAACACGGGTTAGTGTAAGCTATTCCCTGAGCTCTTGAACGGATATCAAACCTGTATAACGTTGATATATGGGTTGAAATCAACGTGTCTGGCAAGAAAAGACCGAACATCTGATAAGTGCGTGCATGTGACGTTTTTGATCACGGACAGAGCTATGGTTGGAGTTATATTAAGAACGAATCTGCATCAACTAGATTAGTCAAATTTCAGAGACCAAGGAAACACTGAAGGTTAACTCGGGATTTCACGAACAGTAGTCTTCTTTCTGCTTTTCCTGTCCTCTACGAGCTCCGGCTGTCAGTAAACCAAACTAAGTAGGACATGAACAACGAGAGACAAGAAGAAGGAAGTTAGAACTATAGAATGAGGCGCGAGACAGTAAATAAACTCAAGAGAAAGAGAAAATTGCAGATCATGGCCTCACATCCTGCTTTAGATGGCTAGAAAGGTCGTCGGCTTTGAGTGCTTGAACATTAACATGTAGGCCTGGCGGCGGATTGTTCAAGTATTGAAGAGATTCCCATGCTCGTCCGTAACGAATATTTGCATGTCCTGAAATTGCGACAATAGGTGTGGGATCACAACGATCATCAACAATAACCATGTTCTCACCAGCGGACGAAGCTCGAAACGAATTTTGCCGTTTTGCACACTCTAAAAACGCCCTGAGAGCACGAAAGCGCCCCGGAGGCTCCAAATCCAATTTGAAACACTCCAGGAAGGCATCGATTTCCGATTCATTAGAAGCAATTTGTAGCCGCTTGTCTTCATCTGGGTACAGCTCGGGTTGACGCAGCGAGAATTTCTTGTTCCAACGAAAATTATTATATGCTGCTGGCTGCGTTCCCGGCAGCCACAACTGCTCCATGCTGGTATTCAGTCCGACACTGACAGACGCCAAAAATCGAGGCGATGGCATTTTTGGGAATCAGCCAGGCTAAGTACTGAGGGAGTCAGCCTAAGCGCCTGCCACGTCGCCACGCCGCAAGGCTGAATGCGCGATGCGCCAATGAACCGGAGGGGGATCTAGGATCATTATAGTTAAGCGGCTAAGAAGCATAGTGATTGGCTAAACTTAGTAGTATGCTTGAGGGTGCGGTGATGTGCGCAACCATGGAACTGGCCATGCCAAGCTCTAGGGGTGAAATGTGGGGATCCTTGTCATCACTTAGTGGGGTTTATTGTCTGATGGAGAGGAGGAGACTGATCTAGGAGCTAGAAAGAACAGATGACTGTGCTGTGGACATTGATATTCATTGGACTGCCAGGTGGGGGAATGGAGGGTCCGAGTGCAAGGAACGGACCGCAGGCGCTGGGAATCCAGACCACGACCGCTAAGGAAGGTGTCACCCCAAATGTTACCACTGACAGCCGACGATTATCTCCTTGGCAAATTTGTCACCACATCAAGGTAAAGATAAGAAAAGGGCCCACAATTCCGCTTTCCCTTGTCGAAAAACCGGGTTTTTGGCTTCCCGCTGGGTAAGGAGGTGGCGAAAGGGGTTGTAAACATCCAGAAGTTTCTTCCACTGGCGCGGGAACCACCACTTAACTTCATCACGACCACCCACGATCCCACCACCCTGTCTTGTCCCAACAACTGTTCCATCGGACACGTACCATGTCTCTGGTACAGCACGTTTCGGTGATCGAGGGAGTGGATCGTGAGCCTGATCCCCAGGATGACAGCACCATCGCAACCGCTGTGATGGGCGAGCCATGCGCTCTCGTCCGCCGCAAAATCAGTTACGATGTCCTTCAGCCTCAACCTGTCGCTCTCGACAGCTCGGGGACGCCCGCCTATCAAGTGTCAACTGCCAAGCGAATTGGTAGGTCAATTGCTAATTTGGGTGCACAGTGGCTAACTTCTCCCAGCTCAGGTGGTTGTCACCATTCTCGCGTGCTGGTTCGCAGCCGGGGTCGTGTTTGGATTCGCGGCCTTGAAACCAGTCCTGGTTGCAGAAGGCGTATATCGAGAGCTGTGCACAGAGGAAGAACTGCACAATGGGGTAGAAGTCTGCGCTGAACAGGATCTCAGGTGTGTTTTGTGGCAGTCAGTTGAACCACGTCTAACCTCGGCAGATTGAATCTGTTCTTCACCATCGGCTCCATCACCGCCAATGTGTCGGCCCTTCCGGTCGGGACTCTCCTGGATCGCTATGGATCGCGTGTTTGTGGCTTTTCAGGGTGCCTGCTTCTTGCCCTGGGTAGCTCGCTGATGGCCTATTCCTTTTTCCAGCCACAGTTTGATGGTTATATGGTGGGAAACTTCTTTCTCGCCTTGGGAGGTACTTTTATCTTTGTGCCTTCTTTCCAGATCGCAAACGCATTTCCCAAGTACGCAGGGACCATTGTTGCTCTGGTGACCGGCGCCTTTGATGCCTCGGCAGCCGTGTACTTGTTTTACCGTCTGCTCTATGAAGCAACCCACCGGTCGTTCCATCCGGGAAAGTTCTTTTTGGGGTATCTTTTCGTGCCTGTCTTTATCTTCATCGGGTTGATTACGCTTATGCCCTCTCATGACTACCAGGGTACATATCAACTCGAAGTCAAGATTGAGCAAGCCGAAGATGCCACCCGCGATGTTCACGATTCCGACGATGAGATCGAAAGCGACACGGAGCTGCGACGCATCCGACGGCAACGCGCCGAGGAACGGCGTAAGAAGCTGCGCAAGATCGCCAAAGTCCTGGGTAACAAAGGGGAGCGACAAGAACGGGAGCAACGCGAAGAGGATCGTCAGGTTGCGAGTGCCGTCTGGGGGGCGCTGCATGGACTGCCCGCACACAAGCAGATGGCCACGCCCTGGTTTATCTTGATCACCCTGATGACCGTGTTGCAGATGTTGCGCATGAATTATTTCATCGCCACAATTCGAGCTCAGTATGAGTATATGCTGAACTCCGATGCATTGGCCGTGCAGATCAACAGTTTCTTTGACATTGCTCTGCCTGTGGGAGGGGTAATTTCTACGCCATTCATCGGGTTGCTGCTTGATCGCGTCAGCGTGCCCGCCATCCTGGCTATTATCGTGGTTTTGACGACGGTGATTGGTATTTTGAATTCGATCCCAGTCTTGTGGACGGGATACGCAACCGTGGCACTATTTGTTTTGCTGCGGCCACTTTACTATTCCGCCATGTCGTAAGTTTCCTGCCAGATTACTTGGACGTCCTCTAACTATTCCGTTAGTGATTATGCAACAAAGGTCTTCGGGTTTGCCACCTTTGGACGTGTCTATGGGACCATCATCTGCTTCTCCGGACTGGTGAATTTCTCCCAATACGGTTTAGATGCACTGACCCATGGCCCGTTTGGGGGAAATCCCCTTCCCATCAATATCTTCTTTGCTGGAGCCGGCTTCGTAGTAGGGACGGCGCTGGTGTCCTTTGTGTACGTTGCTGGGCAGCGGATGAGGGCACGGGAGCAAGAGATGGAAGAAGATGAGGAGAGACAGAGACTGATTCTGGAGGGAGACGAAGATGATGATGAATATTGACTGCAGCTCTGTTTGTTGATTGATGCAGGTGCATACGGTGTTTTCTTGAGAGGTAGTTTCATCGGCGTTTACATTGTTAATCGGAGTCGGAGTGGTTGATGATAACGATACTCTGATATAGATAGGTAGTAAGCCCCGTGGGCAGCTAATAATAATCTGAGTGTGGAGGATGATGAATGAAAGAAGAACAGTGTGTTTCTCGTCTAATAGTGATCGGATCCCGGGATTTTAGGTTCCGGTTCCGTTGATACTCCTATTCCATCTGGCACTGTCCATCACTGACCGGTGTATTGCAGCATATACATCTATCCGTTCGCTTCTTAGATGAGAAATTTTTCGCTTCCTTTCTATAGCCATGCCATTTCACTTCTACCTTGTCCCGAAGCACCTTGTCGAGGTTGGTGGTGAGGTATAGCGTGGTACGTAACCCACCTCCAGCCACACCAAACACATCCCCGCACGTCTCAGCACCCACCAGCACCCACCAGCACAACACGTCCATCTGCACCAGCGGCAGAGATATCCGCCTGACTGGAACAGCCCACGTCAGATGCACCTCCTGTCATGGCATCAGCATCCGGCCTTGTGCAGCTGTGCCCTGTCCGCATCGTCATAATGACGTAGCGCCCGTCACCCGGCCGCAGCTCCACACTCATACTATCAATTATCTACACGGAGCGCACCCATCGCAAGCTTTTTCCACTCGAGCCAACAATTCACTCTATCTTGTATTAGAACTCTAATCAGCTACTCCAGAGATGGCTTCCATATCCATCAGCGCCCCGGGCGCCTCCGGCTTCCTTTACAACAATGCCAACTTGGGCACGTCGCGCGTGTGCATTACTGCCGAGACCCCGGATTTCGATACCCAGACGCTCCGGGCGTGGTCGGATGAGGGGTTCGATGTTGTGTATGCGCCGTTTAATAATGGGGGGACGCAGTATGAAGCGCGATTGAAGTCGGTCAAGGATGGGTTGGGGGTGGGGGATAATTATGCGGTGATTGGTGAGTTGTACTGTCAGTTGGCAATTGAATGCAGAGGTTAATGGTGTAGCATTCGGTGATGCTGCGTCTTATTGTTTGGAATATTATCGCAAATCTACCAACTGTAGTCGGCTTTGCGCCCTCATCGCTTACTATCCTACTACTATCCCCGACACGCGATCGCGATTCCCGTTCTCGGTGCGGGTATTGACCCATCTGGCGGGCAGTACGGTGGACGTGGTCACCATTCCGACGGTGATCGGACTCCAGGGGAAGAAGCACCGCTCGACACGGCAGATCAACCCGGGGATCGGGACCGGGGAGAGGCTGCAGATCGGATGGCCCGCGTTCACGTATGAGTCGGCACAGCCGGGCTTCGCGGAACATGATCTGGAAGAGTATGATCGGTTGGCGTCGGACCTGGCGTGGAGTCGCACGTTGGGGGTGCTGCGGAAGGCATTCGGCAAGGACTTGGATTTGGAGGCACGGTGGGAGGACCTCTTGGAGGGTGAGTATATTCCTTGAATCTTAAACGGCGCTAATAGTCGCAGCTCGTTTCTTCTCCATGAACCTCAACTCCACGATGGAGCCGTACCTCACTCACCTGAACCCCACGCTCACATGCACGCCTACAATGAGCGGCGCCATCGGAACCCATGCGCTGCGTCGGTTCTATGAGCAACACTTCCTGCGCAAGCTGCCCCCGTCCATGCGTCTGCGTTTGATTTCTCGCACCGTCGGGGCGGACCGTATCGTCGATGAGCTGTATTGCTCATTCGAGCATACGCAGGAGATCCCATGGTTGCTTCCTGGCGTTCCTCCGACGAACCGACGGGTGGAGGTCATTCTGGTCAGCATTATGAGTCTGCGCGCTGGTCGACTGTACTCGGAGCACATGTACTGGGACCAAGCCAGCGTGCTGGTCCAGGTGGGACTGCTGGATCCGAAGCAGGTCCCCGAAGGTGCGCCGGAGGGCGTAGATCGACTGCCAGTTATTGGACGCGAGGCTGCTCGACGAATTGTCGAGGAAGATCCTGAGGCCGAGGGCCGGGACTACCACAATCGGCTGATCCGACGGGCGCGGGCCAAGAAGGGCAAAGACAAGGCTCCCGAGGAGTCAGGAACGGAACTCGCCAAGAGTGATGCCGAGAAGCCCGTAGGCGAGAACAAGGGAAAGAATGTCCAGCGGAATGGGCAGCAGAATGGCAAGGAAAGCGATGGACTGGGCAATGCGCATGGAGTAGGCCAGGACGAAGACAGAGAGCACCAGGACGGCGCACCAAAGACCCCGACGGCTGCCACAGTCGAGGACACGAAAAGCGATGACTGAATCTCTTATACCCTGATTTACAATCTACATAGTTTCCCACCTGTTTGTACTAGCAGTATCCCATGAGCCCTATAGCATGAATCCATACTAGCAATGCACCATCACCACCCCTTCCACGGCACCCACGTCTCCCTCACCACATCCTCCTCATCCACCACATAATACACGAAATGCTGCGCCGCCGTAATGCACGCATGCTGACAATGCAACAGGACCTTTTGCCCGACCCGAAACACTCCCTCCACCTTCTCCCCATTCCCATTCTCCTTCCCCGCACGTCCAAGAATCCCATGCTCCTGCGCCATCCGCACGACACACCAGTCCGGCCGATCCACGACGCGTCCGAAGCCCGGTACCTCGCTCGTTTCTTTGGAGAGTGCTACCGTTCCGGCGTTGATCAATGCCTCGTTTCGGGAGGGATATACACTGCATACTTCGGCGAGGATGCGGAGGGCTTGTTGGTTTGTGGTGACGAGTCCGGTGCAGACTTGTTGGAGGTCGTTGGTGGGGTAGTTTCCTTAGCCACATTAGCTTTCCATTCGTTTCTTTTCCTTCCCAGTCCAATATCCCCATAAAAAAAAAGAAAAAAAAAGGGGGGGGGGGGGGGGGGATAAAACAAACCAGCATGAACCTCCACCTCCACTTCAACCCCCCCAACCCCATCAGACAAAAACCCCCTAACCTCCCGAACCACATGCGCCGTAGGCGTACTCCCCACACTAACCACCACCTTCCTCTTCCCCCCCTTATCAGAACCAGAAATAAACTTCACCGCCTCCAACACCCCCCTCACCTCCTCCCCCAACACTCTCTTGACCTCCTCCTCCTTCCGACACGCATACGAATGTCCGGCATGGCAATAAAACCCATACAACTGCACCACATTCGACTCCTCCACGCGTCTCACGAGGGTGGGTAAGTCCGTCGAGGTAGGTTCCACCCCGGCGCGGTGCGAGCCCACGTCGATTTTGATGAAGATGGGCCATGGCGCCGGGGTGGGGTTGGTGGTAGCGGCATATGATTCGAGGATGTCGATGTGTTGCGGGGAATCGATCATGAGGAGGATTCGGGGGGGTCTGGAGCCGGTACTGCGGAGGGTTTGGAGGTGCGGGAGGGCGGAGGGGTAGATTGGGAGGCCGTAGAGGGCCTATAAGGATACCTTCTTAGTATTTTGTTTGAAGGGAAGGTTGAGGAATGGGGAATAGGGTTGGGGGAGGTATCTACCTCATCGAGAATTCCCTCCTCCGCGAGGGGCAGAACCCCGCGGAGTTCGCTGAGCGTGGAGGCTACGATGCGGCGGTGGGTGCCGTTGGCGAGCATGAGGCGGGTGAGGTCGAGGGACTTGTTGTTATCAGTATTCCTTCCTGTATATTTTCTGTAGGGTTTAAGAGGGGTAATAGGACCCCTACTTTGAGGGTTTTGACATGCGGTCTGAACGATATACCCAGATCTTTCACATCTTGGAGCAGCTGTTTGATGTTTTTCTCGAGGGTCGGTTTACTGAGGATGAGAGATGGGGTGGGGAGGTCAGTGGCCGGACGGCCGATGAAGGATTCGTGGTTTTGGAGGGAGTAATCCATTCTTGATTTTATTTGTTCAAAGTAAGACGTAAGGCTAGGTAATGGCTGGTGAGTTGTCTGGGGCCTTGGAAGGGGTTATATAGGTATGGGACATGTGAGGGGCGGGGGGATCTTATCGGCCGCGGAGATTAGCTGATACCGGATCTACTCCGCGCTATCACGATAAAATAAGTTATTCTACTATGGTATCAAGGCTATGCTATTATACAGTTTCGATGTATCGCTTAAATTCCCTATACAGCTGTTAGTATCGTCCATGGCAATGGGGTATGGCATCGGGATGGCATCGGGTAAAATGCATACCAATCAGTTACTGCCTCCCGCCAAACCCGAAGCTCGTGTTCGCGCGTCGCGGTAAAGAACTCGACAAACTCTGGGTCTAGAATCTCTCGCGCAATGCTGTCCGTCGCGTTGAACCGGCGGAGTGCCTCCTCCAGTGTGTTTGGCAGCAGCGCGGCCTTGGTGTTGGTCGATTTGAGCGCGGACACTGGTGGTACCGTGATCTCCAGCTTCTTCTCCACCCCCCGCCAGCCAGCAGCAAGGATCACGCTAAGCGCGTAGTGGGGATGCAAGTCCGCGCCCGGAATGCGCACCTCGAACCGCGTCGCGCCCGGCTTGCACACTGGCGGTGTGATGATGCGGACCGATGCCATCCGGTCCTCCAGACCCCAGCTAATGTTCACCGGCGCCCAGAAGTTCTCCACCAGGCGCTTGTAGGAGTTGATCGTGGGGGCGAACAGCGGCATGATGTCTGGCAGCGCTTCCAGCACACCGGCGAGGAACTGGCGGCCCAGATCGGACAGTCCGGCTGCATCGGGCCATGGGGCGTTGGTGTCAGGGGTATCTCGTGCGAAGAGGTTCTTCCCCTCCAGATCGCAGAGCGAGACGTGGATGTGTCCAGAGCTACCGGGCTGGCCTTGCATGGGCTTGGCCATGAAGCAGGGGGTGATGCCGTGTTCGACGCCTATCGATTTGGCCAGGAGTCTGTTTCCGTTAGCTGGATTCGAGACTACCATGGGGCCACATACTTGAAGAGAGAAACCTTGTCGGCCATCTCGCCGACGTCGCATACTTTCAGGGCCTGTCTGATGAGCGTGGTCCATAGCTGCAGTCCGGGCAACTCACCGCTTCGTAGACACCCGGCCCGCCTTCGGTGTGCCACCCCTCAATGCCACAGTTGAACCGCGCGCTGGTATCGAAGATGTCATAGAAGTATTTCTTGAAGGCCACCGGTCGCGTCGCGCTGTAGGAGAAGCTGCCTGCAGTCAAGGGGCGCAGCGCACCCGGGGCATTCTTATCGAGAAAGGCTGCGATATCGCGGGTCTGGGAGGCGTTGGCGCCGTAGCCGTCTTCGGAGGGGGTCTGAAAGTTCATAAACTCCAATTCCACTACCACTGTTAGCCTCACTCGGGAGCAGTGGTGTGCGCTTTACCTCCTGCCATTCCCTGGCAGTTATTGGCCGCCAGCTTGTCGCATATCGACTTCAACATGCTCCGACCGTCCGCGGAAACGGGCTTGTCATTCTGAACGAAACGGACCAGGAAGAAGGGAATGTCATCCTCCCACGGGATGCGACGGAACGAGTTCAGGTCCGGAATGGCGATAAAGTCCACGTATCCCGAGTCTGCCGGGGCAATCTTCGCATCAGTGGTATAGAGCACGTCCTGCATGTCCCAACCAAAGACGGCGGAGCTGAATCCGAATCCCTTCTCCACGATGCCCAGGAACTTGTCCTTCGACATGACCTTTCCGCGGAGAATACCATCGCAGTCGATGCCGGCGACTTTGACCTTGATGTCATTGGCGAGGAGGGTAGGGATTTCCTCCGCTGTGATATTTGAGGGGGCCATTGTGAAGTTATTGAGTTGAATTAGGATCAAAGTCACTGAAGAAGCCAAATTGCAACAGGGACGCCTTTAAAGACGGTCAGAAAGCAGGCTAACCGACGTAATGCCTGATTGCGACGGAGCGCCATGGCGATGATCCGACGGTCGGAGATCGGCCTATCGCAGCTAATGAAAATGAGTTTGAATCCCTAAGAGTATGGAGTAGATGCTTGGACCGCGGTCCCGCATCGGACCGCGCTGCGGGGAACCCAACCGCGCTTATCGTTATCGCTATCGATTCGAGGGGATGAGGGGTACCCGCATGCCAGATGCCTCCTATAGTATGGATAGGAAATACGATAAGATTATTCTGTCCGCGGCAATCCCAACAATCCGACAATGCAGATGCGCAGCGCGGACATGTGGTTACGGTTGGTCGGCCTGTAAATAATAACGAGCCTTCCGCGTAGATGTATTCTAGCAAGATTGAAACTGATCATGCCCTCTCAACGCCTACGAGTAGCTGTCCTTGAGTGCGACACCCCGATTGAGCCCATTAAGGCTAAATATGGCACATACGGGGACGTTTTGGACAACCACCTCAAGCAGGGACTGGAGCGCATCGGTGATGTCGAACTGCAATTGACCAAAATCGATGTGGTGCAACCATTTGCAGAGTACCCCAAGCCAGAGGACTTTGACGTGGTTCTTCTGTCAGGAAGCAGTATGTCTGACATTGCACTGTGGCTACAGATCATTGCTGAATCGATAGAACATGACTCCTACAAAGATGAGCCATGGATCCTCACCCTCACTAGATTCGTGCAAGACTGCTATCTGATCCACCAAAAACCCGTCATTGGCATCTGCTTCGGACACCAGATCATTGCGCGTGCCCTCGGAGCACGCGTGGGTCCGAACGTATCGGGATGGGAGGTCGCCGTGGAGCCCATGTCCCTGACTAGTGCGGGCAAGCAGCTTCTGGGGAAGGACATCTTGGTATGTTGATCTGTTGACTCCAGGGAGATGCAGCTAACACTCGCAGTCCCTGCATATGATGCACCGCGACATTGTGTACGAGGTTCCGCCAGGATGCGTCAACCTCGGTAGTAGCCTGATCTGCGGCATTCAAGGGCTCTATATTCCCAAGCGTATTCTCTGTGTCCAAGGCCATCCTGAGTACAACGATTTCATGGTTTCCGAGCTTCTGAAGCTGCGACGGGGGATTATTGGGGAGAAGGTGTATGCGGATGCGATGGCGCGAGTGGAAAATCCACACGATGGTGTACTTTTCGCTGAGACGATGTGTCGGTTTGCATTAGGATTGTTCGAATAAATATCCGCATTCTTCAGATAGCAGGTGCCTCTCCGTGCCTGTAGATATGTAGTGGGATGGATGAGGCCCACCGGGACCGCGCCGTCACCGCAGACCGCGCCCTGCCTCAGGCACCGATAGAGCTCTTATCGGTCGGTTATAAGAACCAACAACGGACATCATCCACTCCACATCATCGCCATCGCCATCGACACCCACCATCATGTCCAACCAAATCCGTACCCTTTCCCCCTCCACCAACAAGGTCATCTTCGAACACCCTGGCATCTCCCTCGACGAGGCTCGCCAGATCGCCCAGGCGTCGCAAGATGCATTCCGCACATACAAGCAGACAACGCTGGCTCAGCGCAAGGCGATCGTTCTCAAAGCGCTGGACCTGATCGCTGCCAACAAAGAGACACTGGCCGAGGAGCTCACCACTCAAATGGGCCGTCCGATTGCCTATAGCGCCAAAGAAATTGAGACCTTTCGCAAGCGTGGCGACTACCTCCTCGACATTGCGGAGGAAAGCCTCAAGTCTCTCCCTGGTGCTCCGGAGAACGGCTTCAGGAGATTCCTGAAGAAGGAGCCGGTTGGCCCGACTTTGATCATCACCGCATGGAATGTAAGTCTTTACCACCGCTCATGCCAGCTATAAATGACTCATGTAATCAGTTCCCCTACCTAGTCACAATCAACGCCCTCGTCCCCGCTCTCCTTGCCGGAAACACAGTCCTCCTCCGCCCATCTCCCCAAACGCCCATCTTTGGCGAACGTCTCCTCACATACTTCACCGAAGCCGGTCTCCCTCCAAACGTGCTCCAGCTGATCCACTGCGGCTCCCCGGACGTGCTCGACCAAATCGTTCAGCTCCCTCAGATCCAGCTCATCTCCTTTACTGGCTCCACCGCAGGCGGCTTCCGTATTCGCGAAGCGACCGCGCGCAGAGTTGTCCCGGTCAACCTTGAACTCGGTGGAAACGACCCGGCCTATGTCCGACCGGACGCGGACATCCCATATGTCGCCGCGCAGCTTGTCGACGGCGCCGTCTTCAACTCGGGCCAGAGCTGCTGTGCCGTTGAGCGAGTGTACGTGCACGCGGACGTACACGATGCGTTCGTGGAGGAGGTAAAGAAGGAGTTGGCTACGTGAGTGTCTTAGCTCTCGCCATGATTCATACTTACGAGAGACAGATACAAGCTCGGCTCCCCACACGACAAGTCCACGACCACTGGCCCGGTCATCTCCCAAGCTGCGCTCAAGAATATCCAATCGCACATCTCCGACGCTCTTTCCAAGGGCGCTATCAATGCAACTCCTCAGAATGCCACGTTTGAGAACACCCCTGCAGAAGGAAACTACCAGCCTCCTACTGTCCTGACCAACGTCACTCATGACATGGTGGTCATGAAGGAAGAGACCTTTGGTCCTGTCATGCCGATCATGAAGGTCTCCTCGGACGAGGAGGCGATTTCTCTGATGAACGACAGCGACTATGGTCTCACGGCTAGTATTTGGACGAAGGATATCAACAAGGGCGAGGAGTTGATTGAGAGCTTGGAGGCGGGAACAGTGTATATCAACCGCTGCGATTACCCAAGTCCGGTATGTTGTTTTCCCTCGTATGCTGAAGGTGCTAACTGTTGTAGGATCTCGCATGGATTGGATGGAAGAACTCTGGGTTGGGATGTACCCTTGGACCGCAGGGTTATGATGCGTTCTACAAGCTGAAGAGCTTCCACATCAAGGAGGCGCAGGCGTAGGCTTGAGTATATAATCATGACTAATGTACTTGCTTTAAAGTTATTGTTTCTGATGCTGCTGGAGTCTGCACATTCCTTAGCGAAGAGGAAATAAGCGGATCCTATCTCTGGAATAGAGTTCCATGAAAGATCCCTACATCTCGTAGGAAGATACCTACGGAATCATACGATTAAGCCTGCTCCATCCCTTATAAAAGAGCCAGTGGCTGCTCCCATCATCCTCCCTACTCAAGCCAATCATTCAAAGTCCAAGATTTGCCCATCAGTCTCATCTAAGACGTTTTATATATGACTTCTACCCACGGAGCTTGAGGCAAGTCTCGTACACACCAACCAACACCTATACGATCATCTCATCATCTGCTTTTCTACCTTATGATGCCTATATTCATCGCCAACGCAGAAACGAAGCCTGACCCATGCACCAAGTCATGGCAAATATATATACTCTAATTCAGCTCCATGCCTTCTACACTCCAAATCACCTGCACAAACCCGGTCAAGTGACTATTCTCACATGAAGTGCGAACTCGAGTACGGATATCCAACTCTATGGTCTGCTACTCAAGATTGTTTCTTTGCTCGAGGAATGGTTATGTCAGAAGTCAGGGGACTCTCGGAGGTCTCGAACCAGGTTTTATAGTATATATAGACTATACACTGTACCTTGATGGTGTCAAGTGGACGCCAGTCAGCTGCACGTGCATGATAAGACTCTTCCTGGTCCGCAGACTTTAGCTACCAAGATACCTGGTCTGATCTTTTTTTCAATGACTATATAACAGCAATTATTCCACCAGCGTCTCTTGTATGACTCATCGTCGAGACTTGCAACCTAGACATCCGACTGAAGCACCAAACCACCACGCGAATCAGATCATCCGAAGAGAAACCCTAGAAATAAACCAACCGACAAAGAGACATGTACCTGTCCAATGCAAACCAGCTTCTCAGACTCGCATGCGAACTATATACACAGTGGTAATGAATGGCATCGTCGACCCGAGGAATCAACTCACTAGTTTCTTCGGACTTTTGCACCCGCCTGAATGCTCGGTATGCGACCGTGTCCCCCACTGGTCTGGGGACTAAATGGCTATGGGACTTCCGTGGCATTCCCATCCCAGAAATGTGGTCTGTTCACACGATGCCAAGTTACATTGTTCCGTTGATTACCCGTGATGAGGTTCGGGTACTGTCTGGATTGTATAGGGTCTGGTTTGGATCTAATATCTGAGACGTCGGGTTATATTACTGGCAGGAGTAGGCGAATAGCAACGGTACGGTATGGTGTTGTACAAGGTTTGGGACGGCTATTTACGGCCTGTGCTATCAACCATCTGTACGATGTGAGCGTGCTGGGTGTGATGAGATCTAGGGCTGGTAGTATCAGCAAAGTGCTGTCTGGTACAGGCAGTGCTGATGGGAAGAGTATTTGTGGGTTGCCAAGGCAATTCTATGAGTGAGCGAACCGCTTCAATTGAGGGATAAATACTGGTATGGATAGACACACTGGATGTGAACAGTGGGCTAGCATGATGCCAGGATATTATCAGGATAGACATTCCGTCAAGACTTCATATTTGGAGTCGGCTTCATACAACATGCTGAGTATATCTTGTATATTTGAATATAGGCTTGGGAATAGCAATAGTCTATATATTATTACAGAATAGTATCGCGTATCAAATAAGATACAAAGCAATTAAATTGTGAACATCCAATCCCAGCTAGAACAAGACCTCTGCCCAATAAACAACAACTCCAGCCTCATCAATACTCCAATTAAAACCAAGGCACTAGAAATATCTCAGAGTTTAGACCTCAGTACTCTATAGACACATTTCCACCCTGACTGATAAACCACCCCATAAATACAACCCCATATAACCCACTTTCAACCCCAGACCATGTAATCACCACCCCAATACAAACAACACAGGACACATCATGGCGAGCTGCGATGAAGTATCATGCTTATGATATGTGCCACTTGCTGATTCGTCCAGAGAGCAGCAAAAATACCGTGGATGGTCAAGTCATCGAGTTATTGAAATACCACATATCACTGGAAAGGTCCATATCCTATGCCATTCCACAGGGATAAATTTTGGTATACTGTAGGACCACTCGGTGGGTAGCAATGCGAGGTGGGTATTGGCATGCTGAAGATATTCCGTAGGTTGTAATGTCGGAGTATATTATCGGTCCGTGTGAATGGGATTTGGATACCGAATTTGTCAGTATGCATCTCTGGTGTAGATAAAATTGACATATTCGTCATCGGGAAGATAAGGGTATACAGCACAGGTTGTTAGAATAGTGTCGGATAGGTGTGAGTTGGTTTATAGGTCTGTACATAACCCATGGGGCTGTTGGATAAGGTGTAGAGTATGCTAGGCGCTACTGCGTACAGCTCAGGATTAGTAAGGTATTCCCTGGATAATTCTGGTATCATTTAGGATGGTCACACTGATATAAGTCTATCGTCTGCGTTTTGTCATTTCCATGGTGACTTAATCCAAATGGTTTCTGCAGGTTTGGCTCGGTTTGTAAGGTAATAAGGTCTTGAATAGTATAGAGATGAGATGTCGTAGTTGAAGGTATTGGCATGATATATCGTGATGGATATGATTTCGGGTGAGTAGAATTAGGAAGGCATTAGAGGTGGGAGATCTAAATTCTATTTATTCTCTAGTCTAGGTGAACTGTTGGGAATGGGCGAATAGTGAAATGAATACTGGAATAATTCATTGAATCAGCCTGGATGATCAATTTATGGGATCATTCATGATTTATACAGGTGAATGATTCTCCATGGAATAACTGATTGAACCCAGAGAAACAAATGGAACAAATCAAGAGATATGAAGCATAATATCTGCCCAAGAAAACACTCAGCTCCTAATATAGGCTACACTAAGAACAGCCAACATCATGACAAATCACCACGCTGATATTTTCATTTTTTTCCATATTATCATGTATATCAAGTCAAATACACACAAGCTGCCCATCACCATACCCATACCAAAGCAGCATCCCTATTGGTCATAAATCTCGGATCAAACACAACAGATAGATACTATCGAATCCGATTCGCAACCCGCCTAGGACTGCATGAGAACACTACAACTATAAATACCCTCATCACCCTCATCACCCGCACCATTTATTCTCTTCCTCCCACCAATCCATCCCAACTCCTCTCCCACAATGCCTCCCCTGACCACCTACCTCACCCTCATAGCCCTAACGGCCCTAACATCCACCACCTGGATCCCCCTCCCCTTCCTCTCTTTGATAACCACATCAACCCTCACAACCGCATATCCCACCACCACCAGCCCCAGCACCAGCCTCGACGCCATCCTCACCAGCATCACCACCCTCGCGACCGACTACACAACCCTCAACACCGCAATCAACCACTTCAACGGCACCCAAACCCAATACTTCCAGATCCTAGCCTGCGAACTCACCGTCGAAACATCCATCCAACACGTCATCGCAGTAACCACCACCTCAACGCCACTCGACACCCATCAAAGCCAGCAGGTCTTGGAGGCGCTGAAACTCCCGTATCCGGGTTTTATGCGGGATGTGTTGGGGGATGTGGCGGATAAGGTAGATTCTGTTATCCCAGGGAGTATAGACAGGGTATGATGCTGATGTGTTGGGATGGTAGGCAGAATGTTTTGCGGAGGTTGGGAGGACGGAGGATGTGATTGCTGTTCTGAGGACGTTGAAGGAATTGAGTGATGAGTTGGTGGAGGCGGTGCAGGGGAAGGTGGTGGAGCGTGTAGCGGAGGAGGTGGGGAGTGGTAAGGTGTGGGTGGATGGGTTGTTTGAGGAGACGATTCGGTGGATGAGTATGAGTATGAGTTAGGTGTGTTTGAGCATGAATCTAAATTGGTAGAGTAGGAATCATGTATCCACTATCTTTACTCTATACATACAAGATGCATACGTAAGTGGTTCAGTAGATCAATACAACAGAAGTCACGGTACAAAACAGAGATATCCAAATACCAAAGAGCAGAATCATATTCATATTCCTTTGTTTCCGTACCCATCCAGTACATCCAGACCACGAGAAAGATAACCCGAAAACCATCTCCGTGACTACAACAGATCTACTCCGTACATCAACGCACTAGAACAGATATAAGCTCTGATAGGAGGATCCTGATTGGTCACTAAACCCTACTTATGCAGGGCTGGTGGTCAGAACGTAGAATCTGCAGGTCAGAACTAACTAGGGACTCGGATCATCTCTGTGTCCGTCTCTGTCGGGGATTCTTCTCCATTTCCGTTTAGGTTGAAGATAGTAGTACATTACATACTCGATATTCAATTCATCGAAAATGACAAGGACGTATATCAACAACGAGAAACACGTGCCATAAAACCAAATACTTTCTTTCATTTGTTACAGGTTAGAAAAACATAACGCAAACCACCCACATCAGACAATCCCATCCATCCATCCATCCATCCAGCATCAAAAAAGGTAATTATGATTATACACACCATAAGAGAATCCACTCATCTCAGCGCCCTTCCTCCCTCCTGATCTCAAAGAATCACACTAACCCAATCCATCCCCACCACCAACTGGATCAACCGCGGTCCCGGACCGCGGGGTCGCCCCACACTTCTTATCAGCCATCACCCAAAAACCAGCCACCAGCCCGGCAGCCAGCTTATCGCGGCGCGCTTGCAAAGGCCAGCTGGCTTGCCCCGGCCTGCCTCCGACGCCGGTGCGAGCGCGCAGAGAGCGATAGCGAGATCATCCGGACGGGTATATTCCGCGTTGTATGGAGTACTGCGTAAGGAGCTATCTACCGATAAGCTAATGAATGTGGAGTACGGAGTACTGCTAGGTAGCTATAATCGGTGTAACCTATTAGGTAATATGGGGAGGGGCATGAGGGGAGCGAGGGGTATAAATGGGTCGGTCGCTCATCGGATTCGGGTTCCTTTGGAATTGATTACTGATTTTCTTGACTGGGTTAAGACACACGGTTTCTACTCCTACTTTACACTTGACACCATGGTCGGTCGACTGGCGGGAAAGAATGCTATCGTTACCGGTGCTGCGGGGTAGGTTTATTTCACTATTTACAAAGCTGGTGGTGGTGGTGGTGAGCTAATCTGGATGCTGCTCTAGTGGCATCGGTCTCGAAACGACCATCCTCATGCTTCGCGAAGGCGCCTCCGTTCTCATGACCGATATTAGTGCCCCCGGGTTGGAAAAAGCGCTGGCCAAGGTGAACGAGGTCGTGCCCCAGCGCGAGGGCAAGGTGGAAACCCGCGCCGTCGACGTCTCCAAGGAGGCGGAGGTGGAAGCCGCCGTGGCTCATCTGGATGCCTGGGGGGGCTTGGATGTCATGTTCAATAACGCTGGAATCATGCACGCCAAGGATGGTGATTCGGAGGAGACCCCCGAGGCCATTTGGGATTTGACTATGAATATCAATGTCAAAGGCGTCTGGTATGGCTGCAAGCATGCCGTCAAGGCCCTCCGCAGGCACGGCAAGAAGAAGGGCAGCATCATCAACACGGCCAGTATGGTGGCGTTGGTGGGTGCCGCCACACCGCAGCTGGCCTACACCGCGAGTAAGGGCGCGGTCTTGGCGATGACGCGCGAATTGGCCATTGTGCATGCCCGAGAAGGTGAGTGCAGCGCGTATCGACGTGGTCGGTCGCTGACGATGCAGGTTTCCGCTTCAACTCGCTGTGCCCCGCCCCCCTCAATACCCCCTTGCTGCAGGACTGGCTGGGGGATGACAAGGAGAAGCGCTTCCGTCGCGAGGTCCACTTCCCGACCGGTCGCTTTGGTGAGGCCATCGAACAAGCCCACGCCGTCATCTTCCTGGCCAGCGACGAAAGCAGCTTCGTCAATGCCGCCGATTTTGTGGTCGACGGTGGCCTGACCAAGGCCTATGTGACCCCCGAGGGCCCGGCCACTGAGGCCCCCAAGAACCTGGCTCAATGATGCGGGATTATGAGTGATGATTGTATGATAGTCTGATTAGGCAAACGATATCCATATTTGATTCCGTTGCATGGCTCGGCAGATGTTCCATGGACCTGCCTCGTCTAGCGGCATCTGCCACATGTGTTCGAGTAGAAGTAGCGTCCGCTGCATATTGCCCAGGCCAAAGGTGTTGACCATGGTGGTGAGCCGCTGGCGTAGACTGTCTTGGTGTTGGGCGTCGGACAAACAGGACCCGACTACAGCGATGGGCCAACACAGGCCGGAATTAATCCGCGCTGTCGCAGAGAGTTGGCCCAGATAAGACATGGCGTCGGTAATCGCGGTGTCAATCAATCCTTGGTACATGCCGTTGTCCGTTCGGGAGAACCCGCCCAACGACGTATAGAGGTACAGGAGCATCGCTTGCTGGAAGATCCGTCCCGCAAGGAACACCTCCGGAGTCGCAGACGCATATGGCATCCACCGCATGATTTGGACTTGCAAGGAGCCAAACATGGCAATATCGTCTGCAGTAGGCATAGCTGACTGCCCATCGTGCATCATCCACTGCCGACCCAAGTCGAAGATGCACGGGATCATCAACAACAGCTCCATCCAGCAGCCACACAAGTTCCCCACATACTCGGATTGCAGCAGCTGTCGCGCCTTTTGTTCGAGGTCAAAGTCCAAAAACAGCTGGGCACTGACCCGGGCATCGATGGAGATCATGCTGACGGCCGCAGTATACGTGTAATATTCGATGACAAAGTCTTTGAGGTCTTTGGGAACAGCTGCATCGCTTTGCGCCAGAAGGCGGACTAGAAGAGAATTAGCAGCCGTCAGGTGGTCGAATATCGTTCCGTTCATATCGCCTTTGGCTGTCTGCCTTCATTAGCCACGTCAGTGAATTATCGGATGAATTACCTCTGTAAAGCACATCACCAACGCTCCCACCGTCAGCATGAGCGCGTTCGACTCCTTTCCGTCGATAAACTCGGTCACCCCTTTTCGAAACAGCTGCAGAGCGGTGGTGTAGTGACTCTGCGCAACCTCATCGGATTCCCTGCGAGAGCGAAACGCTCGATGGGCAGCACTCTGTGTCAGGACCAGCTGAAGGAGTAGATCGCTGCTGAAAGCGAGTGGAACAATCTGCACCAAGAATGGGTTGATGGGGGTAGAACCGTTGGCCATGCAGTCGGCGGTCGTTGCCAAGTAGTGGCTCAGAAGTTGATAGGACTCGGGACCGTGGCCAGGGAACATGGACAGACTCCGAGGGAGTACATTTCCCACGGCCATTTGGCTGTCTGCCGAGATCGACTGAGATTGCCTGGTCGAGATCAGAGGACCCGACTCGACAGAGGTATCCTCCGGGGAGTCCGAAGTTGGCGATACCTCCGATGGGGTGGATTCCGTCGAGCTGGACGCTCCACGCTGCATCCTCGTCTGATCATCTTCCGATGGTTGACCCGGTGGGTCACTCTCCGGCCTGGCGGATAGATTGTTGGCCTTGGATCCGGGGATGATGGTCGGCCACTGGCAGGTGAGCTTATTCCGGACGCATCCCCCACAGATCGGCTTGGTTTCGTCACACTTCTTCTTGCGGCGTCGGCAGGACCAGCAACCGGTGCGGACCCGGACGATGGGGTCAGTACGTGGCCGTCGATTCGGCGGCATTGGTGTTGGAGATGAAGATTAGCGTCACAGATTGAGACGAAGATGCAGAGCGGGAGGAGATGAGCGGAGACACCACGATAAGCCGAGGGTTCGTTGATTAGCCGGTGGCCGATGTGGGTCTGCAAGTCTTGCCATAGTCAACTGGTCAATATTTCCGGATGAAAAATAAGATACCTGGAACCAATTATACCTTTTCAAGTTATTGAATACGATGTCAGGTAACTTACTTCTGTCATCTGCTAATATGTAAGGGTGCCTGTATGCTGAAGCCTGAGGAACTGTGCGTAGTCTGTGAGTCTGCGAATCAATGTGGAATCAAAGCATTGGAGATCTGCAGGAAGCCGTGTCGAATAATACAAGCTATCCAATGACTAGTACATCTTCAGCTACCATAGCATGAAAAGCGGACGGACCAACCTTCAGGCTAAACCCGGGCGAGGTACCCGATGGCCACTATCGCGCACCGGACCAGGCTAAACGTTCCCCGACACACTTCACCGAGGGGCGCGTTCCCGGACCCTGCGGAGTGTAACACAACTTATAAGACCCTGTCCACCTTTAATTCTGTAGGATAACCAGCTTTCTCTACACGACATAAATTGAAAATCAAACTCACCATGGCCTCAAGCATCCCCCTCCGCCCGCTCGCCTCCCAATCGGAACTCCAAGCCTTCTACATCGGAAAAGATATCAACGATGTCCCCAAGCCAGCGGTCATTCTCGACGTCGCCATCATCCGGCGTCACTGTGCAGCCATGTTAGAGGCTACCAGAGAACTAGGCGTTGGATTTCGCGCACATGTTAAGACCCACAAGGCAACACTACCCCCTCCTCCCCATCACTAGCCCCAAACACATAACTAACCATAGTCCCAGACGCCTCAAATCGCCCACCTCCAAGTCGGCGACATTCCAAACACCCCCGCCAACTTCGTCATCTCCACCGTCTTGGAAGGCGAAACGCTTCTCCCTCTCTTCCAGGAGCTATTCCGCGCCGGACGCCCAGTGAATGTACTTTACGGCATCCCGCTCGTCCCATCGCAAGTGCCCCGTCTCGCCCATCTCGCCAAACAAATCGCCGCAGGCAGTATCTCCGTGATGATCGATCACCCGGACCAAATCGACCATCTGCGTGGATTCCGCGACATCGCGGGTTTCGCAGCGGGGGTATTCCTCAAAGTAGATTCAGGATATCACCGCGCAGGATTACCCCCAGACGGGTTGAACAAGGGGGGACTAGTGGAGAAGATCATCACAATGGAGAAAGAAGGTGTTATTGAGCTGATAGGAGTATACTCCCATAACAGTCTAAGTTACGCGGGATCAACACTAGAGGAAGGGATGCAGTTCCTAAGGGAGGAAATCCTAGGATGTCGAGAAGCCATCAGACAACATACACATCTATTGTCCGCGCGACAAGCCAAAGGCAAAGAATTGGTGATTAGCGTTGGGGCCACGCCGCAGGTCGTTTCAATCAAGGGCCTCTTACAGGGTGGTGCGTTAAGTCCATCGAGACACGAACTCAAGGCCTTATTGCACCAAGAAGACTCGGACGACATCGGCCGAATCACAGTGGAATTACACGCAGGCGTCTACCCCATCCTGGACATGCAACAACTCTCCACAAATACGCATACCGGCCCCGCGGAGGACGAAATCGCCATCTCCGTCGTCGCTGAAGTCTGCAGTGTGTACAACAACGCTGAGCGCTCAACTCCCGAGGCCTTAATCGCCGCGGGCTCCTTAGCGCTAGGCCGCGAACCCTGCCCGTCGTATCCGGGCTGGGGGGTGGTGTCGGAATGGAGACGACCGAAGGGTCCGGGGCGGTTGATTGTTCAACGGATTAGCCAGGAACATGCTATTTTGGGGTGGGAGAAGGGGAAGGGGGGTGAGGAAGGGATTCCACTACGGGTGGGACAAAGTGTGCGGATCTTTCCGAACCATGCGTGCGTGACGGGGGCGTTGTATGGGTGGTATTTGGTGGTGGATTCGAGTCGGGAGGGAGAGGGAGAGGGGGAGAGGGTGGTGGATGTGTGGACGAGGCCGACGGGGTGGTAATATGCCGATCAGGTGTAAGATAGATGGGATCATATGTCAAGCCGTTTGTTATACCTTCTATACCACTAGCTAGAAGGAAATTGCCCTTTCTAGTCTACGCGGTATTAACTTTGACATCATATGATATTCAGGGTCAATTCCTCGAATGGTATTCATGCAGGTGGGCGATATTTCTCGAACTGCTATCTAAATCACTCAAGAATCAAGAGTAACCCTAATAACCAGACATCTAGTCCTCGCCTCAGGGTCTAGAGGACTACCACCCACTCAGCAACAGGACATACCCCTCAGATCCCCCGATTGAGTAATCCAACCCCAACTAAGACCCCCTCACGACATCGCATCACACCCTCCCCACCAAAAACAACTTCCGCACCCGCATCCACTGAAAATACCCCGGAAACTCCTCCCCCACCCCCTCAGCCTCCCCCGCCGCCTTCCTCTCCATCTCATAAAACCGCCACGACCGTAACACCCCCAAACACAACGCCCCAAGCACAAACATACACGCAATATACACCTGCGCACCCAAATACCCCGACCGGCCAACCATACTCAATGCAATCGCCTCAGCAACGGTACTCGGTGCCACAAGAGTCAAACAAATTAAACCGAAAGTCGAGGGCAGCCGCGATAACCCCACCACGTCCGTGAGGACGGGGGCAATGGTACTCCAGAACGTCCCGCAGACCATGCCCGCGCAGAGCGCGAAGAGGAGAAGTAGGGGATAAGAGTGGGCGGGGATCCAGATGACGAGACAGAGGAGGGCGCAGAGGGCGGTCATGGTCATGGGGATGGTGATGCGGCCGTAGGCGTCACTGATGTAGCCGATGAGGGGACGGCCGAGGGCGAGGCCGAGGTTGAGGAGGGCGCCGGCGACGGAGCCTTCTTGGAGGGTGAGGCCGATGGAGGAGGCGTAGTTGGGGAGGGAGTAGATGAGCGCGATGTAGCCCAGGTCCGTGGAGATGCCCCAGATGCTGACGAGGATGATTTCGAGGTGGGTGAGGTCGCGGTGGTTCAGGAGGGTGCGGGGGGCGGGGTGGGGATGGGAGTGGGGACGGTCTTTGAGGAGGAGGGAGGAGAGGAGGTTGGAGACGAGGGCGCAGAAGGCCAGGATGCGGTAGGTGGTATGCACGCCGAGGGTTTCGATGACGCGGCCGGCGACGAGGTTATATGCCAGGCCGCCGAGACCGGCTCCGGAGGCGGCGAGGCCGCTGGAGAAGCTGCGCTTGGTGGAGAACCATTTGGGGAGGATGGCGGTGGCGGTGAGGTAGGTGAAGCCCATGCCGGTGCCGAAGCAGATGCCCTGGGTGAGGAAGAGATGCCAGACTTGGGTGGCGTAGGAGGCCGTGAATAGGGCGGTGAAGATCAGGGCGGTGCCGGTGAGGAGGGTGATGGTGGTGCCCATGGTGTCATTGGCTTTGGTGACGACGGGGCCGATGAGGAGGCATTGCGAGATGGACAGTCCGCCGATGATGGCAAATTCCAGGTGGTTGGCCGAGGGGAAGGTAGCGTGGGAGAGATAGTAGTTGAGGATGACGCCCCAGGCACTGTTGACGCCCCAGGTGTGCACGTTGATCATGAAGACGCAAAACGTGCACACCCAGCCATATCCCCCGTTGGGGGGGATGTCTTCAAAGGTCGTCACGATGGGGGCATTCTCGGGGCTGGCACTGAAATCGGGTGCGTTGATATCCGGTCGCGGCGGCTATAATTCGAAGTGCTCCCGGGTTACGGGCTGTTCAGGGTGACGGACACTCATTTGGGCGCTGTGCGGTGTTTCTTGGATACTCCTCAGATGCTCCGTTGGGTGGTTGGATGAAGCATTTCAGCATTCTGATATCATCGGGTGAGGGGTCGGTCATTGTGCGCCGAAGTGCCAGATTCGTCAGGGCTCGCCTGCGTCACGAATCACCCGCGACCCCAGGAACTAATGCAGGCTGTCTGCAGATTAGTCATTGTTGGCCTGGGGGACGCGATGTCCAAGATCGAGGTATATCAATTTGCTCCATATCGTCGATCGAGTAGTCGTTGCATTAACATATATTACAAAACAGATTCATACACCAGCATTATTCCACCAACATCCCAGAGTGAGGAGCCACTTATTGCGAAACACCAGACTCGACCTTGCCGTTCTTCTAGAAAACATTAGCATCTGTGAAAAGAAAAGGAAAAAGAAGCATACCAAGGTCCGGCTATACTTCACGCCAACGTTGTTTCCGCTGCGCGAGTCATACGGGAAAGGAGTGGTGTAGTTGAAGGTGGCAGTAAGGCCCTTGTAGGTCTGCTTAACAGCAGACAGGATGCCGTTGCCGGCAGAGCAGCTAGCCTCCGTGGTCGGGACAGGCCAGCCAGCGTAGTACTCGCTGTAGTCATCATCGGACAGAGGACCCCAGTGGGTCTGGTTCATGTACAAGTTGCTCGTATCGACGTCGTAGTTGACGTAGCCAGTCTTCTCGGCCAACCAGCTGAACAAGTTGGCACCGCAGTCCCAGCGACCCAGGGAGGGAAGACCCCAGTTGGCGGACAGGGAGGCAATGACCGAGTAGTGGCTGTAGAAGGTGTCATCCTCGGTACCGCGGAGATCCTCCGGGACGGCACCACCGAGCAAGAAAGTGAAAACGTTGTTGCCGATCTCATAAGTGTCCGTCTCATCAAAGGTCAACATGATGAGGGTGTCTTTGGTGAAGTAGTCATTCTCCAGAAGCTCAGTCAGGAAGTTCCAGGTCCAAGCACCGGAGACGGTAATGTCGGTGTCGTGGCCATCGTTAGTCATGTTCGGAGTGATGAACATGTACTGGGGGAGACGGTGGTGCTCCAGATCATCGTAGAAGCTAGTAAAGTTCTTGATCTGACGGAGACGGAGAGCATCTTGGGTCACCGAGTCGAACAGAATCAGAGGGTTGTGCTTGCGGACATAGTCGTTGGCACCGCTCTCAGGGTAGCGGTAGCCCTGGTAGCCGGGGTAGGGGAGGGCTTCCTGGTATTCACCCCAGGCGATGTTCTTGGTATCGAACAGATCCGCGATGGTGGAGACATTGGCCGGGATTTGATGAAAGTCATCATTGTCCATGCCAAAGGTGTCACCACCGGCGGAGGCGCAGTAGTTGGGCTCGGACGGGTGGGTGACAGCCCAGAAGTTATTCAGGAGAAGACCCTTCTTGGCCAGCACAGCCAGATTCTCGTTACCAGCGGCCACATCGAAGTCCTGTGTAGCTAATTGTCAGCGGGTGCTATTGCATGTACGGGCTGACAGCGAGACATACAGTATTCTCCAACCAGATGTTCACAAAGCGGTTAAATGCAAGCCCCTTGACATTCGAGACGGGAGAATAAGGCTGCACGGTAGCTTTGGCAGCACTAATCTCAGCGCTGGAGGGATATTCCGACGAGGAGGTCTGGGCCAAAGCCAGAGAAAGACCTCCAAGGAGTGTCACGAGGGACTGTTTAGTGAACATGATCCCGGATCAGACGAAGACTAAGAATATGAACGAGTCTGATGTATTCACAGAGGCACACAAGAAAGAAGTTGAGAGATGAGTGGTACTTGCCTCATCTTTATACCTTTCTGAAGACTGGCGAACTCATACTTCCCGTCATGCGTGTGTTTATTCTTCCTTGCCCCATAGGCAATCTAATCGATCTGCTTCCATTGGTGAACTTGCTAACCGAAGCGAAATAGCAACTAAATCCCCCACACAGTCTGCAGCCATCGGGACTGTCCTCGGCTGCATTGTATCTCGAGGATGGTGAGATGCCTGCACGTTGCAACGGAAAGGCAGCTGACTGGCCGGCCGGCAAGCCTGAAGTGTCGCGGGACCCGTCTCGGTTCCCATTGGTCAATTCATCCGTCTTTGAGAAGAGTGGGGCTCCGCTGCCCTGGCACGTGCTCTCAATACCTTCAACCAGCGGAGGCATCCTGGATAAATATCCAGACTCGCTGATGGCAGGTAGTCTGTGGCTTCTAGCAGGCTTGTTACGTAGACCTGAACACATCGGTTTATAAGCTGTACTCCGAAGAGACTACTCAGATATTATGCAGTAACCATCATGTCGTTGCTCTCATTATCTTGTAGCCAACTCTATCATCTATATACCGCACGCTCGTGTAGCATGTAAACCCGGCCGCCTCTATATTCTTCACCTCTAGACAAAGAACTTGGCCTCACCCTCATTCACCTTGCCAGCACCAACCAGTCTCTTGACCTCCTCAACGTACACGGTCTTGACGGCAGCAGCATCCTTACCGGCGGCAGTAAGACGCTCAGCCAGGCCAGCAAGCTCCTCAGCGTCGATCTTGCTGATGACAAGATCGATATCGCCCAGAACGGAGTCAACCTGAGCGGCGGAAGGCTCACCACCCTCGCCGAAGTAGTTAACGTCCTTGACGGAGCCCTTGAGAACACGCTTGTTCTTCTTGGCAGCGTTCTTAGCAGCCTCCTTAGCCTTCTTCTTGTTCTCACGCTCGGCCTTGGCAGCCTCCTCGGCGTCCTTCTTGGCCTGCTCCTCAGCCAGGCGGGCCTTCTCCTTCTCCTCGGCCAGACGCTTGATCTCAGCCTCCTTCTCGAGACGCTTCTTGTCCTTGTCAGCACGAGCGGCCTTGCGGAACTTCTTGATACGGTCGTCACCGGCGGCACAATCGTCCACCAGGTGGCGCAGGCGGGCAGTGTCCTCGGTCTTGCGCTTACGGCGGGCGTTGGCGTTCTTCTTCTCCATGTGACGCTTCTGGTCACGGTTCTCGTTGTCATCCGGCACATCCTCGTCCAGGTACTCGAAAGTACGCCAGCTGTCGAAGTCGTACCAGAAGTTGTAGAAGTTCTCAACCTCCTCCTGGGTGCTGTTCTCGTCACCGATCTCGGGCACGGGCTGGATCTTGGAGAAACGACCCTCAGCCACGAAGACGGGGCGCCAGAGCTTGAAGAAGTTGCCCTTGGCAACCTGCTTCTTGGTCGGGGGCTCGACCTCGGCAGCCTCGTCAACGGAGTCGAACTGACGACGCTTGACGGGGTCCAGGAGCAGCTCAGTAGCCTTCTGAATGCACTTGAAGAAGTTGTCGTTCTCGTCGCGGTCACCCAGGGCGGCCTTCTTGTCGGGGTGGTGACGGAGGACCTTCTTGCGGTGGGCGCGCTTGATCTGCTCGGGGGTGGCGCGCCAGCGGTACTTGGTCAGACCGAGAACCTGGTAGTGATCTTGGCTCTGCGAGAGGTGAGTATCATGTTGTCTCGTTGATCCGGGATGCATACCTTCCAGTCCTTAGCCTCTCTGGCAAGGAGCATAGCATCCTCCTCCTCGGAGATATCGTCATCCTCGTCATCTTCAGTGCTCTTGACGTTCTGCTGAGCCTGAATTCTCTCATCCTCGGAGAAGGTGCGGTGGTGGCGCTTCTAGAGGGTTGTTAGTAGTGAACGAGTACTAAGCCATAGTCGAATAATCGTGGGGCACATACTCTGCGAGCGTGGGCCAGGAAGTGAGGGCCAACGGGCTCCAGGTTTCTCTGAGTGGGAGCGGACACAGTGCCAACGGCCTTGAAGTCCTTCTCGGCACTCCAGCCGGCCGGCAGGGAGGGGAGGGTAACGTTGATGGTCTGAACGGTAGCCATTGTGGGTTTGAGGAGTGTGACGGGGAGAAAGAGGCTCGGGCTGCAGTCAAAAGTTGACTTGCTTTTCATTTTTTTCTGCCCCGACTTGCCGCCACTCGGTAGGCCAATCAGATAGTGGTTGTTTCGGAGGTCATCGAAAGCCAGGACTGCGCAAAGACGGCCAGACTCTCACCTTTGGCCATTGATTGAGATCCCTTGGTGTTCCGGAAGATCTTATATTCTCTTCTATAACAGATTTTCTAGGTCATACTATCCATCGACGACCTGTGTCCCTTGATCACTAGAATCTCGAAATATCCGACCCCATCTCAGCCACCCAAAGGATCTAAACCCACCGGGGCCTTTTCAAAAGACGAAGACAATAGCGATTACGTTCCATTCAATATCATTCTAAGCTTCTACAATGGCCTCCCAGACCGCCCTCTCAGCCCGCGGTGCTTACCGTCAACTCCTCCGCGCTACCCGGGTTGCCTTCCAAGGTCAGTATCCGCCTCAAAGCCATGCCATTCATTGCTAATGTTCTCTGATTAGATGACATCCGTGTGATGATCGCTGCCCGTCAAGAGGCTCGCCGGAATTTCGACAGTCACCGCCGCCAAGGCATCGATACCCCCATGCAGATCAACCATGCGATTGAAGTGGCGAATATCCTCAAGCACAATATTGTCCAGGGTGTCCGGGAAGAAGGCGATGAGAATGCCAAGTGGGGTGAGCAATTCTCCAGATTGTCTATTGGTTAGGTAGAAGATCATGCTAACGTTGGTGTGCTAGAACTCCGCATCCATGACGATATTGAGCGCGGCGACAACGACTCGATTAAGATCGCAGGAAAGAAGGTCAAGGTGGATAAACCGTGCTCATCATAGTGTTGCCTCTTACGATGCAATGCGTGGGTAAGGATGACTGCAGACTATGGCATTTGCAGGATTGTATTATAGTATACCCAAACTTTTCTCTCCTTCGGCGTCTCTTTGGGGTATTTTATGGTTTAATCAGAATGTAGAAATATACACAACGCCCGCTCACGAACATACATGGAAGCCTCCTGTTCCTGAATCCCGTAGAAAACAAGTAAAGTCAATATCAGCTTAATCGCCAGACAAGCTGGAGTACTGGATCTCTCCAGCGCCCGGGGGTGGCGCGACTGCATAATTCCGTGGTCTCTGCTCTTTGCCAATCTCGTCCCCGGCAGCTGTGATGGCTTTCTTCCCTGAATCGGCGAGCCGCGGGCCTGCCGCCTGCCGACCTTCCCGAGCATACTTCAAGCGCTCCTCGCGATCCATGTTATCCAATGGCTTAGGCTTACCCCAGCGGACACGCAGAGGGCAACCCTCGATGACGGCCCTACCCTGGCATTGCTTCGCGGCGGCCTCGGCACCCTCGCGAGTAGCATAGTTGATGAACGCCGAGTGCGCACGGTGGGAGCAGATCAGCGACCGCAGTTGTCCAAACTGTGAGAAGAAGGTACGGAGGGTATGTTCCGGAAGATCATCCTCCACACCAGTAACAAAAAGCGAGGTGATGTTCGGGTCGGCGGGAGGTAGAATATCTTCTGCCGATGGGGGCACCTGGGCGGCGCTGGGAAATGGGCGTCCTCCTCGACCACCACGCATACCGCCCCGTCCTCTTCCAGGGAGCGGTGTTCCCCTTCTGCTGTCGCTTGTCCGAATGGGTCCCGGGCCATTTCCGTATCGGCTGTGTACGACTGGCGCGTCGCTGGATCCTGCAGGCTCTCCCTCTCCGTCTCCCGAGGGCCCCTCAATCTGGCGAGGCTTCCTGTAGTAGGGTTCGCTGTTGGCGAGTCTCCGAAGCAATTCCCGAGCTTTCTCATCCGTCTTCTCGTATTCTTCCACCGCGCCGCGCCCCTCTTCGATTTCCTTCTCGTGGCCTTGTGCGTAGTATTCGCGGTTGATCGTGCTTTCGGGGCCGGGCGCAACCATCTTCAGAGCGGCATCACGAACCACAATGGGAAGCCCGAAGGACAGATCGAGCATGCAACATTGACAACAGTTCTTCAACCGCGCGCAGGTCAGGCAGATGCTGGTTCGCTTCTGGCGTGCGGTGCGGTCGGCTTTCCAGCGGAATATGGTGAAAGGACGGGTACACTGAATCTGTTAGGTGATACGATTAAGAGCAGCAGGATCGATACATACGATCTTGCATTCTGCGCCATGGTCTTCCTTGAGCATCTGAACATAAGGATTGTCCGGGAGGCAGTTCTCGCAAACCGAGGGGAAATCAGTTGTCTCCCATCCGGACCGGTTCAGGTCCTGCTTAATCTGCGGAGGAGGCATGCTGTCATCTGATCAACTTGCTGTGCTTGGCCAAATGCGAAGCCCAGCGGAGATGGTGCGGACGGTTGAACGTTGTCGGCAGCAAGAACTGGATTATCGATAGCCGGTGGCTCATGAGGTGGCGGTGTTGTGGCTAATGATATAAGTTTGCATCACGTGACTAGCTTGGGTGCCGATCCAAGCACAAGAAAAACGATAAGGGATAACTTCATAGTAGCCATGGAATACTTTGTGGCTACAGAATCTCATGCGCACGCTGAATTGCCCCTTGCAACGTCTCATCTGATGTTGGAACAGATGTGATATCGGCAGCCTCCACAGCCACATGCACCGATCCTTTGATCTTGGAATACGCACTGGATACGCGATACGCGATACGCTTCTCGATACGCCAGGCACCCTCTGATCGGCTGCATCCACCATGCCCCAAACCGCCTAGTGTTGTTCCACCGTCACGTTCGGAAGCAACTTTTTCCCGGCCAGAACCCCAGGAGGCCTGTTCGGGGCTAGCCCGCCCCCGTCTGGTTGGCTGGCCAGCCTGGCAGCGGTGATTGGCTGGGGAACTGTCAAAGTCAGTCGTAATTCCGCCTCCCCTTTCTTTCGGGCGATCGTTTGCTGTTGCGTTGGCCTCGCTCTGTTCTTCGTGTTCCTTCGTGTTTTCTCTTCCTTCATTTCTTGTCTGCCTGTCTAGCCGTTTAATTTCTTGGGATCGTGGTTGTGGATATAAATCACCTCAATCGCCCTTCAAGTTGCTCCCTCCGTCTTTCGTTACGGACACCTGTGCTTCTTGACCGATCCACCCCCTTTTTATCCCACTTTAATTTCAATTGCTGTCAACATGGCTCCCACGGCCCTCGAACAGGAGAACCATGCGCGTGATGCGGAATTCAACCGCATCCTCCATGGAAAGTCCGCCCAAGCTCAGGGTGGCTTCGCTGCCATGCGCAGCAAGGATGCCGATGCCCAGAAGGCTGCCGTCGACGAGTACTTTAAGCACTGGGACAACAAGGGCCATGAGGAGGAAACTGAAGAGACCCGTGCGGTATGCTGCAGCTCTGTCCTTGGGATGTATATCTGTGTGTGCTAATATTTTGCGATCTAGGCCCGTCGTGCGGAGTATGCGACCTTGACCAGACAGTACGTACCCATTGAAAGTCAATTCCGTGGCTTCAGGACTGACCCGACTACAGCTACTACAACCTTGCGACGGACTTCTACGAGTACGGATGGGGCACATCCTTCCATTTCTGCCGCTTCGCTGCTGGCGAGCCCTTCCACCAGGCCATCGCTCGTCACGAACACTACCTCGCTCACCAGATCGGCATCAAGAGCGGCATGAAGGTTCTCGATGTGGGCTGCGGTGTTGGCGGTCCTGCCCGCGAGATTGTCAAGTTCACTGACGCCAACGTCGTCGGTCTGAACAACAACGACTACCAGATCCAGCGCGCCACCCGGTACGCTGAGCGGGAGGGATTGAGCGACAAGTTGACCTTCACCAAGGGAGACTTCATGCAGATGAGCTTCGAGGACAACACTTTCGATGCCGTGTACGCCATTGAGGCCACCTGCCACGCCCCCGAGCTGGAGGGTGTGTACTCGGAAATTTTCCGTGTCCTGAAGCCTGGTGGTGTGTTTGGTGTCTACGAATGGCTGATGACTGACGAATACGACAACAACAACGCTGAGCACCGCCGCATCCGTCTGGGTATCGAGCAGGGTGACGGTATCTCCAACATGGTCCCCATCTCGGTGGGTCTCGAGGCCATGAAGAAGGCCGGTTTCGAGCTCCTCCATAACGAGGACTTGGCTGCCCGCCCCGACACCATCCCTTGGTACTACCCCTTGGCTGGATCCTTCAAGCACATGACCTCCCCTTGGGACTTCCTGACCATTGCTCGCATGACCTGGTGGGGCCGTGGCATTGCCCACCGCTTCGTCGGTGCCATGGAGAAGATCGGTCTTTTCCCCCAGGGCTCTCAGAAGACCGCCGACAGCCTGGCGTTGGCCGGTGACTGCCTGGTGGAGGGAGCTCAAAAGAACTTGTTCACTCCCATGTACCTCATGGTCGGTCGCAAGCCCGAGTAAACGGTTTCCAAAATTTGCATTATGCGATAACGCCTGTACAAACATCTTCTGTGACAGCATCCTATTCATAGATGGCACGGCGGTCTATGTTCTTTAATATCCCGGTTTTTTTTTTTTCTTTTCTTTTTCTTTTCCTATCTTTTTCTCGTGTGTCATTATATTGCATACCGCCGCGGGATGCTATGGTTTTTGTGCCTTGTTTCTGTTCTACCTCATGTCCTGCCCATATGATATGGGCAGTGAACGAATCACTGCTGAGTATGCGCCGATGGTGATGATTGATCCTTTCTGTTACTTGTCATTTGTGGGTCAGATAGATTTAATAGCGACTACCAGGAATAACGAGTCAAATATACCACCTGTATTCATGCCCAACCATCCAACCATGACAATATGCCTTAGGCAATTACCTCGCCACCTCAATTTCCCTCACCTCACCCCCCTCCATCTCCTTCTCCTTGAACCGATCATCCAAAAACTCCTCCGCGACCGGATTCGCATGACTCACCACCGCATCCTTCCCATCAAACAACAGCGCAACTTGCTCCAAACTCGGTCCTTTGGTCTGTACATATCCCTCATCAGCAAAAGTACCCTCCAACATCAACACCACCCAATACCACCACTTCCAGGCAAAATTTGGGGGCAAAGGGGAGGGAGCATACCTCAATAAAGAAGAAATACACCACCACAAACTCAACGACAATCCACCCCACGTAGAAGAAATAGTATTTCCATGCAAAGGCATCGATTCCGAGGGGATTCACGTAGGTGTTAAATGCCCCTGTGGCGCCGGTGACGAGCCAGAAGAGTGCGATGCCTTTGGCGCGTAGGGAGTAGGGGAGGATTTCGACCACTGGGATATTATTTAGCTCTGTTTCGGGGGGGAAGGTATTTCGTGGGGGTAGATGGGGTGTGGAGGATGGGATGGTATGGGAGAAAGGATCACATACCATATAGCATCATCGCACCCGTCCAGCCAAGGTTATGTACTCCGTTGTAGATATAGATGAAGGCGACGGTAGCGTACGATGCAGACCGACTACCTGTTTCGACGAACACGCCGGTGCAGGCTGTGATGAGGGCGAAGACGAGCCAGATGAGGCCCATGGACCAGAGGAGGAGGGGTCGACGACCGACGCGACCAGGGAGAAAGGCGAAGGCGAGGGCGCAGGCGAAACTGAACATTTGGCTGGTGGCGGTGATGAGGGTGGTGTCGACTTCACGGGTGATCCCGGCCGATTTGAGCATGCTGCTGAGGTAGTAGCTTATTAGGCCGTTGCCGGACCATTGTTTGCAGATTCCTGGGTAGGATGTTAGGTGGTGGTGGGGATGGGGTAGGGATGGGATGGGGGGTGCTCACCACACCAGATCAGGATGAAGGAGCGCCATCGGTTGCCTCGGGTGTTGATGAGTTCCATCCAGGAGGTCTTGTTGGCGGCGATTTCAAGCTCGATGGTTTCTTTCATCTCTTGGAATTCGTATTGCACGACGGTGTCGTTGGCGTCGCCGTTGCCGTGGTATTTGGCTAGGATGGCTAGGGCGGCTTGGTCGCGGCCTCGGCTGATGAGCCAGCGAGGAGATCTGGTCTGTTAGTGATGAACGCGGGAGTAGATGGGAGGCTTACTCTGGGAGGACGAAAGCTCCAACTAGTTGGATCAAGGAAGGAAGTGCTTGGAAGACGGTTGGAATGCGCCATGCCCTATCTCTGATTGAGGATGCGTAGATATGGTTCAGTATGGGGGACATACCATGCATTTGAAAGTCGGAAAGATCCAAATGTAATCCAGGCTGCAATAATTGCTCCGCCGCTATACGTAGTGTTCGACATGGAGGTTGCTGTTGCTCGATGGTCAGGATAGGCCAACTCACCCATCCAGACGGGTCCGATCGCTGCGACAACCACGCCTCCCATGCCTAGCAGCAAACGAGCTGCGATGAAGAGGCCAGAGCTTGAGGCCCCTGTGGCCATGCCAGTACCAGCTAGGCATAAGATTGCACCAAAGAACAAGCTGTATCTGCGACCGAACCTGTCGGAAATGAAGGAGATGAACACGACACCGACAATGTTTCCTGGATATTCAGTTAAGACAAGGATAGCGGTATCCTATATACTGTGACTCACCTATCCAGTACATCGCACTCATAGCACCTAGAAGACTGCCATGGGGGTGGTGAAAGTCTGTCGCACGTCAGTCAATCCGGCCAACTGCATGAGAGATGACATGCCTTCCTGCCAGACAGTCAACTCCTGTACGTTGTTGATCAAAGACGCATCGTAGCCTTGAGTGAACTCGCTGAACATGAGGAAAAACAGCATCAAGTTCAGCTTGCGCAGACCAGTGTCCCTCCACCACGGTCCTTGCTTGTTGCTGACCACCGTTGTGTCCTCGAGCGCTCTGCGATCGACATGCTTCTCTGTACTGCCAGCCATGGCGGGCGTTGCTCGATTCAACACTCCTTGCTACCGTCATCAACTCAGAAACTCCAGTACCGGGAGATATATGAAAGGTCCCCACTGAAGGAAACTCATCACATGGTTAGTTAAGCACAGTAAGCCTTCTTGGGTTAATATCCGGGCCAAAAGCTGGGGGAAATGCGGGGCTGAGCGTGAAGATCCCTCCCCAGAGTGCATTCAATCCTCGGCATAAAACAGCCCGAAGCGATTGGATGGACTTTGTTGACAGCTAGAAGTGCTGTGGCAACTTATCTGTTCCTCCTGTTGGTGGAAAATAAATTCCTAGACGTTGTCACAAGCAAGGACTTTCATGAAATTGACTTTCTGGTTAGAGGCTTGAATTAGGCCTGGTCTACGCATGGTCATGCGGCTGAGCGCTCGAAGGGCTCTTTTATGCGCACATGGCTTTCACTGCGCGAGTTGGTTGATGTCAAATTGTAGCACAACGACCTTCCTTTTCCCGTCGTCCATGTCCTTTAGCATGAGAATTGATAGGACCCCGAATTGAGCGAATGCCTCTTCGTCGACCAGCGGCTCCCCAGTATATCCAAGTTCCCTCCATACTACTTGAGCTTCTCCTCTTGTCTCAGCCATGCTTCGCCGTATAATTATGAGTTCACGCTCTGTGTTGGATGGGAGGATAAAAAAGACAGCATCGAGCTTCTCGCTGTGTACAACCTTGCCCCGAGGTCCGGTAGGTGTTGGATAAATATCAGGTAGCGCGAAAGAGTCCCATTGATCGCTTGATGGAGAGCGGTAGTAGTGCACCCACGTTTCCTTTCCACTGGTATTTTCCCGGTTCAGCACATGTACTGCTCCGTTAGCATCGACGTACTGTGCCTCCTGGTTCATGATGCCACTGTTCCTCGGGATTTCCCTCGCAAGCAGCCGACGATCCTGGGAATCAAGTCCGGTTCCTAAACGTGATAACAGGGTAGCCACTGGCTGTTGCTCTGATCCATACCATGAGACTCCGTTGTCCCGGCTGCACGCATGGTATAAGCCTTCATTATTCTCGGGGCCGTTTGGACCAGCCTGTGCTTTGTGGGCTGTTGAAGCGCCATCGTTCGCCCCCTCGTAGTCGATAAAGTGTCGATTTGTCCAGGTAACGTGTAAGCAACCAGTTGGTAAGTGGTAGGAAAGCCCGTTTGGGTATGGGTTGCATTTCCTTCCAACCAGATAGGTTCCTAAATAGGCAAATTGCGCGGTGTCAGGATCGTAGCAGTAGAGGATATCGGAACCAGCGCCTGCTCTGTCGACTTGTCAGATTCTATCCGTGGAGGAGTTGCATCTTACGTACTTTCCAATGCGGCACTCGAAATACATCTGCTTTCCCGCCGGAATGAATCGTGGATATGTAACATCCACCAGGGTATTGCATCCGGGTAAATGATCCAGGATTGTACCGAAATTTTCTGTTGTCCAGCTGGATTTGTTGGGGTCATCTGCTAGACCTGGCCGTGAGATGCGATACCTCAGCGTGTCACAGTGGTGATCAAACGACACGTGAATTGTTCCATCACCAGCACAGATCCCGATCGATATAGTGTTGTGTCCATCATCAGTTGTTTGTTCGTAGTCTTCAAAAGTCAAATACTGCCAGTCGGATGGAGCATCTTTGATGTGATGGCGTGCAATGGTAACTCGTCTGCCTCCGGATGCTTCACGCGAGGTATAGAAAGCGACATACTGGATGCCGTCAAAGGTCGTGATAGCCGACTGTTGGTAAGCACAGGCATTTAGGCGGTGCGTAGTATTGGGGTCATCACCCAGAGTGGCTATAGAGAAAAGAGCCATGACCAGGCAATTCTGTGATGTCCTATAGTCAGTACTGGACTTCACCGTGGACGGCTCAATCGAAGAACGAGCGGCTTTCGAGGCACGTGAAGCAGCCAGGCCATCTCAAGGAACCAGGCAGTTTCCTGCCCCTCCCACCTGATTGACCCTTTCTTCCCGTCGACCCCTCGCTCCCCAGGACAAGACACGGCCGCTGAAGAATCTAGGATGCAGCTGATGTTTGGTGGAAGATCTCAAGTTCCATTCGCCCATCCCCGCATCAGACTGCAACCCCGCCGCGCCAGTCGATCTCCGCCGGTTCCATCGTCAATGGCCAGCCATTCACCGATCGTCTTGCAATAAACTCCCCCGGCGTTAAGTCGACTTGCTCGCATTAATTTACCCGAGGTGGGCCCATGATGACGATACTCCTTCACGGGAAATAACCGATGGGACGGATGATGGACGTATGAGTTTCAGGAGGCCGATTCAGTGGCTACAATGGTTGAAATAGTGGTCATGAAGACCGTTGTGAAAATTCTTTCCCCAGATTATCGACAGAATCGACGTTGCAACATAATTGAAACCTAACCATGGCTGGCCTCAGACTGAATGCTCCCAGCGTTCCCGCTCTTCTACTTGTGGCTGGAAGTGTTGTCAATGGCCTCAGTTTTGAAATTCCGTCATCAGCTCCAGCAAACTCTAGTGGTCAACTGGATGCCGCTCCTGTCGGCATCTCGTGAGTAATGCTATTCTTGTGGAGAAGGGTATGGGCTGATTACAGTAGCTTCGAGTTTTTCGCCTTTCCAGAGTATTTCCAACAGCTGCCATTGACGAATTCTTGCTTGGGACAACTGCACGAGGCAATGGGAGCGTATTCTCCGATCCGAATTGGAGGGACAACACAGTGAGCTATTGATTGTTTCTCCCACTTTATTCCAGTCCTCCTAATTATCCTCAAGGGATCGTGCTACATACAATGCCTCTCTATCGTCAGCAGTGTCGTACAGCGTTGACTCACCCGATGATGCACCGGAAACTCTGACGTTCGGAGACTCTTTCATGGACATAGCCGCTGCCTACGAGGGGACGGTAACAGTGGGTATGTCATCACAGTTCAATGTTCTTTGAATATGTCCCAGTTGGCTTCCGAGCAATGCTGAACTACGTCTAGGACTTAACAGGCGATTGGACAATCTCAGCAATACCATCGCCGCGGCGAAGATTGCCAAATCTAAAATCGCTAATCTGTACGCGATTGAGCTTGGCAATGAGCCAAACTGTACGTTGATTCTCTGTTTCAATTGGGATAGACATGTTAACGACTCGCCAGTCTTCACATCAAGCGATCCAATTGCGGACGGTGAGACATGGACGGCCGCAGCTGATGCGGCATCGCAGGTCTCGTGGCAAGCATCTGTAAGCGATGCCTTGGATGAGAAGTCTTTCGCCCAAGCTGGGGTCTTCTTCGGTTTGGGTTCATTCAGCGTCACCAATCTTGCAGAGAAAGAGGAAGATACTGATTCAACTCAATACGTGCGGTCTTTCTGCCATCATTACTATCCACAGTCGGCTTCTACGGCAGATCTTGACGAATTGATGAGCCACACGGAGATAGTGGATGGGGTAACAGAGTTTCAAGCCCAGGTAGTAGCGGCACAGAATCTCAGCAAAGACTTTGTCTTTGGGGAAACCAATTCAGGTATGCCAATCTATCACAAGCCATGTGCAGCTGCTAATTTGAAGCCAGCTACTGGGGGAGGTGGCGGGATTAGCCCTACTTTCGGTGCCGGGCTTTGGATTCTCGACTATGTCATGCAGGCCACCATTCTAGGGGTTAAAGTAAGTTTATCCCCGATCCGGATCTGAATTTCTAATCTGACCCTGGCAGCAATTGTTCTTTCACCAAGGAACCATCGGTAATTGTACGTATTTCATGATTCTTTTGCTTGTTGAGCCAGTAGCTAACCATTAAGCCAGGCCCATACTGCTGGTGGGATGAGTCGGTAAATGCACCATTCTACGGTGCCTATACGGCTGCACTTGCACTCTCCGGTGCCTCCAAAATCGCGGAGCTTGACACTGCAGATACCCGATTCGCTGCATATGTCTTCTACGACAGCAGTGACGAGCCTATCCGTGTGTTGTTGTACAATTCCGAGTATTACGCCTCAGGGACACGAAGCAGTGTGAATGTCACTCTAAGCGGCATTCCATCAACGTCCACATCTGTGTCTGCTGTGCGATTGACTGGAGATGCCGCGACAACGATTGTCGGGGAGGGGGCGATTACCGTCGCGGGCCAGACCTTTGCGAACGGGACATGTGAGTTGCAGGGGACGAAGAACATGGAGACGACCGATGAAACCGCCGGGGAAGCAACATTCACGGTGCAGGCATCTGAAGCGTTGCTTATTTACCTATAACTTCAACACCGAAGCTATGTAGACAGAGTCAAATCAGATGAGATTCATCCCAGACGGGAACAAAGAAAGAGCCTTAAACCGGGGACATCCTTGGGCTTGCTTGCCACTTTTCTTAACCGTATAGCCGAAGATCCGGGTTGGCTCGACCCTTCGGGCTCCGAAAGGCCCGAACATTGCGCGATGCGCGAGCCAGCCCTGAGCGCCGGAGTTAAGCGCCATCTTTGCCTGATTCGGATAATTTCCCGTTTTCAGCTGGCCATTCCAACCAGTGAGCAATGGTGGACAAGGATGTGATGAGGCACCAGAAAAACATGGCTTCGTTCTAAAGCTGCGCGTCCTTCCAAAAAGGTCTAGGAACGCCAGGTGGCATGGTACTTATATCGTTCTGGATTTCCGTCTTACCCACGCTGATCCTGCCACTCCCATCCACCGAACTTGATCCCTATATTTGGGTCTAAGGATGAGCTCCGATAAGGTCCAGATGGCCGAAACTGGCAGCAAGGTTGAGCCCCCTCCTACTGCCGTCTCGTTCTTCGATCCCGCACTCAAGACAGCCCGTCGCAGTGTGTTTTTTCAATGGGGCCGAACAGGTCCGTGTTCTACTATTCGACCCTTAATGATCGCTGGTGATATACTAATTCCCTTGCTACTCAGTCTTGCTCCTTTGCGTCTTCATTCTCTGTATCCTGTCTTTGTTCTGGGCCGTAGAGTTTCACACCGAGTCCAGATTCCCCAAGCTGACCGTCTGGGTTGTCGATTTTGATGGCCAGCTGGAGCCCTATCGCAATGAAACTCCCATCGTGGGCCCAGCCGTGACCGAGGTGGTGGATCAGATCCTCACCTCAAGCAGCGAGCACCTCGGCTATACGATCAAATCCCCGGCAGACTTTAACAATGATCCCTGGGCCGTGCGTCAGGGAGTGTACGATGAGCATGCATACGCCGCCGTCATCGTCAATGCCAACGCCACTGCTCTGCTCCGTGATGCTGTCGTCAACGGAAACTCATCCTACGACCCTTTGGGCGCAGCCGAGTTCGTCATCATCAGTGCTCGCGATGAATCCACCTATTATAACTACATCATGCCGTTCCTATCCCAGTTCGACCTCGCCGTTCGGTCGTACTTCGGACCCCGCTGGATACAAACCGTCGCTCAGGAGGGATACAACATCACCCAAGTGCCACAGGCCATCAACCCAGCCATCGGGTTCACCACGATCGACCTTCGAGCTTTCAGACCGGCTGTCATTTCTCCGTCCGTGAGCATCGGTCTGATCTACCTAATTATCCTCGCCTTCTTCAACACGCCATTCATGATGCCCATCCACATCCAGTTCATCAAGGGCAAGCATCCCCCATTGAAAATCCCCCAGTGGCTCGCGTGGCGCATCTTGTCCAACATCGGCACCTACTTCTTCCTCTCCCTCTTCTACTCGTTCGTGTCCTTGGCCTTTCAGATCCCGTTCAACAACCCCTCCGCACCGGACACCCAGCCAGCCGCCAACCCTAATGCCTACGGCCACGGCTCCTTCGTCGTATACTGGATGCTGAACTGGGTGGGCATGTGTGCGCTTGGTTTTCCCTGCGAGAACATGGCCATGATCATCGGTCTCCCGTGGAGTGCGCTCTTCCTCATTTTCTGGGTCATTACCAACGTAGCGACCGGCTTCTACGCTCTAGACCTCGCACCAGGCTTTTTCCGATGGGGCTACGCCTGGCCTCTTCACCGAAGTAAGTGTCCCAGTACTCCATATACCCACCCCAGTCAACTCAGCTAACAAATCACAGTCGTCGAAGCCCTACGCACCATTCTTTTCGACACCCATTCCCGGATCGGGCTCGACTTTGGCATCCTATTCTGCTGGATTGCGTTCTCGATTGCTCTGTTCCCGTTTGCTGCGGCGTTTATGCAGTGGAAGATTAAGCGGGGCTGGGCGTGATTCAGTTCGTTCTCCAGCAACCCAAAATAGACTAATTTCTAGATTTTCGGCTTTTTAGTGTTGACGGTCGCTTCGTTAAAATAGATCTATGCTGTGCTAATCTGTATTTAATATCCATACCCTCTCTTCTCTTCCATCATGTACATATTTTCTCGTCCCTGTTGTAGGGTCATAATATGTAATGTACTGTGCTTGCATGTTATAATGTACGATGTATATTACAGTAGACATGAACGAGGCTACGTCGATCTAATCATCGACAAAGCTAAACTTCCATATGGTAGAGAATCTACGCCCCAAGCCTGGACAGGTCGGTGCCCAACCGTACCTCGGCCCACTCATTACAATACCCATAGCGTTTGGTTAACCCAGGTGTCGGCCCCATATTGAAACAAAACATATTTATTATAAATTAAAAATAAAGAACTTGCACATCTACTCCGTACAACCCACTCACCAAATCACGTGAGATATAGAGGGGGATAAAAGGAAGCAAAAGATCTGTCCCGAGGGAGGTTCGAACTCCCGGCCTTGGGATCGCATGGAAGTTTGAATCTTCCACGTCATACTGGAGTATGAGACCCACGTGATAACCAACTACACCATCGAGACGACTTGTTGAGTTACACAAACTTAGTATAACTTATATCCCATTAACACTTGTATGGAATCTGCCGGTGGTCTGCGCGCACGGGATTGTTTCTGGGGGCGTGATGGGGTTTCTGAGGGAGTGGTGAGTATTTTGGGTTGGGTTGTTGGTGGGCTTGTGATTAACTGAGTTTTGGGGTGTTATTTTGGGGAGGGTTGTGTGGTCAGGGGTTTAGTCTGTGATACGGTGGAATATATTTCTGGTTGCGGTTGAGGCATCTGGATTAATTGTTCGTTGGTGAATCTGCCGCAATACAAGAACTGCCAGGGCACTGTGCAGCTGGAATATTTCTCGAATCACTGCATAAGCAATGCTCAAAGCCACTGTATAAACAATGGCATTATGTGGCAGCAACTGTGATTGTGCATACGTTAGTGGGAACAGAAAGCGGGGTCCGACGTGACAAGGGATTATGGCACTACTACAATGGTCAATGGTCAATGACATTCTGGTTCAAACTGCCAAGTATCAGCCGTCTTACCGCGGCCCATACCCTTCATACTCTGTGTGAAATACTGCACATGAGGTAATCTACGGCGGTTCGGAATTCAGACATCAGGCTGCAGTGGCTCTTCAGCACAGACCTCCCCGGTTGAGTTGCTCCCCTCCATTTCATACGATAAAGCCGAGTAGCAGCGAGCCACTGACGTTTGTCCATAAAACTTAGTATCACTCTGCCAGATGTTGATCAGGCCCCCCTTTACCAAGTAGGGACTGTCTCCGAAGCCGGATAGGGCCGAGATGTCATACTGTCACCCCTCGATTGCCGTGACAGATCGGGCCTGTCAGCAGATCATGCATCGGCCCTGCAGCAGTCCACCTGATACCGGACGAGAACCAATATGCGATCGATTCTCGGCAATTTGCTGCAAAAGACGTATTCAGGTTGGGATCTTAATGAAAGTACCTGGAGCAAGGCGACGATGGTCCGGGCGCTGACCTGAGACTTCCTGGAGATGACGGGATGTCATTTAAGCACCTAGTGCTAGCGGCTGCTGCTAGTGCTGCTCCCACCAGGCACCTCCGAATGAGTTCTCCACAGCACCCCTTGCCATCTGGACATCCTCCGACCTGTCACAAGTACCCCGTCTATCTCAGCTAGCCTCACGCCAATCCCGATAAACTCTCGTGAATCGCAGTGCCTCCACCCCACATATAAGCGATGGATCCCCGGCTGATATTTCCTCGAGCCCACCCACCTTTGAGAGCACCCCGTTTCGTTCCACCTCCCCTTTAGCGCAAACCTTGTTCTGAAAGATGGCCGACACGATCCAGCACACCCACAGCCGTCCAGCCAGATACGATATTGTCATAGTTGGGGCCGGGTTTTCGGGCATATTCCTGTTGTATCACCTGCGCAAGCTTGGCTACTCGTGTCGGGTCTATGAAGCAGGAGATGATATTGGGGGAACATGGCAGCAACACATCTACCCCGGTGTGCGGGTGGATTCGGAAAACTGGGTTTATCAACTCTCCATCTCAGAGATATGGGAGGATTGGTCGTGGAGTGAACTGTACCCCTCTGGCCAGGAACTCCGCCGGTACTTTGCCCACGTGGAGAAGAAGCTCCACATCAAAAAAGAAGTGGAGTTCCAAACCAGGGTGGTAAAGGCCCAATTCCTTCGTGAAAAGAGTCGATGGCGCATTGAGACACAGGACGGTCGGGTCACCGAATCGCAATTCTTTCTGACCTGTGTGGGAACTTCAGCAAAGCGCTACACACCCGACTTTCCCGGAGTGGAGCATTTCAAAGGTGCTATTCATCATTCCTCACGCTGGCCGCGCGAGGGTGTCAACGTTCGAGGGAAAAAGGTGGCCGTGATAGGCACGGGTTCCACGGGGGTTCAGCTCATTCAGGAATGGGCCCGGGAAGCGGACACTCTGACCGTGTTTCAGAGAACCCCCAACCTGGCTTTGCCAATGCGACAGCTTCAGCTTCCACCAGAACAGGATTTTATGAAGACGGTGTACCCGCACGTCTTTCGGGATCGCGAAAGAACCTTTGCCGGCACCGGATTCGAGCCAGTACCTAAAGGAACATGGGAGGTCTCCCCCGAGGAGCGGGAGGCGCTGTACGAAGCCAACTGGAAAAAAGGCGGGTTTCATTTGTTAATCGGAAGCTATTTTGACAGCTTCTTGGATCAGAAAGCGAACCGATTGCTGTACGACTTTTGGGCCAGAAAGACCCGCCCGAGGATCCATGACCCCAAGAAACGGGACCTCCTGGTGCCGAAGGAGCCACCACATCCATTCGGGGCCAAGCGCGGGTCCCTGGAAGAGAACTATTTCGAAGTGTTTAACCAGCCCAATGTCCACCTGGTGAACCTACGTGAGGACCACATTGTCGAGTTCAAGTCCCATGGCATCGTGACGAGCAGTGGTGCGTTTCACGAGCTTGACGCAGTCGCATTTGCAACAGGTTATGATGCTGTAACGGGAAGTCTGATCAATTTGGGGCTTCGGAACACCGAAGGCAAATCCTTAGAGGAGGAATGGAAGGATAGTGCGAAGACATACCTAGGGCTGACAATCAGCGGCTATCCGAATATGTTCGTCATGTATGGGGTCCATGGCCCAACAGCACTCTCCAATGGACCCGCGAGCATCGAGATGCAGGGTCGTATGATCATTGACGTGATCCAGAGAATGCATGCCAACCAACTGTCATCCATCGAGGCTACACCGGAAGCCGCAGATGCGTGGACAAAACGGGTGGAGGAGATCAGCAACGCGACGCTGTTCCCTCAAGCAGACTCTTGGTACGTTGGAGCGAACATTCCGGGGAAGAAGCGACAGATGCTGAATTTCTGTGGGGGATTGCCGGCCTATGAAGAGGCATGTGCTCAGGCTTTGTCGAATTGGGAGGGGTTCCGGACTTTCCAAAGGCCGCATCTCAGCTGAGTGGCTGACGTTGGTATATCAGTCCGTTGACCATATCCGATGTCAAGTACCACGTAGACTAGAGGAACATATCCCTCCAAGCCACGGGTGTAGATGATATAGTATAGCAACTGTCTCAACATTCGACATATAGAAGAACAATCATTTAGCTCATAATTCAAACACCATACGGTAATGACGGTCGGACTATTGGCATCCAACGAATAATCTTCGAGACACGGATTCCTCACCCCAAGTGCCATGTCTTAGGACTTCCGTAGCCCCTCTATATTATTAGTGCAGCGTCACCTCTCTGTAATCTTCAGCTTCGAAGCCAAAAATCTCTGAGCCATGAAGAGAAGGGGTACCGATGACCGAAGCTGCTGTGTTGTTACAGCCAGGCCGAAAGATGAAAGGAATGAGACCCCGGGGGACACAAATGCCATCCCCGCACCTTCCCTAGCCGCTTCGAGAACCAGACCGAGCAAGCCATTTCTAATCCTGATCATTTTTCTCTTCCCCCGATAGACAAGCAATTATCTTGGTGTGTGACTATAGACCATGGACCTTTTTGCAGGTGGCGTGGCTATTTTTCTCAACAGCCCAACTCTCTGGTCATCATGGCAGCGGGAATGAATCCAAGGCGCTCACTCATCATTGCTACTCTCGCCGACCAGAAGACGGGTATTATTCCCGCCCCACGACCCAATCACGATCCCGCCACGGTGATGGCTCCAGAAATCTTGAACCGTGCCGTCAACCGCGCTCGGTCCTTCAGTGACCAGCCCAGCCCTGAGAGTGACATATCGTCCTCGGTCCCAACAAGGACATGCCCCACGAGCTGTTCGGTGAAAAGGGAAGCATTTCCAGCATCCGCCTGCCAAGTAACCCCGGGTCGGGCCGCCGTAAGGATTCGGCTACGTCCGGTACTCGCCCGGTGATGAGGACGAGCAGTGCTGAGGCGGCTGACCGCCCCGTGCATCTGGACGTAAGCGCTATCTCCAATCGAGCTTTCTGTGAGAGGTCGCTTTCGTGACTAGTTCATTGATCGCTGGTCATCCAGACGTTCCGCCACGACCCGATGGGCCATGTCCTAACCGTGTCTGGTGAGCATGTGCTGGACGCATTGATACCATTCACCACAGCAGTCGATCAGAATCATAATCTGATGATGATGTCACTGTTTTCAGGAGACTGATTTTCTACTCAAACCAGATTTCGGAAGCACCGAGGCTAGGCCTAAGGTTGGACACGGCGCGTGTCGGCTAGAGAAGACCCCGAGGTAATCTGGGGCTGGCCACATTGTCATTGCATTCTGAGTATTGGTGGATAGAAACTCCGCAGAGTTAGTTTTCGCTGTTCTTTCATGCGCTTCACAACTTGCCGCGTGATTTATGCTCAACTATTTCTTGAGGTTGATATGGGAAGAGTCTACCGTGAGATACACCTGCCAAGAACGGTTCAACTGTCACTATATAGACATGATGTTCGCGTGCATTCTCCTGCTGTATATCTCGTAACGACTGTACTAGATAGGCATGTGGCCTCGATGAAGTGTTGATTGACGATCCTGCCTGAACAAAGGCTGCACCCTTGTAGGCCGGTTGTACAGTGTGAAACCAGACCCACGAATGTCGTGATCATATCACACCAACTTATTGTTCAGCCTCGGGCTCCTGGGGACAATTAATGGATCCCGAAATGCGAGCTCCCAGCAGGCAATGATATTCCCGCAGTTCCTGCAAAAGAAATCCTCGCTAGCGGCCTCAGGTTCTGCAGGCAACCCGGGTGGGGCTGTAAGGCTGCCAAGAGCACCGGAGCAGCCGATCTTCACCTTTCCATCCACTTCATCCTTCCAAGGAACCACTGTTATTATTTTTTCTGTGCTACGCGATGCATACTAAACCCAATATGATTGGTCGAGAATGGGTGCACTGGGACACTTCAAGGTTCTCGGTAAGCCCTGCGCCATTTGAGATTTCTAGATAGTCCAGACCGGGCTTACTGATTGTTTGCTTTCAGCTAGCCATTTCACTCGAGGCAAGATTGATCCAGCGCTAAATTGGGTTCTACCATGGATGATCCATCCTTCCACGCAGGTGCTGGATTGATTTGCTGAAATCAGATCTCACTCGTCACCAATGCTCTCGCCCCATCTTAATGGTGTCGGGCTGGTTTGGCCGCAGGTGCATAAAAAGTAATATGGCACCACCCATACCCACCAAAGCCCGGGGCCCCGATGGTGCGTGGCAGCAAACCGAGGCTAGTCGAAAATCAATTTCAGAGGCTTGTTCCTTCCGAAGCGCACGCTAAGCTCTTTCGAAGCACGCTGATGCGGTGATGCATTTTCCAGCAGGTTCTACGCAAGCATCCCAGAACATGGCTGTCTGTTTAGCCCTAAGATTGAAGGTTAAAGCATGCAGAACGGACTCCTTTGCATCGCGGAATGAATTCTCGCAGTAAGCTAGGCGTGATTTATTGACCCGGTCTGCCAAACGACACTCTCTTCTCCGGCTTGAACAGACTATTGATGCACTTATGCATTTACACTGGACCTAAGCTGCAGCGTGCAACAAGCTTGCGGATGCAGATCAATAATAAGTCTCCTGCATCCAATGCTTCATTTGAAACGGTAACGAGTCTCAGCCGGCGTTCCACCCGGAGTTCCCGCATTCCATACGCTGTGGCTGCTGTGCTACTCTACCCTCGCAGCTGATCATGGCCAGCGGTAAGCATCAATATGATTGGAGATACAACACCTAAGGTGTCGGCTCAATGAAGACTACCCACAGATGCGCCCCCGGCTGGTATGTCTTCTATTGGTTGCGCGCTGAGAGAGATCGTCATATGCATTTCTGTTAAGATCCTCAGAGCCTGTTTAAAGGCCCGCTTCAAAGTTCGTAGAACCTGTGTGCAAAGTCTACCCGATCTCCATAACAGGCAGTCATTCTCTCCCGGATCGTCCTCCACCATCTGCATGATAATGACGCATTATATGGCTGTGATGCACGATCGTTTGTCGACTACCTCAAGTACTAGCCTCCAGCGTTGCAAGTATGCTATACCTCGGATTTAAATGCATCCTCCTTATGGTCGAGTTGACTGCATCCAGAAGTGCTAGGATATTTGTCAGTGTAGAAAAGCCACCGAGTGTCTCGGGCATCTGCAGGTGCCATATAAATACACACTCAATTTCGTCTGTTCGGATCCTAGACTATACAGAAATCATGTCTAGCCCTTCCAGCGAACAGCCCCAGTACCGCAATCGCCCCGGCTCGGCTTGTGCAGAATGCCGTCGCCGGAAGATGCGCTGCGATGGGAAACATCCCGAGTGCGATAATTGCTCTATCGCGGGTATACAATGTATATTCAGTTCCCAGCCTACACGCCGGGGTCCGAAGAAAGGTCATTTGAAGACCCTGCACATGCGCATCGGTAAGTCTTGACCGGTCTCACATACCAATACTCATCTGTGATAGCGCACCTCGAGAGTAAATTGATGGGACAGCGGCATCAGCGTTCTGCAGAGTCTGTCACGGATGATGACATTGTACCTGTGCGACCTCCTTTACGTGCCTGCACTGGGGAGTCGCAATTAGATGTGCTTCTCCAGGAGTTCGATATTCCAGGGATGACCCCTGTGCCACCATTCATAGGGGCGATCCCCATCTCGGAGTTACTGCACGCCGAGCTGTAGGTGTTCCGATGCAGCTACCGGCTGTCTTCTATCGTACTGTTGTGCTGAGCGAACTAGTGACCAGCTGTATTTCGACCGTGTCCATGTTTTTGCCCCAATTGTCAACAGAGGTCGCTATCTATCCTGGAGCAAGGATGTCGACAAGTCAGCATCAAAGATGTGCTTGCAGTACGCCATGTGGACAATGACCGCGTCCATGTCCGCCCAGCTGGATTATCTCTGCGACCCGCTCTACCGGTCTGCGCGGCAGTTGTTAGACTCCTCACAACTCGCGGATGATAATATAGCATTCTACCAGATCGAACACGTACAGGCATGGTTGCTACTTGCCATTTACGAGTTCACGCACCAGACCTTCCGTCGCGGGTGGATGAGTGCTGGGCAGGGCATCCGACTTGTGCAGATGATGAACTGGCATAGGATTGATATTAACGAGTGTAACCCGGGATTCCGCAGTATATATGGTATGCAGGAGCTCATTTGCGAAGAGGAGAAGCGTCGTGTGTTCTGGATGGCATATATCCTTGACCGATTTGTCTCTCTGCAGTTGGAGAACCCGCTGACGTTCGATGAGCGGCTTGTACGTTGATTAATCTGCGCTTGGTCTAGTCGCTGATATCTGGCAGATAGCGACACGATTACCTGCCACGGAGGAGGCCTTTCAGACCGGCCAGCTGAGTCGGCCCACCGGGTTTCTTTCGGAGTTGATCACTGCCAGGGATTCACCACCCCAGACAGAGCTAACAGATTGGATTGTACTAGCGGCGTTGTGCGGACAAAGCATGTTGCACCGGCAGCAGACCACCGCCGAGCAAGTCAACTGTGGCGTATCCACTAGCTTCTGGGAGCGGCATACCTGGCTCGATGCTATTCTGGTCCAGAAAGCGCAGCTCATTTCAACACTTCGGCCCGTGCTAACGATGCCCGTCCATCCAATGGCCTTGTTTCTGAATCTCGTGGCACAGTCGGCTCTTCTCTCCCATTCGATGGCGGTGGACTTGCTCATCAGTGCGGAAAACGAGATGGTCTTACCGGGTCGACAACAGGCGTTGATGGCTGCACAGGAGATTGTCCGACTGACCGGAATGGTGTCACAGCTGAGCTACTTCGAGGTAACGATTCTCGTTCTTGTCTTGACCAAACTGACATCTGTAGATCCATCCGTTCATGCCGCTTCCGGTCATTGTCTGCGCCAAGTACTTGGTGCGTCCGGGCATGGATGCCTCGTGTGCAGTGCAGCTGCAGGAAATCCTCGGTACCGTGCAGCACTTGGCGAGCACCAACTATCTCTGTCGGGAGTGGGTTATGCAGCATTCACATTTGTTCCCTCCAGACCCCAGCTATTCGTGAGATAATCTATAGATATGCCCAATTTATTGCTGTAGTCTACTAGGTGGAGTATTCTGTCTCACCCTCAGCAACGCATCCAACTTCGTCTCGCGCATCATCATCGGATACGCAGCCGACAAGCTAGGCCGAATCAACGCGCTAGCCGTCACAACCATGCTCAGTGCCATAGCGGTATTCGCGTTCTGGCTCCCCTCATCGCTGGTCTCGAGCGCTGCCGCCCACGGCCTCTTCATCGTCTTCACCATCCTCTACGGGGCGTTTGCCAGCGCGTACATCTCGCTCTTCCCCGCGTCGCTGGTGGAGCAGCTCTTCGGCGTGCAGCACTTTACTAGCGTGAACGGGGCACTCTATCTCGTGCGGGGGATCGGAGCCTTGCTTGGCACGCCACTCACGGGGTTGCTGATTCCTGGGGAATCTGTCCTCACGGAGTCGGGGACGTACGAGCGGGCCGCTATCACGGTGGGGGGTGTTGTTGTTTGCTGCGATGGGGGCGAGTTTCTGGGTGCGTGTTGAAGTACGGGGGAGTGGGGGGGGGGGGTGTGATACCCACTGATATTAGATGAAATGATTATAGATATCAACATGTATCCGAAACTCATTAGAATAATACAACATCCTAACCCCATCCCAACCACCAACATAATATACTACCCTAAACCAACCCACCCCCCCAAACCGCACTAACAACCACCATCCCCAACACCCCCAATCCCACCTTCCTCACCCCCCCGGCACCCCCCGTATGCGTCCCACTCGCCGCACTCCCCGTCCTCGTCCCTGTACTCCCCCCACTCCCCGTGGTACTCACACTCACCACCGCCGCCGTCGCAGTGGCAGACATATTCCCCGAGCAAAACGGCTCCGTGACAGCCCCATTGGCCTGAATACAGCCCAGCAGATCATGCACGGATTGCTCTTGCGCTAGACAGTAGATTCCGCAGTCGTTGTCGTAGGTTGTGGGCGGGGCGGGGGAACAGCATTTGCTCATTATGCTGGTGGCGTTGCCGGTGTTGGGGAGGGCGCAGGCCGCGTCTTGGATGGGGAGGATGTAGATGTTGGATGCTGTGCTGCATGTGGTGGTGGTGGTGGAGGACATTTTGGTGGTTTTGGTGGTTGGGTTGGACTGGTGGTGAGTGTGTGTGTGTGTGTTGAACGAGTGTCTGTTCTGTATGTATGTATGTAGATAAACGATTGTGTAAATACGTAGGTAGAAGGCAGTACACAGCACAGAGAAGAACTAGGAGGAAGGGGAGAATAAGAAGAAGAAGAAAGGAGCAATAAATAGGAATCCCTCTGACCTACCCCCGGCAGACGGCAGACGTATTGAATGATCAATCCAGACTCGTACCGTCCAAGACCCTTGGCGACTCCACTTGTCCCTAATTATAACCCACTTCGGGGCCGTGGGGGCTGCTCATTGGCGATCCGATGGTGGGGTTCAGGGTCGACCAATAGGTGGGACCGGGCGGGATCGGTGGCTGGGTTGTCTTTCTTCGGGTGGTCAGGTGCTGTGGGTGACGTGGTTGAGTTGATGGGTTATGGGTGTGTGAATGGTGGTTGGGTTTGTACTGTGTATTTGGGCGGTGTCTGTTGTTGTTTATTGTTGTTTTATTGAGGTTGGGTATAATCAAGTGTGTGTTGGGATAGGAGCACGGAGTATGACGATGCTCGGGAACTACCTGTCAGCTGGCCAAAGTACTTTCAGCCCTACTCCGTACATAGGTAGTATTTAATGGTTGATCATTGACAGCCTCCTCATAGCCTAATGTAGCTGCATCTCGTAGGTCAACTCCGTAGTGCATAGCGTATGCATTGCATCCATCCTCAGCCCTACCCATCACCATCTAAGTACACCTTCCACCTCTCCCTCTCCCTCTCTTTCTCCCTCCCCTCCCCACCCCAACCCCCCGATACCGCTGCTCGACCGTCCACGTCCGAATCACACCGATCCTATCCTCATCCTCACCCCTATCCCCTACCATACCATGGCTAACAAGCACATCCCCCTCCCCCCTCACAACCCTCAAAACCAACGTCCCGATAACCCTCCCCTGATACTTCGTCACGATCACAATATCCCCTTCACCACCCCCTCCATCTCCATCTCCACACGACCTAGGAAACAAACTCCGTACTCGTTCCGCCCTCTCCACATACCCATGTGTGCTATACGCAACACCCAGCAAAAACACCATAATGCAGGCAGGCCAGGTGATGAGCAGCATAGTAGGCCAGGTGGTCGGTTGGAGCATGCAGGTAGCATGGTAGGTGAGGGAGAGGGCGGTGATTCGACTGAGAAGGAAGAGTGGGTGGTGGAGGATGGATTTATTGGCTGCTTGGCGTTGTTGGGTGATGCTGGTGGCGATGAGGTGCAGGGAGGCGAGGTGGTCGGGGGGGTGGGTGGTTGTTGTTGTGGTGAGGGTGGGCATGTTTTGGATTGGTTGTCTGATTTCTTCAACGGCTCGTAGGCAAACCCAATGATGATGAAGAGAATAGTCAAGATCACAAACCCGGTGATCTGGATTGGCTTGCGGCCCAGCCAGTCCACTGTCGCAACTGTCATCAAGTATCCCGGGATAGCTCCCGCACAGATCAAAATCAGGTTGCCCACGGCGTTGCGATAAAAGTATTCGTACACGGTGCTGCCCCCATTCCAGCCGATGGCCGTCAGAATAATCGAATTGTTGAGTCCAAGACCGTAGAAAGCTACAATGTCAGCTCATTCGTAGTAAGAATGAAATACTCACCAACATGGAGGAAAAACCACGAGCCGGCACTCCCGAGCAAGACCTTGCCATGTCTCCAGGTCAAATAATGAGACCAGAAATCTGACCAGCTCGCCTTTGGTGTCACTAGTCGGACATCGACACTCTGGAGCACTGCCACCCGCTTGACCTCGTCCGGATGACCTTCGCGTTTACCTTCAATGTAGGCCTCGACATCTTCATCCGCCTTGAGTAGATCTCTCGCAACATCAAACGTGTAGCGCGGAGTCTCGGGAATGGTGAGACGATAGTAGAGTGCCACACAGGCCGGAACCGCTCCGAATCCAATCACAACCCGCCACATCTTGTCGACGGCGAGCTGGCAGACACCACTGCATGGCAAAGACGGCACCCATCATGGCTCCTCGGCGCTTCGTAATTCGCGAACCTAGAGGGTCAGCTCAGCGACGCGGCAAGGATGAGACATACTCTGAGGTTATGATCGAAGACAACGGATAGTCACCACCGATTCCGACACCCATCACTGTACGCCAGAAAACCAGCAGACCGGTGATAGACATGGCGGGAGAGCTCGAAGACAGACACTGCGCCAGGGTGGCCAGGATGATGATGATCAATTCAATCCTGTACATGCGCTTGCGACAATGTCGGCCAACCATCCAAAGAACAACTGGCCGATGACGGTACCAGCTGAGGTAGAGACTTTGATCGCAGTGTCGGAGCTGTATGGCATCTTGCCGGGGCGGGTAGCTGCGTCCTGCCAGAAGACAACGCCCAACATGCTCGAGCAAAGGTTGATGGCGAAGATGTCATACGAGTCGGTAAAGAAGCCCACGCCAGCCACGACGACCGCGCGAGCATGACGCCAACCGAACGGGGCATTGTCAATGCGGGCTAGGGCCTGCTGACGGCGCTCATTGGGATCCTCCACGTGAGAAAGGCCGACATTGTAGTTGGGGAACGCTGTACCACCAGAAGGAGCAGCCATGTCAGCTTGAGAGGCACGGTAGACTGGTTCTGCAGTAGCCAGAGCGGTTAGCGGTAGAGATGAGAGAGAAAAACAACATACAAGGTGGAGGCAGCCTGCTTTTGAACGATGTTCAATATGAGATAGGATCAGTCTTCCGTCAGTTTCTTCCACAACGGCTCACGCTGCTGTCATGCTTTGACATTGAGACCAATTAAAGGATGTCGCGGAGCTGCGTGCTCATGGGAATGAATTCGGACAGAGCTCAAGAAGTCGTTGCCAGTCAGGGTCAGGCAACCCACGTGCCCCCCTGACTGGGGTCGGCAGCACCCATGGGTCACTCCTGTCAGACGGTCTGGAGTCTTGTCGATCATCCCCAGATCAACCTTATTTGGACCTGGAGCAAATGCTTCCCCACGATACTGTACTGACATCATACGGGATCATCTTCCTGCCAAGCTGGCTTGTGACCGTACTTTAACCAGCGGCATGCTCTGACTTTAAGTCGGATTCGGCGTTAACAGAAGATGATCCACTCATGTGCTGACGGCTTTGGAAAAAGAAACCAGGCAACATAATGTTCCGGATGCGACCCGATCGCCCGTAAATCCTCGGCAGATCATAGAAAAGACGGAGGACATGATCTCACAGAAGGCTAAAGTGTCCAATGGCCTTGGAAGGAATAATTCGAGCTGAGGAAAGGGAGACAAGAAATACCGGGGGAGGAGAACACGCCAGCTCTGCTCAAGGAGAACTCCAGGTCGATGTACACAAACTGGTTGGTACGTAACAGAGGTAACGTATCAGCTGAGAGAAATTGCCGGACACAATGCTCATAATGGCTTTTTCTCTTCATCTTCTTTTCTTCTGATTTAGTGCTTGGAGGAATGGTAATGTGGATGGAGTTCCCGCTACTCGTTCAGGGGTCTTTGGCACTTCCCATGACAACTCATAACCAGGGCTGCATGTTGTGATAACTCCATTTCCATAGATCACCCGACCTCGTAAAAGTGTCAAGAAAAAAGCCCTTCAAAAGTTGAGAGGATAAAAGCTGTAGTTGTGCAGAGAGCGCGACATGGTCCATAAGTATTGTTTGAACAGCCACGACTTAGTCGAGTCGCTCGGAGATGATAACAAGGCAGATGGTTGGATGTGAGGAGAAAAATAGTGGAGGACCTGACCTGGTCCACGGCTAATAATCTTCACAGTCATGGCTTTGTCCGATGGCCTTCAGATTAAGGTTAGAAACAGATCGCACGCCAGTAAGAGGATGGGTGGATAAGGCAGGTCGGACCGTGTCCGGTGGCCGAGGGGATGGGATATGGAACGATTCATAGTGGGTAGGATGAGAGGCGATGGAAACATGAGAGTAGAAGAGTCGCAGTTGGAACAATCTCGCGCAAGGGGCGAAGGTCACAACACCTCGCTTAGCCTATCATTCACGGCAGGGATTCACGGCCTTAGCAACCCACCCCCCCTTTGTGCTTGAGGCTTAACATGTCACCCTGATATTTGAGTATGAAAGACACGTAGAAGCTTATACCAAAATAATGCTCGAAAGTAATAACATGTCCCCGGCAAATTGCTACAATTACTGGGCCAAAGAAATGGCGCAATGAAACATTGAGACTGAATAATATGTGGTCAACGACTACTGGAACTGATTGAATAATCAAGTACAAAAGGATATCAAATTGTCGCCGGTCAACCCCAGATTCAATTCCCCTTTCTCAATTCCTGCTTTTCGTTTCTGGACGAGGGAGCTCCCTCTCTTCGACTTTTCGAACATGCCAGTGATAAACTTGACTAAGAAACCAATCATAATACAAAGATCAATAAACCCGACAAGAGAAAGGAAGAGACTTTTGTGGCATGTGTCAGTGACGGTTGATGGTCCAAACCACTGCATAGGGCTGGCTGTGATTGCGTTGGAAGATATGGAAAGCATGCACTTTAATCTTGATGCTGGTGCCGGGCTGCAGACCTTTCCACTCGACTTGCTCGACATTGTTCTTTCGGTCAAACTCAGGACTATCACCCATGTTACCGTGTCTTTCCCTGCCGTCTGGACCGACCACACTCAGATCCAAATCATTCTGGAGCTCGGTACCAGGGGGGTCAGTCCAAACTAAAGTTACCTTGATAGTCGAACTTTCCGCTCCCGGCGGGATTGGGACGTCGAACTCTCTGCTCTGGCCTTGGGCCAGGGGACCTCCTTCAACAAAGCCTCCGTCGTTCTGGTTGGGGAGGATCACTGATTTGGACAGATTCACGCGCCCAAAGCCACTGCTGTTGTTTGGGGACGGTCCGGCCTCACTTGGGACATACTGACCAGTCAGTTCAACCGCTCCATTGATTAGCAATGCCTTGATCAGGGCTGCGGTGGGCTGCTGGGTTCCATTCTTCATCAAAGACTCCCGCAGCACTGCAGCACCACCCGCAACGAGAGGAGTCGCCATACTGGTCCCAGCCAGAAACCACCAGGCCGGATCATCGCTGTGCCCAAAGTCCTCCTCTGCCTTAATCACTTTCCTGGACAGGGCCGATAGAATTGCTGTTCCTGGCGCGACAATGTCGGGTTTGATGCGCCCTTCCTTGGTGGGACCGCGGCTGCTGAAGGCTGCCATTCCCTGCGGTCGATCCGCCATCAGATCTCCCGTAATGGGACCTCGAGGCCATCGAGAACCATATCGAATCGGAACCTCCGGGCGTTCATTCTCACTCGCTCCCACCGTGATGCAGTTTTTGGCGGCCCCTTCCGCCCCAATCTGGCGGGGGTCAATGACTCCGTTTCGATCTGCGTCGACTCCACTATTACCGGCGGCGAAAAGAATCACCATATCTTTGTGATCCCAGACAAACTGATCAATGGCTTCACTGGACTGGTTATATGGCAGCTGGGTACCATCGAAGGATTTGGTACCCCATGAGTTCGTATGGATACGCGCTTGAGCTTGATCATCTGCTTTAGCTTTATCGTCCCTGTACGGCGGCGAGAAAAGATCGTATAAATTAGATGGAATTCCGCCAAGTCCATTGTGACGGTCAAGAAGAGATTGCAGCACAAGCTTGGCTTGCGGTGCGGTGCCGCGGATATCCCCACCCATCGCCACAGAATTCCCATCCCCAAGAACCGATCCACAGACATGAGTACCATGGCCGTCGGGATCACAGGCCTTCCTGGGACGTCCCAGGGCGTAAAGACGACTGACTCGGCCGGTAAAAGCAGGGTGAACATCCCGTTTCGAGCCCTTATCAAATCCAGTATCGGCCACTGCTACGAACTGCCCTTCACCTTCAAAGTCACAGCCATTGACTTGGACAGGAGCCCCCATGATGGCTGTTGCCCGAGTGTTGAACAGTCGCGCCTTATAAACTGGTTCAATGACCCGCACTTCGTCGATGGCAGCAAGATCATCCAGGTATTGGTTTTCGACATTAACCCGGATCTTATTCCCTGCCACTTCCAAATCGGCCGGATCTGCATGTACAGCAGCTCCGATTGCTCTTCGAAGGCCCGGTGCTTCGGGATCCACATACTTATGGAGGCCGATGTCCACGAGATGAGAGGTACGATTTTTGGGCACGGCTGGAAATAGAGACTCCTCTGCAGCATGGGCGGAAGATTTCAAACTCGATTCAACGACGAAATGATCCAAGTAATCGTTCATCCAAGAGACATACCCAAGGTCTTTGATGTTTGAAAGTTGATCTCGTTTCTTCAACTCACAGAGATAGGTGTTCGCAGAGACATACTCCAGGATCTTGACTCCTAATCCCTCAAGTTCAAGTTCCTGCACATCGGAAAGGGGCTCGTTGGTCTGGACCAGGATATGATTTGAGATTGATACATCCTCCGACTGGAGCCCCAAAGCACTGAGTAACGGACGTTGTGCCGTGGGGTTCAGTCGGTTTCCATTAATTGTGAGGACAGACATGATGATGTATTCTGCCACAGCAAGGCTGATGATACAACACCGTTTACGAAAGTAAGATAGAACAGGATAGTTCAGCAGATAAACATGTGAATTGAAGGGATGGAATGATAGTAAAGGAGTGCTATTGAGATGTCAGGATTACCTCTGGGGGCTTCTTTCGATGGTTTATCGATGTCTTTTATAGGTGAGAGAGGACAGACGTTGACCCCAGGAGCCAAACCCAGGAATGTAGGTTTTGAGCGAAGAAGTCCTCTGACCATCCTCATTGATCCGGTGACTATATTTCGTGAAATGGAGCAATCTAGGCTCGACCCCTTGCTCTCGATCAAAACACATCTTTCTGCTCGTTGGCGGATTGAATACGATATAGCTGTGCAACTGCAAGGCCTTGGCGCCCGTATAAGCTTTGGCTACCAGCGATTGCCTATAACCACAGCCTCTTCCTCAAGCGCTACCAATCATGATACAGTAGACACGAGCCATGGGAGAGACAGCTAGCTATTCTCAACTTTATCAACCAGCCATCGAGACTGATGCCATTAGACTTGCTCTATTCTCGAACCAGTTCATGCAACAACACCATTTCTGTGATAACCCACCTGTCCGAATCTGGCTTAGAGCGATGCAGCCAATTGTGCCTATCTCACGGATTCCGTTCGAGGTATTCATCCTCCAAGACATCCGTGACTACCATCCTGATCATCAGATGGATGGCTGCCCCATGCAAACGCACCAGGCTTGGCATAAACCCCGCAATACCACTCCCAGCGATTGATGCGGCCGTTCGCGTCCATTTGACCCCGTTCCAGACTGGTCTGGGTGGGCTTGACGTCCGGTTCTCGTGCTAATCCCAAATCTCTGCTGTGGGTTCGTATTCGTGTGAGCGTAAAGCCTAACCTAAAGCTAAATTTTGAGCGGATCTGAACTTACGCTGGATCTTTAGTAGAGATACTTCATGGTAAGCTTGGAGGTCGATTGGTATCTAAGTATCACGTCATGAACCTAGAATCTGCAGGATCTGTTGTAGCTGGCTAGCTGTAGTTCTAGCTTGAGGCGGTGGTGAGATGGGATCGACGGCGATCGTCTGACCGGGACGTCCCGGACGGGGACTACGGCGGACCTTTGCCGCATGGCCGCTATAGCCTGCCGTACCGGAGGCTGTGCAGCGGAGAAATAAGCCTCTTTCTGCCTCCCCTCCTTCCTGCCTTACGGATAGGTTACTTAGGCGAGGATCATGGTCTTTTTCTTGTTGAATGGAAAAGGCTGGAATTGAATACAAATCAACCTAGGTCCTATTTTAGGCTTATGATCCTAACTAAAAGCTGACATGATATTTTAGACCGGGGTGACTTACTAGTTGTATACACTGAAGATGAGGTTGAATTGACAGCCATTGATTTTAAAGGCGGCGCATCGCAGCCTGCAAACCTTCCTACATACACACTTCGTACCAGCTATCCATCACCTGCGAGATGGCATCCAACCCCCTATGCCTATCCCGCGAGGATCCTCATCCACCCTCCCCGGTCGAGAAGATCGTTTTCAATCTCCTGTGCACCTACCTCCCGCCAGATTCCTCTCTAACAGCCATGGAAGCAGCGAGCCAAATCCACGCCGAATTCCCAAGTACCCCACCCAAGCCCAGAGACGATGATGACTTGGCCCGACCGGAAACACCCGAACACTTTCTCTTCGAGCTATGGGAGATGATGTTTCGCATTGTGCCTCAGCTACACTGGGGCGAGGAACCCATGCAACGGTTCTGCAAGCCGTCAGATCGTTACCTAAAGTCCGCGTTGAAGATGAGGACCAAGAAGATGGGTATAAAGATTGGTCACTCAAGGGTTATCTTCTTTACGGCTTAGATGAGCGGTGGCGTCGTATGTATCATTCTGTCATTTCTCGCCAATTCTGTGTGCTGTGGTAAGTCAACTAACAGTGTATCCTAGAGACCAGGACCCCCGAAGAACTCGGCGACAAGTGGGATTTGAAGCACAGGAATCTCAACGGGCTTCTGGCCCACTTCGCTAATCGTGGAATCTATTCGCCTTGGGATTGGGTAGCTTTGCGCAGTATGGTATCGTTAGAGACGCATAAGAGGATAGGTCATAAGGTACTGCTGAACGCTGCTATCCCGAATGCGACGGTCTGGATTATTTTGTCTGCACCCACTCTCTATACAGCTTGTCGGGAACGGAAGTGTGCGGACAAGGAGACACGAGGGCAATTGTGGAAGGCGGATCAATTGCAGGGCTTCTCAATCCCACGGTGGAAGTTCTGGAGGCATCGACTGGAGGAGGTGAAGGGCCATCCGGATGGGACGGAGGAATTCAGGGAACTGTGTCAAACTGCGCTTGATGCGATGGACAGATGCGAAAAGCCGTGAGGTAAGCGGATATATCTATGGCCTTGGCTATGTCCATGTTCAACCTGCAAGATCAGTCCGAGCATGCGAGAGCAGTCACCATTCCTCAAGGGGTAAGGTAAGTCGCATGATCTTCGGCTCACCGGCCTGACCACCTCGAGTTGCAACTCCTGCTGGCCCCGCACAGCGTGCTTGGAAGTCGGAATGGCTTGCTGATCCTTCCTAGCCAGGTAACTGCACACTGGAGGATATCCCGCGCTTCTAGAATGAAACGTCTCAAGTCCACTTCATGCCTTCGCAGGAGGACATCGGGTGGCATTGTACCCGAGTTCCGGACAACTTGCGCATTCGGCCATGATGGCCAGTACTCCAACGGCAGGTGAGATAGACATCAAAATCCAGATATTATCTAGCCAAACCTTCTGTAATTAAAGTCGGAGGATCAGGGATAGCAGGACCGCCAATCCCGGGCCTAAAAAGGTAAAGGACGCAATTCTGACAACGACCGAACCAAGCCCCGGAACAGTTTAATGCATGACATCGCAGCATAACCCAGCATCCAAGCATTGTTCAATCACGGAGACTGTGCACCGAAGAGACTGAGAATAAAAATAGACCTGGAGCCGTTTCATACCAGCCGCAGATCCACAGCGGTGTTGCATCTGGGGCTGGCTCGTCGGAACCGAACCGACCAGCCCACCGTTGTTCAAACACAGAAAAAGCGAGGTAAGACCACCCGTTCGTGTTTTTCGGTCCTCTCGCCAAGTCCCTCCAACTTGCGGGGTGAATCTCATAATATCCCAAAGACCAGAATGTCTAGCCAAGATGGTCATCACCCCCGGCAGCGGAACCCAAAATTGAGTCAACGGTCGAACCTAACCTCCTCAATCAACCCCCTTTCAGACCGAACCTTACCGATCGCAGTCTCGATAAGGAAGATCGGCGATTCCTCCGTTTGGAATCCCCACAATCTGAAATTAAGCTCCAGCCCGCGGTATCAGACCTCAAACGCCCCTGACCCCTCCATATACCCATCGCCCGACTTCTCGGAGATGCTGCTTTCAGAGGGGAGGCAAAAGATATAAAAGCATACAAGTATCCTGTCTGAACTGCTTCTATTCCATCCATCATCACAGCATCTGTCTCTTTCTCGGCCATCTCCTTCACTCGCTCTCTCTTTCTATTTCATTCCTTGACGGGTACGTTGATTCCCATCACAAACATATTAAAAATCATTTCTAACGAAGAGTAACATACAGAACCAATCCCGCAAAAATGCAGTTCACCACCCTCGCCGCCTTCGCCACTGCCTTCCTGGCTGCTTTCGTCGTCGCCGACCCCAACCCCAACCCCAACCCCGAGGCCTTCAACATCGGCATCGGTGGTCACGCCGGTGCTGCTGCCAACGTCGCTGCCAAGGCTGGTCTTGGTGCCGGTGCTGGTATCCACTTCAAGGCTTAAGCAGGTCTTTTTGCCGAGAGGTTGGTGCTTTTCCTGACTAGGAAATCTTGTGGATTTATGTGCTGATTGTTGGATTATAGGGACCGGTCCCTCTCGATACCCGCTATGCTGGAACATACATAGTGCTTGAATGGATGGGATTGCTTGGATTGGAATGGAGTGGATTGGGTTGGGCAATGTTTGATTTATTTAGTGGAGAGATGGGTATAATTGATAATGTTCTATCAGAGATCTTTTCTCGTTTTTGTAGTATATGTAGGTTGTTGACGTAGTAGGTGATGAGTTTCTACACGTCAAAATTGGAGCAGGAGCCTAAGATCTGAGTATGAACTTCGCTTTGCGTTCTGGGTGATGGCATTTGGACGCTCTTCACTGGAATAGAGAGGGATTTCATTAGTAAGCGTATCCATGATTCTCAATGTAGAAGCTTCCATCAGGATACACAAAGCTCCTTCTATTTCAAAAGGCAGGCAGGATAACTAGCAAGAGCATTGCCCTGAGTGCGAGTCGCGGCATCGGCCTTCTGCCCAAGACAACGCTCGCTTCCAAGAGTTGCGTCAGGGAAGTAAATCACATTCTGTATTTCATTCACCGTTAAATATCCAACAATACAACAAGCAACAAGCAACAAGCAATGTCTGCAAATATAGAAATTCAGCGAAAGCCAATCTGACAACACGTCCATCCAAGATCGGCCCAATCTCTATCCAAAAGTATCAAAAATCCGGTCTATTATGCCCACATGGCCTTGAATTTTTCATTAAATTCGGCCTGGAGCATTCTAAAGGCTTTGACGACTTGCAAAAATTCCTTCTCGTTGAAATCGCTGAAAGAGTCACTGCTCTGCTGGGTGGGCGCAATGCTACTCGTCCCCTTTCCTTGCTTCTGTTTAGCATTCGTGGTGGACTTTTCGGGTGCCTTGGGGACATTGTCCACATTTTCGCTCGGATTGTCATCCATCATCTCGTCTTCCCAGCTGTCTGCAACTTTTGGTTTCTTTGCTTTGGCGATGGGGCCCTGAGCGAGCGGAGTCTTGGCTTTGGATTGAGCCGTAGCCGAGGTTCGACCAGCTAATTTTGTGGTTCTTCCGGAGGATGGCGACGGGGATGGGGATGACTGGTCTGCGTCAATAGCATTATCATCCAAGCTGAGCTCGTGGTTATCCCCACTACCGGCCACATCCAACAAATCCAGATCTGTGTTAGGGGACAGCTTGAGGAAGTTCTCAAGGCTGGTGACAATGGTCGCAAGAACAAGGGAAAAGTCATTCAGAAGAAACCAAATGTCGCCTCTGCGGATCATATTGCCCGTTTCCAAAGCGCGCACATTGCCATGCTTGAAGAAGTCGTATAGATAGGCGTTTAGTGCAAACCGGCTCTCTTCGGGGAAAAGGCCAACATAAGGAACCACGGCCCGCTCCAGCCAGACGCCGCTACGGACCTTTTGACTGAGGTCCTCGATACTCTGCCATTCATCTCTATGCCCCGACAGTGCAACGAATGAAGATGTGACTCGAGTGGGAGGGGTGATGGGCAACGAGCGGCTGATTTCTTCCGGGGACTTATCGCCTCCGCATTTGATTCCTGTGAGCGGGAGAAAGCAGTCTGGACCCTTGACATGCTGCTCAACAAAGGTGGTAACATAGGCGGAGTAGATATCGAGAGTCTTCTTATTGTGGCAGCGGAGGACTCTAGCAGCCTGCTTTGGCAGGCCTGGAAGGACCACGACAGAGGCCGACTTCTTCTCAAACGCCCGAAGACATTCCATTATAGCAGGCCGTAAGTATTGGCGTCCAAAGAGGTGAGACATCACAAGCATTAACTTGAGAACGACATCCCCGGGTTTACTGTCGATGTCCTTGCATAATCGGTGAAAATAGCCGTCACTGAGGAGCGCATGAAATGCAAAGCTGGAATTTTCGGTATAGTACAGATGCGCCACTGTACCTGCAAAGTTGAGGGGAAACCCACTTGTGTCTAGGAGATGGTTCCGCCGAAGGTATTCGATCGAAAATCGCAGATGATGAAGGACGGTATGCTTGGACTCTGGGCCACCGAGATAGATCCGTGGACACGACAGGATCGAATTGATCGCTTTGACAGCAAATGGAGCCTGTCCTGATTTTTGTAGTAAAATAAAGAGTCGTAGCACCAAGCTCGTTGTAATGGGGAAATGACCATTCAGACTCGGGAGCCTTGAGCTCAGTAAACGGCAAACTTTGGAATGTGAGACACATTGGAAAACCACGTTGCCCAAAAAGTCGAAGCCTCGGCGTCCAGCTCGACCGGCTGCTTGCCGGAATCCAAGGGCTGTCAGGAAGACAGAATCGCCAGAGAAGACGACAGTCTTGCAAGGCATGTTGATTCCCAGAGCCAATGTCCCTGTAGCGATGACCACGCGTAGGTAACCCTTGCGGAAGAGCATCTCGCACACCTGACGGTACTTTCGATTCATACCGGCATGGTGGACACCGATTCCACGCTTAAGGGCATCGACTAGCCATTGGGGGGTCTCACGTCTCTTGAGCTCATCAGCATAGGCCTCAAATTCGGAAGGCAATAGCTTCTTTCTGTCGGCAAGGGAAAATCTGGGATCTGGCTCGTCAGGGTCAAAGGATGCGTGCCAGCTTGACTCCTCGGTAGCTTTCTCACGCATCTGCTCATCTTTGGACATGCTCTCTCCTTTTTTCGCCTGCTTGGTTGGCAGTTTCTGCTTGGCACGCTTGGCCTCCGCCTTTTTCCAGGTTTCCCACTCAGCTATCTTTTGTGCCCAAGCTGAACTCGAAGCTTTCCAATGGGCCTCAGACTCTAGCAATTCATTCAGAACATGTTGGCATAACTTTTCGCACCAACTCCGATCATAGTTAAAGAAAAGCGCTGGAAGAGCGTCCTGGTCATGTAGGGAACAAATGAGGGGAAGGGTCGTATCAAGAAGACTGTTCTTGTTTATTACCCGGGGTGTTCCTGGTTCGCCTAGTACGCCAGATGATACCTGAACATTAGTTCTGTTGCCGGACTGATTCTCAGGTGAAAGCTCCCGCAGAACCGCATCAAATGGCGAGTCCGGGTTGTTCATCCAATATTTCAACACAACTTTCAGCTGAGCCTCCCACTTCAGTATGCTAGCCTTCGAGATAATGGTTGGGAGTGCAATCGAAGGATCTAATTCTGGGTCAAGCGGATACTTTTCCGTTTTGTACTTGTCCATGGCCTTCCAAAGTGTCCAACAATCGCGTGGCTCCAAGGTTAAGTCGTCTGGGATTCCTTTGGATCGGTTAATGAGACTTGTGACTGGATGTATGAACGACATGTCCGGGCAACCATCGAGACCGAGTGCGGCCATATCGGTGACATCAAGTAGCCCCTTAAAGAGGAAAGCCTGCGGAGGATTGTACTTGAACTTCCTCAAATCAGACCAGCGCGTCTTATGTTCAATCATCTTCAAGTCACAGCCATTTTCCTTCTGAGTCAAGCTGAGCCAGTTATTGAATTCCTTCGGGTTTCCAACCGTCGCAGAGAGTGCAATAATAGGGCATGGGGCAAGGAGAAGCAATTGCTCCCATACGACACCATCTTCCGCTTGGCCGATGCAGTGGATCTCATCAAAAATTATCCGTTTGATTCGAGATGACCATGACATAGCATTCGATGGAGCAAGAAGCATGATCTGAAGTATATGAGGGACTGTGATCAAGACTTGACAGCCAGTCGGGTTGTTGATGCGGTAATCACGCGTGTGAATGGCCCAGACAGACTTCCCAGCCTTGCTAAATCTTGCCTGGACTTCAGCGGCGATTTGATTGACAAGGGCTTTGGTCGGCGCAACATATACCAAGACACCATCATTGCTATCTTCGAGGACCTGCTTCATTGCGTAGAAACTGGGCAACTTTCAGAATTTATTCCCCAGTAGCATGGCCATATCATGTACTTACGAGATGAATGTTTTCCCCGCACTAGTCGGAGCGACCACGAATAGACTTGCCTTCGCATCGATTTGGTCCAAAATATCTCGCTGCCATCGATCGGGTTCAAAATCATGGACACGAGGATCCGGCGCTGAGTCCATGTTGCGGTCAAAGTATGGCCCTGCATGAACAAGCTGAAATTCTACCGGAGACAAGTCTTCCTGATGGTTGAAGTTGGGAGATACTAGCGGCGTGAACTCGAATGAAAGCTTGCCTGTGCCGTTAGGATGGAGGTCGAGGGCTGGAAGATTAAGCACTTTTATGGTATCTTGTATGCAGCGAGCAATCTCGTCGGTAATGCCTTGCTTCGCCTTTGAAATTTGGAGGATAGTGTACCATGTGAGCGCCACTATCGGCATAGACTTGTCGTGCTCCTTGGTCGCACACTTTTGTTTCCAGAGTTGTACCAGAGTGCTTACCAGGTAAGCGAGTATGTCGACCTCCACCAAATACTTCTTTTCCTTTGGTATGCCGACAAGGTACTCACGTGCTTCTAGATACCTTCGGATCAAGTTATTTTCTTGCTCCAGACTTCGGCACTTATAGCCCCAAGCTCTCAATTGCTTTGCATCAGCAGTCTGCCGCTTTTCTTGGATCTGAATCGCCGCTTGGTGTTTAACCGTTGGCGCACTGGTCTTTTTGCGGGTGCCTTTCTTTGGGGAGTTTGCTTTTAGTTCCAGGTTCCCAACTGCTTCAGTCACTGGATGATTTGACTCCCGTGCCGGGTGACCATCCATACATTTCCCAGATTTTAGGAACACTGTCTCTGGTTCCAAAATACCCCCAGCGGCATTTGTGAGACTCGCAGCATACTTCGTAATCTCTGCCATGAAGAACTGATTCCGGCGAAGGAGCTTTTCTGGTAATGGGGCCTCATTTCGTTTATCAAGTGGGCGCTTATGGTTATGCCAGTGACTTATTTCCTCGAAAGTCCGCGACGTCACAAGATTGCTTTTCTCGGTGGAGGCCTCGTCGACGACGAGAGAAATAGGCTTGAGATGAGGATCAAAGACAGGGTTGCCGAAAGGCAGGACGGCACTAGAACGTTTTCCCTGCTCAATAGGCAAGTGCTTTATTGACATCTTCGTCCGCCTGTCCCCGCCTGTCGTTTTCTTGTCTACCTGTTTGCTCACTTCGCTGCCAGGTATCTCAGATCCGCAAAGACGTTTCACCAGTGTGGTGAGCACTGAAAACCTGGCTAATACCGACTGGCTGAACTCACATCCTCGATTTGAGGTGCGACATAACTCTAGCATTGTCAGGAACAAACTTTCGTCTATCATGTCTGCGAGGTCGCAACAGATAGATCGAGTTCTGACACCCTCATGCCACAGCGGGGACTTGAGAATGACCAAAGCTATCTCAGCATACTGCACCAGGAAGGATTTACCATTGCAATTATCTGTGGGGGTGTAGACTCGATTGCCGAGCTTGCATTCGCCCAGAATGACTGTGTGTAGGATTAAGGCACATATTGCCACCATGTCTTTCTCCTCGGGAGAGTCAGAGCTCAGCATGACACTTGCTGTGAGTACTGACACCCATTCGCGTTGGGTGATAGCGTGGCATGTAGTGTCTGTCATGGTGAGAAACTTCTGTAGCATAAACTCAGTCGAAGAGGAATTGGCATGAGTAGCGCTTTGAGAGATATGAGCTTCGGTATGGCCATGGGCTGTCTCGGTATCGGGTTTTGGTGTTCCTTTGGCGTTGGATTCTGATGGCTTTGGGTCTTCTGTTATTTCTCCATCGACAGGCCCCATTTGATAAAGGTTCTGAGCGCGTTCTGCAGAACCCTCTAAAACGGTTGTGAATACCTGTTACTGTTAGAATTTGGACTAATTAGTGGCAAAAGGGAGGGATATACCTTCGTGTCACGACACTCCACGCTGTTCAGCAATGAGATATTGAATCTATGGGCGATAAACCAACGAATCATCGATCTGAGAGCAATACTGGTCGACCAAGTTGCCGACGGAACGTCAACATCGAAATCACCATCCGAGTCATCGTCATCCGATGACATTCTCGGGCCGTGAGGGTTTCCGACCGGCTTTGCTAATATTCTGTGATGCTGGTTGGGTTCAATCAATGCTCCGTCGTGACACATCATGAAATAAACACCCTCTGCGGCAAGGTAATCCTCGAAATCCTGCTTGTCGTATTTCTCAAAGCACTTCACCTCCATGTATGGGACTGCCTTGGGAGCATTTTGCAGAAGATGCTGGAGGATAGCTTCACGAGCGAGTCGATACCTTGGCTTGGAGGCCTTGTCAGCATGCGGGGGAATCGACACGTCCGAGTGTTCTGAAAAGAAGACGATGTGAATATTGCAGTTCCGTTGACGAAGTTGTGCGAGGAATCTTTCCACGATGTAGGTAGCATGAAGCAACTGCAATCCTTTCGAGAAATCATGCTGGTCGTCGGTAAAGCAGTGCAAGAGAAGCGAATCTCCTTCAATGATGAATAGTTCGCTTCCTGCGTAGTCACCCACGAGATCGACAGTACGGGAGTAGATATCGTTGTACCTGACGAGGAATGAGTTAGTACTCTGGCTAAAGGTAGCCTAGTGGGCTGTGTCATACGTACCATTTTAAGAGCTTCTGGGGATTCTCCATGTTGAAAATCTTTAGAGAGAGCCCATAAACTCCAACGGTGTAATATGAGTAATGGAAGATGATGGGAAGAGGGAAGAATTTTCCGCAAGAGTTGGGCGAGTGTCTGTGGGCGCGGGGCAGACGGTAGAGACCAGGTCAGAGTGCACCGCAAGGCTGTAGGCAGCCTTCAAAAAAGCCTTATGCATGTGCCCGGTCAGCTTTGTTGATCTTGATTGTTCACTGAATCTGGTATCTTTGGATGCGGCAAATGAGTATATACAAGATGAACCATTTTCTGAACGATGAAATGATGACAGGCTGACAGGTACCTCTGTCGTTCGGTGCGGGTTGCGTATCAATGGGTCACCACAATCTGCAGCGACTTCTTTGTCTTGGACCATAGTAATTCCTAATTTCTTAGTCAGTGACTAGCATCACAGTCATCATCATATGACAAATTTATACGCCATTAACCACCAAGCGACTCGGCTCTTACCTATACGGTGGCAGTTCTCTTTCTTGATCATGACTCTCGTTTTTACCTTCATACACTCGGATATCCGACCGGAACATGCCTATCGCGATTGACCTTGATGCGTCATCTTTCGACTCATAGGTTGAAAACGGTGAAATCATATCTGAGCCTACTCAGTGATAGTTCAAAATTAACCCCTGCCATACGGGCATTCGAAGGAGCCAAAGATAAAAGCCACTGGATATATTCCTCCGAGATGGGGTGCTAGCTCTTTGGGGGCTGGACAATCTCTGAGGATGCTTGGAGCGAGCTGTTTTATACATTAACAGGTGCTGGGTGGTGATAGACGTCTAAATTTTTAAACCAATGCCCTGGTCAGCATCCATTGGCATAGCCTCCCACTAATGGCATCGCCGCCTCTATGCCTCTCATGGGACAAGCCTGTGCATGCTTACAAATGCCAATCATTGACACACAAGGCTTCCAGTAATCTCACCTTCGGGCCATGGGTGTTGTGACAGAGAGCATATTTGAGAAGACGCTGTTAGCGGCCCATGGTACCTCTTTCATGTTTTGTGCTACTCTCTCAGCAGCTACAGAGGGCAACCGGTGTTTGTCGTCTGATGACCCTCTCAATATACCCGGGGTGGCTCGATCCCATTGTACGGGTGGGCACTCTCTGTGTTTGATTGACACAATCACCATCCATGCAGCGTTTACATTTCGGTATTCCAACCATCTTCATTGTCAGGTTGCAACCTCTTAGCAATGTGGCATGATCTATTGGGACTCCAGCGTGCCCCGCCATTAGAGACCTCCTCTGGGCCAACGCTCACACTGAAAAAGCACTGTTAGGCCAATTTAACATCCACCCTGGTACGTCCTGTCACCAAATCGACCATTCTCTTCGGTCGATAGAATCTCTCATACGGTCTCGTTCGATGTGTTATCTCGGTTTGGGGCGGTTCATCATCAGAGAAGGTGGTAGAGGGGAACGCCCCGATCTCTGCCTAGGTCTTCCTGGTTTCGACCGGCATCGCAACGAGTCCGATATCATCTATCACATCCTCACTAATGAGTTCTTGCTATTACGTGAGCAAAACGGAATCTCATGTTCCTCTGCAACGCTGTCCAGCTCTCCGTCAATCCCGACTTCCCTTGTCTTTGAATGCCTTCCACTCACAAACTTTTTCCATTTTCTAGGACCATAGACGAGCAATCAAAGCGAAATGAGCGTCAATCACTCTGAGCCTCCCAGTTACCTATCCGCTGATTGGATTTTACCCGTCAGCTCGGCCGGTATACTCCTTTGGTGCATCAGCTACGTCCTCATGATCCGCGAGGGCATCCGCACCAAATCTTACACGATGCCACTCTTCGCTCTGGCCAACAACTTCGCCTGGGAGATAGTCTTCACACTTCATTTCGCAGATACTCCCATCAAAACCTCTGCCTTCGTAGCGTGGGCTGTCATAGACGTGGGCCTCGTCTGGCAGACACTGAAATACGGCAAGTATGAATGGGAGCATGCACCGCTTGTGCGAGACAACCTGGGGAAGATATTCTTGATGCTTACGTGCTGGTGCACACTGGGACATTGGCTCTTCCTCGACTGGTGGTTTAGCAGGTTCGGCGATCCGACGGAGTGCAAGTTCTGGGATGGAGGGCTCTCGCAGTTGTTCATCTCGGTATTGTCGCTTAATCAGTTGATTACGCGGGGGCATACGGGTGCGAACTCGATAGCTATCTGGTGAGTGCATGCTCAATTGTGAGAGATATCGTATAATGCTAAGGAGATGGGCCAGGCTCACTCGGACCTTCGCAACGATCCTCATGCCCTACATCCCACTCTTCTGGCGGACCTATACATGGCCGGATAAATATTCCTATGTCCATATGCCGCTGGGAGTCTACCTATGGTTAACCGCGTTGGTTTGCGATCTTCTCTATGGCATTCTGCTTGTCTACATCAGCGGGAGGGAAAGAGTCTTGCCCGACGGCCGAAAGGTTTCTATCTACGCTGGGCATAAAAAAGCTGAATAGCATTCGGAGGGGCTTGGCTTTTGTTACCAATGTTATTTACAAAAAAGGAGAGCTTTTCAACAAGTAGCATTAGTGGTGTAGCGGTAACATTCAACCCTTCCATGTGTGTGAGGTTGGGCTCTGGGTTCGACTCCCAGCTAATGCATCTGTTGAATTTACTTTTTGGCTCGGGTAGATTGAACCCCTCATCTTCCCCCTTTTTTGCTTCATCAATCAAGTCACTATAATGAAATTATAAAAAGCATTAAATACATAGAATCCTCATCTAAACATACTTTCAATCTAGTAACAGCTAATAAAGCATCATGCAATCTCTCGCGATCTCGACCACCAGAACCTCAGTCTGGCACACCAACGAAAATATAAATAGATCCCACTTGAACTCAACCACCAAACCTAAACCCAAGGCAACCATCGACATTCCATCCAGACTATTCTATCATGTCTCACCACCATTTTAATTCCCTCGCTAGCCACCATCTTTCCTTTCTTTTTTCTAGCTTTCATGGAGATCTAGACCGACCCACTAAAATCGTTTCCTGACAGCCATAACTCAAACCGACGGTATTCCTAAGATACATACATACATACGGCTAACGTCCCAACAAAACTAATTCTCTCTCAATCCCAACTAAAGGCGTTTACATATGTTAAACGGGCGCCTTTTAGCGCCAAGGGATATTTAAAAAGGAAACTTCAAGCTATTGGGGGCTGAAGATACGGAGTCCTGCAGCCACCGTATTCGGCGAATATTTATCTAAATCGGGCTCGGTGAGTTGTTTGGGGGGTTTCTTGAAGAGAGAGGGGTGGTGTAGTGTGTGCAGTTGGTTGTGTAACGGCTTTCTGCGATGGCGATGGATTGGGTACTGGGGATAGGTGATTTGAAGGGAGGGGTAGAAGAATAGTTTGAGATATAACTGAGGAGTAAATTGTATTATATCGTTGAGGATTTCTTTCATATTAGTTTACTAGCTATTAAGTTGATGCTATTCTTCTGTGAGAGGACCCGAAACATATCGCCCAATATGGTCTCCAAACTGGAATCATCTTCGTTGATAGAAGGAGAATACATGCCTCCTCAAGGAGGTCTCCTCTCGATCCTCCCCTCCTCCTGGGTGCCTTATGCGGAGCTCATTCGCATTGACAAGCCGCATGGAATCTTTCTCGTCTGGGTCCCTCATATCGTCGGCCTGGCCTACGCCTCCGCCATCGGACCATCACCGGCTCCACTTCGCACACTCTATACACAGGCCCTGCGCCTGATGCTCTGGGCCGGTCTTTGTCGAAGTGCAGGCTGTGTCTGGAATGATATCGTGGACCAGGACTTCGATCGAAAGACAGCCCGATGTCGGACCCGACCTATTGTCCGCGGCGCAGTCACGTCCTCGCAAGCATGTACCTGTGCGGCTGTGCTCTTCTCTCTCGCCTTCCTTTCTCTCCGGGATATGTCGACCAATGCTATGAATGTGGCGGGGATAGTAGCGGTACTGTCGCTCGTGTATCCGTTCTGTAAACGATTCACGAGCTTCCCGCAGGTGGTGTTGGGCTCATCGTTGGGGTTGACGGTCGTGCTGTCGGCGTGGTCACTGGATGTGGATGTGTTGGAGGGGGGGAATCGTGTTCCAACAATATGTTTGATGCTGGCCATTATGTTGTTGATTGTGTTTTATGATGTTCTGTATGCGACGCAGGATACGGCGGATGATGTCAAGTCTGGGGTGAAGGGGATGGCGGTCTTGTTTCGAAATCATATGCTGGCTCTTCTTTGGGCGCTGACTTGCGGCATTGCTGGTATGCTTTCAGTTTTGGGAGTATTGCTGAATATGAGACCGCTGTATTTTGTGTTCTCTGTAGGAGGGTTAGTCCTGGGGTTGATGGTGGTTGTAGGGTTGATTTATTTGCCCTCTCTTTCTCGATGGCGTGGTTTGTCTGGATGGGTCTTTGGGATTGCTTTCGCAAGTTTTATAGTTGGGTTTTTTAAGTGAACATTATCGCAGATTTTCTTTGGGTGTGTGAGAGAAGTACAATTTGCCATGAGACATGTCGGAGCAATGCTTCACTGTTGCAGTGACTTTATACGTCCATCTCCAAGTGAGAAGCTTTCGCGCCATCGTTCTGTCTGACCAATAGGGCACGGAGTGTAGGCAATAGATCTCATCGGAGGATCAGAGGGCTTTAGCCACTGCCTTAGCTGTAGTGTCGGCTGAAATTCACAACCTGGCTCAATGATTGTATCTTGCTCACAAGGCTTTGCTCACGCTCTCCAATTTCCCAGGATGCCTGGCCCAGAAGGACACCGGCAGTACTCTTGCCAAACATGGGTGTCGTACAGCCTGGACCCTGCGCCCGTAGATTGTCTTGACAAGCATACGAAACATTGTCCACCTCATCATGTAGAGGAATGTGCGGTGGATATGCATACAGCGCCTTGTGCAGGTGATCGAGCAGGTATGTAATCGTGTGAATGTGAAGGCAAGTCTCCAGCGAGGATCCGCTGCGGCTTTGACTGGCAGATACCGTTGGATCCTGATATAGACAGTTGATGATAGTTTCGAAAACGTACACAATTTGCGTGTAACACCCCATCACGAGGAAGATTAGTGTACTTGCTGGCATCGACTCTCGCTTGGCATCAGTCTCGGTAGATTCACCGGAAGCAGTGTGTGACAATTCATCGTGTTGAAAGTGGGTGTTTGAGTCCAGGCTGTGAGAGGCGCCTTCAGATTTGGTACCGGAACTATACATGCTGCAGAAAATATTTGAGCTAGGCTGGCTTGCCAGAGGGAGATGGCTCGAGCGAGGACATGGCGTGATATATGCCATGAGATCAATTAGCTCCCTTGAGAATTGGACCATCTCAACAATCACCTCATTCTCCCGACCAGCTGCAGGATTGAGGGATTGGGCAGTTGCTATTCTAGCTTTTCCCGATAACCGAAGAAGGTTCATGTTGAGATTTGCGAGTCTCGGAAGACAAGTGATGAACTTGTTGGGGGGGAGTCCTGCATATGAAGGTATGCTGGCGCCAGCCTGAGTCGAAAGCTCACCCCACTTGTGGAATGTGTCCTGTAACTTTCCACCGGTGAGGACATGACATGTAGTCATATTTCGAGGTGTCTGTGATACCATCGAGCCTTGACCGTGGGACGAGCTCGACGAAACGGCATAGTGAGGCATCGATTCATCCTTGTACATATCGCCGTACGATTGGGGATAGTGCGGAGCCTCTATCTCGTTGAACCCAGGCGAAGGTTCGTTCTGAGATTCAAGAATTGGGCAATCATAACGAGGGCCGCTCCCTGAAAGATGTGTACGTATTACTATGACCGTTCTGCATGCAGTCCAAAACATGGAACCGTGGATGCTCAAAGGGAATGGAAGGAGAGATGAAAGATGTTATGTACCCTCAGCTGACCGTGCCGCCATATTCTGGCCTAAATCCAAGATCTCAGCGTTCCCATCTGACTCTTCACCGTATATCGAAGGAATCGATCGTGTGGCAGGTATGGTAGTATCCATAGGTACCTCAGTGTTGGATGTAGTAGGGAAAGAGGCTCGGACCGGCTCCGTCGACTGCGGCACAGTTGAGAATTGATCGGGGTCTATTATCCAACCGGATTCGCTCAAATCGTGGCCCTGGGGCTTGTCGGCTTTGTAACGGCCTAATGTCATAAGATGTTGTTCACCTAAAATATGGAAGCACTGAAACCGAACCGCTCACCCTTTTCTGGTTCTTCAATGTCATCCTCTGTGCTCCCGGAAATCCTGAGATGTTCTGCATATGGTGTATGCATGCCATTTGGCAACAGCCTGGGCTTTCTATTGCGTGAGTTTGGTGGACGGCCGACCTTGTGAGCTACGCTGCTGGTACATGGTACCTGAGCTTTCTGGCAGCGAAGGCATGGTACGTTGTGGCAACTCTTATCAGCGCCCTGAGAGCGAAGGCAACGCAGCTTTTGTCCATGACATCGGTCGCAGGCATAACGTAGAGACTTTTCCGAGCCCGAGGAGGGGCCAGACTTGCCTCCAGCCATGAGTCGTGGCTAAGCACCAAGTAAGATGGAAGAACGCAGATGTTGAAAGGCTGGGCAAAGATGAAGGATGGTTTGCAGTTGGGTGACAATCAACATGGGTCAGCACGTGTCTGTAAGTATACACAGCCCCTGACGCCTGTTACGAGGATGCCACAGGTACAATTCCTCATCAAAAAAGATGCCCGCACAGTAATATCAACCCAAGTTATTGGGATGGAAGTGTCACCGACTCATTTTTATGCCCCTGAAGTGATATGACTGAGGTCCCTTGCCGGACGACCAGCAGCTCCTGGCTACAGGTCAGGCCCTGCCCATTAATTATTTACACCGGCAAGCAAGAACTTTGTTTATCTGCTCTCAAATAACGGGTGAGCTAAGATGGTACGTACGTTTATATCAGCGATCTGTGGATATGACACCATTTGAAGAGTGCTCAGAATTTTGTTATAGCCGGTAAGATACCTGGTCCAATGTCACAGGCATATGTTACTACCTTGGGGGCTGAGGCTGTACCTCTACTAGATCGTATGCGACAGTTACTCAATGACGATTGGTGCGGGGAGAAACAGGGGCAGTCTCGGCCCTTAGGCGGGGTGCTAGTACTTCCCAGGGGCTAGTGGCCGTACTTTAATCCGCCTGGTCTGCCGCTGTCACCGCCACTGCCCAAGGATCTTCCCTGACGAGAGTTGGGGCTGAGTTAGCAGACATCGAGCTGATAAAACAGCCACTAAAATGACCAGGGTTTGCCGTTGCTGTGTTGCTGACCCACCCCGTTAGTCGTTCGCTGACTGTCAGTTGAAAGAATCGGAGATTATTGACACATTAACGCCATGATCGAGCCTGTTCCTCTCAGGGTTCCCCTTGCAACTGATCGATTTCGGAAGTCTAGAGCAAGATTCTAAGACCCATGAAATGGCTCCAAATTCCCCCGTGAATCTAATTTTAATTGATGAGTTTCCCCAAAGTTGGCTGGTTTCTGAACTTTCTCTCAATCAGTACCTGAACCCCCTTGATGGCCAAGACTGACCCATAAACACTCTCATCCCGCAGCCACTACCGAACTCAGTCAGACTCTCATAAATCTGGGACTTAGATTGTGCATTGAAAGTACCCCAGCCTTTGCACACGCGGCATGCGAGCCACCGCGAATGGCTTGCGATCCGCAACACGTAAAATCAACGCAGGCTCGAGTGCCCAAGGAGAGAATGTGGTCTGCTGTACCAGGTTTCAACCTGGGTGGTAATCGCAGAGTTAGCCTTACCGGATGCGATAAGTGTGCTCGAGTTGTTTGCATCCAATTCGATCAAGTATGGTGTTTGATTTAAAATCCAACGGCTTCATTGCAGATACGACTAATGGCGCAGGATCGTTCTCTAACAGCGACCGGGAAATTATCGACTATTGAATTCTATCTTTTTTTTGACACATTATCCTTCTTGCTCGTATCGCCTGGACGACGTAGTCAGATGTTTGCCATCAAGTCTTACTTTTCTGCTCTTAGCCCTTATGTCGTGCATACCGATGTTGGCTCAAAAAACGAATGTTGGACTTTACTTATTGGTTATCTCTTGCGTTAAATCCAAAGGTCTACAAGGCTTTGTGGTTATTGGCGCACGACGGACCCGAACACTCGGGTCATTAATGGCTTGGGAAGGACAAGACTTGCTCAGACTACTGAACTTTATCTCACAGGACCTCCTTTATGAAACTGCTCACTTCGAGGAAGAACTCATATATTGCAAATATTGGCGATATACCTGTACCACAAATATGGATCAAGGTCTTCGTGCATTATTATCGGTAGTACACAGAACAACGAGTGGCATGATCGTCCCAGAAATAGGACTTGGAATCCACGTACAGGTCCCCGGCTATGCTGCAAATTTCGAGTTGCAACTCCTTGGCCCTGCGGTCCTGTTTCAAATTGTCCCTGACAGTACATTGCGGCTGTGCACGAGAAACATAATTCATACAGGATCGGACAGGTCCACGATGTCCTCACGGCGTCCCATAGTGAAATCAACGGTTCCAAAATTGCACGTACTGATGAGACGTCTGGTCTACTCTGAGCTAATCGGTCTAGACACTTAATGTCTCCCAACGGTATTCAGGAACGGCCCAACCGGTCTACTTATCTCATGTACAAGGTGGGTAAGTAACGGCCTACCACAACACAGGGTTATTGTTGGGCCTAGCATGTTCTCAATTCCCACTTGAACAAGCTGTGTCGTTAGAATGACTGGCATACCAAGATGCGTGGCCCCACTATCGAGTCTAGTGGCTGTTTCAGCGTCCCACATAGGCCATGATAGAGGCCCTGGGCTGCAGGGATCATGTAGATTGCTTACCCTCTTCGAGATTACAGTGATTGAGGCGGTGCACATTATTCCAGGACTGACAGCATAGGTCGATTAAACAGGATCCGTTCCTACGATCTCCTCATAATGGAAGGAGATTGACCAAAGCCTAAGATGCTCGCCTAGACCCACCACTCGCATGATCCATGCAGATCACAACGGACGATAGCTGTTCGGAGCATTGATAGCATAAACCCTGATTCTTTGCTATTAAGTTTGGATTACGGAAAGCCCCTGGGTATTGCACTTGCTTCCTGCGTGTAACGCGCGAGCGAGTCCCTTGAGATGTTAGTCTTAACGATGGACACCAGTTATCTCCGCAAGGATACGAATGCACTATAACAAGCTCCATCAACATATTGACTGCCAGTTGAGACTATGTACCTTCTCCCGCCAATGAAAGACAGGACGGGACCAGCTATGTCATGGTTGCCTGGTCTTGGTAGACTTCGTGTTCGGATTGTTGGACACACAAGTCACCAAACTTCTATCAACTGCAAGCCGATACACTCATAGGTTAATAATCATTCAGTAGCAGGGAATGATTGGTGTGCAGATCGTGATCGCGAAGGCGATTCCAGTCATTGCCACCATGTGAAATGATTGGTTACTAGTTGTGAAGCATGCATCCATGATTACGATATTAGTCGTGCCAGGAACGCAGGGCTACTTCTGAGCCAAGCTGGCAATTTGCGATGGTATCTGATAGGCTTGATATGCTCTCATTTGGCCACGAGCATCGTTGCGGTACACATGAGATAAAGAATGTGGACTGGTGGAAAGCTATGGAAGGCCTTCTGGGCATTCTTTCAACTTGCCACGAAACATGGCACTTAATCCCTGGCTATCCAGTAAGTTGTACAGCAAAGTCACCCAAAGATTTGGAGACTTTTCTGCAGCATACCTGCCCAATGATTCATCAGGGGTGACAGTGGTTTATTGCGCACGAATAAGCAGGAATACGACACGAGATCCGATGGGCTTGACACAAGATTACCTCCGCGGCCCTACGCAGACTAGCTATCTGACCAGATTCCTGTTTCCAGTAGCTTACTTTTCTATAGGCTTTTGAGATAAGTCAATCTTGGACGCGACTCTGAACTGGTCGTCTTTGTGCAGGGGAGGTGCTGACACGGACGATGGATGAGGGTTAGCAGTTGGAACATCCCATATCGCCAATTCAGCTATGCATGGTGTTCAAGCGCCTGCAAGGCGTAGACCGGTATGCTGAGCAGTGAGTCCTACCAGGCAGGGAGATAGGACCACTGCCAATTGTAAGGAAGAAGGTACAGGCGATAGCTACATTTATTTGCCAGAAAGGATCTTCTACACCGGGACCTAGTCGGAGAATTCATCTAGTGGTGATGGCACACTTCGGCGATCTTGCCGCAGACGGGTGAAAATATCCGACTTCAGCTCGGTGAGAATTACCCCAGTCTTAGTCTCAGACCTGGGCTTTGACTTTCGAAACCAATGGGGGAGGAAAAATGATACGTGCAGAAAACAGGGCTATCGACCTGCCCAGAATGAGCCCAAGGCCGAGACGCTTAGATGCATGCGGCAGGGGTGCTAAAGCAGCTGGCAAGAACGATGTACTGCTATTAATTATACCAGCGACATCCCGAGGAATTGTCCCTCCACCCAGGGGATCTTGTGAGAACTTAGCCAGCTTCCATTGTTTGGCACTGACCTCCATTCCTCTTTTAGTTCCACCGGTGGTAGTCAGTCCTACCTTGCCCCTTACATCAATTATACCACCATTCATTTCCCTTCCTTGGTTTTCTTCTTGCGAAAATGGCCATCCTTATACCATCGATACACACGCGCGACTCGTTTCCATCCGATGCTATTGCCATAGTGGGAGCTGCCTGCCGCCTTCCAGGAGCGGATACTCTGGAGGATCTGTGGGATGTTATTTCTCAAGGCAGGAGTAAAGTCCAAGAGATCCCTAGGGACCGGTGCATCATTGAAGAGACATTTCGTGGCCAACAGGATCAGGAATGGATGAAAGGACGGAGATTCTACGGCAATTTTGTCGCCGATGTCGCTGCCTTCGATAATGCCTTCTTCGGCATCAGCCCACGAGAAGCAAAATACATGGATCCTCAGCAGCGGCTTCTATTAGCCACCGCGTTCGAAGCCATGGATTCTAGTGGATATCTACGCAAGCACCGACGAGAAGATGGGGACACAGTAGGGTGCTTTATCGGATCGACCTACACAGAATACCTGGAAAACACATGTGCCTACAACCCATCGGCATTTACCGCCCCAGGCACGATCCGCGCCTTCTTGTCCGGAAAGATTAGCCATTATTTCGGTTGGACGGGACCGTCAGAAGTCATTGACACAGCGTGCTCAGCATCTCTCGTGGCCATTCACCATGCCTGTCGCGCCATTCAGGCTGGTGACTGCTCTATGGCACTGGCAGGAGGCGTTAACCTCATTACCGGAATTCACAACTACCTGGACCTGGCCAAAGCCGGCTTTCTCAGCCCTACAGGGCAATGTAAGCCATTTGATGAATCGGCAGATGGCTACTGTCGTGCGGACGGAGTAGGCCTAGTCGTCTTGAAGCCTCTAGACCAAGCTATCAGCAGCGGAGATCATATTTTGGCTGTGATTCGGGCGTCGGCTACGAATCAGGGAGGGCTCCACGCGCCTTCCATTACTGTACCGGATTCCAAGGCCCAGCAGAAATTATACCGCCATGCCATTTCTAAAGCAGGCATCTTGCCCGAGCAAGTATCTTACATTGAAGCGCATGGTACAGGCACGCGCGTAGGCGACCCCATTGAGATTGAGAGCATACGGGCAGTGTTTGGCGGGCCGCATCGAGCGGAACCATTGCATTTGGGGTCAGTCAAAGCCAATATAGGCCACTGTGAGACAGCTGCAGGTGTGGCCAGTTTACTGAAAGTCATCATGATGTTTTCTCACCGGAGCATCCCGCCGTTGGCGGGCTACAGCACGCTGAATCCTAAAATTGCCTCTCTTGAACCGGATCAGATAATTATCTCAAAGAAGCTCCTTCCGTGGACTTCAGAAAGTCGCAATTCATGTGTCAACAGCTATGGTGCCTCAGGGAGCAATTCTACCTTAATATGTTCTGAGTGGATGGGGGAGACAAACGTTCCGAGGGGATCTAGCCTATCCGGTGTGCCATACCCTGTGCTCTTGTCTGCAGCCTCAAAAGAGAGTCTGAAGAGATATGTCTGTGAGCTGTTATCATATATTCTCAAGTCCCCTTCGGGCATGAGTGTCGGCGACATTGCTTTTACGCTGAGTGAGCGACGCAAACATCATCAATTCCGGTGGACTACCACTGCCGCTGACTTACCCAGCTTAGTCCAACAGCTGCGTGCTGACATCCAACCCTTCGAGATCTCCAAGCAACCGAAGCGGGTAGTGCTTGCATTCTCGGGGCAAACCAAGCTCAACATTGGCTTACATCCCCAGCTGCGTGAGACGAGCCCCCGCTTCATGGCGTATATCGATGCCTGCAGCCAGATCTTGATAAACTTGGGACAACCCGACATCCGACCACATCTCTACAAGTCCGAGCCCATAGACGATGTTGTTATCCTACAATGTGGTACATTTGCGGTGCAATATGCCTCCGCGAGATGCTGGCTTGACGGTGGATTGAAGGTGGATGCAGTTATTGGCCACAGCCTGGGCGAACTTACTGCGCTTGCGGTCTCGGGAGCCCTGTCGCTGGCAGATGCGCTCAAATTAGTCTCGTACAGGGCACATCTTATGAGCAGCAAATGGGGCCCTGATCGTGGGACTATGCTGGCTATTCATGCCGACCAAGGCACCGTTAGAAACATCATCAATTGCGTTGCAACCGCCACCAGCTCGCCAGATTCCGAGACCCTCGAGATAGCTTGCTACAATAGCATGAAGAGTCATGTAGTTGTGGGCAATGAGTCATCTATAGCCGCGACTGAGATGATTTTACAGAACGATACCCAAAATTATGGCATCCGAGCGCAACGTCTGAATGTGAGCCATGGGTTCCACTCGCGATTCACAGAGCCTCTGCTCGGTGATCTTGTTGAATTTACCCGAACGATTGAGTTCCGACAGCCTAGCATTCTACTGGAGATATGTACAGAGCAGGGAGCCACGTCTATAACGGCATTAGGACCCAAGTATCTAGCTCACCACTCTCGAAAGCCGGTGTACTTTGTGAATGCCGTTCGACGCCTGGAGGAAAGGCTGGGCAGTTGTGTCTGGCTAGAAGCTGGCTGGCAGAGCCCTGTTGCGTCTATGGCGAGACGGGCTGTTGCGCACCCGGAAGCCCATATGTTTCAGTCCGCCGCGCCTATAGAAATGGCAGCAGCAAATCTCTGGCGTGAGGGAGTTGCCAATTCTTATTGGGCATTTCTCACTCCACGGGAATTGGACATCAGGCAGATCTGGCTGCCTCCGTATCAGTTTGATCGTCCGCAATATTGGCTCGAGTTTGTTGACCGTACCATCGAGGAGAGAAATAAACTTCTTTCAGCCATGGATCCGTCCTCACTCGACCCAAGACAAGCTGTCAGCCTGGTGAGCTACTGCAGCTGCCCGGATAGCAACAGTGGATCTCACAACTTTTGCATCCACACCAAGACCGAACGGTACACGCGCATTGTCAAGGGCCATGCAGTCCGCCAACGACCACTTTGCCCAGCATCCATGTACATGGAATGCGTAACTATGGCTATATTGCTGCTAGGTTCCGAGCTCAGCGGCAAGACGCTCATTTTCCAAAACATCAACTTCTATCGCGGTCTCGGGTGTGAGGAAGGTGTTGATGTGCACCTGCGTCTTGACTGTCGTGTCAAAGACAGCAGATGGAGCTTCACGGTTCACTCCACAAATGCAACCTACACAAAAGGCGACATCGATGTGTCACCTGCCGCAGATCCAGATTTTAAATTGTATGCTCATCTGGTGTCGCAACAGATAACGACGTTGCACAATAATCCGAAAACAGAGAAATTGTTGACCTACAGAGCCTATTCATTGTTTTCAAGGGTAGTCGTATATGGAGAGCTTCTTCGAGGAATTACCAGTATTACCCTTGCAGAAAACCAGGCCGTGGCGCAAATCAACGTTCCAACTGTAACGTTTGCACACCAGGAAAGCACTGCTGCAGCCATAGTTGATGCCCGAACTTTGGACACTTTCATCCAGGTACTAGGCCTGCTGATAAATAGCAGCACAGGATCCAACTCAGACGGAGAAGTGTATGTTGCCGCAGCGATAAACAAGATGGTGATCCTGCCATGCGACTTCCGATCTCCCCAGACATGGACAGTCTACGCCATGTTCTCTGCAACGGATCCGAAATATACCACTGGTGCCATTTTTGTATTTTCAGAGTCGGGCGAGATGCTTGTTCTAGGCTCGGGAATCCGCTTCGTTAAGACACAAGCAGCAAGATTAGAACGGATACTGGGAGGTCCTTCTTCACAAGCCACAACCTTAGCTCCTGGGGTTAAGCAGCCTTTGAATAACGATATTAGCGATGGAGCGACATCGCCCGCACCGAGAGTCAACAGTTACATAGACAGTCTGAAGGGAGTGAAAACTCTCGTCTCCACATACACCAGTGTCCCCGTGCATGAAATGGACGACAAGGAGAGCTTTGGTAGTATGGGTCTGGATTCATTGGCGACAATTGAACTGGCCGATGAGCTCAAAGCCAAGTTCGGAATAATCGTCAATTCAGACGACCTAATCGCATATGGCATCAAGGACTTGAAGAAGCAGCTCAATCTTCCTACGGAGAGGAAAGTTCCGAACGACGAGGGCAACGGCCACATGTCTAACCTCGCATCCATGCCCGACTATGTACCACTCTTTGATAGAGGAACGAACAGTCAGATCAAGAAGCGGAATCATCGTCCGAGCTCACGCCACAGAATCGAGACGTTAATATACAAGAAGGTTGAAGGTGTCGAGATCCCCGCTGATGTGTTCATCCCACTGGAAGCTCCACCGCGAGTCATGCCAATAGGTATAACCCAAACATAGCAGAGAGAGCCCATGACTGATTGCTCCTCTCATATAGCCCTGATGATCCACGGCGGTGGCCATATGACATTATCTAGGAAGGCAGTGCGACCTGCGCAGACCTCATTCCTGCTCGCCAAGGGCATTCTTCCAATAAGTATCGACTATCGACTTTGTCCGCTGGTCAACATCATCGACGGTCCCATGACGGATGTGCGAGATGCTTATGCATGGGTGCAGCAAGATCTCCCGCATGTCCTCAAAGGGAAGGTCGAAGTAGATCCTACGAAGATCGTGATCATCGGATGGTCAACCGGTGGCCATCTTGCCATGACGACGGCGTGGACAACGCGCGCAGCAGGCCTGGCGCCCCCACTAGCCATCCTCAGCTTCTACTGCCCAACCAACTACGATCCGTCCGGTAAGCCCATCGAATCAGTTGCTGGCTCCAGCACTAACACTTCTTAGCTCAGGCTGAAATGGGCAAACAATACCCTTCCCGAACAATGTCCATGAGCGAGATCCGCCAAGCGCTCCCCACACAACCAGTAAGACCATCCATCACATACAGCAGAACCTACTAACTAAATCCAGATAACCAGTCACTCCTTCAATACTTCTGACACCTCCAACCTAGGCTGGATTCAGCCCGGCGATCCTCTATCGGAGCTCGTCCTCGCCCTTGTCAAAGAAGAAAATGGCATGGGACTTCTCCTCGACGGCATCCCCACGGACGGCGAGCAAATCAAGCGACCGGACGCGAAACGCGCCGCGGCAATCAGTCCACTAGCGCAGGTTCGCGCAGGCTACTACCGGACCCCGACCTTCCTGATCATTGGCGAGGAAGATGAGATTGTACCGTTTCATTCGGCAGTGGAATTTGCCAATGCCCTTCAAGAGCAGGGGGTGAAGAGCGGGTTTCTGCCAATTCCGGGCGCGAGACATATTCATGATTTGTCGTTGATGCCTGGAGATGAGGAGTGGGAGAGGGGGGTGGCGCCTGGGTATAGGTTTTTGTTTGAGCAGATGGGATTATCTGATGAGGAGGATTAGTTGGTGATGATCATGGCGGTGGCGGGGTATCTCGGGTTATTGTTTGTATCATGTCATGCTGCTGTACTAATTTGAATGTGCTGTTTTGGAATGATCAGATAGTCTATAAGATGTCCCTTCATCCTATGTTGACTCGCAGCAAAGATAAAAGAAAGATGCCCGGGGAATTGCCAGGCACCCTACCCAACCCAGCCTAGCGCCACCCCACTCCCCAACCCACCCACTATCACACGTGACCTCAAAAATGGCCACCCCTCCCAAGAATCAATCTTCTCCCCAGTCCAGCCCCCTCACGGTACAGTACAGACTACACAAATCGCCCTCAATTCCTCGCTCTCTCGCCGGCCAAGCCACGACCTCACAACCCAACCAACATGGCGCGTATCCGCCTCGCCCCCCTCTCCACACTCACCCAAACCCGCTACGTCATCCACCTCTCGAACAAAAAACGCCTCGTCCTCTTCCGTCTCCCCACCATCGACCCGAAACCCAACCCCAATCCCAGATCCCCCTCAGCATCAACATCAGCATCAGAATCAGCATGTGCACCCCGCAACGAGTCCAACGGCTGGTCCTACTACGCCATGGAGGCCGAATGTCCGCACGCGGGGGGGCCCATGCAAGATTCGACCATCGATATTGAAGACTCGGCGTATATTGTGTCGTGTCCGTGGCATGCGTATGATTTTAATGTGGAGACGGGGGAGTCGAGTGTGGGCATTCAGGCGTGTACGTTTCCGGTGGATGTGCGGGGGGTGGATGGGGTGGTGGTTTTGGAGTATCCTTCGGGGGATAAGGTGGAGGTGGTGAGGCTGGAGGCGGTGAGTGAGGTTATGAAGTTGAAGAAGGGGGCGGTTGGGAGTGCGCATGGGAATGGGAGTGGGAGTGGGAGTCGTGGTGAGGTGGAGGAGTTACGGTATCTGGGTGATGATGCGACGGTGTGTGAATGGTGTGCGCATATTCTGAACACCTCCAACCCGGAACATAAGATTGAGTTGACGGCGCATTTATTCAAGTTGTTCACGGAACGGGAAGGCACGGAGTCCCCGATGGTAATTGGGAGCCGGACAGGAGTGGCATTACCGGATCTACCGCCGCGGGATGGCGTCAAGGATGTGAACCGGACGGCAGTCCCGAAGCCCGGACGAGGCGGGACGCAGAAGAGTCGGATTAACATGCTACATGCGCTCGCGAACATCGAGCAATGGGCGATCGATCTCGCGGTGGATATCTGCGTGCGGTTCGCGACGTTCCAGACGAACGGGGCCGACGCACGCGGGCTACCACGGGCATTTTTCCACGACTGGTTGAAAGTTGCGAACGACGAAGCGAAGCATTTCTCACTCCTGCGGACACGGCTCGAGGAGCTGGGGTCATATTTCGGAGCACTGCCGGTACATCATGGCCTATGGGACTCGGCGACGGTGACGGCGCATGATCTGCGAGCGCGGATTAGTATCATTGCGTTGGTGCATGAGGCGCGCGGGTTGGATGTGAACCCGGTGACGATTGATAAGTTCCGCAAGGCGGGCGATCAGGAGAGTGTGGATACGTTGGAGATTATTCATAATGATGAGATTACGCATGTCACGACGGGTCATCGCTGGTTGACGTGGATTTGTGGCCAGGAGGAGACGGATCCCGTGCAGGTGTTTCGGGGCAATGTGCAGAAGTATTTCCGGGGGCCGTTGAGGGCGCCGTTTAATACGGAGGCCAGATTGCAGGCCGGTTTGGATCAGAGGTATTATGAGAATTTGTCGGGGTATGATGTGGTGCAGGCTGCCTGATCATTGACGAGCAGTTGCTTTGTTTGACAGCGCTTCGAAAGTTATGATCTGGGTGGTGATACCCTGCAGAAAGCGCGTGCGTATCCACTGGACAAGTCTCACCGACTGACCCTAGGGTCCATAACTGCCGGTAGCATGAGCATCAGGATCAGAGTGGACATTTACCTGTCGGTAGTTGTCCCCGGGGAAACTGTGGCATCGAGAGCGGGCGTCTCAGGTACGCCTCCCGAGTACTCCCCCAGTACTTCTGGTCAAAATAGACACCTGAGGTGAGCCCAAGGTCTACCGGGTCGAGTCGTCCTCACGACAGATTCAACGAGGCCATCGCTTGTCTGCACCTACCGAAGCAAAGGCATAGACCTGCACATGTGGGCTCAACCGACACAAGTCCAGATCTGTCCCTCGAGTTGCATCACATCAGATGTCTCACAGACACTTGTACAAAATGAACAATACCCAGATACGCCATATATAGACGAACAATAAAAAGCGAATCATTTCAGAAATATCTACATCTATTCGTACAACACATACATCAAATCGTCAACGTCCCTGTCAACTGAATATCAAGCACGCTCTTCCCCACATAAACCGAATATGCTCCGGCCTGCAATCCCCAGCTCTGCTTCGTCACGTCCCAAGTACTGAGATCGCGTCTAGTGAGCTCAAACGTGACTTCCGCGTGATCTCCCGGCTGAATGAGCTGCTTCTCGAATCCTCTCAGGACCTTCGCCGGACCACCCGGGATACCAACGTAGAGTTGAGCGACCTCCGCCGCAGCCACGGAACCAGTATTCGACACCGAACAGGTAACGGTAGCCACCACATCCCAAAGGGAGGGGAGACCGCCTTCTGCGATGGTCGAGTTGGGGGGCAGATAGCTCGTGTCCACGCCCGTGTGGACGGAGACTTCAAGATCAGAGTACGAGAAGGTGGAGTACGTGAGGCCATAGCCGAATGCGTAGCGGGGGGTGATGTTCTTCTGCTCAAAGGCCTTGTAGTCGATGTAGACGCCCTCGGTGAAGTTGTCTTGCGGGTAGTACAGGTCTTGAGTTCCGGTGGGGACGACCGGGTTGAGGAGGGCACCATAGTCGGATTCGTTCTTGGCGACGGTGTAGGGAAGACGGCCGGAGGGGGACTGTTTGCCGTACATGACCTCCACCAGGGCACGACCGCTGTCTTGACCCGGGAGATGGGCGTAGATGACGGCGGTGATGTTGGAGTGGTCGATCCAGCGATCGACGAGACGGATGCCGGCGTTGTGGATGATCACCATGGTGTTGTTGCATTGGGAGGCGACGTTCTCGACCAGGGTGTCGGAGTAGGGGTCTGCCACGTATGGGCGGTCCCAGCCTTCTGCTGCGGCTTCGTTGATGAAGACGAGACACGCTTCGCTGGCTGGGTTCACGATCGGGTTTTGGGAGGCAAAGTCCCAGGCGAGGAAGGTGTTGTCGTCGTAGGCTTGGCGTTGGAAGGCATCGAAGGGGGCGTCGATGTAGGAGGGAGTGCTGGCGCCAGAGCCTCCTCCGGTGATCATGGTACCGTTTAGAGATACCCCAGGACCAGTTTCAGAAGGGTTTGCGCTGGAAAGGAACAGGTACTTGAGGTGGGACGGATCAACGGCAGTGCCATTGGGGTAGGTCAGGGTGTTGTCGAGCCCCATGGACCATAGACCCCATGAGAGATCGTCCATGGTATTTTGGGTCGCAGCGATGGCGTCGTATCCGAAGAGGGATAGGAATTTGGGCTGATTCAAAGGCAGGGCATTGTTTGTGTTTTTGACGAGGACGTGGCCTTCGACTGCCCCCTGGAGGATGGTGGCTTTGGAGGCAGGGTCACGAGCATCAACCGGTTCATGAGGGGTGAGCAGGCTGACGGGCAAGCCGTGTCCGGGGTTCTCCAGCTCAGCGTACTTGTACCAGGCGGCGACGATGCGAGTAGCCATGTCATCGAGACGCGTGGAGGACAAGGATCCATTACGGACAGCTAGAGAGAGGTTGCCGTTCTCCCAGTAGGTTGAGTCGGGCATGACCATATCGAGACCAGCTGCAGCGCTGGCAATACCAGTGTGTTGGGCATTCCAGTCGGATACAACGAACCCTTGGAAGCCCAGCTCCCCCTTGAGCAGTCCATTCATAGTCTTGCTGTTTTGACAGCCGTAGCTGTTGTTGATGCGGTTATAGCTGCACATGACGGCACCCGCACCAGCCTTGACTGCGTCTTGGAAAGGCCACATGTAGAGCTCATGGATGGTCTTATCATCGATGTTGGAGGAGACTGACTGGTTATAGCTTCCCTCCAGCAAAGCTGGCGTGTTCCGCCTTGTTTCCTGCTCATTTCCGATGAAGTGTTTGACGCAGGCAATGACGGACTCTTGCAGACCACGGATCGTATTCTGAACCAGGGAACCGGAGAGGTAGGGATCGTTGCTGTATCCTTCCCAGTTGCGACCGCCTCGGGCTATACGGCCTAATGGTCCCACGACAGGACCGAGAGCAACATTGGCTCCCTTGCGCTTGAACTCCGCTCCCATGTAGTGAGCGTTTTCATAAGCGAGATCACGGTTCCATGAAGCTCCTATGTGTAGACCCGAGGCATAGCCATTGACCATGTCGGTTCCTCGCACGCCACTTGCTGCATCCTGGAGACACATTCCGGGATATCCCAGACGCGGAACACCACCCGCCATTCCCGAGCAGCCATTTGTTGTAGACGTATATCCGTAGGTGATGTCGTTCTTCTCCTCGTCGGTCATCTGGGATATGAGAGACTTGGCTTTAGCAAATGCCTCTTCCCAGTCGCCCAAGCCCTTTGTCTCCGCTGATCATTCGAATTAGCTAGTGTCAGCACCACAAGGACGGTCAACTTACGAGTGGGATAAACAGGCTCCGAGCGCCCGTAGGACCAGTAATGCTCCAGCTCAGCAACATCAAGTGTTCGCTTTTGCACCACAGCGGCATCTGCCAACTGCAGCGCTGCAGCCGAAAGGACAAGAGACAACTTCATCTTTCTACCAGTTGAAGAAGATTCAGCGGATGTGCCCCGAGAAGCATCTGAGGTGGAAATCCAGCCACTTATATACCCACGAAATCGCAGCCCAACTCTCAACCATCCTCTTCAACGCCCACTATGACTCCATTTCTCCCGTATATCCGGCCAAGACTGAAAACTCTCGGCAAAGTGTGGCATATTGACGGCCGCATGGACAATAACAGGAAAGAGCGGGATAGGGTTTCGGGTCAGTCTCGGGCGGACATCCAATGAAATCTCGATATTAACGTGGGCCTCGTAGAATATCTCGCATGGTCGAAGTCGCGTGGCCGATTTCGGGTCCCTGCCCGGCTCCAGGAAGTTGGAAATGCGGGGACTCCACACTCGGGATAAGCGAGACTCCACGTTCTGCAGCCCGGAACGGCAATGCTGACGAGCAGCGTGACGACCCCAGAGTCACTCCTCGGCAGAATTTCGGCAGATGGTGTTATCTGGCTGGTCTTGGAGGCGCGCCAATGAAGCTAGCTGTGGTTGAGCCGTCTCTGCCATGGTTTGAATGACATATGGGGCTTAGGGGCTCCTCACTATCCCCAGGCCGATGCCATGCCATGCTCCGGGAATACGAACCCCTGTGGGGCTGAAAGCAGGCCATGCTCCAGATGACCAGAGAATGTGAAGGACCGGACCAGATATTTTCCACTGAGGGTGATAGATGCCGACCGTGCCAGTTATTCGCTGAGACGATGATGAAGATGGTTCCTCGGTCCCGCTCGGAGGTTCCCCGCCCCGTGCAAAGATCAGGTGATGGTTGAAGAGAAATCCGATCCAGTCGGGAAATCCGACATTCTTGCCGTTACTCCGGACTGAACCCGGGGTTGAAATACTCAAGGTCAGAATCATTGCTTCAGCATAATCGTACGTATGGTGAAAAGCAGATGGGAACCGCCATCACATAGGCTTAGATTTTGCTGTCCGCATTGATGATACAGAGACTGTAGCGAAGGGAAGATACTCATTGGTAATCTTAGCCATGGGCTTCCATGAAGCTGGACCAAATTCGGCGTTAATACATCATGGTGCGCTCTGACAGCCCCACTAATCCAACACTCGCACGCCCACAAAGTCTGCTCCATAGGATTGAAATCCCTCATCCCCTCCTACATTACCAATCACCACCTCGTTCGCACCCTCCTTCCAGCCAGTCGTTAGCAATCCCAAGGTCGCCGTGTCCCACCATCCCAATCCCGGCCCAAACAACTCACTATGCCTTCCGCTTAACGGCACCTCAATCCTGACTGGGTCCTCGCTATTCACCGTCACCGTCAGGTTCCGAGAGTTGGACCCCCAGCCCCACGAGGAATCGAATGCGATATCGTTGTTAATGTAGTCAATCTCCAGATACTTACTCCCGCCCGTGGTCACGGAAACGGTCACCTGGGCTGTCCCACTGGGGCTGATGTAGCCGATATTCGAGCCAACTGGCTGGCAATAACCTGTCCCGCAGGTGGTAAGGGTGCTGGATCCGGCGAGGGTAAAGTTCGTGCAGGGGTAGTAAGTCCCGTTCGGAGGCGTGATGTGGATAGCATCAATTGATAGTGAGGTGTCAATGGCGATTGTGTTGGAGGAGCTGGCGGTGAGAGGGATATTCGCTGAGATTGACGTGGAGGATGCTGGAACTTGGGTGGCTATCGTACTGTTGCTTGCGCCTGATCCAATAGTGACGTTGGCTGTTGATGAGCTCGCAGCAGAGAAGTAGATGGTAAGGGTATACTGGGCACTGGTCGTGACGGCATAGATTTGTCCGAATGTTGTTGTTTGCCTAGCCATGTCAGATGCGTTCTTGTTGGGGCAAGAGTAAGCTTACCCGGATAATGTCCCGTAGATTGCTGTTGAATACACCCCAGCTTCAGTAGTATCCTGCAGCTCTAGCAGCATTGTGCCATGGCCGGCTACTGTCGCTGAGTATGAGGTGCGCACATCCTGCGCAGTACTTCCGCCCCAAATGTTTTTCACAGTGCCTGCATACTGGAGCCCAATATCTGGCAGATCCAAAGTCAGATCCCTGCTCTCATCACGCCAATTGATGACAGCGGCTACTGTCCGATCGTCTGATAGCGGTCCGCTCCAGACTTCGTAACCGTCCTCGGTCCAGCGTCGGCGCAAACTCGCACTCTTTCCCAGTGAATCTTGATTGTATGCAATGACATCAGACTGTTTGAGGACTCCGAGCGAGGCATCGTTGATAGCGGTGAGTTCGTCTTTCAGGGCAGCGCCGATGACCAATGGACTCTTGAGAATCGCCCAGAGAGAGAAATGTGTCTCCTCCTCCGACAGGGAGAACACATTGTTACCCACTTCCAGCATATCAAGGTCAGGCCACTGCCCTGGGCCAGCAAAGTCCGTTTGTGGGGCTGCCTGGTTTATAATCCGGAAAATGGTTCGCCAGTCGGGAATGATGTCGTTCCCAATGCGCCAAGAGTGTCCAATAGAAGGTGCCCAGCCAGCGGGGAAACTAATGCCCCATTCACAGATCTGGAAGAGGATGGTTCGGTTTTGTTGCAACAGAGCATGAGACATGTTGGCGAACCTGGGCTCCGGAGAGGTACTGGGCGCATAGTTGACGTTGGGGTAATTCGTTGCGGCGTCAGAATAGCAGTTGTCGTCTAGAAGGTAATCAGTGACTGAACAAACTGTCAAAAGGTGAAAAATTACATTTCAGGGAGTCAACTTTCCATGATGCAAATGTGCTTGCATCCTGTGCTTCGTGGTCTATACGCCAGATTAGTAACCTGGATCACTGTTGGTCCCAGATAACATACACAGGCTGCCCGTTTCATTCGGTGGACTTCCGCAGAGCAGAATACCGGAGTCCTGATACACGCCAAAAAGAAGACCCAGGTCATGAAGATATTCACCCAGAGCTGGGAAGCCCTGGGGGAATAAATCATCATTCCATGTCAAGGATCCGTCCGGCAGTCGGTCCGCGACTGTCCAGCCACAGTCTGTCGTGACGTACCGATATCCAAGTGCAGATAATCCTAGATCTACTAATGCCTGTGCATTAGAGTGGACAATGGTTTCATTCGGAGAACATGAGTAGTGGTTGTAAGTATTCCATCTGGTTTATTGTGTTAGTTCCCCGTATTAAAAGACGTGTCTAGCTTACCCCATCTGTGGTGTCAAAGCAAGACCATTGTCCAAACGTGGCTTAAGATTTGCACTGGATACCACACTGCCTACTGCAGCATACAAAAGAAATTGAAGGAACATTGTCACGACTGTCTGCCGAAAGACGCCGGGCAATTGAGTTTGCGTCAAGTGCGGGGTGCGTCTGCAGACTTATATTCATGCATTTAACCGATGCTCGGGATGGAAACAATTAGCCGGGACATGGGAACTTCCAACAAGCCCTTTCTGACATCCTCTGAGACTGATGATGCTTGACCCCTCTTCTGAATTTATGTCGGCCACTGATTCTCACTTCATCCGGCCGCTTCCGGGATGAAAACTCTACATGCGAAGCTAGCTACCGTATTAGTGTCCACCTTATATGCGAGATAATCCGGATCTCTCACCTGATTGTTGTTGCCATGTGCGATGAGATATTATCATTTCAACTGTTGCTAAGCTTTGGCTGGTGGCAGTTTCAAGTCAGCAACACTGCAGACTCCAGTAGATACTCCACGGCAAGTCAGCTTCCCTTCCATTCACGACAGCCATGAGAATCAGGGAAGTTGACATGTACAAATTGCAACTATGTAGCTGTAGTCGGCAGCAACACGCACTGATATAACATCAAAAGCGGATCTGCGCTCTCGCCACCCCGAGCGGGATCTGGACGGGATCTGGGTGATCACTAGCTTCATCTAATTTGCCAGCTGGCCAGGCCCACCGGTCAGGCATAGCTAAGGAGAAGTACTCCGTATCGTATGCTATACTCACGACACGCCACGTACTTGGGGCTAATGCTGATTGTCATCACCGATGTGGAAATAATGTCCGGACAAAATTTATTGGTGTGGGTGACCTCATTGTGTCGGTCTTCATGGCTGTGGTGAGATTGTGATTGCAAGTTACACCGCAAATTTGCGAAATTACTTTTTTAATCAAGATCATACATGACACCTGCAGGATAGTCGAAGATAGTCTTGCTGCAGTCGGTGCATGAAAAGAGGATATAAACTGCTGCCTGTTCCCCCATCTAGTTCTTGCACTGTACCGGCGATCATGACGATAAAACACCTCAAGATTGCTCTCATTTACGAGCTTCGCTCGGCTTATAAAGAGCTTGGCTACTCTGATGCAGATTGTGCCAGGCTTGAAGTCGGAGAAGCAGCCGAACATATCGCTGCGGTTCTTGAAAAGCTGGGCCATGAAGTCATCCTGATCCCCGACATCCACTCCCTCATTAAGAGGCTCGCATCTGGTGAGGGCGATACGTGGGACATAGCATTTAACACCACCGAGGGGCTACATGGATCAGCCAGAGAGGGTCAGGTGCCGGCATTGTTGGAGGCCTACCAAATCCCATTCACATTCTCAGATGCAGCCACCATGGCATTGTGCTTGGGCAAAGGGAGGACAAAAGTGAGTAGATTCCGTTTTCAGCACCTCACACCTGCAGTGTCTCTGGACCTTTTTTGTTGAGATGTCCACGATGGCTGACAGGTTCCAGATGGTCCTCGAGCACTTCGACGTTCCTACTGCACCATTTGCAGTGATCCATTTCAGTGACACCAACGACAAAGTCCCAACTGTCATTGGATGAGATCCAGTCCATGATTTGCAGGTCCCGACACTCTGAGACGCTGCTCAGTCAGTATCCATTATTCGCAAAACCTCTTGCTGAAGGCTCGTCGAAAGGGATTGTGGCAAGCAACAAGATCAAGGGCACTGGCGACCTATGCCGCGTGATCAATTCTCTCCGTGCTTCCAGCCCCTCATCACTTGGTGTGCTCGTGGAAACCTACCTCCCTGGGCGGGAATTCACAGTGGGTATTCTAGGGACCGGAAAGGACGCATGGGTTGTCGGCGTCGACGAGATTATATGGTGCAGCAAGAAATGAAATCAAAATGGCGAGGCAGTAGAGTTCACGACAGAAAAGTCCAAATCGACCGGCGATTGGGCTGGAGAAGCCGATGAGGTCAAGGTCAGTCGGGATGATCCGGAAGCTGATCTTGCTTGCAAAACGGCTCTGCGGGCATGGAATGGTTTGCGTTGTCGGGATGGAGGACGGGTTGATATTCGAATGGACGACTCCTCTGGAACCCCGGTCGCTCACGTTATGGAAGTAAGTACATCAACTCTTCCAGGAGGTTCGACGTTGGCTTACGGATTTCAGATCAACCCTCTCGCTGGACTTCTTCCTCACTGGTCGCAGCTGCCCGTGATTGCCGAACATAACGATGTTTCATTTGAGGAACTTATCGGGCACATGCTGAATAGTGCTTTGAAGAGACGGAGGGATGGAGTTTCTGTTTAGAATGCTCTGCGTATCTTTGGAGGTCGTATCGGGGCCTATGTAAAAGAACCGCTGGCATCAATGACAGGTCAGCAGACGGAGTTATACAGTCCTTACTTTATTTGTAAAAGATGATCCTCGGTAGAAAAGCCATTTGTGTTGAGAAAGATTCCCCAAGGTGTAGGCAACAGGTGGGTGGTTGTGGAAGACAAGTCAGTCGCAGCCAAGTTGGGCCTCGGCTTCTCGCCTCTCTTCGGTTCCCCGTCCGCCATCCTCGACGCCCAACGAAACCTCCAATAACATCTGTGTCTCAAGATTTTGATGGGCCCATCTTGTTCGGCATTTACCCCCTTCCCTCAGCTTTCAACTGTCATTCATATCCGCCGTATCTGAGGACACCGTTCTTTTGGTCGCAAGATCTGCCAACTGGACAAGGTCCCCACAGGCGCGAGAAGTAGGCATGTTTTTTTGAACGTCATTGGCATGGATTCAATATCTATGACTAACTGATACCTCTCAAGGCAACCATGCAAAAGTCTGGACCCCACCTTTTCGCCAAGACAAGCCAGCTGTGTCGAGGTAATCTATCCGATTCTCAATCAGTTTGTGAGGACGGCCATAAAGGGTCTCTCTCACAATGGTAACCAGGATGTAAATAGGTGAGATATGGCAAACTACCTCTATCGATACACGTCCTCATCGATGGGATAGGCGGGAGACACGAGATGTAGGATAAATTCTCTATCCTCGTTCGACCCCCTTTACGATGATCGCCGCTATGGAATAGCGGCCTGCTATTGCCAGTAGCTTCCGCGTAAACCGAAACATGGAGCAATATACTTGCACTATTGCTGTGCCGATCTCATAGGAACGGGGAAGCAGTGGGGAATCGTCCCACAATTCCTTCAACGGGACATTCGCGGGCACCACGGGAAGACTATCGGAATGTGAGCGCCACCCATCGCTCCATAGCCACAGCCTCACACTCAATCTAGATATCATCAGCAGAATAAGGTTCCCACGCGCCGTTGTGCCGGGGCTTTACCAATTCCTGGTGGATTTGCGGAACCGCACCGCATCTATCTTCTGAGTTCCATCCCCTCCAACTGCTAGAATCTGCAGCCAGAAAGTATCTGTTCACAAGATGCAGCAATGTCTTACCCTCACCATAACACCCCACACAGTCATCTCACATCTCCGTCAGACACCCCTCAATTAATGACAAGCCCATGGTGTCACTTCGGCCCGTCCGTCCTTCCCAGAATGAGACATGTCTGTAATGTGGGTCCCATCTCAGCCGGCCGATGTTCCTCGTCATAACCGATGAGCCTGCAATTACTGCATTGGCAGAGGCCATTTCTCCGATGTCTCGCCAGGGACACCCACATGGACCGAGGCTTAGCCAATCACAGAGTGTTCCGGCCCCGCCGAGTTAAATTTAGGTCGCTTTTTGCCATCGCAAAGGACCCTGATTTTGAGTCTAATCATAGTCCGGTAGGGAGCCCACCGGACTAACCCGCCCCCTCTCGAGGAATGACAACATACCTACTGTGTTGGGCGAAGTGGTACCCCTTGCGTTGAGACATGGGATAAACATTGCCATCGTAAAGTCGGAGTTGCTAAATTTGGTTCTGGTCGAGGTCGAGCGAAGGTATAAAAGGGTGCTGTTTGTCGTCAGTATAGTCCCCATCATCACAATTCTCATCTTCCTTATTCACATACACAACCTTGAAAGAACTCTCTCTCAAGCCCTTTTGAATCATCATCAAAATGCAGCTCAAGCACCTCCTCTTCACTGCCGCCACCGTCGCCGCTCTCCCGGCCACTGACGCCTCCTCCAGCGAGACCTTCGGTGTCATCGCCATCGCCTCCGGCACTGGTGTGCAGAACTCTGGATTCAGCGCTGCGAAGAGCAGCCTTTTTGCTGGCCTCCCGAGCCAGAATGCCAGCTGTGACCGCCCCAACGAGAACTTCGCCACCTTCTACATCAACGACGGTTCTCTCTACCTGTATGACGCGTCTGCGACTCCTCAGGAGTTCTTCGTTGATGCCTCTGGCATGGGTATGTCTCCCCAATCATCGATTTTCTTGTTGCATAGTCCTCTAACGTATAATCACAGGCCAAGGCGTGATCCAGTACACCACCGGTGCTCAGCCTGCCTCCGGAGCCCGTGGCGGCTGGGCTATTGACAGCAACAACCACCTGCAGTATGATGGAAAGGACCTGATTGCCTGCCCCAACAGCATTGATGGCGCTTGGAGTATTTGGGCTAATGCCGGTGTTGACAACCCTGGTGGAAACAAGAACTGTGTCGGTATTGCTGCCCGGGTTGAGAAGACCTCCAACCCCAACGGTTGCGTCTACACTCAGTAGATCGAAAACAGGGAATCTGCTGCTGGCGGAGGTCTCCTGAGATCCTGACTCTTGATTGGGCGGAATTAATGCGGAGACGCGGACTGAGCTGCTTCTGCTTCGAATTTTGTTAATATTTAATCTGGAAATCCAACCACTGAATATATAATTTGCTCGGCATTTAGCGATTCTTCGTAGAAGCAGGTCACACGGGGTCGAATCTGGACTAGCGTAAGATTGTCGAGGGGTCTAGATCCATGTGTAATTCGATGAATGCAGACACATAACATACATTTGGCAGGAGATTAGAGGCATCGACAGTGTCTAGTGACGTGCTGAACGGAGAAATGAATGGATCACCGGTCATTCACCTGCTGGAGCTCCTTTCGCGAAGACCTTGGCCCTCATCAATATGAAAGATGCCTAGTGCTGAGCCAAGTGACTGTCCTCCCTGAAGTCTATAAAGGTCCCCATCATCCAGAGGTTGGAGGTCTTGTCTGTTCAGCAGCTCATGACGAGGTCATCTCGAGCCATGACAACTATACTAGATCCCTTGTTCTATGGACAACAAGCATAGGTCATGAGCACCAGTCTTCAGAAGGTATCCTTCTGAAGACTATGTCCACAAACAGTGCTTCCTTCAGTGACCCATAACCATCCAAGTTGGCGACGCCTAGTATGTCTGCTACAATCTCCAACTCATGGCCCGGGGTATGTATGAGAACGGCGTCGATAAGCATCTCGGATAGGAGAGGGTTTTGGCGCGTAATCGAAATATTCGTGGGAACGGAAACGACCGGATGACAGGAGCCAAGGGCTCGTCATGCGAATGATTTGTGACTGTGCGGATCTGCATATATCGGTCAATATCCACTTGCTAGGGTTGCACCAGTCTTTCAAGTGGAAATGGAAGCAGCCAACTTAGGGGAGATTTTCATGTTCGGCAATCTGAGAAGTCTGCGACTATGCGGACTCTCATAAGGGTCTGGGGGTAGTCATCGAGCACTGACGATAGAAGGCCGTGCAAGTCATTCAGACATCTCTAAAGAGATTGAAGGAGCCAAAACAACATCTTGTGTCTTGAACCTCGTGTGCGGTATAGCTGTGCAGTCTGGCAATGGTGATATGAAACGAAGAAGTTCGACATATGACGTTTATACGAGCCACATTACCTGTGGGCGCAAAGCAGTGTTCGGTGTGGCTGTCGACAGACCTAAGGACATCGTGCATAAGGTCAGGAGAACCTATCACAGAAACGAGTGAGCATGCTGACGGATGCAGTTGGTTACACAAATGGTGCTTTGTGAAGAAGCACAACCTAAGAGGGATCTGCAAGATGTGATTCAATTGATCCTGACGGACCGTACCAGACGGGCCGTCCCAGGAACCAGTCCTCATGCGTCATCCATGGGCGTAGCAAGCAGGGGTCTGATCCCTACCTGAATTGGATGACGCAAAAGAAGGAGATGCTGACGTTGCTGTGAGAACTACCCTGGTGGTGGGGTCAAGGATGACTAGTATGGATGGAGGAGATGAGAAGAGAAGCACTACCGCTGGGGTAAGATTCACCCCAAAATTTCAGGCATAACTGTGGAATAATCCCACAACCTATTGGAATATTGTGAGACAACCAGTCCTTTTTTCTCGGATTGGGTTATCTGGTTTAGTCGTCCTAGTCTGATCATTTGCTTCGCCACATCCCTAGTTGTTTCCCGAGCCCATCTACACCTCCAAGCCTGATGTTGCCTAGTTGTAGACTGTAGCCGGTAATCCATTGTATTCCTCGAATTAATTACTGGAAATTTCTAGAACCTGTAGAAGCGGGCTTTTCCTCGAGCTCAGAGCAATGATACAGGCTAGTTTCCACTTCCATGAGATTCGCTGCCCATTCCATCCCAGCTCGGAATCACATAACGCCGGAAATGGGCATATAAGCAGCCTCCATCTCACGCTTTGTTGATGCTTCTCGTAGATCACAGCAGCAGTTGACTCATCGTTTCTGCTTCCCCAAGGCAACCGGCCTCTGGGTAGGCAATGTCGAGCCTCTCTACCGAGTGGCATTCGTCCTTCGTCCACTCTTTCATATATATATTATATTCACCCAGTAGCTAGAACTATCGCTCCACGGTTGCCATGACTACATTATTGTTTGTCCTTCTCTAGTCATACATCTGTTAATTAAGACTAACCATTACCCAGCTGAGGTTATGGCTTGATTGCAGGTTGAATATTGGCTAGAGGTATGACTATTTAATCTTGCCATCTGGGTGAAATCTTGGGATGGCACTGACTGACCATCACCGGCTAGCTGCAGTCATCCACGTCCCCACCTCGTTTGCTCGGCCTGTACGACTACCGTATGTTACAACACCAAGAGCTACATTGAAGTGACCGATCGATCTGCCTAATGGAGGATATACACAACAGCGGCCGTAAGAAACAGGCAGGAGGCCAAATGTGATGAAGCAGAGCCCATAATCTTATATACTCTAAGCAAGTTCAGACAGCTGCAACGGATGCCTACCCTGATCAATCTCAGTCTCAACCCCGCACGGTACGTCACGACGCCAGAATAAAGCCACTGCGCATCATCATGGGGGACAACTTGCATATATACCTACAGCGCCATGGTACAGCCTAGTACGATCGTTCTTATTGCCTTGTCTGTCATGCCTCCTAGGTGGTTGCTGCCTGGTACGGCGGTTATTTCTACCAACATCTTCATGTTGGCTTGTGTGCTCCCTGCCACAAGAGAGGATGTATAACCAATCCTCTCGCCTTATTGTCTTGTGTCTGGCTTGCCTCATATGGTCTTTCTCAACCTTGACTAGATGTGATCCTTATCATCGTCACGGTGTGTATAATATTTACACTGGTCATTTGGACTTTGGGACAAAGCACAGACTTGCCGGCATGATATCCGATTCAATACGAACTCGATGAATCCTTTTACTGGGACATTGCAGAAGAATGATGACTCATGAGGTATATTCTCATCTTTATATAGCTTTGCCAACTCTTCGCGCCATGGGGCCAAGATTCAGGACACCGCTCAAGAGAAGTATAATGGCTGGTGGGATATCTTACACCTCAGTCAAGGTTCCTGCTAGACTCTCTATACGACCATCTCTACCACAAATCATGGGGCTGGCTGTCCAAGGTCGTTTCTCGAAGACATGTTCTATGCTCGGCGGTGGAACTCATTCGACACCAGTTACAGGACCTGTATTCGCAATACCTAACATGGGTGGCGCTTTATACAACCATCTCTACCACAAATCATGGTGGGGTTGGCTTCGTTCCTCTGAGGTTTGCCTTTAATAGGACGCAGGAACAGCTCGGCTCATGGGGAATGGCAAGTGAAAACAAACACTGACTTAGAAGACATGAAGTAGTAAACTCAGGTGTTCCATGCTCGGGATAATGTTTATTCGACATCAGTCACAGGACCTTACACATGCTGTTTATGACATGGGTGATATAAGCCACAGAGATGCAACATACTCCTGATCCTGGCCGGCTAAGCGAAACAAGATTCCCTCAGTACTCGCTCACGAGTCGATGTCCTTCTACGAATGCATTGACAACAGAACTACTTGCACTACTTCGAACTGTCTCAGGGAAGACCGATAACTGGAAAGAGGAATAAGACTGTTCCGACAGTGATAGCTCCAACAACTTCTCAGCTGCAGCTCCATGCTTCTTTACTTATCTCTCGGTCATATCCACCCCACCCATGATTTATCTCAAGTGAACTGAAGACATCTGCACGATGCCACCGTCCCTATAGCGCTAAATCGGCAACCCGCTGCCACAGTTGGAAGTCCTTAACAGCATCCTCCCAAGTGGCCAGAGACTGAGATTCTCGACGCACGGCGTCAGCCTTTAGGCAATATATATAGCTTCCCATCACACCAACTCCATGGAGTGATCACTGTTCATAGTACTCAGCTGGGCTATCCAGAAGTTGGGCGGAAGGAGCACCATCACGCTCAGGATTCACTGGCTGAATGGAGATGCGACGCACGGCGTCAGGTTCTGGTGGCTGCCTTTACCCGCGATTATACGAAAAAGCGACAATGAACTTTGAATGGAAAAGAAAGGGTGGAATGATGGCTCGGCCTGGCTTTCTTGTATCGAAACAGCTTCATGGGTGCTCGAGCTACCGTCAAGGAAAACCTGAACAGGATCCGTATCACGATTAATCAAGAGCATGTCAATCGATTGTTTGCATACTACATTAGCTCCAGATTATAGCTTGCTAAAACATGGTTGGTGCTTGGACTACCCGCTATATACGAGCATCTCGATCAGCAGCATGTTGGCAACCATGTTCAACCGGTGTTATGCTGCTTTGCATGGCACATCAATAGCCGTACAGCAGACATGTTGAGCCACTTGGAGATTGGCAATCCGTTCGATCAGTGGTTGTGCTCCTGTTCATCTCAGGGTATTGTCACTTCCAATAGCATCCAGGATTGAAGATGACTATTCCCGGCCTTGATCAAAGCCAGAGCATTCGCGATGTCCTCGGCATGACAGGTACCGGTCTGACCCTGAGCAACAGCATGGTTTGTTCAACTGCATACCAGACACAAGCGCAATACCCTCTTCCGCGAATCCAGAACACATGTGGGCTTCCTCAATTGCTTCCTTGGGGTTCGACGGATTCTGCCATGCTGCACGTTGCATTTCAAGTCTGCTCTAGGAATTTGCCTTGCATCTTTGCGACTTTGGTGAATATGGATCATCACAACGTTGACAAATCACGTCCAGCGGGTGAGCATCCTCCCTACCAACTCAGGTGGTTGGAGAGCCGCGAAACACAAACCCAGTGGTCCTCTCCATGGCACATGCTTCATGAACTCATACATGGCTTGCGCAGTGCGACAAGACTCATGGTTTGGGTCTGCCATGATACTATCAAATGAGCGGTACCACCTCGTTCTGCAGTTGTTCAAAGACCTGATCCACTTCCTCCGATCTAAAAATGATAGTAACGGTCGATGCTTTTCATGAGCCTGCTTATATCGTTAGATATGCGGGCACATATATATATATATATATAGGACTGACGTCTGACACCAGCGTGTCCAGCACATAAGCCAGTTGAGATGGGTTGCACAGAGCCACTGAGAGTTCTTCATTTTATGTCCCTTTCTGGACGTACCCGGGATTGAGTCTGGAGCAATAGCCGTTACATAGATACAAGCGTCACAGTCCTTGAAGCCACTACACAAGATTTCTGCCGCTCATTCTCACGATTCTGTTGATAAATAGAAATCATTGCCAGCTTTGTCAATAACATGCTAGCTTGCGAGTCGCGAATCACGAGAGCACACACGTTCTTCTTTTTGGGACCTCACTTCAGGAACTTGACCATGTCTGCGGCAGTCCATTCCCAGTCTTGTCAATATCATGCTATGTTGCGATTTTCGAATCACTAGAACACACAGGTTCTTCTTGACGAGGTCCTTACTTCAAGAGCTCAACCATGCGGCGGTACAGGGTGAGTAGGGCGAGTGGAGAGACTACTAGGATTGATACTGCATGGCCTGTTGGTGGATATGGATCATGTGATACTGCCTTTTACATCACTAGATAGCTTTGAATATCTTCCAGCATCTAGCTCTTTATTCCAAATCGTAGGAACCTGCTTAACACTGACTCGATCTGACACAGAACAGCCACAACACGCAATCCCAATGCGTCGCAGAATCGTTTGACCACTGTTTGACAAACACATCCTGACACTGGAATCCACAGCAAACCGCATCCCAATCAATCAACACAGTTCAATCCACCGCACTCACCGAGCTGACAGCGACTAACTCAGAGTATAGTATCTAGCATGTCCCGGATCCTCCGGAGCTCATCCAGCCACCATCCCAACTAAGCCGACTGCACTCAGTCCTCCAATCCAATGCATCGGGCACCTGAAACATCCAACCCGACACCTCCGACGATCCCTCCTCATCCGGGCCGAATACCCGATGCAGTCACGTCACCGCTACCACAGCAATTCATGGATTATTTAGATTCATAGTATGATTTCACGGTACTATGTAGAATCATGAACAATGCATATTCAGCATCGAAGTACGGAATACTATTAAGGGATCAGAACCAACTCAATAATTTTCCACCCACACACACCCCCGGTGGCAACCAAACCCACGAATCAAGTCCCGTCCCAGACAGACAAAAAGTCAACCTATCGAACTGTACTGTAGTTAGGCATCCAAACTTCGGAAATCACGGAAAATACAACCCCCTCGGGAAATTCCATCTGCAGTGAGAGTAACACTACATATGCCGAGACCGGTATACGTCAACTGACCACGGGATCCTAGTACTATGCATGGATGTATGGATGTTCACAGGCAGTGACAAAGCCAAGCCCGCGCCACACACACACACACCCATCACAGCCACACAAACCCACCAACCAGCAAATAACAACCAGTCCACGTCCAAGTACTAAGTTTCCAACCCAACGACAAACAAACGCACGTCACCAGGCAACACGATTTCCACTCACCAACGAAGTTCAAAAACCGGGTTATACGCGTGGACCCTCCAACCTGTATGTCCTCATAGTGGATCCCAGATGCCGTGTTCCGTCGAATGCCGACCATCCTTCTCCATGGGATGTGGGGATGTGATTCGTGGAGGGGGATTGCCACGGTGGCTGGGCGTACCCATACTTTTGTAGCAGTGGATGTGTGCTATTCTTATCTGTTTTTGGTGCCCTGATCCATAGGATTTCTTATTTGAGCCTCGGGGTGGAAATCGGGGTATAAATTGGTTGCTTTTCCCGCTGATTGAAGCGGGATTTTTTTTTGGAGTATTGACTACTGTCTTGGTCTACTATCTACTATCTACTGTCTACGTTGGGTTGTTGTTTACTCACATACATACAACCTACCACACAATCAAACTTTCCATCCACACATCCATACAAACTCAACTCAACCTTCAACCCCTGAACCCAATCCACTCACACCACACCACGACCACAACACCCAACAAAAATGAAACTCACCACCCTCCTCCCCCTCCTTCCCCTCACCCTCGCCTCCCCCGACCTCATAACCTCCCTCGTGGGTGACGCCACATCCCTCGCCACCGCCATCGCGACCGCCGGCGGCGCCGCCTACAGCGACCTCACCTCGGACGCCGGCGCGGCCGCCTCAGACGCCCAATCATGGGGTACATCTGTAGCCTCAGACGTGCGGTCCGCGGCCACGAACGCGGCATCGGATATTCGCTCGGATGCGTCGGATGCAGCGTCGTGGGGGACGTCCGTGGCGTCGGATGTGAGGAGTGAGGCGTCGAGTGTGGCGTCGGATGTTAGGTCCAGGGCGTCGGATGTGCGGAGTGAGGTTACTTCCAGGTGGGAGAGTTTGACGACCTTGACGGGGTCGGGGGGCTCCGCGACGGCGACGGAGACGGTTAGTGGGGTTACCACTGAGACCACGGGGAGTGGGACGGGGACGGGGTCAAGGGCGAGTGCGACGGGGAGTGCGGCGAGTAGTACGTCGGAGGGGGCGGGGGCGAGGGCTACGGGGGGGGTGATGGGGTTGGGGTTGGGGGCTGCGGGGGTCGCGGGTGTGTTGGGGGTTATGGTTGCTTTGTAGGGTGGGTTGTTTGACTGTTTATTTGAAGAGGGGGGAGGGATGGTGATAAATGATACCATTGTACATGATAGCTCAGTCTATGTTATATCATGCTATGCTACTATACTTCTTATCGAACGGTAGATGCATCGTCGCTCTTCCCCGACTCGGTGTCGGTGGTATCCCCCTCGACTCCATCCACGGTCATCTTCGGCCCCGTGTACCATTTCCGTGCGAATAGGAAGTAGTACGTCATGCAGGCAATCCACACGAACCCGTTGATCACGATCGTGTAGTTCATTTCCGACGCTAGTGTCGTTAGTATACTCCGTAAGCCACGGCCAAGGAATTACATACCACTCGGGTTCGGTCCCGTGCTCGGGAACATCGACAGAATCAAGCCGAATACCAGCCAGATCACGGCCACGATCGCGATCGGCCGACTCAGCCATCCTGTGTAGAACTCGCCCGGACGGAAGCGCTCCTTCCCCCAGATCAGACGACAGAGGATCGGGGTGCCCCATGCGACATAGTTGCTCGCTACGAACAGCGAGAACAGCGCGTTCGCTGCCACCGAGTTGATCAGGCACAGCAGGCCGAAGATAATGCATACCACCACGAGACCGACAATGGCCCGCACGGGCTGGTAACGAATCCGCCGGCTGACGTGGCGAAAGTAGTTGGAAAAAGGCAATGCGCCGTCGCGGGAAAACGCCCATGCCTGTCGAGAGGCGGCGACGATCTGAGTCTTGTTAGTATCATCAACATATACATAGATGCTAACCTACCAAGCTCAGCCCGATCAGGAACTGAATGACGATCAGCACGCCCATAAACCCTAGCGCCCCCTTTTTGCCCAGCGCATCATAATAGATCTGCGCCATCGGCTGTCCAAATACCGTATTGATCGTCGCATCCACATCCTGGTTCATCACAGCGGCCAAGATACTCAGCACCAGGAACCCCAGCACGCACGCGCATCCCGAGGACCAGATAATCCCCAGGGGAACCGCCTTGGCCGCATGCAGCGCCTCCTCGCTCATGTGCACGCACGAGTCGAAGAATCCGATCGACCAGATCGGCGCCAAGAAGGCCAGGATGAAGGTCCATCCTGTCGGCCACGAGGTATCGTTATCCACGTGTCCGAAGACATATGAGCCTGGGTTGAGAGATTCCCCGCGGGACACCTTGCCCACGGGAAGAGCGATCACAGTGGCGATAATGATGGCAATGTTGATGTAGATGCAAAAGGTCTGAATGCGCGGCATGATAGGGCCCGAGAAGATGCCGCAGAGGGCATGGACAAGAATCAGGCCGACATACACGCCGTAGATGGTGCCGTTTGAGGCGGAATAGTCGCCATCGCGGGCAATAGAGACGCAGGCGAGGATCATGAGCGAGAGAGTGTCTACTAATTAGCCGCAGTCTCCCGGAGATAGTCAAGAACATACAATCCACAGAGCACATCCCACCGATCAATCCCAGGGTGTTGCTGTATCCCACCAGGAAACTCAACGCATTCTTGTACTTTTGCCCGGCAAAATAGTGCGTCCACCAGTATAGCCCACCCGCCGTGGGCATGGCCGATGCCATGTCGGCCTATGCTGTCTCAGCGTCGCTCAATCAAAGCAGGGGTATGAGGTACATACCAAGGCCAATCCAACAAAGAAGATCAAGATGCTTGCAGTAAACCAACCCTGCAGCCATTAGCACCATCCACAAGCCAGACCGAGTATCGTACCCAAATCATGCCCGCAGGCCCCGCCGGTAAGGAAAACGCAATGGTCGATGCGATCGACGGCACCAGTCCCATAATACTGAAGGCAACGGCGAAAATTTGTACGGTGGAATACTGACGACGGAGCTCCTGCTTGTAGCCGAGTTTGGCTGCTCAGGTTAGCATATCGCCTCCATGACGGTCGCAAACTTACCCAGCAGTTGTGTATCCCCCGGATCCGCGAGTCCAGCTTCCTCCGCCCCGGAGTTGGCCGAGACGGCCGTAGGTGATGCCTTGGTGACCATGGCCTCGTTATGAGCGCGCTGACAGAAAAGCGACGAAGTGAAGAGTCAAGATCAAAAAAGTTGCAGCGACGCCAGTGACGGGGAACAGCAGTTATAGGGATCGGATTGAGTTTGCCAAGCCACGGACACAAACCTTTCTTCATCAGAGCCAGACCTGGACAGACTCTGCTGCAACTGTCAAAGTGGGAATGGACCGGACAGGGGATGTCAGGCATCCCTGGAATGCTGGCGACCTGCCGGTCTGGTGCTGCCGTGCTGGGAGTCTTTTCTTCCACGGACCTCTTCATCTCCTCACTTCGGCTCCCCACATGGGGGATATCGTGGGTCGCCGATCACCGGCTGGCGAGACGTATTGTTCCACTTGCCACTGCCACGGCCACGGCCACTGACCACGAACCGTGGCACGCGAGCAATTTGCGGTTCACATATCCAGATCTCACCTGGATACCTGAGATCACTCCCTCAATTTCGACGATAAACGAGCTAGACGCTGCCTCTAAAGCGATGCAAGCAATCCGGCAGTGCTATAGTCTGCGCCGCGCCGCGCAAAGGCAATCCCGGCTCCACTTGAGTGAGACCTCGGCCAACCCCGTCCCTGGTTGCCTCCCACTAACTCTTGTCGAGTTCTAGTCTTCTACTATAGTAGACCCCGGCTAATCCCTCCATGCTCGATCCCTTCGCACAATCCTGCTAATTGCTTACCAGGTTAGCTGCGGCAGTGCGGAGACTATATCCAGCCAGACTAATTCGGTCCAAGCGAAGGGCTAACGGCGGCACACGCAGTCTACTGTATGTAGGCAATGCAGCTAGACCAAGTCTTCGGAGATGGCCCGCGGCTGGGTCGACTCAAAGTTCAGTCTTCCCTGCGCTTCTCCATCTCCACTCAGGAGCGCCGCGGAACCATAGCCAAACTTAGTTCCCCAATTACTTCCTGGCTCCAATAGTGAACCGAACTTGGGCCTCCTCATGACGTCTATCCATTCAAACACTACGCACTACGGAGTACACGAACCACTGCACGAAGCATCAAATCAATGACATTCACTGCGCTAGATCAAATCATCCGCAACATAATATACAACGGCCCTGATGATGCAAACTCCGTGTCGCCAAACCAACCCTAGCAGTCACATCATTATTACAGGGTATCTATGTCCACTTTTATCGTACAGTCTATAATACATGAGAAGGGAAGTCGCGAGGTCTGGCCTCGTCATCTTAGCGTCCCTCAAGGACCTTGAGAACCAGCTCGTATGTCCCGATGGTGATGGCCGCCGACGGGACCGTCCGCAGAAGGTGCGCCGTCAGTCCGCCGTACAGAGCGATCACGCCCTCCTCCTTTAGAATCAACCGCGCGCACTGCAGAATGCTGGTATACTTCTGACGACCGTCCGCCATCGGAGCCTGCCGAAGCCGAGTACGGATAACCTATATATGTCAGACGCGATCTAGCGAACATACAGCATTGGACTCACCTCATGAGGATACGCAATCAAACAAGCAAACAATTTCGACAAACCCGACGCTCCACTCAAAGCAAGGCCCTGGACAAAGTGGTTCGAGTCCGAGTTGTTATCCAGATCGACCTTCTTCGAGATGACTCCCTTGATCCGCTCGTACATGGCCAGGTGCAGCGTGGTCTCGATGGTGCCCAGGTAGCTAGCCGTCAGACCGCGGTAGAGCCCCTTGGGACCCTCTTGCTGCATGATCTGCTTGACACAGTCCAGACTGTTCTTGTATCGGCGAGCTCCGGCCTTGTCAAGCTGGAGACGGGTCTTCACGACCCAGATGGGGTTGGTGGCAGAGCCGGTGGCGATTCCAGCGCATGCCGCAGACATGGCATGCACAAGAGTGGTATCCTTGTCGCATCCCAAGATCTCCGGCAGGAGGCGTTTGCAGTTGCCATATGTGTAGAACTTGACCGCACTGGCCGGGACCACTCCCGTCAGGCTAGGACCCAGGCCTTTGAACATACCCCTCCATCCTTCAACCCGATGGATGGAGAAAAGGATGCCAAATGTCTCACGGAAATGGTGGATCGAGGACCGGACGAACGACTGACGGATGTGCGGTTGTGCGGGAATTGGACGGCTCGTGGCCTGCGTCTGGTAATAATCGGTTTGCAAGCTAGAAGAAGATATATTAGCATGTGAAGCTGCAGCACAGACGAACCATTGAAGGGCATTACCGGGTGCGGAGAACATCAAGAGGACTCGTGACGACCGCTGTGACCATGCCACCGGACCTATTCACTCTATCAGTATTCAGCTTCTTAAGCGGCGTATCAGTCAACTCACGCGCCGGCGATCAAATGGGACCATGATCCCAGGCTAGACACGCTGGCCTTCTCTTGGATTGCCTCGGTCGGCAGTGTCGGCGGAAGCGGATCTCCAGACACGCCTCCCGACTGGTGAGCAACGGGCTGCATCGTGCCGAGGCTGGTGTAATTGAGAATGTCTTCCTCTCTGCTCAGAGGCACTGGATGGACGGAAGACTCAGAGGCCAAGAAGGGACCGGGATGCAGGAGATTTGCCTGACCTGGCGAGATCAGGAAAGTTTTTTTTTGCAGGAATAAATACGAGCGGCGAATCCCAGGCGGTCTGGCCGCCCGTCAGATCATGTGATCTGAGTCCAGGTCCGCGTTCTGGACCGCGTCTTCATTCCATCCGTGGTCCGCAACGTCCAGCGCCAGAGCTAATTCAGCGCAGCATATCCCTGATTTAACTAGCTTCAGACAATGACCACTATCTGTAATCTCTCATAGCAACTCATATATCGGGAAAGCTGCTTACTCCGGAGTGTCGGGGCGATCTGCCCGGCCTGCCTTAGTCAGGCGGCCCCACCCCGCGGCGGCCCCACGGCTTCCCCATTCAGTCAAGTCAGGGAACCGGCCAACGGATGATACCTCAGGGCAGCCTCAGGGCAGCCTCAGACCAGCCTCAGACCCAGCAATTGTAATGATCTATTGTCAGACAGTATAACGGCAACGTTCGACGGATCTATTCCCGGAAGCTACTGTTAATACCTTGTACCATCAACCCTCATATCGGAAATATATGCATCTTGACCTAGTAATCAGAAACTAGTTCCATTTCGCATATATGTTTTCGCATTCATGAACCAGGAAGCGTAGATCATGAATAGATCAATCTGACCACCCTGAACTGCATGCACCAGTCCCTAGACAGAAGCAGAATCACAGGAACGATCGGTTAAGATCTATCCCAACGCTAAACCCCAATGACCCACGGCCTAAGAATCCAACTCCCTCGCTTCAGAGAACTTTCTCCCATCAGTAGACAAAGGAGTTGAAGGGTCTGAAAAGCTCGATGCGCGGGAGACCCATCGTAAAGCCGGGATAGTCACACATAACGTACGCCAGAATACTTTTAAGATGACTATTCTGCACATCGCATGTTTCTTACATCCAATGTAGCATTTAACATTCAGACGAGAAGCGCGTACTACCCTGACTCGGAATTGTCTGCCCGCTCGAGAAAATCACCCGGAGGCTCTTTCGACCATGAAGTCTGGGATTGCTTGTCGGGGTTTGTCTGGTAAAGATGGCAGGCCCGGTAAATGGAGTCTGCGGGGGCGTAGTCTGCAGAGGGAGAGTCGGGTATTGGTAGATGACTTCACATGGTGTTCAATAGCATTTGGGTAAATTGGTCACTAACTTGACGAAGAATGAGCTGTGTCTTGAGAGGTGAGATTTGAGGAACTGATCTCTTCCTGGGATCCCATGCTCCGCACGTCGGGATGGCCTCTCTGTCAGTAGTAGTTGTACCAGTTGCTGGAGTATTGGGGTTTCTGGGAACAGTGGGAGGTGGTCGGTTTCTGTTTGTCTCTAAGTCACGCTATGAAACCTTTGGGGGGTACATGGAGTGTTGTAGAAACAGAGGTGATTTGGTGCTCGCTTGAAGTTTCTTGGTTTGTTTGCACAAGGACCGGTGAAGCACAGGCTCTGCACCGTTCTGTAACCACACAAATGCAACTGTATTGTGTCGGCCAAAATCACGCAAAATTTGATACTAGACATGCTTATTGGCTAAGCCAAAGTGGAGATAATTGACTGTTGGTTCAGCGACTATTCTTATCTCTGATGTGATGATAAGTGGGTATGGAAGACAAGTGAGATCCATCACAGCTTGAGAAGTGCAAGCGGGGGAGGCTGGAAGCTACACGAGGACTGCCCAGTAACACAAGCCAACAGCCTTGAGACTCTTGCATTGGAAGATCAAGGGAACAGCCGAGAGTTTCCATCAAGTCTTGCTCAAAGCTATGGTTAGTGAAGTTGATCCCGGGGTCCTACCTTAGGCAGATAAAATTTTGACCTGCTGGATAAGAGGGTCACACTGCTGTATCGGATGCGTAGCCTGTCATACTACAGCCCGATGATAATTTGCCCGATATGCCTCGTAGGATATGGCATTGTGATAGATGAGGCTGAAAGTCGTAACCCAAAGAAAGGTGCACAGAGATGGTATGTGACTAGCCATGTACTCCAATGTCTATCGTCTCGTCTCCCCTGATACTGCGCCACCACTCACTCTGCCGTACAAGCTCCCCTTCTTCGCCACCGAGCAGAGTCCAATACTTCTTCAAAAACCACACCTTTGCCTCCCAACTACGGACATCCCACGGCGTACCCGTCGAAGCATATCCCATGGAGAGTTGCCGATCCCTCCTCCCGATGCCTGCACCACCCCAACACACCAATCCGGTAAGCACATCGTGGAAGAATTCATCCTCGTCAATGTATTCCGGATGGGTGATAAGGTTCCTTCGTAATGTTGGGAACGGCAGAATGTCTATGTACGGATGATGTTCGACGGTGATTTGTTCAATGTTTGGCCTCATGTCCGGCTTCAGGGCCTTGAATGCTCCTTGAACTGTGGATATCATGTTTGCTTTGGCCATATCATCTGTTAAGCCCGTGCTGGACCGAAAGAATGGTGAGAGCGCTTCCTCAGCACAGAGCACATCCTCGGTAATCCCAAGATGCGTCCCGAGAGTATACAGCGCGGTTATCGTACAGACTCTATCAATGCGAAGGTTGTTGGCATATGGATCTGCTGCGGGCGCACTTGATCCAAATCTGAATATTCTGACCTCGCCATAGTGAAGTGGGTCTGTGTTTTCTGTCCGTATGTGGAAGTGTGGGCTGGAGCAGCCACAATCGATAGTGGTCGTCCAGTATAGCTCAAGGCTGTCGTTGGGCTTATTAAGAGTGAGAAGGGAAGGGTCAATGTATGAGGTGGAGTCCCACGTATCCATCGTTGATGAGGTTCTATCTGAATGTGGCAGGTATCTTGCAACCGAATCCTCTATGGTTGGCGCCGAAGGACTGTTATCTGACTGTCGGACAAGATGTTGGCATTCCCCCGGCGTCTCCACAGACGAATTAACCAGGGTTAAATCCGAAACATCCTGAGCCAGGAGGCTCTGTGTAATAAGATTAGTTGTGTTAAAGGGGCCTGTGCCCGCAGCTGATACTCTTTCGATAGCAGACGTCTGTACACTAGCTTCTGCAAGCGCTTCAAGGCGACTCATGCGCTCGCGAAGCTTTTCCCCTAGATGAATAATCAGTCCTCATCTTCCTGTTTGCCGACAGGCTGATACTCGAGGAGACCCGCACTTACGGTATTTCCGTTGGGCTCGAATGTTCTGTTGCCGTCTCTTCTCCGGGTCACGGCGGATGGGTTTCCGCTTCTCCTTCCCCACTAGCTCATTGCACTGGGCCCCCCGAGTTTGCGGTGGCATTGTATGTTTCTACTGGCCAATGTACAGCGCAGATTTTGAGCGACCAAGTTAGGAGAAACATCAGGGGTTTGGAATGGTGAGAGTTGCGGCCCATAGCTGTGGCTGATGTTAGCCACATCCTTCCCGAGCGCCACGCTGACTATGCCCAAGTAGGACTAGTATGCTTTCTTTGTGTGAGTGAGACGAAAGCTATGAGAACAATTATCCCCAACAATTGTTATGGTGGGAGGGTTCCGCATCGTCGCAGGAACCTCCTTAGCAGTTTTGCATTCCTACATAATACACCACGGACCGGTACTTGCCATCTACGTAAGCCAGCTCTCGCTAGAAGTTACTCGCTACAGGGCCCTTCACGTCTTGGAAAGATATCAATGGACAAAAATACTACGATCGACCAATCTGTCTGCAACTACTACATTGATGCCATGACTGCCATATCCTTGTTCCTTCGCAATCTGTTATCTCAGGCCTTCGAGTAGGATTCCTTAGCACAAAACCGAAATTGCCGCTTTCTGCGAAGAAGGCCATTACCTCACCGCCAGACTAGGCCTTGCCCTTGGCCCTAGCGAGCATCTCCCCGTAGTTGTAGTGCTCATACACGGACTCGCCCTTTCCGCGTGACAATGGCTGCGGCAGGCTCTTCATGTCAATTTTGTTCTCCTGGAACATCACCACAATATCCGACCCTCCGAACTCGAAGTGCGAGATTTCATCGCCTTTGTTGATGTTGGACCCTGGCTTGAGATCGTCCCTGACTACAACGGAGGAAACCTGTGCCATCCCGATAGGTAGGACAGCAACCGTGCCCAGCTTGTCGTTTTCGATGATGATGATACCCCGTGCTTGCAGGAACTGGTATCCCTCTTTATCGGTCGCTTCAGCTCCCCTGAAAATAGGACCCGAAGCGTAGATGGGGCGCATGGGGCGTTTCGGTACAAGAGAACGAGTGTCTCTCTGATACTCGACATCCAGATAAGCCGCACCCGGGATAACGTCGATTACCTTGATAGTACCTCCCACTGGAGAGTGTTGGCGATGATAGTCGAACGTATTTAGGAAGGAATGCAGCCAGACTCCACCCTTGAAGCTGTCACCGTACTCGGATTTGTATGGTCCTAGGAGATCGCCAATGTGCCAAGGGAGGCCTTTCAGCTCGACCATTGATTCATCTGTGATATCCCAGTAGCCAGAAAAGGTTGAATCCGCGGGGAAGACAGCGATCCGGTCGTCCCCTTCGCCATCAATGGGTCGTGCACCATCCTTGAGGTGGCGAGAGAAAAAATCGTTGAAGTTTCTCCATCTTCCTCCCTCGGTTTTGGATTCGTCGGCCTCAGCTAGGTGGAAGCTCGGAGCGTTCCAGAAGGTAGTGAGCGATGCTTCATTCAGAGACTCTGGCCTGTTCATGTGGTTTCCGACTTCCTGGGCGAATTTCACAATCCATTGGGAGAGCTCCGACAGGTCTCTCCCCACGTTTTCGGGTCGAATCGCGGTTTGGCAATTTCTGAGTGGTATCTGATCCAACACAAAGTAGAAGATACACAGGACATAGTAGATGTCTCTTCCTTTGGCTGACTCAGTGGGTATCCATCCATCAACCAGCCAGGTTGCAAAATTCAAGAATCCCGCGGCAGATGTAAGGCCGTAGCTTTCCATCTCGGGGATTTCGTACTGAAGGGTAGTTTGAATAGCTTGCTCAAGGGCCTCCATTCCGGTAGCGTAGGGAAACAGTTTGTCGAGCAAGCTAACAAGCTCGTTGACTATGGCTGCGTAACGCATATTGAAGGTTGGGCGGCTTGGCGAATTATTGTATGAACGGTGCGCCAAATGGAAGAAGCTTAGCATGGTTGGATTATTCCTGGTGCTCTACCAAGGGAGAGGGGAGCTGGTATTTGTCTCTCGAGAAATTACCCGCTGCTAGGTTCGACCCAATAAATCGAGCATTGAGCATGTGGAGGACAGTCACGGTGACGTGCAGGAAAAATGGGAATATCGAGCAGGCTAGCATTGACTGGCCCTGTTATATGATGGCTTTGGCCTGTGATGCAGTTTTGGGGTATGTGTTTGAAGTCTAGGCCTCAGGCTTGGTGTCAAACGGGGTCTTTGGGATCTAGCCTGGTCCATAGCTAGAACGGACATGGGGTCCGGTCGAGGTATTGGAGTCGAAGACAAAAGTCTTGCAGGATAGAAAAATAGAGATGAAGAAGGTTATATCTGCTATTGGGAAGTACGTCAGAGGCTTGCTCCCACTTTCCGTTGACTGACTCCCCAGAACTCCGAGTTGACTTCACCTTTGCACTGTGGCGTCTCCTTACCCCCAAACCGTAATATCCGACCTCGGTGTCTTTACAGACTCATATTGTATGCTCACTTATATAGCTCACATGATAAAGTTATATTGATGGTGCTACCGTGCCATCAACAGGGTCAGCTCACCAGCACTGACTTTCCGTGGGGGCCTAGGCTTGGAAGAGCTAACTGTTAGCCTGAAAGGATACATGAAATTAGCATGGGATGTATTGTTCGGACGGCTGAACCGAGTATAAGAAGGACATTTGTCCTAGGAATTCGAGGGCTGCATTGGTGGTGGGCGTCAATGGCAAATGTTGACTTGAGAGGAGGAGATCTAGACTAAACTCCGCCATTCCCTCCGCTTCCTCCCAGATCAGCTGATCTTTCTAACTTTGGATGAAATTAGACAACAAACAAGACAGTATTTTCCCTTGAAAGTTTCCTCCTTGCCAAGCAGTGTAAAGACACGAGCCTTGTGAGAAAGTAGCCGCAGCGCATGGCTACTCATTCCACTCGTCTCGACCCAATCTGACGATATCAGCCATCTCAAGAGCCCAATATCTCGATGGCGTTTTCCCCTCGTCGGCCATACGAGCAGCTGCTACCGCTGCTCGACCGATGATTAATTGATCCTGCCCTACATGTTACGATTAACAACCAGAGCCTTCGAAGATCCAAGCATTGACTGGGTCCGCCATACCTATCATGTCCTGAACACCCTGTCCCAACTTGTCCAAATTTCCTGCAATGCTCTCCAAGAATGGTGCCTTGGGCGTATCTCTTCCGAGAATCATACCCGGCCTCAGTATAATCGCATTGTCGAAGTCGAGCTCCTTGATGGCATCCTCCACCCCAACCTTCATCTTTGAATAGGGCGCGTAGCCAGAGAGAAAGCCTCTGGTTCCTGCACTGGAGATAAACACGTACGTCTTGACACCAGCTGCCTTGGCTGCTCGAGCGTTTTCGATGCACAAGTCATGATCAATCTTCCACTGATTCTGGATTCCGCCAGCTGCCGCCCTTGTGGTGCCGACTGCGTTGAAGACTACTGACGGCTTGGGAGAGAGGGACGAGATCATGCCGCCCCATTTGGAGGTGTCACCCTCTTCGAGGGCCTGAAGCTTTGAGGACTGAGTCTTTGGTAGTCTCCTTGAGATAGTCTTGATGGATGGGAATGCATCTGTGGCCAAGAGAGTAGCGAGGATCTGAGAGCCCACTGCTCCAGTACAGCCAAACAACGCTGCTGTCGCCATGACGATCTGTTAATATAGATGGTCCGTTCTTTTGTACCAAAAAGAAAAAATGAATATGAAAGGAATGCTGGCACCAGGAGAGCTGAGATGTGCCGTGAAAAAGTAATAAATGTTGGTAGCAAGCAAAATGCCTGTCCCCATGATGGCTTATGTTATTCATTCTTGGCTGACGTGATCCATGGCAGGGGACATTAATATGGGTACTATGACATGCGTCGGCTTTTGTAGTTGAGAGCTCAGTTTCTTATCTCAAATGAGTGTCTAGGCTGCCTTGTCACGTTGCTTGGGATATTTTGATGAGACTTGAGGACATTCCTGATCAACTATGCAAACACGGCCAATGGGTCATAGCTCTATTGGTTACTGGGGAGCATGATAACACTAATATACGCACTTGGCGCACTTGACGCCTTGTTTGATAGCTTCTAATGATAATATGAATACAAACGTAAAGAATCATATTCTATCGTAGTTTAGAGGGGGCACACGATAGCACGTGATTGGGAGGGGTTGTGAAGTGAAGTCATTCTCATGTGAACACCATCTCTCCTCTTGGGTGATCTCTACCCGCCTCATCATTGCCCGATCCAGTCATCCATTATGGCCAAGTTACGATCTTCACGGCAAAATCCGCTCATCTTCAATCAGTGTCAGAGCGGTCATTGTCCAAGCTTCATTTCTGGCCGACCTTACTCCGAGCAGGCGCGTTCCTGACCAGGGAAAACCACAACGGGGTTCCTGGCATTCAAATGTTGTGGGGTATGGCATCTATTTACAGTTGATAGATGACCGTTGTCTCTAACCATAGGACCAATTTAGTCAAGGAAGCTCACTACGAAGCCTAGACCGACCGTTGGAACGAGATGCGTCATCGACTCGGTTCCCACCCAGATAAGGTTACATTTCGCCTGGCCTCTGATCCTCTCCCACACCAGCAGGCGCCATGCGGGTCCAATTTTCCATGATGTCTACCCATCATAGCAAGAGAATTTGCCCGTGGCGGGTTTATTCACTCGTTCAATCTGGCTACAATCGTCGGGCGGAGCAAATCAGACAATTCCCTTATTGTCTTGTCTCCGCTGTTCTAGACATGAGCTACATGCTTAGCGGGGCACTCTTCATTCAATGGAGCTTCTTGGGGGTCTTTCCAACTCGACCTGAAGGGGAATTCGCCTTTCTTGTCGGTTGGTGACTCGCACAATCGTCGCAGCTTTTATCTCCCTATACCCTGTGGTTTGGGGGGCTGCCTGTAGGTAGAAACAACGCGACTGTTACTATTAATGATACTTATATGCCAACAGGATCACCGCTCATACCTCGATACCTTTGACCTTTGAAAGCCATGTCCGAGGCGTCCGACAACAGGCCCGGTAGCCAGTCGAGTTCGAGTTCCTTGATCAGCTATCACAGTGTTGAGCGACCGAACCCAACTTTATCCGACAATGAAAGAAGTTCCAATTTCACCCTCGACAGCGATTCCTCGCCTAGCAGCCCTCAACGCATACATCGAGTTCACTTCGGAGAAAATCGGAGATTCGAATACGCAAGCAGGAGTACAGATGAGGGGGTTCTCTCTCCTGGCACATCTCACCTGCGACGCCGCCCATCCGCTCAGACGTCACTCGACATTACCGACGCATCTCCTAGAGCTACACAACCTCCGAATCCGCAGAGAATAGAAGACGGGAACGAGAAGAAGGGGCAGTCTGGTGCGAAGTCTGAGAAAAAGTCCAAACGAGAGCGTCTAAGAGCGTTCAGGCATTCAATCAAGGCAAAGGCCTCGAACTTGGCTGCTCGCCTCGGTCGCCCGGATGAAATCAGCGAAGATGACCTTCAGCCCATTGACTATCGGCGCCGCGGTACAGACACTGACCTAAATTATGGGCAAGACGATGGTGATAAATTCAATTGTAGTACCGAAGCACATCGGATCGTCCGTGATTTGGCACATGATCCTTCTGGTCGTCGTCTTAGCACCCGCAGGGAGTCAGCCTTACATCGTGCCGCCGGAGTTCCTTGCAACGATGATGAATCCGAGCGGGAAGAGGAGCCTCGACGTGGTTCTGGATCGGGAGGGGTTCTATCTCAGCTTCTGAAGCTTAGCGGCGGCTGGGATCAATTTCAGAGAGGTGCGCGGGGACTCAATTTGGCAAGTGATATGTTCTATCCATTTGGTGGGAGTACTCCAGGTACGACGACCCCTCGCAAGGAGAAAGTCAGATGGTACAAGAAACAAGGAAATGTTTCCACATCGACCTTGGTCGGAGTTGGTAGTGCCAGCGGTGCAAGTACGCCCATTACCGGCGAGCTCTTGACCGCTGCGTCTAGACGGCGGGACAAGCATCGCAGACATAGCATGAGGCTGGAGGAGGAGATCCAGGTGACCCTACAGATCGCAGAGATTATTGCTCGACAGAGGTATATCATGCAGTTGTGCAAGGCGCTGATGAGGTTTGGGGCCCCCACCCATCGGCTGGAAGAGTACATGCAGGTCACGGCCAGGGTGTTGGATGTCGACAGCCAGTTTCTCTATGTTCCTGGATGCATGATCATGTCTTTTGATGACGCCAGCACTCGGACTACAGAGGTCAAGCTGGTTCGGGTTGTCCAAGGTGTGGATTTGGGACGCCTGGCTGATACCCATAATGTGTACAAGAATGTCATACACGACATGATAGGCATCGAGGAAGCAGGCAACGAGCTGGAGGAGCTGATGACCAAGAAGCCCCGATTCAACAGATGGATCATCGTTTTTGTCTACGGGCTAGCCACCGCCACAGTGGGCCCTTTCGCGTTTGATGCACGGCCGATCGACATGCCCTTGATCTTCTTCAATGGTTGTCTGCTGGGCTGTATGCAGCATGTCATCGCACCACGTTCAGTCCTCTACTCCAACGTGTTCGAAGTGACGGCCGCTGTTTTAACCTCTTTCCTCGCCCGCGCATTTGGAAGCATAAAATCCACAGCCTTTACCAATGGAACAAGCGATTATCTATTCTGCTTCTCAGCCATTGCGCAATCCTCTATCGCCTTAATCCTTCCCGGATACACAGTCCTCTGCAGCAGCCTAGAACTACAGTCGCATCAAATTGTGGCCGGTTCCATCCGCATGGTTTACGCCATCATCTACTCGCTCTTCCTCGGCTACGGCGTCACCGTCGGCACCACCATCTATGGCCTAATCGATACTAACGCAACATCCAACCTATCCTGTCCCGCGGGCGGAGGATTTGGAAACCCCTATGCCCAGCGCTTTCCCTTCGTTGCTGCCTTCTCCCTCTGCCTTCTTGTCGTCAACCAAGGCAAATGGAAGCAGTCCCCGATCATGATAACCATTTCCGTAGCCGGCTACATCACCAACTACTTCGTCAGCTCCCGCCTCGGTTCCAACACCCAAGTCGCCAACACCGTCGGCGCGTTCACCGTCGGAGTCATGGGCAACCTGTACAGTCGTCTCTGGCACGGCCACGCCGCCGCAGCCGTCCTCCCCGCTATTTTCGTCCTCGTCCCATCGGGTCTCGCAGCTACCGGATCTCTGATCACAGGTGTCGATGCCGCAGACGAGATCCGCTCCAACGTTACAAGAAACTCCAGTACTAGTAGCTCCGCGTCTGGCTCATCTACCAACGACGTGTCGAACAACGTGCTCGGCTTCGGAATGATCCAAGTCGCCATCGGCATTACCGTGGGATTATTCGTCGCTGCGTTGGTGGTGTACCCGTTCGGAAAACGACGCAGTGGATTGTTCAGTTTCTAGCCGACCCTTCGCGCTTTCCTTCTATCTTTTCTTAACTGCCTTAATACTCGCATCTACAGCTACAGACTACAGTCTTTTGCATCGCCAGTTCTCTTTGATTTGCCTCCATTGCACAAAACTCGCATCTATGAGCGAACGACCCTTAATACAAAAGAATAAATAGTCATGGGAGAGTGAGAATGTCCTATTTCGGAGCGTCGCATCATCTTCTTTCAAAACATGTCTACATACGTGCCTCTTTACATAAAAAATCTAGAACTATGATCATACTAATAATGGAATGATTAAATTGCAACCGACTGCGTGTCTAGACAAATCAATCGTTTTTCTTTTCTTCTGCGGTCGTCTTTGCGTTTCAAAATTTGGCCTCGGTACTAATTTCTCTTCTGTATCTCCGCCTTTGCCTTATTACTACTATCCTCTTAATATGAAATTACGATAGTCTTGGTCGAAGAGTAGCCTACCCACGGAATCATTGAGAGCAACAGAACAAACATTAGTCATTTATATAGAGTCATCATGACCCGTGGGCCGGCGCGAGTCTTCGTAGCCGTATGCTCGAATCATCACTCTTCATGCGTATATACAAGAATGCAAGCATTACGGCATCATATATGGGGGTAACTTTAACCATCTTTCCAAGCGGTGTACCCGACCATCTCTAATAAATAACGTTCCCGGCCGAGCATTACCTGACGTCCTTCGGTATATAAAAAATTCCGACAGAATTCGTGAAGTCGGGGACGCTCGGCATCGGGCAGACTGTGAAGGTCTGCCAGCGTCAATGTGATTTCCGTATACTCCGCGGGTAGGCGGAATATGCCATTTTTGAGGTCTATTGGCACAGAGGAGTGCGTTGCGAGCCAGCCGCAAAGAGAATCGAAGAGGTGGTTGTGGACGATGAACGACAGTAGAGAGTCGAGCGAGGTCCAGTCGACGTCTATCATGGCTGTCGGAAGCGGCGTCATGGCATTTTGCATACCAATGACAGACGCCAGCGTGTCAAGGAGGATGCTGTCCTTCTCTTCATCTTCTTTACATTCTTTGAAATCCGGGATCAACCCCCAGTGCGGATGCTCAGTCACGATCTGGCGATCGTAGCCCAGCTGAACGCGCCAGAACTGGTTGCAACCCACCTCCAGTAGCATACAGGGTATCAACATGACATATCCCCACCATCGCTGACAAGTGAGCATTGAGGCTGCACCTGCAACTAGCCCGGTGATCCCGCTGACAAGAGAGTGCCACTTGAAGTATTGAAAGCGACGGTGAAGGCGATCGCGAAAGGGCGTGGTGGCGGGGGAGCGCATACATGCACGGTCGTGTCCATGAAATCGCCAAATGAGATACACGGACCAAACAGCGTTGAGGACACCATATGCGGCGGCGAAAGAGTTGCCCACAAAGCCGGACAGAAGATTGCTGATGAAGTAGATGTGGCGATGGGCACCCCAAATAGCCATTATTGTGCCGGTGCCGACCAAGAGAGCACCGATGCCAAGAAATACATCCATGATGACGCGGTCGATGAGTTCGGAGCCCAACTCGCGAAAGCCAACGCCGAGGCGGCGGTCAATCAGCCGGACCGCGGCATGGTCTACCGAGGTTGGTGTGGGTGGATCGAGATACTGCAGTCGAAGGGCCTTAAGGTACTGTCGTTCGGTTTGTAGGATGCGGACATTTCTCCAGCTGAGTATGCCATCCCAAAGTGCAGCGACGCTGATGAGGAGGGCTAATGGGCCTCCGATGGCCATGAAGATGACCGCGTACAACGGTACGGGTACGTCGTTCCACACATTTGCTGCAAAGTCGCCTGCGTTGGCGAATTCAAGGAAGCCCACACTGGCCAACAAGCTATTTCGGTACCAGGCCGGATTTGTGACAACAAACTTCCGTCTGTGGCGGACGAGGGTGACCGACGACGGGGGTAAATCGCCCGTCTCATGCTCCTCATGATGAAAGGTCTTGTCGGAGACCAGGGGCGATAAGGTATCCTGCGAGGGGGGCATGGGGGCAGGAGACCAGAGGAGGCAAGCTCCTCTCACGGGCGTGGGACCGGCAGGATGGATGAGGGGGGCGAGAAGACGGCGGGGAGAAGGGAAGAAGGGGAGAAAGCAAAGAGGTGGAGAGAAGGGGGAGAAGGGGGTGAAAAAAAGGGAAGGAGAAGAAGGAGAGGGGGAGAAGAGGAGAGAAGACAGACGGGCGGGACGACAGAATGAAATGCAGCGCACATCCACTCCCTCTCCACCTCACTTTCTGTCCCGGTCGGCGCGCATTTCAGGCCAGTTCGAGGCCAACCTCACGGAAGCCACGGCCTGATCCACCCTGATTGGCTACTCGGCTAAGGGGAGGGTCCGCACTTGGCGTGCCTTATAGGGCTGAGCCAAGTCGGCTGGCTCCCCGTTCCCACGGGTTGGGCTGGCGATTTGTTTTGTTGCAAATGAATTATGGCGTTGTTGATAGATGGTAGAAATCTTTACGTGTCAGACAGCTCAGAATTACACCGGGAAACTGGAAAGGGGGATTGGCAAGGAGGGGCAGCGGCATGGCATGGAAGGCATCCGTCTTTCCTAATCGGGTTGGTATGTCCGACTCCCTACGCAAACACACATGAATACATCCAACATTATTACTAGGATCTAACGAATGAAAGTGCAAAGAAAAGCATATCTAAGGCAGCAAAATGGCCCCTTCTGATAGGCCACCTCCTCCGCCCTGCAGGATCTGCTGACCATCTACCCGCGACGGTTCGAATCGAAAACACAAAGGGATTGGCAATATACAATGAGCGAATGGGCTTTCTTCAAGCCCCCTTGGCTCCCTTCACAGGGCCCGTCTTGGAGCCATCCATATTACTGTTGAGCGCCTTGATCAGCCGAACGCCTGCGTCCGCTGTTTCTTGCGGCGCCCAGGACCAGAACCGTCCTCCACGGCCCAATCCATCGTGCCCCGGATGCAGAAAGTCTTCCTTGCCACCGGGGACATCGGTCGACGATGAGAAAACGTTCACGCGGTCCTGGAACCGCACCCGCGGTTTAGCTCGAGGGGACACCCGGCCTGAGGTGGCCTCCAAGAAGCGCTTCCGCATTGCGTATCGCTTCGACTCCTCGCGGCGGAGCGAGATGAAACTAATCCTCTGAAGTCCGCTTCGCACAATGAAGCGAACCCCAACATAGGCCCATTCGGCAAGTAGAAGAGTCAGGAGTAGGGATGACGCGTGGACCTCCTCCAGTCCATCGTGATACAGGTACACGATGGCGGCCGTCGACAATGTACCAAGCCAGCTGAGCACCTCTAGGCCCATGAGTGATGGGCCGATCGAGTCAGCACGGATGGGAGCAGGTCGTTGACACTCCAGGCTGAGCTTGAAAAAATCTCCACGCAGCTCCAGCCAATTGTTAATCAGAAATCCCAACGAGACTAAGGGCCATGCAACGCCAAACAGGGCCAGCGATCCGAACTGGACGCACATCTCCAGGATATCATCATGGACATTGTACTCGTCCGCATCGAGTTCGTCACGCACACGCGAGAGGAACGCGGCTTCTTCCGGAGCATCGACGAGCAGTTGGTCAGTCCTTTGCGAATAACGACGGGGGTGACGTGACGAGTCCCGGCCTTCCCGCCAGTCACGCCACTTATGCATCAGGGTTTGTTTGACATAAGGAAGCACAATTTCTTCGCCGAAATTCAGAACCTGGGCGGTCGCAGACAGATAAATCACTTCCTGCTGAAGTCGGGACGTATCGATATGGATCTCTCGAGCCAGGTTGGCCGAAAGGAGACCACGGTCCCGAAGCGCGTCTAGATAGGGCCCGATTCTGCCTCCGAACGGGACGTAGGCAAATGCGGTCAGCAATGTAGGCAAGAAGGCCGTAATAAAATGCATGACGAATGTCTTCGCGGTCTGAGCCAGATCGTATTGATCCTGCGTTCGGTAGTTCTCATAGTCGGTCAACCGCTTCGCAAAGTCCGTCAATAGATTGGTGATGGAAGGTAGCGAGAGTGAAAACAGAACGGTAGGCAAGAACTCCAGATAACCCTTCATTGGACCATTGTACACTTCCGACACCAGGATCTCCAAGGCAAATGCCGCAATGATCAAGGTCCCAAGGGCCACACTGGCGACGGTCGCAAAGGGGATCAGCAAGAGCTGGCGAAGGAATTGTCTATGAGCCGAAAACACGCGGATGATTTCCCCGGTGTGCGGGTTGTGGATTTCCTTGTCCCAAACCCACTCCGGTCGGTTCACCTTCAGAAAGCCGACATCTCTGACGTTCCACCGCAGGCTCAGGTCCAGCTCGCGGGTCTTCCAGTATTCGACAAACACGATGCCCCAAATGCAAGTCACCACAGCACACGTAACTGAATAGGGGCCTAGATAGAACCAAGAAAAGATGCCCCAGGCGGCGGGAAAGATCAAGAAGCAGGAGTAGCAGTGGATGAAGGCGAAGTAGAAGGCAACCTGAACTTGTCAGTATGTGGCTTACGATGCCGACCGGGGCTCTAGGTAGGTTTACCTTTTCACCAAACAGTGCGCGAATGGCGTCGAGATCCTCAGTCGTTAAAAAAATAGTGCGACTCCATTTCCGCAGAAGCTCCGCATTGGCAGCGCGATCCTGTAGAGGAATAGCTGCTGTGATATTCTTCCACTGACCCACCTTCGGGGTAATCCCAGCACCTCCCAGCGACTTTTGCCAGGTCACCGCATGATAAACCGATCGTAGGGCCTCCGCAGGAGTATCGGCCTCGGCCTCAGCGTAGTCGCCGCCTTCAGGGAACTCGTGGATAATGCCGTGAAGCCAGTCCTTGACACTGGATATTGTTAGCATACCCGACCGTGCGCCATCCGTCATCACCAGTCAACTGTACCGAGATTTATGTACCAAGTTCCCCAGCAGGTCGGAGGGAACCCGAATGCACACAAGTAGGGAGGGACCATAGCCGTGGCGGACTTGAACCTGGAGATGCGCTTCTTGGAGGTCTTGGATCAAAGTACGGAATTCTTGGATCGCCTGCGAAAGCTCTGTCGGCGAAACGGGGTGTGAGAAAGGCCATCAACTGTGTCCGGATTGGGACGACTCCTTACCGACATCTTCGAAAGAATAATGGATGACCCAATCGACGCCGAAGTTATCCAGTTCGGCCTGGTCGAGGGCTTCGTGACCAGCAAAGAGACCCATCCCGATCGACTGATGAAAAGAGGGACGGGATGGTTGGAAGGACGGATGGGAAGAAAAAGCAAGAGATACCAGATCAGATGTGGTGGATGAATAACGAGCGGGATAGCCTCATCTCCGCGGGGACTCACGGATGCATCCGAGCTCGGTGGGATGGATGGGGGGAGCTGAAGGGAGGGAAAAGAAAAGGGAAAGGGAAAGAGGATGGCGGCGTGCAAGGGATGAATGATGCTCGCGCTCCGATGGATGGCGATGGACTATCGTCCTTACGGAGTAGCGCGGGTCTTCCTGATCGGAACCTCGATTAATAATGGCCGGTCTTTTTACGCCATACGAATAATTAGTACTCCGGGGTGCTGCGTGCTGCGTACTGCGTACGTTACGGCCAAAACCCTGGCATTCTGATGGCCAGCTCGACAAGTCGACACTTGGCGACTGGCCAGATTACCTTTGATTTACCCGAGGACCGTGCCAAGCTCGCCTCAGCCCTACAGGGCAACACGACCATTGGTTCGCTGGTGTCACGGGCGCTGGATGGGCTGGCCCTAGCCGTAATGCTAAGTATGGCTGGAAGTTATTTTTACCGTTCCGTTTGCAATCTGCCATGGTAAGCCCTCCGTACTCCAGCTTACATTGAACGGTCTCCCCGCGTCCAGCAACCGAAGCAGAGGTACTTAATTTCATACGGGACCCTCTAACGCAGTTGCATATTAAGCTGACTCCATTACTCTGATCGACTGATGAAACCGATCGACTCCAAAGATCAACCGCATTCTTCGGTAAAGTACGACGCACGCCGTACATGAAAATACTGCTGCCTGACCCAGATAATCCTTGCTTCTTGCGTCATCCCGGGTATGATGGGCTTCCGACTGCCCGTCCTTTTATAGCAACATCCCATCCGAAAGCGGTATAGCTTCAGCGGGTCACTAGCGGGGCGCTTCACCACCAACCAATGGTGATTCCATCTTCCCCCCAATAATGAAGCAATCCCTGCAGGCATCCATTTTTGGTCGGCGGTGGATGGCGTATCAGGACCGCATCAATTGATTCCCCCATGTAACTTACCACTCTGGTACCTTACCTCTCGGGATCCAGGCCAGGCACCGGCTATTGGCAGGCAGACTTCAAATGGTTGGACTCCCTCCCCTTGTCGACGTCTTCAGCCTGGACCTGAAGAAACGGTCGATATCCATCTTCTGACTTTTTCAAGCCGCAGAGCTGACTGACTCTCGTGGTCTGGCTGGGTCGACCCGGGCCACCAGAGTACATAAAATCCAATCTCCGTGCCGGCCCAGTGCGCCCACTCCACTTTAGCTTCACCCCAGCATCACTCCCTAGTTCCTACCTTTATTACGACGATACGGACAAACTCTTCTTTCAAGTTCCCTTCATCTCGTCCCACCCCGCCAGTCGAATTATAAATATACCTTGAACCCTGATCATCTACTCGCTAGTCGCCCTCACTAGACGGATCTCCAATCACTAGCGTTGATCTTCTTTGTCTGACCTCTACCCCAACAACAACCCCCTGCCCATGGAATTAACACTCGCTTCAGTTGTGGATCTCATGGCTCGTCGATTCTTTCCTGGGCATAGTGCCGCTTTAGGCCTGAGCTTATTCCTCTTCCTGTTTATGTTTCTCCCGACGCTCGTGGTGTTGTTGGCCGTCGTGGTGTTCTTCCTCTTCTATTATCCGAGACTGCAGAAGGGGTCGCATGATCATTGATTATTATTCTTTGCTTGGTTTTATGAAGGTGGTATGTATATCCCGGAGTTGGGTTTATTTTGTGACTATGAGACTAATAATGAGGCAGTATAATATATGGAATACGGAGTTTATGATGATATGATACCATCGGGTTTGGTTGATTGATTGTTGTTTATATATCGGTAGTATATAGCTGCTATGGTATGTACCGTGTCGGAGTGCTTTTGCTTGCGGAAGTGGCCAGAATGTAGTTTAATGCAGTTTCAATGACACATCATGCAAGTCCACGGCAACACACCTGGTCCAAGTTGTGGTCTGCTTGTAAAGAGTAATGGGTAGACATCCTATTTTAATGATCTCTGGATGGCCTTATCTGTAGTTGTGTCGCTCAGATTAGCCCTGTCACGTACCAGGTAACTTCTTCTATCCTACTTCGGTGAAATGAGTATACATGTACACTCCCATGAATAGTATTTTCGGTGACACCCAGATCATAATCTGACCAGTTTAAATGTCCGGACTGCACTAGTGAGTTTTATTTTCATTTTTCATTTTTTTTTTGGTATGGGAAATGATGCTTTTTATATATTGAGAGCGAAACAAAAAGAAAGTAAGATGGTATGTTATTATAACTTGAGTACAATATATACAACATCGTATTTACAATAATCTACTTTTATTTGTACGGCCAAGAGACCATCTAATCACCTTGGGTATTTGCTTCAGACATCAAGCGCTGAGACTCGGCGGCATGCTGGACGTGGAAATCGAAGCTGAGTTCCCCGACTAAGCTTTTCACATTACTACGAAGCAGACAAATATTAGTAACGTTCCCATTCCGACACAGAAAGGATACATACCACAGAAGATCATCCAGGGTAAAACCAACCACCGACCTCAAGACTTCGAGACAAACGAACGCCGAGAAAGCCGGGTCCTGTACATGGCGAATACTCAACAGTTTCTCATCGATACGCTGCAATTCCCTGGCGAGAGGAAATGTGTCCCCCGTTGATAGATATGGCGGTAAAGGCTGCGAATTCAACACCGAAGCAGACAGATGGCAGAGGAGGGAGGTGATCTTGTGGGACTTGAAACCGGAGGATTGAAGAGCAATCGACGCGAGACGTGAGACCCATTTGTCATCCTCATTGTCGTGTTGGTCCTGGGAGCTGGAGTCGCTGGTGGATAACGCGTCCAGGTTCTGGGTGGTATGTGCCATGAGGGCCATGCTCGTTAGCATGCGCTGGATTTGGGAGATGATTTGGTCGTAGGTGGGTTTGGGGAATTTGCCGCCGATAGGAGGCTCAAAAGTGCTGAAATGGCTGTGCATGCGGAGGCTGTTGAGCATGAGCATCTCTTCTTTAAAGACTTTGTGGCGTGAGCGTTCAAGGGTGTAGGATGCGGAGCGGACATCTTCGGTTTCGCCGAGTTCGCCGGTGAGCCAGAGCTCGATAGTTGTGTGCATGCAGCTGTAGAATTTGGCCAGCACGTAGAGGCCTTGTCCGATGGACTTTCGGAGGGTCGATTTGGCGGTGATTGGATAGGGGAACACCACCCAGAAGAAGGAGATGGCGCAGCCGGCGGCTACGGCAGCGAGTTTGTAGGGTCCGAAGAGATAGATAGGGTAGTAGGGTTGACCATTGGATGTGGCGACCTCGACGCCTAATTTGCGGACCTGTATCGGTTAGTGATGGGCACGATTGCACAGGAGGGGTGTTGGCTTCACCTGTAATTCGTATCCAACAATGACATTGAGAGTCACGATGGCAATGACAGATGCTCCAAAGTATTGTGGGACTTTCACATAAAAGTAGTACTGCAGGAGAGTGTTAGCCGGAACCATCGCCGCGACGCTGGCATCCTTACCTCGAAGACATTGGCGAGATAGAGGAATACAATAACACCCGGAGTCTTCTCATCCACGATATACCAGACAATCAGGCTCAGAACTAACGAGACGGCGGTTGCGACGATGCGCGCGACAAAGCCAAACATTGTCTGTCCACTCGTGGGGTTCATTCCGATCACAATGACGATCATGGCCCAGATGCATCTTTGGTGGATGAAGAATTCCTGGGTTTGACGGAGATATGCCAGAATACCGACGCTAAATGCAGCTGCAGCGACGCGAAAGCCAAACAGGCTTTGCTCGGAACGGATAAAATGTGACAAGTATCGAAGCACCAAGCTGCCTTTCTCGAACCAGTTCGCAGGGGGAAGATGTTCGGGGTCCGGGAAGTTGTTTGCTTCAGTTTGTGCAAAGGCCGGAGAAGGATCGACATGTGAGGATTGTCTGCTTTCCGGCGCTGTCTTGGAGTTCTCCGAGGAATCAAGAGAAAGCCATCTTCGGATGCTGTTGAGTTTTGGGAGAATCAATCGGCTTCGTTCCATGGTACCATCCTCAATCTTGTTATCTGCAAATTGAATCAGATCGAGCGTCGCCATCAGCAGGGTATCCTGCAAGTGACCCATGTACAGAATTAAGAAAAATTCCTGTTTGACATCGGGGTCAGTGGTAACCGCTCTCATGTCATCTTGACATGTAGCATCATTTAACTTCTCTGAGGAAAATGCCTCAAGAGATGCTAGACTTTTCGTGAGATCCTTGCGACGTGAGAAGTATTGCCTCATAGCCTTCTCAAACCGCAGCGCAAAATCCGGCTGTAGCGGAGCGAGTATCTCGCCTGCTGCCTCTTCGTCGCGGTTCCCTAGACACTGTTCCTCCATCTGCTTTCTCTTGACAAGCTCAAAGGCTAGTAGGACATATTGTAATCCAATGGTCACCAATCGGGAGGCGTCCACGAGGCGGCCGTGAAGCGTTTCGACAACCTTCTGAATCTCGGAATTCTTCACCGATCCTTCCTCACCGTCATCTCGTGGTTCAAGACTACCATGGCGCGTCCCTTCGTTCTTGATAATCATATCCAACACTTCAGGCAGCATTGCCATTCCAGAAAGCGGCAACAAGATGCTTCGTAGCAGACTGCCAACTTTATTCAGGTCGCCTGCTGACAGTTTGCCCCAAGCAATTTCGTCAGTCGAGTAAATCAAGTCTGATTGTAGCTTTCCGTGCAGTGTGTTCAACTTGGTTATCGAAGCCGTCAAAGCTTTCTGTTTCGATTCTAGATCCGAGCTGGGGTTGTTCTCCATATCCCGCATACTCAGAGCCGTGCGGGTTCTATTCAGAAGCCCTTGGCTATTAGTCCAGACCTCCGACGTGCCTTTCACAAAGGCGACCTGGGATTGAAGCACGGTGTCAATTTGCGCGATATAGGCCTTGATATCGTCGAAGACATGCCCTCGGCTAGTGATGGGGAGTATTAGGAGAGAAACCCCGGTGGCAATTGCGAACCCCAGCATAAACCCCTTCAGCAATCTGGAAATGAACGACAGACCCTCCGATAGGGTGGTAAACATACCCCCGCGGGTGATGGTGACGCAGGAGAAGATGGAGAAGGCGACCATAGGATCCTGCAGCTCCATCGGACGCCAAGCACGGATCGTATTAGCGATCCTATTTATATTCAGCCAGGGTGTTAGAAGCAGGTGACGTAGCATAAGTACATACCAGATCATGAAGATCAGCCATATGGCGGATACAGCACAGGCATCGCTACTGAAACCGTTTCGGACGGTCTCGCTGGCGCCCGCCGGGGTGTTGTGCTCTCTCGCCCGTACCGCACAAAAGACTGCTAAACAGCAGAGAGACGCCGATACACATGTTGATAGGAGGTCAAAAAACATGATCCGCATGAACTTGGCTCGGGGGGTGAGTGCCTGTGACAGCACCGATATCAGGGCTGACAGGTAACCGATCGTCGTGGTAATGTCTGCTATAGCGCTACTCTGATAACTGTGGCATATCAGAGATGTTAATAGAGGTCATGGTAAGAAGTTATGGCCTACATCGCGATCACGATCGTGGGTGGCAAAGCACCTTTTAACATGATAAGGAAGCTTCGAGTGTCCAGTTCGAGGCGTTGTCTCCATGTCAAGGGGTTCAGCACGCTGTGAGACATGATTTAGTATCCAGGCTGTCTACTAGCGCTCGGTTATTTGCCTACCTCAACAACCTAGCCGCTTTACTTCCACCAGGACCCCTTGAAGAAGCCATGGTGTCACTGCTGTGTCCGTACAGCTGGAGGTTACAGTGAGGCAGGGTATCTCGTGGACTCCCATATGGGCAGAATAAAAGGGTAATTTGAATTAGTCTAGATTAGGGTGAAGAGATTTTCGTCTATCTGGCCCCCTATGCCCGAAAGATCCTCGATCGAGCCGGACTGAAGATGGCGCATCCGGGTCGGGTTGCCGTGCCTGGATCTCGTGACGCGTGCCGAGCGAAATGCCGATAGAAGGTTCTGCTAGTAACTCAATGATGCGTCCATACCCATTGTCCAATAGAGAGCTCGACGGCCATATGTTATGTTTACGACGCTTCGAACTTATATGTTAGAGAGTTACCCGCCGATAGTCATTGTGGGAATTCGCAGCGTTGGTCGCACTGAGACGTTCACTGTAAAGATGGAGTGCATGTTGAGGACCCGATTATCAGTGCCCAGGACAGAGTAAACCCCACAAGTAGACAACATCGTTTCCTAAGCTATCGGAATACAGCACGGGCAAGATAAGAACCCTACCTTTGTCCCTTGGATCTGCATAATATTACATAGTACGTCGGACGGTCGGAGGCCCAAGTCAATAATGGATGCATGAAAGTCGGAAAATAATGGGATTGGGACTGGGGCGGCTGAAACCTTTGCCGTGCCCCCCCGCTCGTGAGTCACGTGCTTCTCGGCACACTTGCTACAACTGTCTACTTTCCCCAGGGATCATGCAGAGGGAGAGAGCAATGATGATATTCCTCATTATTATTCGTATCTTTGTCGTTGTTGAGTCGATACTTCTAGCCCGTTTATTTTGGAAGAAAAGCTCGGTCTTGACTGAGCAGTCCTCCAGCGTGCTATCATGACGAAGGGACACATCATCTTCTGTCTTGGTACACCAAGACATCACCTGCATATGCAAGCTTTAATACTCCGTGGTTATACTTCCGCCTATGACCAAGGCTGTCAGATAGAATTTGCGCCGGGCTTGCGTGCATTCTAAATCCAACGCCGTTGAGGGTGTCCATGGCCATGATCTCATCATGGCCAGGTCTACAACCGAGTAGACTGGTTCCCTCTCCATTGACATAGGCCAAGCCGGAGACGCGGTAAGAGGCACTGGATAGGATGACTCTGACTCTAAAATGCAGTCAACATTAACTACATGCGTCGATAGCAGACCCATGTCAACGGTCCACGACACAGCCATGGGTGATACTCAGCCACAGTGGTGCGGAGACGGAGGGGAAATGACAGGTCGTGGTCTAGATCGTGACTCAGCGGTCGGATTAACTACGATGCGCCGGATCGCAAGGAATGACGCGGACTGGGCAAGCAAAGGTACCTGTGCTCAGTGCTCGGTGCTCCTGTGTTACAAGTATCGATCGAGTTGACAGGCCAAGATTCCGGAGATGATGGATCGACGGCTGAGTGTCCATCGCACAACAGGCTCATGTGACGCGTTACCCAAAGCTGCTGCCAGCCGTCGAAACTGAAATCTGAAATCTGAAAACCCAAGCCCAGTAAGGTACCGTCACGGATACCGGAGGACGGAGATATGATCCCGAGACGAGGCTGACTCCTGACGTAGGGTTGTCCAATTAAAGAGGAGTGTCACCAGGGCGCAAGGAACACGGCAAAACCATTGGTCACAAATTCAAGTGGGGCTCCCGTGCTGCGGGATCCAATTTGTTGAGAGTTGGAGTGGACTTGGCAATCCATTCCCAGTTTGGCTTCTCAATTCTCGGTCGGAATTTTGGAATTCAGAGATTTCGGCCTTGCTCTGTCTCTGTATGTATCTGCTCGTCCGCCGGTAGCAACCCACTGGATACGGAGCATCTTGCCCCTTGCTTCTGCAAGCCACAACACTCCAAGGATGAGTGTGTAAATGATTCGCAAATGATTCGCAGTACAACGATCGCGTTGCCCGTCAATGGGATGATGTTTTTATTAAGTTTACTTTTTTGCGCCTTTCCCACTGGTTTCACTAGCCCCGCCATCGATGTCGTAGGTGTGCATCTCTCGGGCTGGTTTCGGCAAGGTGAGATTCTCCTATGGATCTGCGGGCGAGGGGTGGAGACCTATCTATTCACTATCTCCCAAAAATAATAGTACCTCTCTGATTCGATGCCCGGCGTCCATGCCGTGATCGCAGGCAACTCCGAGACGACAAGACAAGACCGAGCAGCCGTGGAAACCGGTTCTCCGAGCCATTGCCGGAGATAGGAGATGACCTCAGCGGTGCCTTGGGTGGTGGCCAAGCTGCTGTGATAGGATGTCGAGAGAATGCAGTCGTTTGGCCACGATTGATAAGGTGCACAGTGGGGACGCTGCGTGTCCATTCACAGTTGCGTCGGCATCCAGGGCCTGGGCAAACGGGGCGGACCATGGCTCCATTGCGCTTTGGGGTCAGGATCAGGATGATCATCCTGGGGCCTTGGCAAACATCATTGGCTCTGCTGCCATGCCACAGGTCCGGCCCAGCAGGCCAACGTTCTCTTATAATCATCCGGTCGCTCAGGTTAGGGCCATCCAGCATCTCCTTCTGAAGCTTGGCTTGCTTCTGCCTGTGTTCGACACAGCTTCGATCTCCGTATCACACATCTCTCACTCAAGGCTCCCTTCTGCCGCCCCTACCTGATCATTACCGTTCCTGGTCCTGAAATACATGCGTGAGTCTCTCCTTCTCCCTCCATCGCTATCCCTTTTCTCGGCCCTTCTGGCCCTCACCCGCCACCACTCTTAGTTGGATAACCCCCGACTGACTTTGTGGTTCCCCGTTGCAGACCGGATTCACTCGTGGGCGAAAGCTCACGCGTCTACCCCCAATACTCAATCCCAGGGTCCCAACCAAGCGAACAACCAGTCCTCCGAGGACGCTTCTGCACAAGATGGACAAGTGAAAGAAGCTATACGTGACCCGGCCAGCCCGGAGTCGGAAAAGAATGCCAAAGAAACCCCCAACCCCGGACTCATCGTCCGGATGAAGAATGGAATTGTTCGTTTCACCGGACACACCAAAAGGGCCCTTTGCCACAGCTGGGTCAATGTGCTGCTCGTATTCGTGCCCGTGGGCATCGCCGTCGAGGCCGCGGGATTGAACCCAGGCCTGATCTTTGCCATGAATGCGATAGCTATCATCCCCTTGGCCGGTCTCCTCAGCCACGCCACCGAATGTGTTGCCAGTCGATTGGGTGATACCGTGGGTGCGCTCATTAATGTCACCTTCGGAAACGCCGTCGAGTTGATTATCTTGTATGTTCTCAAAGCCATTTTCTATGTTTTTGAACGGTTCGGTACTAATGTCTCGGTAGCATGTAAGTCATGGTCATGCGTGAGCCCTTAATGACCAGGTACTAAACACATCGGTGATTTCAGTATTGCCCTAGTCAAGGTGTGTAATCCCATTAACGAAATATGGATGACCCTAACATAGTATAGAATGAAATTCGGATTGTCCAAGCATCACTGCTGGGCTCCATCCTGGCGAACCTACTGTTGATCCTAGGCATGGCGTTTCTGCTTGGAGGTTTGCGCTTCCAGGAACAGGCAAGTTTGCCATCCACTGCGTGTAGAAGCTAAACTGACAGTACTAGATTTATAACAGCACCGTCACCCAAATGAGTGCATGCCTGCTCAGTTTGAGTGTAATGAGTTTGCTTCTGCCGGTATGTACGCAAGGTCGATTGGTTGCCTACGTGCTGACATTGCTTTCAGACAGCCTTCCATGCCTCATGGTCGGACGAAACGGATGCTGATAAATACACCCTCAAAGTCAGCCGTGGCACTAGTGTTGTAAGTAGAGCCCTGCTACGACGCGCAATTGCCGATCTGACTCGTCATAGGTCTTGCTCCTGGTATACATCTTGTACATTGTGTTCCAGCTCAAGTCCCACGCCTACCTCTATGCTAGTATCCCACAGCAGATCATTGACGAGGAATCTCACCCCGGCGTTTTGGCCGAGTTTATGAACAGCTCGTCGGATTCGAGCAGTTCCTCGGATGAGTCAGTGGATACTACGACGTCCTGGTCCACCGCCAAGCGCATAAAGAGGGCCATGAAATATAGACGGCATCGGAAATCGAGCACCAGCTCTCGTGGAACCGTTTCCCCCCAGTCGTTCCGTAAGAAGTCGCTGGCCGATTGTCCTCCCACGGCGGTTATAGATGAGAATGGCGGGTCTGTTGCCGACTTGAGCGTCACTCACCAAGACGGGTCCGGGTCGTTTGTCATTGATTTCGGAGATGACACCCGATACGATGCGGATCATGAACCACAGTCGAGAGATTTCGGGCAACATGCTGGTGCCAAGGCCTCCAAGGAAGAACGGAAGAAGAGACGTGAGAGGCGAAAGCAAGAAAAACGCACCGAAAAGGAAAAGGCCGCGGTTTCAATCACCAATACCCCTTTCACAGGGCGCCCTCCTATGAAGAGTCACAAGTCGGAACCTACAGTCGATCGCGGACAGCCTCCCTTGCCAGTCGAGGAAGCAATTGAACCTGCCAAAAGGAAATCGGCCTTCCGTCCCATGATGCCGTCCTTGTTAACCAACACAGTTTTCTCGAGCTCGCCCGCCCCGAACGCAGCGGTGCCGGCAAGCCCTTCAAACCCCTACGGACTTCGGCGAACTCATTCTCTGCCGTCTTTTACGAACCGCCCTCCACCTCCCGGAAGTGCCGTCCAGTTTGCTCGGGGCGCTTCTCGCTTGCCCACTGCCGTGACCAACACTACGGCCGAGGTGGCCCCCGAAAACCCCGAGCCAGAAATGTCCCGCACTGCAGCGGTGGTGCTGCTCCTGGTGTCAACCGGTCTTGTCGCAGTGTGCGCGGAATTCCTCGTCGATGCCATCCCCACCATGGTGGAAAGCTCATCTGTGAGCGAAGCTTTCATCGGTCTGATCATCCTTCCCATTGTCGGCAACGCCGCGGAACACGTGACGGCGGTCAGTGTGGCCACCAAAAACAAGATGGACCTGGCGATCGGTGTATCCGTGGGAAGCAGTATCCAAATCGGTATGTATCGTCTATTATCTTTTTTGGAACTTGAATTCAAACTCATGCTCGCAGCAATCTTTGTGACTCCCCTCGTCGTCATTCTCGGCTGGTGTATGGACAAGGACATGTCCTTGTACTTTACGCTGTTTGAGACCATCTGCCTGTTTGTCACAGCATTCGTTGTGAACTTCCTGGTGCTCGACGGTCGAAGCAACTATCTGGAAGGCTCTCTACTCATTGCAGCCTATGTCATCATCAGGTAAGCCACCTGTGGAATTGGCGCCGCATCGGACACTAACATGTTTCTAGTGTTGCCGCGTTCTATTATCCCGACAGCGGGCAGTCCAGCACTACGGCAGGGGCCTAGTTGCTCCGTACAACTTCAAGCTGAGTGTTGCAATTCTAGGATATATACGCCAGACTGCACATTGGAGATGACCGGAGGTGTCCTACGTGGGTGAGGCATAGGATGGTAGGAGGGAATTCAATAGTCTTATATCGAGATTGTAAATTATTGCTGCCTGGTTTACTTGGCATATCGCAGAATGCAAACTATAATTTCGCTATGGTTATTCCAGCCTGTTTCATAACTGCGGTATTTGTTTGGCACTGCAGCCGGTGCCGCTGCCCTGCGTGAAATAATAAATCATGTCTGCCAAGATGAAAGATTCCTTGTTCGGGATTGTACACTCCACCCGAGCAGTCACAGCAGGCAACCGGATTCTACCTTCTTCCGACGCATCTCTTGACTCAGGGCTGCAGGCTGCAGACAGGTCTGATTGCGATAATTTCATAAGGAAGTGTGGCTAAGGTCACCCGCCACAGCCACTGGGCAAGACACACGTGGCGCTTTGCTCAGGGGCTGCGGAGGGGCCGGTCTTGGCGTAATCTATTCGGTTCCAGCTACATCGCCCAGCCCGTTTATTACCGTGCTTCATTTCGCCTATGCGCTCTGTATCTTGACCAAAATTGACATCGTTGGTGTCATCTGCCTAGTGCTATTCTACGTATACTTTAGACCACCTTCTGGAACCCTGCCCAAATGGACCGTAGCCGGCTGGGCATGATCGATCCATAATACGTCCTCATTACATGGTGGGGAGTACTGTGGCTGATGGGATACAACGCTTCCGATTGGGCGGAAGGAAAGCCTCGGCACCAGCCCTGTGTGGCGCCAAGCAAAAATAGGAGCGACGGACTGCTGCGGAATCGTTGGGACAAGTCAGACGGAGAATTCGGTAGGTCTTATTCTTAGCAGTAGCGCCGGTCGGTCATTGGTGGTTTCAAGGTCGTGCAGCGAGGCCTGGCGGGCTGGTTAGCCAGGCATCAACAATGGAGGCATCTGGCATCTGGCATCTGCCCCTCCATGTCCGGAGTACAGCTTAGGCATCCCGCATCAACACCGAGTGTCCAAATTAACTGGGGTGAAGGCCATGGTCCTTCAGCCACACTGCAGTCTGCACATCGCCATGTCAGAGAATAGCCCCATCGCCCCAGTTTTACCGCCTTCAGGGGCGGCGCTGTTACGTCTCTGCCTAATGGGCTGCATGTCCAGATCTACAGCGTCGAGTCACCACATCCACCCGACTATTGACGCTTCCCCATCCCACCTAATAACCGGTGGAGACTGTCTCTCTTAGCGCCAGCCTGGTCCCGATGGGCTGAGGTGAATCCCTGAGAGCCGTTAATGCCGCGACGCGCCAATGGGGATGATGCATCCGTGTCCCAACTCCAAACCATTCTGCCCTTCCCCTCCCCCTCCACCTGACAGGGTCTCCGGAACCACTCTGGATATTTAAGGGTCTGCCATCCGTCCGCTGTCCCTTCTTCTTTTCCTTTCTCTATCCTCCTCCTCTTCCCATCCTCTGCCAATACACCACCATGTCTTACTACCAACCACAGGATTCCTACTACGGAGGACGTCCTTCTTACGAGCGTCCTCCCTACGAGGGTGGCCCTCCTCCTCAGCGGCCCCCTTACGATCGCCCTCCCTACGAGGGTGGCCCTCCTCCTCAGCGGCCCCCTTACGATCGCCCTTCCTACGAGGGTGGTCCCCCTCCCGACAGACCTCCTTATGATCGTCCTCCCTACGACCGTCCCCCTCCCGAGAGATACAACTCCGGTCCTCCCCCGCCTGAGCGCCCCCCATACGATCGTCCTTACAGTGACCGTTCGCCCTTTGAGGGCGGCGAACGCTCCTTCGACTCTCCTCCCCCTCGTCCTCCCTACGCCAGCCCTCCTCCCTCCTCTCGTCCTCCTCCCGTCCCTCCTCCGCCTCTCCCCGTGGATTGGACCCAGGAATGGGACCCCAACTCCCGCCGCGCCTACTTCGTCCACATGCCCTCTGGCCGTTCGGAATGGATTCTTCCTGCCGATGGCTCTCGCGACATGCCTCCTCCGGGACCTCCGGGTGCAGGACCCGGCTTCTACTCGGGGCCCCCTCCCCCGGGACCTGAGGGTGGATACTACTCTCCGGACCCCGAGGCCGCGCAGGCTGCTGCGGAGGAGCAAAAGAAGAAGGACCGGAAGAACATGCTGCTCGGAGCCGCCGGTGGTCTGGCTGTCGGTGCTCTCGGAGCTGCCTTCATCACCCACGAAATTGGTATGCCCCTACCCTCGTCCTTTCATATACCCCATACTAACTGTAACAACAGATGAGCACCGGGAAGAAGAGCGCGAAGAAGAGGAACGCGAGGACGGGCCTCCTCCGGTCATCTACGAACGGGAGACCATCATTGAGCGTGAGGAGGTGCCCGCCTATGAGACTTACCCGGAGGATGACTGGTAGACTCGCATACCTTGTTAATCATTGCATTTTCGGGATTGTTTAGCTGTATCTTAGCATATACCTCTACGCATAAATAGATTGACCTTTTATCTGTGCTGTTACGTGGCAGTAGGCAGTAGGCAGGGCAGGCCGAGTATATCTCACCTGATAGTCTTTGCTATCTCGGTTGATTCTAGAGTGGTATTTATGTACTACTATCAATCATTGTACTGCTAGTATCTCTACACGTTACATCCGGGTTATATTTACAGACATTACATCGAAAACTACTCAACTATATGTCAACAAGCACAAATTGTAATAAGTACAACGTAACCCGGGGAAGACACAATATCCCAGAATACATTTCTATCTATATAGAATCAACACCACTCAACCCATTCCCATCCAACCCTCGACAAAACCAACTACTTAAAACAAACAATCTCCCCATGCAAAACCCCAAACCACCCCTCCTCACAATCCACAAACTCCTCCCACCCCCTCACAATCCTCCCCAACCCCTCCCTATCCACAAACCCCTCCCTCAACGCCAACTCCACAAACCCACTCTCCCTGGCCCTCCCCGCCATCGACCCCCCCCAATACCTCCTCTCCTCCCCCGTACTAAAACACCACGCCCCCGCACTCCTCCTCATCCTCTCCCTCCCCAACCCCGCCTCCTCCGCCCACACATGGATCCGATTCCCCGGATGCGGATTCCCCCCCCTGGCCCGTCCCATCCGATTCGTCACCTCCCACCATTCCCCGATCCCCTTGTTCTCCGGATACCATGACATGGCGCTGGACTCCCGCGCCGCGATTATTCCGCCGGGTTTCGCGACGCGGCGCATCTCCCGGAGTGCTTGGATTGGGTCTGCGATGTGTTGGAGGACTTGGTGCACGTGGACGAGGTCAAAGGTGTCAGAGGCGAAGGGGAGGGCGTGGATGTCGCCGACTAGGAAGGTGATGTTTGTGAGGTTTGCGGCTGTGGCGAGCGCGCGCGCGTGTGGGAGGGGGTCCGCGACGTATTCGAGACCCGTGACGTGGCCCGTGGGAACGTGTCGGGCGAAGTCGATGGTTATGCTGCCGGGGCCGCAGCCGATGTCGAGGATTTTCATGGATGGTTGGAGGTAGGGGAGGAGGTAGGAGGCGGAGTTGGTGAGGGTGCGCCAGCTGTGGGTTTGCAGGACGGAGGGGGCGTGGTTGGTTGTGTAGGTTGTCATTTCGATGTTAATATTAGTGCTCTTGTGGGTTTGGTTATAGTTGAGGATGAAATGGGTGGGTGAAGTAGAAAGTTGGGGGTTTTATACCTCGGGGTGGATGCTGTCCTACCTGCGGATGTATGGTGTCATGGTTGTCGGCGTCGGGGGTGGGCTCGGAATTCCGAGATATCTTCCGTATGGGGTATCGTGGGATGATCGATGATCTAATGATTTGATTCTACAGATGTATGACTCAGAATGAATAATACTCAAGAAGATACCAGTTTAGATTGCGTGAAAAGGAATAATATATTCGAGTTACTATCCAGAATATTAACTGCTCTAGTAAGAGAATCCCTAGCAGATAATCTCAGTCATATATCAACACCCGTGGACATGAGCAGTCACCCCAAACATCATCATGCCAAACTCATCCACTGTCTTAAGCCACCGCTCGATTCTTTCCGGCCTTCGCGGTGTTCCCGTCTCCGCGGATCTCCACAGTTCCGATATCTCCAACATCCCATCTTCCCAGTTGAGTAGATGACGATCGTACTCTTTCTCCCACGTTTCCCGGGTGCTGGCCTCCCACAATGCCTTGCCTTCAGGTGCAAAAACACCCGTCATCTCATCCGCAATAAAGTTAGGCAGAAGATTATCGGCGTTGTACACGCTGCAGAACAAGTACATAGTGAAGATCGCTCGCCGCTTGGCGGCCGCCACTATCCACGACTCCCAGCTAGGCCTATCATGTGATATCTCAGCGGTGCAGAAAATGCCATTTCTAGCGGTACTGGAGGCAATCTCCATGAGTGTAATCATTATCTTGTCGGTGACCGTCGGGCCGCCGGGCAGAGGAGAAAAGTATAGCATGATGGAGTAAATAAGGTACGCCTGGAAGGTCGCAAGGAGGTCAAAGTCACCTAAGGTCGACGGTGTCTACTTCATGTCAGCTCCAATATTTGGTAAGATCATGAAGTATACCTCGTTTGCTAGGCGGTCCATCTCCTTCTCCACAGTCTCTACCACCAACGCTTCACTTCCCGCCGCGGCCTGCTCCCACATCCGCACTAGACTGTAACAGTTCGCCAAGGCACGGGGCATTCTGCGTCCGACAACCTGCAATCGATGAATGATTGGCGGTACATCGCCGTCTCGTAACATACCTCGGGGATATGTCGTCAAGATTCTGGAAATGTACTGCAGTGTGAATGGATGATAAACCTTTGGAACCTCATCTTGACCTAACGGAGGCAGAATGTATGGCCGCAGCCATCGATCTCGAATCCCCGCCGCATCTCCACTCGGGACTAGATCAATGAAAGTGAAGTCCAGCTCATGGGTTTCTTCACATGCACTGATCACTTGCCTGCGTGGCTGACGTGGCGTCCAGGACGGACTGCTAAAGCTGGGCAATGGGATCGGCATCTCTGGATTGAGTTGCGCTGCACCGAATATGGGAGGCTCTGGTTCTGGGCTGGTGGGATTTGTGGGTACAGTGTAGAACTCGGTTGGAGGTCTGGAGACTTGAGATGTGGGAACCGTTCTGGTTGGATATTCACAGGGCCGTCCGAGCGACCGGCAACGGGAGCAGGCCGGTCTCTCGAGATCGCAACGGACCTTGGATTTGGTGCAGCTTTGGCATGCCTTCTTGCGTGGAGGCCGCTCCCCTCGTCTCGGGTGTGGAGATGTCATCGTTGTGGACATCGTCGGGGAAGTGTTCGGAATTCCGATATCTGGTGACGGACGACCAAATGTGGGGAATTCGGACGGCAATTTCTCGCTGGAAGGCGGTCAACTTGGCGGTGACCCCAGTGTCCTGTTACCCCAGGGTAGGTGTTTGGAGAACAAACATCCTCTTTGCATCGCACCTTTCTCAAAAATATAACTCCAAGGCTACCAGTCAAGCTGTCAGTCGTCATGAATCCCATACGTGTAATAAAACGGGTCACCAGATGGACCTTCTCGCGGCTTCATCGCAAGCATCTTTCCACTGTTAGCTCCATCTCCCCTGACACATTCCCTTCCGGTAAGTCTTGAAGAGGGCATCACTTGGTCTTCTGATAACACCTCTGATCACAGGGTCATCGAACCCAAGTCGAGAAAGACCAGATCCCCTCTTCTCATACACTTCTGGACGCTGGCTATGGGATGAAGCAACCCAACTTCGTAAACGATACCAACCCTTCAATGTTAACGAGCTCAAAAAAACTGCCGCCAGATCAGTCAATGCTAAATCCTGCACCAAGATAGCCAAGTTACCTGAAGGCGCCTACAATAAGACTTTTCTGTTGACAATGGACAACGGTGTCGAGATCATTACGAAGATCCCGAACCCTTATCTTCCTCAGAAATTTGCAACAGCCAGTGAAGTTGCAACGCTTGACTTCCTGCGTAACGAGCTAGACATACCAGTTCCTCGTGTGTTCGCATGGAGTAGCAGGAAGGACCAATCTGTTGGAGTGGAATATATCATCATGGAACGAGCACCCGGTCATGAGCTGAACAAACTTTGGTCTGCCATGAATGTATCCGATCGGGTGGATATTGTGTCTCAGTTGGTGGGGATTCAAAAAAAGATTGCTGCTGTCAACTTCCATAGTTATGGAAGCCTGTTCTACAAAGATGACATTGAAAATGGCCTTCATGTGCCTGGACTTGACCGATTCTGCATCGGTCCCAGCTGCGAAGTACGATTTTGGGAGGGGAAGAGGAGCTCAATGACCAAGTATCATGGTCCTTGTATGTCATTCATGCCGTTATCATTATGCGGAAGAGGCTAATGGGAGAGCGAGCAAAACAGGGACCTCATCCGTGGCATATGCGCAAGATATCGCCAGGCGGGAGAAAGAATGGATCATGCGATTCGCAGAGCCCCGTCATCCATCAGACCCCCTCAGACAGTCAGGAAGCCAAGAGTCTCCTGGATGTCATGCTGAACTGCTTGATAAATACCTGGAGGTGATACCTCGTATGATACCATCACATAAGGGCCTAAACCGTTCGGTCCTTTGGCACCCCGATCTACACTCCGGTAATATCTTCGTCGACAAAAACCGGATTGTGAGCATTATTGATTGGCAGGGCTGCTTGAGCCTTCCAATATTCCATGCATGCAGAATACCGAAGTTCCTCAAAATAAATGGCCCGCTCCTTTTCGACCTACCCCCGGCTACAGACCTTACTTCGCAAGAAAAAGCAGAGAATCTACGGAGATACCAGCTTACACAGCTCCAAAGGTTCTACATCTCCAAATTTCGTGAAATTGACAACGATATCTTCTCTGCACTGTCGTTCCCTCAGGCTTTAACTCGACAACAGCTCCTTGATTTCGCAGGGCACACGTGGGATGACGATGGGCTATTCTTGCTTCGGGAGATGATACACCGAACGTCGCGTGAATGGACAGAATTAACAGGCCTGCCACAGAGCTCCTGTCCTGTCAGACCTGACACAGATGCAGTTGCATGCCATATTGCCGAAGCAAAAAGTTGGGAAGATCGCCAAGCTCTCTTCGGCACCCTTGGTATCCCTCTGGACGGCTGGCTACACCCTGACGAATTCGAGGCCAAGGTCGAGGCGATGCGGGATCTAGTGAACTCTATTATCGCGTCAGCTGATGATAAGGAGGGCGCAAAACAAGCATTAAGAGCTTGGAAACTGTCCGATTCAGGACCTGCCAGCCTATCAGGGAACCTGATGGAGATCTAGTCCTCTTGCAGCGCATGCCGTGCGTTACCCGGCCCGGGTTACTACCGCCATTAAGTGAAGTAGTCAACTTCTATTGTGAAGGCTACCGTAGGACCACGTAGAACTTATGCATCACTGTGCTGATGTTACCGCCACCAGAATATGCATTACGCAATCGGTAAGTCTGTAAGACATGGAAGACCACATCATCTGCACAGTTTGGCTGCACGACGTGGACATACACACAGTTCGAGCCATCAACGCAGACTGCTGAATCAAGTGCAGCACGGTTCACTGATAGTGATGTCCTTGTTATTAAAGAGTGGAAATAACTCATCCCAGCGAGGTGATTGGAGTGAGATATACTCTCCTTCTACCAGAAACCCCAGTCAGTAGGACGCCGGGATAAGGATGCTGGAAGGACTCACTTACCCCCTGCCAGAAATGCTCTGGTAGGACATTTAGGCAAATCATCCGCGGCAGAGGTACGTGAAGACGATCCCAAAGTAGAAGTTGTGGTTGTGGGCGAGTAATAATGTTTTTGTATGGCTTTGATGGGCGGGGCTTGTAGGAAGAATTGAGAAGTTTGATGTGATGTAGAAGTGCGTAGTTGTACTGGATGTAGTGGTGAGGAGATGTTCCATTACTCGCTGTAGGAGACTTCGTTTTTGCAGCTTCCTTTGATTAAGAATACGGGGTAGGGCAAAGAGAAAGAAAGATAGTCAATCCTGATAGGCTCTAATGATAACATATCAGAGTAAAAGCAAGATATTGAACATACCCGGACGGAATAAAAACACTATAATCTGGGATGAAGCACATTCGCTTCCAGGCGGGAGAAATTAGTACACCGACCGCCCACATATCCTAAAGTCCCTCACAATGCTCTGCCCCGCAGGCCCAGCCGCCCACGCCGCAAAATGCTCGGCCAGGGCCGGATACTGAGCTCTAGCACCGACGAGCAAATGACCTTGCAGGACAAGCAAGTCATTCGGATCATTAAGCTGCCCGTGCTTGTAGACGGTCAATTTTGTATGGAGCTCGGGTTTCAAGCGATACATGCTGGATTCTGTTAGAGTGTAATACCCTAGATTGGCGGCGCCGTAGAGGTTGAGAGATGCGTCGATGTTGGCTTTAGTGAGTGGGGGATATCTGTTGATGGGTATGTATGGAAAGAACGCGGGGAGGTGAGGGGGCTGATCTACTTTTCTCACTTCTTCCCACAACTGGCATTCTCTGAGATGAGTGGCTGAACCGTCGCCTCGGGTTTCGAATGAAGCTGAGGGGTCGGTGGTCCCTGCATTTCTTGGTGTGTAGTCTAGCTGGGCTGCTTGGCGTAAGGTCCGAAACATTGTAATGATATCGGAGTTGGGATCAAGATTAGCTGGATTGGAGAGTGGTCCGACGAGTAGCAAAGGTTCGCGGAAGATGAGATAAGAACCAAGAGGAGACAGTCGGATACTCTGGTTCAAAGCGGTTGCTACTTCTACAGAGTTGCGGGTGATTACGACATCCACTATGCCGTCGTTGAGGTACCTGAGGGACTCGGATGGACTGGTCTTGTACCAAGCCACTCTGCAGGGATCGAATTTCTCAGAAACGCGGAACTTGTTGAACGCGTCACTTAGGGCTTTGAAAAGATTAGATGGGTTGGTAGGTAGGATGGGCTTGTGCATTAACTTACCTTGTATCAAGCCGCTCTGACCAGCTGCTCCGCCGGCAATACGGAGTATGGTCGGCGATGGATTACGACAATGTTTGTCGTAGATAACTGGCTGAATGTCCGTTGGGGTCGGGCGCTCGTCGAACGGCTTATCCTCGAGCAATAACCAGGCACCAGACACAAGTTGGTAAATTTCTCCCTTGGTATTCACCCGGTACGCAGAAGCCGCCACTGCGATGTAGACATTGTCTGTATGGTTGTCGATCATTTGCCATGAAGAATCATGAACAAGAACATGAATTGTCCCGTCCTTATGGCGCGTGAAAAGCCCAGCCTCACCACCCGCGATTTGGACGATGTCCGTCCCTGACTCGATAGGCTGCCAGTTTTCTTGCCCATCCAACCGGCAGATGCGCCCGTCGCGTTGGAGCGTGAAAAGAGACTTGTTGTCTGTGGCAATTGCTACTGACTCGGTGTTGGAACGAAAGGGTGTCCATCCAGAGATGCTGGAATAGGAGGAGATCCAACCACCCTGACCGAGCTGGTAGATGTCGTTTTGGACCATAACAAAATCCACCGGCGGATAACGATACTTCTGAATCACCCATTTGCCACCGGTATCAGGGCCTTGATAGTGACCTTTGCACTTGCCCCCCTTGGATGTCCAAAGGTTGCCTTTCCATCCCCAGAGCTTGGTCGCCTTATCGCCAATGTGTTCCCAGTAACGTCCATTGAATTTGTAAACATCCCCAGTCTCGCGGCGCAGACCAGCCGGAGTGCTCCCAACGATCTGAGCGTTGTTTTCCTGTTGATCTATAATTCTCCAGGCCTGAGAGGCTGGCATGTATTGTTTGATAGTTCCATCGGCAAGAAGCTGGTAGCAGTCCTTATCGGCCACGGCAATTTTGGGGAAGCTCATGGCGATCCAATATAACCAAGGTTTGATAGAGAGAAAGTGATATAAAATATAAGGAAATTGCTTCAGGAAAGCTTTATATGCGGTGATAAACCCTATCCGCTTGCAAGTCAGCCACTCGGTGCCTGCTTGACTGCGTCTCCGGGCCCGCAGGACGGTTCAGCCGATAAATATCTCGCTGGTACCGACTATCCGGAGTGGACTCTGGGAACCAACGTATGGGAAGTGCGGGAAAGTCTGCCATCACACAGGGGCACAGGGGCTACCCAGTGTAACTTGAAGAATGAGAGGGTAGGACGAGACCAGGCCGACTCAGCTGGTCATTATCCATATCGCAGTGACGGGCTGTCGACTGTATAACAGTAATCTGGCGACCGTCCAGTGCCCTTCATCCTAGTACACCACATGCTCAGATTGTCGTCCATCCTTGTTGCTAAGACTGCATCGAAGCACTGCAGTCCGGTGCCCACCTGACTCTGTCTTCGACGAGGTGCCCTTGTCAATGACATTGTGTCACAGCAGGCTGGCCTTCCTATTTGTCCACCCTCAGGTATAGCCACCTTTCTTGTCTCATTCCAGTGGTCATGATTCAATGTCCGGAGGATTTGAAACTATCAGGACGGATCCTCCGGACCTCACGTACAGGAAGGGGCGTGATATTGAGGTAGTGTTGTGATACGTTCGACCTCGGGTCTCGGTTTGGTGTTGAACCAGACGAGTCAGCTCTTGCTCGTGTGCAGCTGAGCAGTAGGAGTATTTATGGGGTGGGGGAGATGAAATGTATGATGAGCAAGATGAAATGGAGGATTATGTTGAGGGAAGGGACGAGGAAGATACAGATGGGGTTGAGTTAAGAGATTGTGAAGTAGAAGTCAGCAGAGCAGAAAGAAGGGAGTAGCAGATCCGGAAAGTGAGAAATAGGAGGCTGCCTTGAGAAAGCGTGGATGGTAGCGGAGTAGCCATTCTCGGTCGGCGCGTCAAACAGCTTGTTTCCTCTCCATTCTCCCATAAAAATTCCTCTGTCGTACCACTCAATCCAATTCTCCCAAACATCATGATCACTAGACTAACCTATCTCAAATTACCGATAATTTCTATGCGTGTCTTTCACCTCGACCCCATCGCCACCATGATCGAGTCCGTGCCCTTTCGCGTATCGACGCGTCCGCCCGGAGCCTAGCGCAAATGCAACGCAATGCAAGGCGATGATCCCAAAAGCAACCATGTCCCTCTCTCGAACATTCATCTGTCGGCTCCAGGCCAAACAAACCCGCAGCCTGACTCCAATACTCCCACACGGAGCAATCAAACATCGCACCATCACCAAAACACCCCTCACTGGCGCCCGCAAACCCGCATCTCCCCGCCCAATCTCCCACGCATTTGACCCAGCCACAGCACCACCACCTACAACCGCCCCTCCCTTCCACTTCCTCCACCCAGCCAGCCTCACTACGCCCGAATACCAACACACCATAACCATCACCCCACCCAATTTCAAAGTCCCCTGGCCAACTTCCCTCCCCTGCGCCGTACAATCTCGCTACTGGCGCGAAGCCGAACACGCAGCAACAGACTACCTATACGCCATCCTCTCATCCCATCCTAACAACGAAACCAAAGAGAAATACATCGCCACAGTATCCGACGCAGCAGTCTCCTACGCCATCAACCTCATCCCATTGGGTAATCTCGCCCGCACGAACCTCCTCACCAGGACATTCGTCCTCGCGTTCCTGCACGATGATGCTGTCGATAAGCCAGATCGGGAGAGGAATACTCATCTCATGATCCCTACTACATCTGAATCCCACATAATAGAGGAAGATACATCAAACTACGCAGCATTCAACATCCTATCAAGAGAAATCCTCGCCGAAGACCCCACCCAGGGTGAGCTCCTGCTACAGGATATCCTCTCCTGGGGCTCCATATCCCAGGATCAGAAACCAACTACGTTTACGTCCTTAGAGGAGTACTTCTCCCATGGACTGGAAGATTTCGGAGCGGAGCTTATTCTCCGGACTGTTGAGTTTTCACTCGATCTTCCACCTTTCTCCCCTGAAGAAAGGGAAGAACTGAGGGTATTGAAAGATCTATGTGTGAGACATATGCTACTTACTAATGATTTGTACTCGTATGCCAAGGAAGTCGTTGCCGAGAAACGTGGTGGAGAGAGGGTTCTGAGTGCGGTGAGGGTGATCGAGCAGGCAATGGGTGTTTCTGAAACATCGGCCAAAGTGACCTTGAGGGTTGTTATACGCGATTTGGAGAGAAAGATGAATGAGGAGTATGTTCGTTTACAACGGAAAGAGGGGATAAACGAGGCACAGTTGAGGTATGCGCGTGCAATGATCGTTGCGGTGGCGGGGAATATGTTCTTCTCGGCGACTTGTGCGAGATATGCGCGGGCTGTAGAGGGGTCGGAGTTGATGTAGATACTTCGCGCTGTACTTATTATATAGGTATACTGTTGATAACCTTCCATGAAGTATCATCTCTACATTTCCATCCAAGGTAGCCAGCTATGTCTACTCCGTATACATCCAACCAATCCCACCCACCCAACCCCGCCAAGCCCAATCCTCGGCTCCCCCCCAAGACTAACCAAACACAGCTAGCCTACACACACAACACGGTCGCATATAAGGCCTCTCACGTCCCTTGATTCCTCTTTCCCCTCAAGTTTCCTTTACATCCTTTGTTCGTGCAACAATCCAACATCCATCTGCTATTATGCCAGCAGACCGCATCATATCCGACACGATATTCACCAACTTATCACACAACAACCGCATCTATCGTGCACTAGTGCAGAGGCCCCACTTATGTGGATTATCTATATATGATCCACTTTTGATCCTTCCCGTCTATGCTTAGCGTGGTCTATCTAGAGGCGATAGATAGATAGATAGATTGGTGCAAGGAGGAGGAGGAGGAGCAGGTATTAAACCCCAGCCACGACAAGTTCCTCGGGGCCAATCATCCCCTTGCGAGTGTCGATTGCTGTATGCCTCTTGATACCGAAACCAACGGATGTCGATGACCATGTTGTTGCAGACCTGGAGTAAGGGCCGACTGGAGTAGTCGGGTCCTTGCCGTGGCTTAGCGTGGAGTCGTTGTCCTACATTTTGTATTTTTATGTAAATTTGCTTTGTTTGGTATGATACATACGTAGGTTGGTTTGATTTTGTAGGTATGGACTGGGTGGGGGAGGGGGGGGGTCTTCACCGGTAGCTGTCCTGGTTGTTCCAGTAGAGCGTGTCGTGCTGGACTTCTGGTCCGGTGGCTCCAAATTCCCAGCCGAGTTTCAGCTTAGTCCATTGCATGAGGTGGCTGGCGATTTTCAAGTGTCCGACGTCGGTGGGATGCTCTTGGGGGTCGATGTCGTTGTGTTGAAGGATGCCCTTGGTGCCGAAGTAGTGCACGAATCCGTCGTCTTGGAAGTGCTGGCTGACGCGCTGGATCTCGGAGACGTAGAATGGGGATTGTATGTAGGTGTCGCCGGAGCGGGTGAAGTTGCCCCAGAGGGACTGATTCATGGGTCAGTGTCTGCTTGGATGGATGCAGGGGTTACGTACCATGATGACTATCTGTGCGTTTGGATATGTTTTATGCACGCTGTTCACGAGCTCGACATAGCTGTCATAGAAGGTCGAGCCGGGGATGTTGTTTTGGGGCCGGCGGTCGTTGGTCCCCAGGTCTATAACGACGAGATCTGCTGGTTGGTGCGAGCTAAAGTTCCATTTCTCGGGATGGTCTCCGTAGGTAGCGTTGGCACGCACACCTGCGTCGGAGGCGTAGAACCATTGATATGTCTGATTGAGTTAGTTGACTTCCTTGTATGGTACGGGATACCAACCATGCCCCGCGCCTTATCCGCATAGCACTCTTCGTCCGTCAAGCAAATTCCGGGATATGCCTATAATGGTCAGACAGAGATGTAAAGTATTCAGAAGACATACGGTGATCGAGTATTCGACATCCCCTAATCCGGCAGCAAAGTTGTACGCCCATGATGAAAGCCCTTCATAAGTGGCATATTGTCCCGATGCGAAGCTATAATTGTTAATCATGGATGCGAACAGGATAAGGTGAATCTCACGAATCGCCGATAATTTCCACCGTCTTATTGTATGCAGGGGCTGCGACTAGTTTTGCATCCGAGGCAACGGAAACACCGGACAACTGGACTGTACGATCGGTCAGTTAGTGTCGTTGTAAAGGATCGATAAACTTATCCGTAGCCCCAGTTCGTCACTACCTCACCGTTAGTTTAATAATTGATCGGATAGGAGCGCACTTACCTCGCATCTCAAACGTGTTGTTGTTGGACAAGTTCAATCCCGGGGTCGATGATCCAGCAAATTGGTACGTCGCATTCGCAGTCACGTTCGAAAACTCCCAGTCCAAGCCGCCGATTCTATCCAGTCAGACGGATGATCAGTATTCTGCCCTGGGTACTTACCGATATGCCAGCAGGACTCCTTCACTCGTCTGCGGACCGAAGCTCAGAGCAAGCTATCCCATGTTAATACTAGCATTTCAGAATACTCATGCTCAGCATCATACCTGTTCGCCGGTAAACCCAAGCTTGATACCCGGAAGTCTGTACCCGTCAGTCGCAACGTCACCCTCACCAAAGCAAACCGAATTCGACATACGACCACCCTAAGGACCAGTCAGTTAGAAACATGCTCATGACCCGATATTTAGGCAGGATAACCCACAAGAAACATATTTGCTATCCCACCTCCCCTTATACGATATTTCCGACGCATCGGGTCCATAACTCCTCCAGGAGCCATCCTCCAGCGAAATACTCGGAGCTTGTCCAGGATAGGGATCTTCTCGAGCCTGACCATTCTGCAAAATGGTGGCCGAGGCCTGCAGAGCCCATGAGAGCAGAAAAACCGGGGAGAATCGCATATCTGTCGTTCACGTCTATGTTAGACGGGTGTGTGAAGAGGGGCCAGTTCAGTTTTAAGGACGGAGGATGTGGTGGGCTGATGACTATCGCCTTGCGTAAATTTTGCTTTTGCTATTTAGCATAGTTTGTGGTTCAGCTTAATAGAACATACACAGGGGGCAATGATCGGCCCGAGATCCACCCTTGCTTGTCGATCAGGGGAGCGGATCGATCGGGTTGTGGTGTTCCTCAGCCAGGTAGCCCTGTTCATGCAATGTAAGTTAATTGGTAGAATTCAATGCAGGGTAAATTGTGGCAGGAAGCATTGGGAGGTTGGAACTCTATGACCACATTATCCGAGTGGTCCGCATGGTTGCACTGAATAAGGTTACGGGAGGCAGGAAGAACCATCGGAAGTCAATCCGAAATGGTAAAAAGGGAGTTCTTCGTGGAGACGCCGAGATAGAAGGCATTTAATGAGTGGATAGCATGCCTTTCTTCATCCCTGAAGAAGACTTTCTGTTGTCTTTCCGATAATTTGGAACGTGCTGACTGGTCAAACTGCGCAAAACGTCAATATTTATTGCAGAGCATGTAAGCACGCGCATCCATCCTATCGACCCATGGTAGAGAACTGATGTCAATCCAGATAACCTGAATGGGATATGCAACTTTAGAACATAGGTACTTGGTGTGAATTCACACAAAGGATCTCGTGCGCAATCACTGAAACACATGGAGTTATAGAGAACTTCGAAATGAAGATGATCATTCCTTGGTGAGAACGATCGTGTCCGATCCGCTCCTCGGGTGGTTGAACGCGATATCAACTGTTCATTGTGAACGATAAGCGACCCAGCAAGATCTAGATGCTGTGGAGCCGTCTCAGGGGTGGGATCAATGACATCAGCGCTGGCTAGGTGATGCTTCTTATTTGTCACGAATTCCCTTATCGCAGGGGCTGAAGACCGAAATACTTGCCATTTTCCCCAGGGTCAGTTTGATGTCCTTGTACCTGGCCCTGTGGAAATTCAACCATCGAGTGTGATGGCGTGATGAGTCGGCTGCGGTGAGGACTTATCATGACTTTTAGTCGGGAGAAGATTTGGGGAAGGAATTTTAGGCTTCAGCAGCTCCAAGCGGGATGCTAGCTAAGTCGAATATGACTAGCCCAATGGCTAAAATCTCACATCTCCTCGATAGATACGAGAGCCAGCGGTCGGATAGTAGTAATCTCCGACGGACTCCGGAGATGACCATCACGTGTTTGCAGGCTATCCAGGAGTCATAACTGCCAGCTTCCTTAATTCTTCGTCAGCCTGTCACACAAAGCTCAACTGCAATCAATTATACATCATGGTCCGCAGACTGGCATCGGCAACACCTCCCACGCAATCGCCATCACTAGCCATGTATACCGCTCGCCCCAATTCTGTCTCAATGAACATTCATCCGAGACCACTTGTTCTAGCCACTGCTACTGACGAAGCCAAAATCACGACCATATACGCAGACCTGTTAATTCCAGGGGCCGGAGAGCTCTTGCGCAATGCTGCTCTAGTGATCAGCGATAAGGTCATCGCGTTCGTTGGACCCCAAGCCGACATCCCCAAGAAATACCTCCGGTCCACACAATCCAGCCACCATGTCCCAGTGTTAATGCCTGGCCTGTGGGATTGCCATATGCACTTTAGCGGTGATGATGACTACTACAGCGATTATACCGCTGGTCTGGCCACTCACCCGGCCTCGTCCGGTGCCCGGCTAGCCAGAGGATGCTGGGAGGGCCTGCAGGCTGGGTATACCTCGTATCGCGATCTGGCCGGATACGGGTGCGAAGTGGCCAAAGCTATCGATGACGGAACCATCGTCGGACCGAATGTGTATTCGTCTGGAGCTGCGATCAGCCAAACCGCTGGACACGGTGATATTTTTGCTCTCCCGGCGGGCGAGGTGCTCGGAAACTACGGAGTGACGAACCCGCGCCCGGGATACTGGGGAGCAGGACAGTTATGTATTGCCGATGGCCTGGAGGAGGTCCGACGAGCGGTACGGCTACAAATCCGTCGTGGAGCCAAGGTCATCAAGGTCATGGGGTCTGGCGGGGTCATGTCGCGGGACGATAATCCCAACTTTGCACAGTTCTCGCCCGAAGAGTTGAAGCTCATGGTGGACGAGGCAGCACGGCAGAATCGTATTGTCTCGGCACACGTGCATGGCAAGGCAGGCATTATGGCCGCCATCCATGCGGGATGCAAGAGTCTGGAACATGTGTCGTATGCGGACGATGAGGTATATGAGCTCATGAAGGAAAAGGGGGTTCTTTACGTGGGAACGCGAGCAGTTGTTGAGCTGCTTTTAGCCAGCAATGGAGAGGGGCTGGTGAAGGAGTCCTGGGCTAAGGTGCAGGCCCTGGCTGACGCGCATTTGAAAGCTTACCAAGGCGCAGTGAAGGCGGGGGTCACGATGGCTCTAGGCACAGATACTGCTCCTGGTGGACCTACTACGCTCGAGTTGCAATTTGCTGTCGAGAAGGGAGGCATGACTCCATTGGAGGCCATTCGAGCGGCAACTGCGAACGCTCCCCTGTCGGTTGGCCCACAGGCACCTTTAACAGGTCAGCTTCGAGAGGGCTATGAAGCTGATGTGATTGCATTGGAGGAGAATCCATTGGATGATATCAAAGTCTTCCAGGACCCGAAGGTGATTACCCATGTCTGGAAAGGTGGAAAGCTTTTCAAGGGCCCGGGTGTTGGCCCATGGGGAGAGGACAGCAAGAATCCTTTTGCGTAGCGAGCGAGCTAAACCTGTATATATTACATCCAGAGTGAGTCCCTATCTAGACCAACTCCTGTGCTCTTATTGGCATCGCGTTGTTCAAGCGCCATAGTCACACCTTGTTTAGACCGATGGTTCTCCTCAAAGATGAGTTGAAGCATTCACGGTAGAGCTGTGATTCTCTGAGTAGACACCGGGTGAATGAAGTGTCTCGATATAATTCAAACTGCAATAGCAGCCAGCACCTCACATGTCTCATGCCTTGCTAGCGAATTTCTGTCGGAATCCCCCGGTCCTAGCATCGGATAGTCTCGGGGGCTAAGATGGAGCGGTTAGAGGCGGGTGGCCGGACCGGGACAAACATGTGGGCCGGCAGACAGGAGTAATGCTAAGGCTTCAATAGAAGTTTAAAAATACGTATTATCGGAGAGGATGTTGATGAAGAGATGTCCGGGTAACTCCCGCTCAGAATTGACAGTTGGGATGACATGGTAGGCAGAATTTATCAACTAACCTTTTAGACTTAGACTTTTTGATAATCCCAGGCAGTTAGTTCAGTGATATATGGAGCATCCAGTAGTTCGTTCACGAAATGTACATGGGTATATAGTGCGTAACGGCATGCCTCCAACTGTTCCTGGATCGAGGTGATGCTAATGCCCCAAACTTTCAATCCAACTCGGCGACTCTCATCGTAGCCTAGTATGTTCAAAAGGGAAGGTCATTATGGAATGAGAGTATGCTTTCATTACCAAAACATGCTCACTCCCACTGCCAGACTAATAGCCCCGGCCGCAGCCGCTACCGGCACCGAGATCGCATCTTCATGGTATAGTCTTTGATAGGCATAGTTCAACATGCCGGCAGCGAAGAACAACCACGACGCAGGCGACCTCGCCAACAGAATCCGCTCTGTACCGAAGAAGAGTTAGTCAGCCAAGCTTCTCGCATATCCATTCAGACCGGTAGATATCTTACGGCAAGGAGACTGGAATCTCAATTCGGGCAAGAAGAACAAAACGAGAACGATTGTATGAATCACGGTGGCGGTGGAGGCGAGCCCTGGAAAAAGGATGTTAGTTCCGATACTGGGGCTTGGCGACTTGGGGACATCATCGACATACAGATTGTGAATGCTGCCGTTGGTGTTTCCTGCCAGTCTCCAATAATATCTTCCCGAATAGCGCGGTGCAGACACAAGCCAGCATCATTTCCAAAGTCACCTTGCAGATGCTTCAGTGATGCCGCACGGAGCTCCGACACCCGGCCTAGTTGCCAACAGGTGGCCAATTTCTCTGCAAGTTCGGGGGTTGCATCGTATTTCCTGATGAGTGTGCGCGTAATGTAGGCGCGGGCTGCATCCGGGCCAGCAGTGTCGGGAGGGAAGCTCGGAGCCATGGTGTCAAGGGGCAATCTAGGGGGTGAGGGGAAGTGGGAATATGGCTGTCTTGAGAGGTGAGGTGATTTCGAACTTATATGGTCGCTAAGCTCAATTCGGGGCTGTGTCGGGACGCACTGATAAGCGTGTTCCGCACTTCCGGTGGGCCAGTCGGGCGCTCCAAGCAGTCTTAGCGTGAGCTTAGCGTGGATAAAACGTGGTCGCATAGCCCTGCGGGTACTTGTGGACGTCACCCTTGACTCTATGGAGGACACTAGACCGCTGGGACGGACTATGTAGTTGAACTAGCGCTTGCTGATTAGAAGTTCTATGTGGAGTTGACTAAAGAACTGGTGAGATGGCAGCAATCTGAAACGATGCGGCTCAGTGCGTAGTTACGCAAGTGCGTGCCGCAGCAGAAAGACAGCAGCCGGACCCAACGCTGGCCCAATTTGACATGTAGAATACAGACTATGAGCCCTCCTCTGTATTTACACTGTTGTTGCCCACTATGTGAATTCATATGCCTCGTCAGACAACAGTGACAGCTGTCATGTCTAGCGACCTTGATAAGGGTAAATCGCTCATCACCGGCCAGGCATGTCGGAAGTTTGAAGTTGTAAAATATTTTTCTTATGTTAATCGTCGAGTACTATTCAGCATCAGCCCATCAATACGGACAAGAAAGTTTATGGAGAACGTTAACGAAGGAATGAAGATAAACCCGTGAAGAATGGTTGGAATAGAACAGGCAAAGGCGCAGTTGAGGGAGGAATAGTGACAAATAGGTACAAACAGGAATGTCAGAAGTGTGATGAAGTAGGAATGGCAGATTAGTGATATAGGAGGAGATACATTCAGGCTACATACGTCTTTGGGCGGTTGATAGAGCGGGAGAGATTTCTTCGCTTAACTGTAGAGCTGCCATTCTTGTCCATGGTTTCAGGCAGTATTCGTTGCGAAGTGATAGAAGCATCGATAGCTATGGACTAAAAAATAGACAAGGTAAGCTAAATTTTCTCAGAGCAGCTGGATGTTAAGCTATTCGTGTGGCAAGTAAAGGTCCAGTGCAGTTCTCAATGAAAGAAACAGAGCGGAAAGTCGTAGAGGTGGGTGAAATGATTCGAATTCAAGTTTTCCTTTCAAGCAGTCGCAACCTATGCGAGGAAGACAATGTAATTACCAAGTGAAAAATTAACGACAAAGAGCGCGACCTCGTCCAGCGCTTTTGTAAGATTGTTCGTAACCACGACCCTGTCTAGTGGTATGCAGATTGAAAAATATGAAATCGCGCTCTAGTCCAGCGCGGGGCACACAGCCTAGTCTGGTATATCACAGGGGCCCTGTGGTGACCACGACCTTGTCCACTGACTCAGAAGGCAGAGCGAAGTTGACGTACGAGCAATAAGGCGACATGGTGTGCCGTATTGAGAGAGATAATGAGATGAGACAGAAGTGGAGGGAGGATTCAATCGTACGCTTGGGTCGGGAGTGCGACGCTTTCGTAGATTATCATTGTCTGCTAATGGGGGATACTTTAGCCACCCCCCAGTCAAGGTACAAGCTTTGTACCCTCTCATTAATCTTGGTTTAAAGGAAGAATTAAGGCTCAAGGGTTGTGAAATCATCTTAAAAGTGAATGTTATTCAATCGCGCAACATCGACAGATATTGCTGCAATATATTGGATTGTATTAGACATAAAATATCAGAAGTACATATAGGTCAAGACAAATCACAAAGATACAATATATATTCAGACCCAAGTCTGACAGGATCAGAGCCTCAGTGGTGACCAGATGAAATTATGGCAAGTCCAGTGCCGGTACTGCAACAGTAGTCAAACTGTCGTGGAGCTTAGCCTCGTCACCTCATTCGTCCAGCGCAGGATGCAATCGATCGGTCATCCCGGTTGGCGCCGCTTAGGCAGCCATGGCCATGGCGGCAGCAGCAACAGCACCACCCAGGACGAAGTTGCAACGGTCCGCAGGGGCAGCACCGGTGAAGAGGGAGGGGGTAGCAGAGGCGGAGGCAGAGGCAGAGGCAGAGCCGCTGGGGGTAGCGGCGGCCGAGGTGGCGGGAGCGGGGATGACGGGGCTGGAGCTGGTGGAAGCGGCAGCGCTGCTGGACTCGGTGGTGGCCTCAGTAGCAGAAGTAGCAGCAGAAGCAGCGGAGGTAGCAGAGGTGGCCGCAGAGGTGGCGCTGGAAGCCTCCGAGCTGGATGCAGGGGAGGAGTTGGCAGCGTCCTTGTAGGCATCAACACCCTTCTGGATGGCGTCGGTGATACCGGAAGCCAGGGAGCTGGCGATGCTAGAAAGAGAGGACGGGACCTTGGAGGTGATGGCATCGGCCAGGTTCTTGGAAGCAGTGTACTGCTTCTCGAGCTGGGAGTAGACGGTGCCGCCAGAGCCAGCAGCGACGAACTGGGACTTCTTCGCAATCAGATCACTGATGGTGGTCTGAACCTCCTTGGTGACATCCTGGACAGGGCCAGTGATGGTCAGAGCATCGGTGGCACTGAGCTCAGAAGCCTTGTTGACAGTGGTCACGCCAGAGTTGATATCGGAGACCAAAGAGGTAGAGGCCGACTCGACCTTGCTGGGGTCGCCACCAGAGTAGGCATTGATGGCAGAGTCCAGGGCCTGGACCTGGGTCTGGATCTGGGACAGGACGTCGGTGATAGCAGAGGCATCACGCTCGACGATGGCGGGAGTGGCCATGACACTGGTGGCCAGCATAGTGAACAAGGCAGCGGTGAACTTCATTTTGGCGACGTAAACGACGGTGAATGAATAGATATTAAGTGCGAGAATAGAGAGAGGACTGGAAAGACCGAACGAATGCTTGAGGCTGAGACTGGCTCTGATGAATTCCGACTGAATGGCCGTGGATGAGCCTCTATATATACACGAGGAGCTCGAGGGGACTCACATGGCGGGTATACGGTGGCCGAGGACAAACTGTGGACCAGGGGAAGGTTTTCCAGCAATTCTGGGGTCGGTGGGTCCTCGGACCAAGATGTTGACCCCCATGAATGAGAAGGAATTGGTTCGTGCCTGGAACCTGCTACGAAGATCGTCATTGGGATGTTGGTTCTGGGCCAATGCCTTTGATTGCAGGGCCGATGCTCTTTTCCCTCTTTCAGTGTGGTCGGAACCTTGAGGGCTTCCGGGCATCATCCTGGCACGTCTGGCCAGGTTGCCCAAGTTGTCGCCATCGGCTGGACGGTTTACTGGAACCACAACAACAGGAGCAGTAGGTCGCAGATGGAAGCGCAGAGAAACAGCGCCTGACTAAACAACACAAATCGCTTCGCGAGGAGCAATTAATTTGACTTCGCTGGTCGGCGAACCAGCCAGTTGTGGCGTGACCATGACTTCCTAACCTAGCCCACCCCCGGATTCTTATTTGCTCGTGTCTGGGGAGTCAATGGCCTGCGTGCTAGGAAGTGTGCTGCCGTGTGTGGGCAAACCCAGGGTCTGAGGGGAAAGTGAGACATACAGGCTCCGTAGCGAGGTGCTGGTAGTGGATGCGACCCTACGGACGCTAAAAGCCGGTACCCCGCACCGGGCAGACTCATTTTCCAGCCTTCTCGTTGGGCGAAACGAGTTTCCCCCGGCGATCCTTCTCACCTCGGCCCAATCCGGCAAGACCTCCGCGATCGCCCGACCCCACCGTGCAGGTCCCGTTCTTTTTCCATCTAGACCGATTGATGCGACGCCTGGATATTACTTTGGCACCTCACGAACTGCCTCATTTTCATTCAGAGGAGCCTTTCATCAACCAAATTTCAGTATGGTTGCTTGATATCCCTTTTCCGATGCACCCTTCAAAATTGCGTGATTTTTCGAGCAGGGGTGCGTAGGCAGCAATAGCTACTCACCTTCACCTGCAGGCGTAGGGATGGCTACAGAAATTAGTGGCGCGATTTCTTTGCTAAACTGCGCTAGCCATCCGGTCCCGTACCTGGCATGTGCTGACCTTTGCTGCTGGTGGACAGATGCTCTCGGACCGTGCCCTGCCATTTGGATGGTTCGGTTCTGCGTCGTCCGTCTCTGTATGATACGATCTATGCCGGATATTATGCCCGATGGATGCAGATCTATTCCCGCTTGCTTGCTGATAGAACGGCGCGGTATGGGATGATCCAAGGTTTGTGGACCTGACTCAAGGTGTGACGATGAGGGCCTCGGATTCCTGTCATCTTCTACGGTAGGCTGCTCCAATGAGGTGCCCACCCCAGCTTCCTAGTATTCGTCCGTCTGGATGCGAGGCCAGGGTGGCAATTGACCGAGCTTGATTATCTCCAAATCCCGCTTACCACCTTCGGCATGGCCTATGAGCAAGCACGTTATTCCCACCTCGAACAGAAACTGACTTCCGAGGGTCCGCCCACCTATGTGACACCGTGACACGGGATCTGAGACGCCAATAGCTATTGTAATTTTGGTACAATGGAGCTTTAACGGGTCAGTATCAAAGCGTCTGGGTGAATTTTCGGACGTGAGGTGTTTGCCCCCGGACGATAGCCGTGCTTTAGACCGTTCCAACTCCATTACCCCTTAGTCGCGGAAACCCGGAACAGCAAACCTCATAGACCCTGTACTAGACCATATTCGGCTTGTGGCAAAGTTGGCTTGACATCTTTGGCGTCTTCCTATTCGCACGTCAATTTTGGTTCGATGATTGGGCTCGCCAAGCAAGCCAGTCTAATCATCCCTCGTGGTGGGCGGAGAAAAGGCCCGTGTCTCTTGCGCAGGTTGTCTTGCATGGAGTGCAAGCCCAGCTAGACGGAAGAACGGTATCTCAACTCTTTTTCTCTAAGGGGGCTATGATTAGAAGTGTTGGATATCGCACCATAATAGCTCAGATGGCAATTATGGTATTGTGATTAACTACAGAGTAAAAAGAATGATTTTATTCTCATAGACCCGCAGTTCGACATCTGCCAGGTTCATGCTTACTCTGAACTCTTCTAGCCTTTGTAGGCTTCCGTTCTTGTGACATCCGGCGTCTCATAAGTGGACATCCTAACCTTGAGCACTACTTCCGCGATTTAACTCATCCACAATGGTGGGCTCCCGCTCATTAGAAATTGGGTTAACATTTAACTTTTAGATTTGGAGAAAGAAAACTTTAACCAAAAAGTCCCAATTCGGAAGGTTACAAGCGACTACATTCATCCATTTTTTGGAGCGGTTTCTATTCCAGGAAGCAGAGCCTCATCTAGATTTGCCTCTTGTGGTGATCTATCCATTTACATTGGTCGACTAGCTGTTGGGGAACTCATGGATTCTGATCCGATGATCATCATCTATGGAACCAGAATAACCTTCCCAACAGCCCAGATCCTGTTTGTCCGATTCCTAGGTTCCGTTCTTCCTACACAAGACGACCAGACCTCATTTTCTAATTGCCATTTCTTGATCTAGAAGTTGAAGTACTGTCTATCATGCATAGTTGACCGCTTACTCAGACCTGAAGAGAATATATAAGTCGGACTAGAGTGCAAGTTACATCCATGTCCTTTGCTCTTTACTTTTATATGACAATCATGCTGAATTTCTAATTCTCTTCATGAGGGAATGTTTATTACGCTGTTGTTTCTCACATAAGACATGCCCACCCTTTCACACGGGATCCTCGTGTGAAGGAAGCATATCAACGCATCCTCGATGTTGCTGGCCATCGAAAATGCGCCCTGTGTGATATCCTTTATCCTGCACTTTGTTTTAGTCTATCTCATGCAGCGTGAGCTTTGTCTATAGATGTACGTAACCATAGTTAGTCTAGGGGATCAAGTAACTAATAAGAATGGCATATGAGCAAATCTATCGTGACTAGTTGGCTATGTGAGCATTCTGTTCTTCGTTCTCTTGACTCGGCACTACTTCCAAGGTTCCTATGTAATCCAGTCCACCTATCCCCAATGAGAAGTCGGCAGTGCTGGTTAGTAGTTATCATTACATTGCCAAAGTCTCAGCCTGAGCTTCAAGTGTCGCATTTTTTGACGAGTTACATGAAAAAATACTAGATGCAGGGGGGATAACAATTGCTAGAGCCTGAGAAATCAACTTCGTTGGCTGAGTTCGTTCAATACCTGGTCTAGTAAGTAGGAGTAATTCCAAAATATATAATTCACCACTCCACGGGATTCCCCACACTAATTACTGGCAACAACCTCCACAACTAAAATTAGTCCAGCAAAGGCAAGGATTATTGAGTGATTTGTGAGGCAGATTGAGAGGAAATCCCACGCCAGATGATATGCCAGTGAGAGGAGGAGACTTCCCACCCCCAGCCTTACGGCCATTCCCGTTACCCGAATAGGCTTAGTGCCACTCACGTTGTTGATCGACCCCGCCTTTGTTGACCCATTCCATCTGCATCATGTTGTCGAGAACCTTCCTAGAGAAACTGTTGATTATCTAGTTAAATGAGCTAGGTTGTACTCACAATGACGGGCCTGGATAACACTGCTGAGCTGCCTCATCATGGGAAAGGAGCTGCTAAAGGTCCTCGTGTTGGTGGCGGCAGTGGCGCCCACAAGAATGTGGTTTCTGGCGAGCATGCCTCGCATCCAGCCAGTACTGATAAGAGGTCCACTAGGAAGCCCAAAAACCAGAAGAAACGACAGAAAAGTGTTAGTTCATTCCGTCTAGGGCTTGCTCAACAAGATGGTGTTCCTGCTGAGACAACGACAACTGGGTACAGGTAAGTGGCTGCCTTACTGGGCTTGCAGACTGTCAACGCTTGAGCTAATAGTAGAGCCCTGTGCATAGACCTCACAGACCCAATAAACACCTCGTTTATTCGTCTTCAGAGCTCTCAGCTGCTCAGATGGAAGAGTTTCTGGAAACTGGCCTGGCGATGATCGACGAGACACCTGATACGCGAAGGATGTTCGTTGAAGACTTGGCTACCGAGTCTGGACTTCGTAAAGTACGACAAGTTGTTGAGACTGAATTCGCAGCGTCTTACAGCGTTTTGAGACCCATGTTCGATACGCACTGTGTTCTGTTCCTTCGTCTAGTCTCCCATGATGAGATACTGTCGTCACTTATACTCGAGAAGGCTGTGGGAACGATATACAATGTCATCTACGGACCAGGTGGTAAAAGAGGACTCGTCTTCTTTTCACGACTTGCAGAGTTCCTGACCAAGATGGAAGATGATGCTTCGCGGAGTGAAGTACTAGTTCTGGTTTCGAAAGTACTACTTAGCACTCTTACCCTCAACCAGGAGGCTGCTATCCAAGCCGACCTCAAAGGAATCGTTGACAAGCTCTACAGTTGTTACCACGCCCAAACCCCCGAGCCTGACCACAATCTCCAAATAGCACACCTGAACATGCTTAAGATCAGAGATATGCTTTCAATGGCAGACGCAATTTCTGCCACAAACGATATAAACATATCTAGGACTACACCAAAGCAGCAGATATCCCCTGAATCTGCTGTTGATCTTCCCGGCGAGTTGTCCGAGTTTGGCCCTCGCCACGATAATGACCATTCTGCCATCTCACATATTCAGATCCTACCTACAATCTCTGAGATACTCAGTGATGACGACCGACCGGAGTTCCTTCCCGTACGCTGCTCTGCCAATACCTCCTTTCAACATCATGAGAGGGGCATTCGTCGACTTCTCGATACCCAGTTTCGTCTTCTAAGGGAGGATACGTCCGGTATGCTCCGTGAAAGCATCCGATTGATAATGCGTACGTGGGAGCTCATTGCCCATGGCTCGGACTGGAGGTTGAAGCGCAAATTCCTCCGCAACAACAGTCCCACGCCAGTTCGAGTTTACTCAGGGATCGAGGTACAAAGGCTGCGATCTGAACATAAGGGGGTAGAGGTAGATGTAGAATTTGACCAGCTTCAAAGACTCAGGAATATGAATCCAGCCAAGCGAAAGCAATGGTGGGTCGACTCCAAAGCTTTGAAGGGCGGAACGCTGTTGGCCCTGCTTGATGCAGAGGACCGGGAAAACGCAGCTGCGGTATTCCTCCTTCTATCAAAAAGGGAGATCGGTTATGTGGACAAAGCCATGCAGGGCCCTTCAAAGCCTGAGCACGTCAGCGACGTGGTTAGCGATGCCAAGAGAGCAATGGTTACACTGACTCTGGCGAATCCAACAAATGCACTGGACTTGGAAAAGCTTGTTTCGTTCTCCATGAACAAGCCTTTGACAAAACCCCTCATACTCGTCGAATTTCCTGCTGTGCCATATAACTCTTTCGAGGGAGTTCTACGCTGCCTGCAAATACTGCACGAAAATCCAGCACGTATGCCTTTTTCTGCATGGCTAGCTCCCAGTATCGATAACAACGAGCTGAATGAAGCCCTAGCGAGCGGCACTGAAACAAACGGTATCAGTATCCAACCCCCTGCATATCTTCAACCAGGAACAGCTCTTGATCTTTCCTGCCTTCCTGGTCGCAAGGAAGGCAGTATAGCGCATGAATCGTTGTTCATGTCCCTCTCTCAGGACCCCCAGGCATTATCAGCAGAGCTTTCTGATAGGACTGCCTTGGATGAAGGCCAAGCGGATGCACTAGTTTGGTCACTAAGGCGCAAGATTGCGCTGATACAAGGCCCTCCAGGGACTGGAAAGTCGTATGTCGGTCTACAGCTTGCCCGATGCCTGTTGAACAACAGACACCTGCTGAATTTGGGACCAGTTTTATGCATGTAAGTAACGGTAGTCTGATGAGTTGCACTGACTGACTTGGTATTCAGCTGCTACACTGCCCACGCACTTGATCAGTTTCTTGACGGGCTTCTAAAGTCAGGCATCTCCAATATTATCAGGATTGGCCCGCGGAGTGCATCTCCACATATCGAGGCCCTGTCATTAGATGTGAAGAAGCTGGAACCGGGACCCCGAATTCGGGGCCTTCCGAGGTTGAAAGGCGAATCACGAGGAAGACTGGTTGCAATAAGTGGAAGAATTGAGGAGCTGCTCCGGATGGCAGATAATGGAAGCCTCAGTCTTGTTCTCAGACTGTTGAAAAGAAAATTCCCCTTGCATGCGAGCAGCATACTTTCTGGATCTGCCAGTGAAGAAGAAAGTGATGCAGTGAAGGAATGGGCTTCTGGAGATGCGCCTGGCGATGGTAAAGATGGCAACATTGAGCGTTCTATTGACCGACTACTCCAGGTGGACGTATGGGTGCTGAAGGCTTCGGAGCGGACTCGTCTGCTTAACTACTGGCGGGACACGGCTCTTGCGGAGCTTACGCAACAACTATCGGCTCTTTTGAGAGCGCACTCTACGGAAAAGCATCAACTGACATCATCTTACAGCCTGTCTGATGTGCATCGACTGAATGAATCTCAGGTAGTGGGTGTAACGACCACGCAACTAGCAAACAATGCTGATTTACTACGAAACGTCCATGCCAAGGTACTTATCTGCGAGGAGGCAGCAGAGGTTCTAGAGTCACATGTTCTCACTGCGTTGTTACCTTCGATCCAGCATGCCATATTGATCGGGGATCACTTGCAACTACGACCCCGTATCTCGAATCTTAGGTTGTCAATGGAATCGGATGGGCAAGGGCCGAAATACAACCTTGATGAATCACTCTTCGAACGTCTCGCCAATTATCGGTTTGGGGAGGTGGTATCTAGCCCAGAGGTGCCGACTAAGGTGGGGTACTGCTTCCCTGTCATGCAGTTGAGCCATCAGCGACGCATGCATCCGTCGATCTCGAACCTTGTCCGGCAGACATTATATCCCAGGCTTCAAGATCATGCTACGACGGCTTTATACCCCGACGTATCCGGTATTGAACGCAGATTATTCTGGCTCGATCATCGCCATATGGAGGATCCCACTGACCCCACAGAGGCAATGCAAAGCAAGACAAATACCTGGGAGGTGGGAATGGTAACTGCGTTGGTCAGGTACCTCTGTCAGCAGGGCAAGTATGGACCTGGTGAAATCGCCGTTCTGACGCCATACGCTGGGCAGCTGAGGATGCTGAAAGATGTCCTGGGAAAAGAAATGGCACTGATCATCAGCGAGACGGACTTGGACGCCCTAGACGAGCCTGAGGAGTCAGAGAGGCATGGAAGTCATGCGAATGGGAGGGGCAAATGGTACAATAGGCAAGAAAATACTCGAAAAGGGTCGCTACTGGATGTGCTACGATTGGCCACGGTAGACAACTTCCAGGTAGGAGTTCCGCCCCGACCACTAGATAGCTCTGACATAGGATCACCAGGGTGAGGAAGCGACTGTCATCATCGTATCTCTTGTCCGAAGCAACCGTTATCAAAACTGTGGATTCCTCAAGATGCCAAACCGGATCAATGTTCTGCTGAGGTGAGTGACCGACTTACTGTCTATATGCATACTAAGTCTTCGGATAGTCGCGCTAAGCATGGTATGTACATCATCGGCGATGCAAGTACGGCGTCAACTGCACCGATGTGGTCATCAGTCATCCAACTGCTCGAGAAGGGTAGGAATATCGGCCCAAAGCTTGAGCTACGTTGCGACCGTCACCCCGATAACCGATTTCATGTCTCCTGTCCGAACGACTTTTCGATACACGCGCCTGAAGGAGGGTGTGCGGAGAAATGCAGTCTGAGGCTCAACTGTGGACATATTTGCACGGTAAAATGCCATTCAGAGAGACAGCACAAAGCAGTAAGGTGCATGGAGCTATGTACCCGGATGAGAGATTGTGGCCACGCATGCGCCAAGAAATGCCATGAACCTTGTGGAGAATGTGTGGAGATGGTTTACGATGTTCCTCTCCCATGCGGACATAAAGCCGAGCGTATTGAGTGCAAGCACATGGGCGATCTTGGAAGGGTGCGATGCACTGAACAGGTCGTCCGCACAATGGACGGCTGCGGTCACATCATGAAGATACGCTGCTTCGAGAACACGGACACCCTGAGATGCTCGAATCGATGTGATAGTCCGCTGGCTTGTGGACACTCTTGCCGGCACCTATGTTGGCAATGCCGATACGTGGTTGGTGATTCTTATCATGTTGATCATGGCTCCTGCCAAAGTCCATGTGGAAGGGGATTCGCAACCTGCTCACACGCCTGTCACCGACCATGTCATTCAGGCACTGCATGTCCGCCTTGCGACCTGACCTGTGACGTACGCTGTAGACATAGTCGCTGTGCGAATAAATGCAGTGATCCGTGTCCTCCATGTGCCGAGCCATGTGGGTGGGGATGTCAGCACCGAGAACGGTGTAATCTGCCGTGTGCGGTGCCGTGTAGCAATCTTCCTTGCAGTTTCAGATGTGAGAAAAAGCTTCGCTGTGGGCACCGGTGCCCTGGATTGTGCGGAGAAAGGTGTCCGGACCCTCGGTACTGCAGAGACTGCTGTGGACAGGATATCCGCACGCAGAACGTCGACATGATCGAGTTCAGGACATACGAGGACATCAATGTAGATGAGGATCCACTGGTGTTCCTCTCTTGTGGCCACTTCTACACCGTATCCTCCCTGGATGGCATCATGGGGATGTCCGACCACTACGAATTAGACCCATCGGCGGGTGAAATCGTTGCTCCGAAGCTGCATCGAATCCTGGATTCCGGACGTCCGAAAGGGTGTCCCGAATGCCGTACACCCCTCCGTGATATTGACCGCTATAATCGGATTATCAAACAGGCATTCCTCGACGAAGCAACGAAAAGGTTTGCCACTCAAGCGAGCACTAGGTTTGCGGACCTGGTGAAAGAGGTTGGGAAGTATGAGATGGAGATTGAGAGCGAAAGAGCCAGGTTTGTCCGGGACTGGTCGCTGGAAGCAGTTGAAACAAAAGATGTCGATGAAGTCCAACGCTCAATCGATGCCTATCGCAAAAGTGGAAACAGACTCATCAAGCGGATTAAAGAGTTCACCAAATCAGTGGCGAAATCCGAACAGCCATTTGGCAGGGTGAGCAGCATCTTCGCGTCTGCAGCGGCAAGACGTGACATGCCTGCAGTCTGCTTTCAATTTAACGAGTCGGAAATCCAGACGGGCTTTCAATCACGCGGACATGTTCTGAACCTGCAACTCACATGGATCCTTCTTTGGGACCTGGATAGAATCTACAGCAACAAGACCATTGACCCACGCATCCGGGGGACTCTGGGACAGGTGGTCAAGAACCAGGTTGCCGGCCTCCTGAGCAAGTGTCTAGCGTTAGCAAACTACTGCCATGGAGCCAAGTTTCTGCAACAGGAAGTTGAGTCCCGAATCCACCATGTTTTGTTTACGATGCTATCTCTTAGCAATTCCCAAGCACTGGGTAATCCTGTCGACGGGTCTACCGACGCCTCGATCCGTGCAAAAGCGCTCGAGGAGTTGAAAGCCTGCGAACAGATGTGTTTGCGTCACGAGCACATTCTGGGGTCCTTGCGTGAAGACATCGTCCAAGCAAGGATTCTGGTCAACGGTGGGACATTTTACAGCTCCGTGACCAGGGAAGAGAGACGCCAGGTCTACCAGGCCATGGCACCGCAGTTCAGTGGAACGGGCCATTGGTACTACTGTGAAAACAACCATCCGGTAAGCCCGTTGATGCCCGTCGTGTTTGACCGTTACTAATGCAGTCCAGTTCACGGTGGGAGAGTGCGGCATGCCGATGGAGGAAGCTCGTTGCCCGCAGTGTGACGCACCAGTGGGCGGTATCGATCATCAGTTTGCTCCAGGGATCCGCAGAGCAGATGATATGGATGCGGAGTTTGGTCATGCATCACTGGTGTGAGTTGCAATGATATTGTATTGTTTATCAGGCATTGATTAGGTTGCGCTGAATTCTAGCATGACACGATAGAGAATGATAATGCAATAACATGATAATGATAAGCTGTACGAGTGGGCAGCATCTCCATAGACTTTCAATAGTAGCAATAGTAGCACTGGTGATCTCGAGAGAGGTCCAACAGGATGGATGCTTCTTGCAACGTGGGACTGCCATTGCCAATTCCGTGATACGCAGAGGATGCGATGCGGTATTTTCCGGCGCATACACGTCACGCCGCCATGGCAGATGCGCCATGGAAAGTCTCGCCAGAAGTATCATGTAGGAATGTTGACTGCTGCAAGCCGGAGACGGGGATTCGATCAGGGCATCGGCCAATCCGTGGTGTCGTCGTAGTCGCCTCATCAGGCGGGCATCCACGGGAGGCGGCTAGCCTCCATCTGCAGGTGCAACGTGTCTCGCCTCGCGTCGGCAGTTTGCTCCCATTACCCCTCCATCCTCAACCCCTCGATCGGCATCCACGTCGACTGTCAGGAGCATGCGAGACTCGGAATCAGGGATGGGTATATGCGGCGGGTTCCGAGGACTTTCCGATGCAGCTCAGATGCAGGTATGTCAATTGTCTTGTGCTTTTTCTGGTGACTGAGGATGACAGGCCCTTCAAACATGACTCCAATATAATCAACATCAATAGAGGATGCTCTGCAATGCACAGGTGGTGCTTAGGAAGCAGTCTCCTCACTACCACGTTTCGTAAGGATTGGCCTGCATCTGGTCCGAAAATCGAGTCGTTGACATATCCATCCATCAAGAACTTGAATTTTCCACCTCCATCACAGGGTCTGGTATCCTCCAGATGGAGGGGTAGCTGCAGGCAGATACGTTTGGGCATTGCTACATGCAGCCACTGTCACTACCCCGCAGTCTGCTTCGCACGCTCATACATCGAGTCAACAAGATGGATTCACTGGATGGTATCGATGCATATGTGCCAATGCCCAAACGAGGTCACCCAACATATGCATCGATAGCAGGTTATCGCGCATATCATGGATACGGGATGAGGTGACGAGGAGCTGTTGAGGGAGCTGTCAATGGTATAAAAGCCCGTCAATGTCCGCGGAATCCTCATCATCAGCAACAGTCTCTAGATCTGCCAGCCACATCCCAACCTCACAACACCATGCCTCAGGACGCCAAGGTAGGCAGACCAAGGATGATTTCCATTCACCTGCTGATGTTGATAGAACGCCTTCTACTCCGTTGAGTACCTCCGGGCTCTCAAGTCCAGGTACGAGTCTGCGGTAAGTCTGCATGCAGTCTTCTTTGATCAACTCTAACATTTACTAGACCAGCGACCCTTGCCGTGAGTACCACGATCAGAGGATGATGGGGTATTAACATAATCAGGCGGCTTGACCTTTGAGGATGCCCTCGCACACGTCAACTCGACCGGCCGGAAGAACTTCTCCCGGGATGATGTGAAGCGGTTCGACGACAACCACGATGACAACATCAACTTTGCCGGTGAGTAATCTGGCTCGCGTGAGAATGAAGCTGACCGAAGCAGAATACCTTGCCATGATGCTGGAGAACGACGAGCAGATGGCTTTCCAGAACGCCAAGTTCATTGCTTAGATTGAGAGTCTGTATATAGGCCAGATAGTGGCATGATGAATGAATCTACGGCAGTATTTTTCTAGTCTGATCTCATAGATCCACACCATGGATGTATAGCCAGATAGTCTAGATCTGTAAATGTATTGACCGGCACATACCAATATCAATCAGTGACTTCCTGTCCATCGGTAATATACTGAAGCGCATGATGTCAATGTCTCAATTTCTCAACCCTAACGTCGTGCTGAAACAGATCCCTGGATTCTTTCATCGATCAGAATGCACTCTGAAACGGGTGAATCCCCCTTGCATGAGCGCCACCGATGAATCTTCCTAGACATGATATCAGCATGGCTCCACCGCTGTCGGCAGTACTCCATATGCTCGAGTGGACTGTTCCTGAGTGAGGTCGCAGTGAATGGCAACAACCGACACATTCTTCTTGAGCCTACTCACTTAATGCCACCATTTCACCATCCCACCCTCCATCCTCCTCATCAACATCCCTCAACTTGGTAGCTCCATCACAATGTGGCTCGTGATTCTGTTTAGCCTCCTGCTGCGTCTTGCAGCCGCACAGCCTCGGTATCTTAATGACAAGACCAAAGGTACGCCATCCCAATCTGGTTCGAGTTCACTAACTCCTGCTAACGACACAGAATTTGTTGTGAACGGCTCTGGTCTCCCCTTTGTGGATTTCGACATTGGCGAGTCCTACGCAGGCTATCTACCCAACACGCCCGCTGGAATTTCCAGTCTCTACTTCTGGTTCTTCCCGTCGTCAGATCCAGAGGCATCCGATGAGGTATGTCCCACACCATATTCTGTTTACATGCTAAGAAATAAGATCACGGTCTGGCTCAATGGCGGTCCAGGCTGTAGCTCTCTTGCAGGCATCATGCTCGAAAACGGTCCTTTTCTGTGGCAACCCGGCACCTACCGGCCAGTGCGCAACCCGTATGCGTGGAACAAGCTCACCAACATAGTTTACATTGATCAGCCAGCTGGCACGGGGTTCTCGCTTGGTCCGTCGACGGTGGTGTCTGAGTTTGATGTCGCGAGGCAGTTTATCTCCTTCTGGAGGCGGTTCATCAATACCTTTGATCTGCACAATCGAAAGATCTACCTGACTGGGGAAAGCTACGCCGGACAGTACATTCCATATATTGCGTCGCAGATGCTGGATAAGAAGAATGATACGTATTTCCGAGTTGCGGGTATCCAGATCAACGATCCTTATATCAATGATCTGACTGTTTTGCAAGATGGTATGCTCTTACCCACCTGCTGCGATGTGACTGACGTGTGTAGTGCCCGCCCTCGCGGCCGTCAACGAACACCCATCTCTGTTCCCCTTCAACGACACCTTCATGGCAGACATCACGGCTCACGCTGACGACTGCGGCTATACCTCACTTTTGGACGACGCGCTCACCTTTCCACCCGAGTCTTCCTTCCCATCCGTCCCTTACAACAGCAGCTGCGCCGTCTACTCTGCGATCATCAACGCGTCCACGGCCCTAAACCCGTGCTTCAACCCGTACCATATTACCGACTCCTGTCCCATCCCATGGAACGCAGTCGGGGGTCCCATCGTTGGCCTGGGTCCAACCAACTACTTCAACCGCAGCGATGTCCAGAAAGCCATCAACGCCTACCCAACGGATTATTTTGTCTGTAAGAAGGGCATCTTCAAGACGGCCGATGGACTGGACACCTCGCCGCCCAGCTCCCTGGGTCCGTTGCCACGCGTGATTGAGCAGACGAATAATACGATCATCGCGCACGGACTTCTAGACTTTGCGCTCCTGTCGAAGGGATCTCTGATTAGTATTCAAAATATGACCTGGAACGGGCAGCAGGGGTTTGAGCAAGAGCCGGTGGAGCCGCTGTTTGTGCCGTATGGGTCATCGGGGGGAGGCGTGATGGGCACGGCGCATACGGAGCGCGGATTGACCTTCTCGGAGGTGTTTCTTTCCGGACACGGTATGCTTCTGTCCCCTTTGATTGTTCTTCTGGTTAGGATGGTACTAACGTGATTAGAAATTCCGGAGTATGCTCCCAGCGTGGCATACCGACAACTCGGGTTTTTACTAGGAAGAATTGCGAATCTCTCAGTTGCCTAGAAGATAAGTCCGATCGGATGAGACAATTATTGAAAGCTGCAGATGACAGCAGCAGTTGATATCACATCAATGCTATCGTGCGGGGTTCCCCACATCGTTCCAAAATAACTCCATCCTTATCCGTAATTCCGATCCGTTCAATCTACCATCCACCCATCCATCTATCCAACCCCCTTACCATGTAGTATTTACTAGCGCTCGGATCTCCCCGCGCTTTTCTGCAGACCTCCTCCCAAATAATCTTCTTCCTCAGGCAATTACTCACACAGCCATATTCAATCCATTTCAATATGACCACAATCCCAACCCACCAAACCGCCGCCTGCATCGACACCCCCGGCCCCGGCGCGCACCTCGTCCTCCGGAATGACATTCCCGTTCCCTCGCCGGTAGCGGGGGAAGTGTTGATTAAGTTGGAGTTTACTGGGTTCTGGTATACCTTCACCAACATTGCTATGTTATTAAGTAAATACCGGCTGATAAGGATATGAAACAGCCATTCCGATCTCCATAACATCGATGGCGATTTACACATGACGACAAATGTACCGGGTCATGAGGGGGTGGGGAGGGTTGTCCAGGGTTGGTTTATTCCATTCCTTTCTTATAGTGTACTAGGTGTTGGATGGATGATGCTAAGAGGTATGATGATAGTCGGACAAGATGTATCGAGTGACATGCTAGGGAAGAGAGTTGGCGTCAAGTATCCTCCCCATTTATCCATCTACTCCTCGTCGATAAGTCAGGGCTAACAAAACAAGATGGCTCCAGAAAAGCTGCATGAAGTGTCCGACGTGCAAGGTGCAGTATACGAATTGTTTGAATCAGGATAATTCGGGACGGGTATGTTCTTCTTCTCCATCCTGGTTTGAGGTGATGCTAATAGGGCTGGATAGAATGTTCCTGGGACGTTTCAGCGTGAGTTACTATCATCCATCTATGTGTCATCGGGTTGGGTAGCTGAGAGAATAGAATACGTCGTCTCTCCTGCGGATTTCGTCTCGCTGATTCCAGAGGATTTGGAGCCGGAGGCCGTGGCGCCGTTGCTTTGTGGTGTGTTCTTACTATCTCTCCTTATGGTGATGGTGATGCTAAACTGGTGTTTAGCTGGTCTTACGATGTACGGGGCACTCAGTAAACTGGACAAGTTCTGTGAGAAGGGCGATTGGGTGGTGATTATGGGGGCAGGGGGTGGATTGGGGCATCTGTTGGTCTTCCTCCATGGTTCTGTGGATGATGTTGATGAATCAGGGGCATTCAGATTGGCAAAGAAATGGGGTACAGGATGATAGGGGTAGATAGGTAAGTCCACGTACCCTTTCAGACACGCTGCTAAGAGATGTCCAGTGCAGCAAAAAAAGACATCGTTCTCTCCTCCGGCGCAACCGCTTTCTTCGACTTTACAGACGAGAATGTACCCCCCCCCCTCTCCACCTTTCCTTCATATGCAGCATACAGCATCCTGACAACCCAGTTAATCTCGAACATCCACACCCTAACCGACACCATCGGCGCGCACGCCATCCTCGTCGTCGTCGGCTCCGAAACCGCCTACGAACAAAGCATCCATCTCCTCCGTCCCCTCGGCACCCTCATCTGCATTGGCTTCCCCCGACCAGACTTCCACATCCCCATCACCCCACAATTCTGCGTGGACCGCGGACTGCGAGTCCTCGGCAGTGTCGTAGGCACAGAGACCGAAATGCAAGCGTTGTTGCAACTTGCCCGAGCAGGCAAGGTCTCCACGCATTACCAGGTTTTTGAGTTCCAGGAGATTAATGCGGTCGCGGACCGGATGAGAGGATATGCGGTGGAGGGACGGGCCGTGATGCGGATTCCGTCGGAGTAAGCGTGATACCTGGCTTTTATTGGTCTTAGTATGATGTGGGTTCTGTACTATGTACTCCGTACTACTGTATAATTAACGGATAAGATATTCATCTTATAGGTTGTGTAGAACTACGAAGTAGTTATAGTGGAGCGACTAGGCAACAAGCATTGAGTACGCCTTACCCGAGTGGTCCTGCAGAATGGTCCTGAGGAGTATGGCTGAATAAGATCGTGGTTGACAGCGAGTGTCGATTCCTGTACTGTGATGTGATCTGTGGAGTGGTCTGCATGTATCGTGCTGCTGCTGTCAGAGGTACACGATGTAACCTCGTTCTGTGCATAGGACGCATATACCCCCATACCTACCTACCACGACTACGAGGGGTTCGCGTTCACGGTCTCGAGCCGTATCTTGAGTTCCCGACATTGCGCGATGGGGAGGTGTATAGGAGGTGAACCGGGGGCGGATCGGGTGGTTTTTAATCGGGGGATGAGGTTGTGGGGGTGTTGTG